TTCTTTGAACAGGAGACCCCCTGCATTAATTGCATTGAAATTCAGTTCAGTAATTTACTCAGCAGCTGAAAACGACACCAAATCACCATATTAATTACTTTTTTTTTGTCTAAAATAAGTTAATCTAGCATACCATATTAACTTATTTTGTGACGAAAGAAATAGGTTATGCTCTTTTCTGTTTTCTCCAACAAAAGTTGGATGAAATTTTGGATATTCGTGACACGTTTTTTAAACTGCTAAACGGTGCGTTTCGTATAAAAACTTTTTATATGAAAGTTGCTATAAAATATTAGATAAATATTTTTTAAAAAATTTATAATAATTACATCTCAATTAATCAGACACCATCTCATTTTTACGTAAAACATTTAATCTTAATGTTGATACTCATCTAAATGAGTTTTAAATACCACCTAAGTTGCACTACGTACCTGGCGTGTACTGGGACTGGAAGCCGTTGGCTCCGGGGACAAGGGAGCAGATGTAGTTGTCAGTGTGCGCTTTGTACAGCTGCAGCCCGTCCGCTCTGCTCTGCAAGAATCCCTGAGACAGAGTTGCACAAGTTAATTCTGTAAATTCATTAGCATAAGCGAAACGATGAATCTGATTTCTGAAAGTGCCTTGGAGAGGAGCACTTTGGTGGCGACGCGCTTGTCGTCCCAGCTGAAGGTGAAGTCGTCCTGCTCGGCGCCCAGTGCGTGGCCGTTCGACCCGATGTACGACAGGTACACGTCCTTCTTCTCCGGCGACGCCAGGTGCAGCCACGACGCCGCCCACAGCAGCTCATCCTGCATCCACATCACACCTCGATCAACCAATCAGATCATCTTGGTCAATTTTTTCGCAAGCGCATAAAAAGATTGCACACTAATATATTAGAAGAATAGAGTTTTTGTTACACAACGCAATCAGCCAGACCGACCTATACCAAGGAAGGAAGAAAACAAAGATAAAAAACAAGGGAGAAAAAGAAAAACTCGTACGACGGGTAACTCTACTCCAAACAGCGGGAGGGGTAGAGCCGTGCTACACTCTCAACCGATCATCTTGGTCAATTGAAACAGATCTATGACAGAATTCAGAAAATTCAGAGAAATCTGTATATGTGCAGGGAGCAGTATGTGTCCACTGGTGTGTGCTCTGCATTCTACTGGCCGATCGATTCAGACAAGACTTGAAAAAAAGTTGGTAGGGATGGTATATCGCCCGTGCATGAGTAAGACAAAATTGCAGTGCATATTGTGATGTATTGAAAAGAGTAAAGGGACAAGAGAAAAGGTCCAAGACTAGGAACAAATTATCGGTGGCTGCGTGCTGCAGGTTGCGTAGCTTACATGGTAGGAGTGGGAGCAGTAGAACGGACACACCACTGAGCTCAGCGAGTCGCTGTATGATCCCCTGTATTTGTCCGCGAAATCAAACACCTGCATATGCATCAATGCATGCGCGCCAATGCACAACACAAGAATCAAATCAAATTTAAAATCAAATAAAAAGACATAAATATTAAGAAAGTACTTAATATCAAATAATTAGAAGGGGTGAGACTACCCAGATCGTCTAATCCACCATAGCGGAAGACTCTGGGGAGTTTCTCAAATTTAAAATCAAATCAAGATGAATGTGAGTATGTGACAGCTAGCTGTCTGTGCCTACCAGTTGAGCTGCGTCGAGCAGCTTGGCGGAGTAGGAGGGGTCGGAGACGCGGAAGACGATGGAGGCGGCGGCGAGCGCGGCGGCGGTCTCGCCGGCGACGTCGGAGCCGGGGCTCTGGGGCGTCACCTTGTACACGCTCCGCGGCGTGTCCATGTCCTCCGGCCGCTCCCAGCACCGGTGGTCCTGGTACGGGTCGGCGACCTGGACGTACAGGGTGTCCGGCGTCGCCGTCGCCGCCTTGAGCAGGTAGTCGGCGCCCCACCGCACGGCGGCCCTGGCGTTGTCGAGCTGCGCGACGCCGCCGCCGCCGAAGATGCCGCCGAGGAACGACGAGCGGCGCGCCGGCATCATGTCGCCGAACTCGATGACGCTCCACGACAGCATGGTCACCGTGAACGCCATGGGCAGGCCGAACTTGACGTTGTCGCCGGCGTCGTAGTAGCCGCCGGCGAGGTCCACGCCGTCGGCGGAGCCGTCGGAGAGGCCGGAGTCGGCGCGCCACGCGACGCGCTGCCCCGGCGGCAGCTTGCCGGAGCGCTGCGCCTCGAAGAAGAGGATGGCCTTGTCGAGGGCGTCGGCGTAGTTGAACGCCGCCGCCTCGCGGCCGGCGAGGCAGACGGCGGCGACGACGAGGAGCAAGCAAGCCCTGGACATGGTGGCAGATCAGACAGATGCTAGTACGTGGCGTATGTATGTGCACGAGTTAATTAACATGCATGGTTGGTTAGCTAGTGTCAGTGCGAGATGCGATATATATAGCGGTTAGTGGCAGTTATTTGTTGGTTGGAAGCATGAAGCATGCATAACAGCATAAGCAACGGAGAGTGGCGTCTGTTAGTGGACTGGTACATTAGCTACTTACTCTCGTACCAAAATATAAGAATCATATGGTATCTGTTATGGGACAGGTACATTAGCTATTACCTTATCTAAAAATATAAGAATTACGTGACGTCTGTTACGAGACGGGCAGATGTATACATTAGCTACTTACATCGTTTCAAAATTAAATATAAAAATGATTTATAATTGAATGTGATATATCGTTGTATTACGAGTATGGATAGAAGCACTTTTTGATCAATACTACTAAAATATGTTTTATTCGGTTATAAATTTTTATATTTTAGTTAGATGGAGATACTAGCTGGTGGATTGGATGCATGCATGCATGTGGTCAACCATTACGTACAGATGCAGGTGCAGCCACGGGGGTCACGGACGGATGATTCAACTTGTGCTGACTGACAGTTGTGGCAGTTACGTTAGGCGCTAGTGCCAGTGCGCAAGCCACGTTATGTGCAGATGCAGCAGGGACCGTGTTATATGCAGCCATTGCTTCGTATCAGTCAATGAGTCAAATTAAAACACATCGGAGCAATTGAACATGGCTAGGAGGTGATTGTCAGAGGACATCCCAGTTTTATGCATAGCACTAAAACATAATTAATTTATTTATAAAAGTATTAAGAGAGATTAACCTGTTATATGTAGTATCACTTCATTCATAAGTATGTAAGTTCAAACTTAACTTGTACGAGTAAGGAGAAAATGTTTTTTTTCAATGTTTGACATATTTCATACTGATTTATCATATCATTTTTTTAAAAAAAAACAATGATGGTTGAAATGACATGAAAAACAAGAAGATACTCCTTCTGTCCCATAATAGAAGAGATTTTGGAGAGATGTGACACTTCATAGTACTATGAATCTAGAAGTCAGATTCATAGTGCTATAAAGTGTCACATCCCTCCAAAATTTCTTATATTATGGGACGGAGGGAGTATTGTTTTAAGGATGAAAATACCTCCCCAAAGTATACTATACTACTCCTATATATACTTAATTTTATAGTTGAAGTCTTCATGTGGTACTGGCGTATCCAAGAAAGATGGAGTGATTGGCAAAGCAACATGGTGTGTAGATAAACCGTAGCATGCATTCTCGGCTTGATTTACTGAGATTTGTCTTTGGCGTTGGAGGGCATTTTCTTTGTGTCCGCTTGTTTTTATCTCCACAAATACAAATGCTGTTGTCTCTATCTAACTCTAGGTAGTAGAGTGAAAGTCGTCAATGCAACTAGTCGATCCGACAAAACATAATGGCTGCTTAATTAATTGCTCTTATCTGAAGACGACGGCGGCGTACGTACGACATTGATTCCATTCTCCGGCCGGCCGGCCGCCCGCCTACCTGAATGGATGCCGCATTTCCGTCGATTCGCCGGGCGGGAGGCGCGCGTGAATTCAGCCTCTCATCCTGCTGCTGCTGCTCTCTCTCTCTCTCTGCATTTTTCAACTCTGTCAATGCGGCCGTAATTGCGTCGCTAATTACGGCCGCTTGCAATGGCTATAGCTTCAACTCGATCACGGGCGGGGCGGGGATCGGTTCCTTCACGTGCACGTCCATATTTCTCACCTCATCCACGACCGCCGCTACCGCTAATAAGCACGGGATGGACCTGTTTGTTGCGTACTCCAATGGTCTCTTGTATGCATCATTAGGCTGTGTACTTTTCAAAACTTCTACTTCTTCTATTTTATAATATAAGATTTGTTAGCAATATATATCTAAATTTATTAACATCTACATAAATATAGGCAATACTAAAAGTCTTATATTATAAAATGGATGAAGTACTTTTTTTCCGCATGTGCATACAATTCTCAAATTGTTAAACGGTATGTTTTTTAAATAAGGAAAATATATAAAAGTGCTTTAAAAAAATCATGTTATTCTAATTTTTGAATTTTTTAAGCTAGTACTTCATTAATTATGCGCTAATACACCGCTACATTTTGCGTGCGTGGAGAGAAGCACTAATACACCATTATGTTTTGCATGTAGGGAGAAAGAGCTTCTCAACCATCTCTTACGAACTCAGCCTTAAGCTACATTCTACTCAATATCTCAAATATGCTAACTCATTTTCCGTAAGTATGTACTATATCCAAACTGTTAAATGGTACTCTTTTTAAAAATCAATATAGAAATTTTTATTAAAAAATTAAAAAGTATTTTTTATAAGTTTATAGTAATAATAATAATAATAATAGTTAGTATAATAATCGATTAATGACGTTCTAGTGTCCCTGTTCGTTTTTCGTGTCACCATGCTTAATTTGGGCTCATTTATAAGGGCCGAAATGGAGGCCTATAAGTGACATTCAACAGTACGTTACCCTCGTTCGGCCCAATACGATATCGACTCGACCCTTGTTCGGCCCAGTACGATATCGACTCGACCACGGCTTTGCCGCCAGCCCACGACGCGGTTTTCCGCTTTTCCCTTTTCCTTTTGTCTCCTTTTTATTTTTCCTGTGCGGGTGACGTGGAGCAGCATCGAAATCGAATCGATCCATCTGCACAAGGAAGGAAGCATCGAATCGAACGACAAATCGAATCAATCCATCGGCGGCGGCGGCGACTCGGCTCTCGCTTCCACGCATCCATCCCCGCGCCCCCCTCCTCTCCGGCGACTCCCCGGAATCGCGGCGCGGCGGCGCGGCCGCCCTAGCGTCGGCGACGGCTAGGTCTTCCTCCCCGACCCCTTCGTGAGGTGAGGTAAGGTGGCGCGGGCGCGGCGCCCTTCCCTCTTTTTGTTTGTTGCCCACCAAAGGAATTCTGCGAGGGGGGGGGGAATCGATGATGTTAGCGGGTTTTGAGGGCTTGCGGCTCTTGCTGTTTTGCCACCCAAAGTAGTTTGGGTTCGGGAACATATGCGGTTGGGTTGGGTTTGCTCCTATGGAAAATTGGAAATTTGGTCTGGTTGTTTAATTTAGTTAGAGGGTTTTCTTTTCATTAGGTCGAAAAAAGATGTCGTGAGTTAGTAGGTTAGTGATCTGCAAGGCACCCTCTGTTGGTGCTCTGATTTTCAAGGCTAGTGCTCGAGAGCTTGTGTTTGTCATAAATGTCAATTGTTATGGTACTAGTTTGTTTCCTTAAAATTTGTTGCTTGTTGCACTGTGACATTATTATTTGGACTAGTCTATAAACTGATGCAATTATTTTACAGGAATTCCTATATAGGACTACAATTTAAGGGAGAAGCTTTCAGGCTTCTAGCAAGTAATAACTACTGATCTCCAATGGCACAACCTTCTTCTAAGAAGACGCCGTCAGTCTATCTTTACATCCCTAATATCATTGGTGAGCTTCTGTACGATTTCTTGTTTAATACACTATGCTATTGTTACTAAATGTACTGGGAAAATTTTATTTTTGTAATAATACCAACCCAGGAGAACTAGAAACACAATATTTGGAAATAGCGTAACAGAATACATATGGTTGAATAGAGGTGATGGAAAAAAATTCTTACAAACTGTTCGGCATCTTGCTTTAATGCAGGATATTTTAGGATCATCATAAACTTCATTGCTTTTGCCGTATGTTATTCCAATAGGGTGCTCTTTGCTATCCTATACTTCTTCAGGTGAGTGTTATAAATTTATCCAGACTACTTGGCAATTTGTTGTATCTCTGGAAATTTAACATCATCAGAATCTATCAGCTTTTTCTGCGATGGCTTGGATGGTTGGTTTGCACGAAAGTTTAACCAAGGTAATAACTAATAAGTGTTCCTTATGTGTTCAAAGTCATATTTTGTCCTTCTGCAGAAAATATTATTTCTATTTCTTTTGCCTTCTGCCTTGAGACTTTGTAGCACTAGTTATTCAATGAAGAGTAAATTATAGGATGAACTTCTAAAAAGCTATTGTTGAAATACTGCTCAACAGTTAAATCTTGGTTTATCCTCACTCATTATCTGATCAGTTAATGCCATTCTATGTATCAGCATCAACATTTGGAGCTGTGCTGGACATGGTAACAGATAGGTACTCCTCGAATCATTCATTGAATATGCAGGGTGAATACATTCTGCATCCTGAAATAATTCACTGTTCACATTGCTTTTCCTCAGGGTTAGCACTGCCTGTTTGTTGGCACTTCTCTCCCAGTTTTACAGGTAAGTGACAGCAGAAAACACTTCAATTGTTGTACCTTGGATCTAGATACCTGATACAAATTGTATTTGCATGTTCTTTGCAGACCTGGCTTAGTTTTCTTGATGTTGCTTGGGTTGGATATTACAAGCCATTGGTTTCAAATGTACAGGTTAGTTTTCTAACCATTTTTTCAGTTAGTGCCACTTTATAGTTTTCTTCACCTAGTAGGTGCATCCTCTTCCGGAAGGTATTAAAGGGAGCAGAATATTATCACTTACTATCGTGTTGTTCAGAAAGACAGAATGCCTTTTTTCATGATGCATTTTTTTTGTTCAAAGACAAGAGTTATGCTCTATAGTTTTGTTATGCGTCTCTAGTTACTTCTACATGTTGCTAACTACTTGATGGCGCCTTTTTTTTATTAGTTCGTTCCTATCAGGTAAGACTAGCCACAAGGATGTAAAAGACACAGGCAATTGGCTTCTGAAGTTATATTATGGACACCGACCATTCATGGCCTTCTGTTGTGTTGCTTCGGAGGTACATGATTAATCCATATTTTGCAATATCTACATGGGTGTTTGCCTGGTTGCATGCACAACATGAGTGCTGTGCTGGATGGTTTTTGACTACTTTAGCTGAACGATGGGCATGAATTGATGTGTTTATGTGCTCAAAACAATCCTAACGAACCTATCTTACATCTGCCCATGTAGCACTGAATAGGCATTTGATATAGTTGATGAGTTACCATCTCATCATGTCCAGCACCCTTACGCTGCTGACTGAACTGCTCTTAAATGTTTCACCTTCTAACAAGGAAGTTTCCAAAATTCAGGTTCTGTACATAGTTCTTTTTCTGTTCGCCGATGAGAAGTCAACAAGCTTGCTTAATGTAAGAAGACATCATCTCCACAGTTGCCTTATCCAATCAACAGTCCTGTTGTAGTGGTTAATATATGGTATTTCTGTATGTAACAGGTGTGCGGAAACCTTCTGAAGCAAAGTCCTCTCACTGTCTTTGTTTTCATTTCAACTCTAGTTGGTTGGGCGTTGAAACAAGTGATCAATGTTATCCAGGTATTGCTGAAAACAACTTTAAAATTTCTTGCAGTTGCAGGCGCTTGATATTTGGATGTCTGCAAGTATTGAGTTGTAATTATGACACTAATAATAGGTCTGATCTAGAGGTAAAGAAAAAGTGTCAATGCAGTGGTTAGCTCATATATTTTTACATTAGGTAGCTAGATCAACTGCTAATACATTGTATTCTTCATTTAGAGTGTTCATTTATATGATTCTAGCAATAATAATAGTGCTACTTTAATAATGACTTGTTTCTTAACATTCATGTATCTTTCCCGAGTGCAGATGAAATCAGCCGCAGACGCGTGCGTTGTGTTTGATTTGAAGCGCGGCAAGTGAGCAGAAATGCACAACGATTTCGTTTAGCTTGTGTTTGGCATGTCGAAGAAAATATTCCATGAGGCTTGATGTACCAAGGCTGTACAAACCTAATGTAAGATTTTGACATGTCCTTGACACTGAGGGAGGGCATGCTGTGCATTAACAGCATGAAAAGAAAAGGAGAGAGATCAGATGTATTTGAGGAAAACAGGGTTTTAGTCAGATTTTGTATGTTTCTTTTTACAACAGCGATGAATCAGCGCGATCTTTGTTTCTTTATGAGCTTGATGTTTGTTGACAGTATTTTTAGCTGGTTATTTGTGAATACCATTCTCACCTCTGGAAATTTGGAGGGCATGAATCCCATCGTTTAGCATTTCACTCCGTTGTAATTTGTTTACACTAATATTACTCCATGGAATGTATTCAAGTATCTCCTCTATTGCTTGCTTTTGCATTACTGCTGTACACAGATGTATAAGTATAACCAATCCCCTTTCAGAAATCATATATCAACACCAGCACACCCCAAATTCACTCAAAACCAGGTTTCTATTATTTTTTAAGAACTTCAAATCAATCTGTATTGCCCCCCAAATTTCTCTTGATTTGGAATGGATGTCTTTTACTCTATCCGTATAAGCATTTCTAAGCTGTTTAGTAAATACTCAGTCGTCTCAATTGCGATTGGAAATGCATGGATTCATGTACATTAGAATTGCTTATATCGTGGTACAAATTTTGTACTATCACGGAAATACCTACAAAAAATATTTTGTAATGGAGGAAATAAATACCAACTTCCTCCGTTTCACAATGTAAGTCATTCTAGCATTTCCTACATTAATATTGATGTTAATGAATATATATATATATATATATATATTATATATATATATATATTCATTAACATCAATATTAATGTGGGAAATACTAGAATGATTTACATTATGAAACGGAGGGAGTACAAGAAATGATTGTAGTGAAGGAAATAAATACATACTCATCCGTCTCATTTTAAGTACAATTGTGGATTTCTGTGTCTAACGTTTGATCATCCATCTTATTTAAAAAATTTATGAAAAAATAAAAAAGATAAACCATGCATAAAGTAATATTTATCTTTTACCATCTAATAACCATAAAAATACTAATCATAAAAAAAATTTAAATAATACGAACGATGAAATGTTAGATACAAGAAATAAGGTTATTATATCTACAAAATTCTTGCACACCTCAGCAATGGCCATCACAGTGTCTATCTATCTTGTGAAGATGCCAATCTACTTGGAGACGAGAGGCACATCGAGAATCTCACTGGTAGTGCATCACATCAGAAGAAGGACGCACTCTTCTTCTTCTTCTCGTCTCCGATTCCAACGAGGCGGCGGAGCAGAGCAGAGGCGCGGGATGGCGGCGGCGCAGGGGAGCGGAGTGCCGGCGGCGCTGGCGCTGAGCAGCGGCCACACGATGCCGTCGGTGGGGTTGGGCGTGTGGCGGATGGACTCCCCCGCCATCCGCGACCTCATCCACTCCGCACTCCGCATCGGCTACCGCCACTTCGACTGCGCCGGTATTGAACAACACCACCCCCAACCTAGCGACCTCCATAGCTTCCCTTCACTTCCCTTCTCCTCCTCCCGCCTGTTGCTCCGATCGAGCCGAGCCGGAGTTGCTACGACTACGAGTTGGTCGGTTCCAGAATTGCCAATCTGCAATAATTTGCTTGTGTGCTTGTGCGTCACTGTGGAAGTTAAAATTGGCAATCGTTTTGGCCTCGTGTTGTTTGGAGATGTAAACATATCATGTTCATTCTAGCGAGTACTCTATGAAGTTTGTCTTGAATAGGTAGCGGATTTATGAATCCTTTTCCTTTTCTTTTTTTGGGGGTTCAATCATATATTCTGGAGTAATTGATAGGGATTATGAATCATGGTTCCAAGTCTTTTGGGAAATTTTGCCTAGTTTAGGTGATTTGCTAACTGTGCTTGCTTGCTGGTCCTGCAGCTGATTACCAAAACGAGGCTGAAGTTGGGGATGCACTTGCAGAGGCATTCCAAACTGGACTTGTCAAGAGGGAGGATCTTTTCATCACAACCAAGGTTATTAAGATTGGACAATACAATTGTCTTCCTTTCAAACCATGAATATACTACTTTTTTCTTACTGCTGAAAAATATATATATATATTCACCTACTGGTTAGTTTCTACTGCCTCATTAGAAAAGGGGTATAGTACAATGTTATGAACCCAATTCCCCCGACTCGTACAGGTGGTTGGCATGATTAGCCTAAATATGAGTGTTACATTATGGAATTCCTTTTTTTTTCTCATGATGTATTGCATTTTCTTTACCTTTCTTTGGAATTGTTATTGCACACATCTGTTGTACTTGGGACTATGGGAGCTACCCCCTGATGTCGTTCTGAATGAAACTACAAAACTACTATCATGTTGTTTTACACCTGATTTTCACTTAGCAAGTGTACTATCAGGCAATTAATTAGCCCTTGTTTCATCTAGTGCGCTATTCTTTTCTCCACATTTATATGTTATTTGATTGAAGGTTCTGTATCTTTTTTTTGGTTGTAGTTGTGGAACTCAGATCATGGGCATGTGGTTGAAGCATGTAAGGATAGCTTGAAAAAGTTGCGGCTAGATTATCTAGATCTCTACCTTATCCACTTCCCAGTAGCTACCCGTCATACTGGTATAGACTCTGTTCTTGTTTTATCTAGTATAGTGGAAGAACATTGATTCATTTTCATTGGATTACTGACAATATGAACATTTCTGTCATTTACAGGAGTTGGTACGACTGCTAGTGCTCTTGGTGATGATGGTGTGCTAGACATTGATACCACTATCTCATTGGAGACAACATGGCACGCTATGGAGGATCTTGTTTCCATGGGACTGGTTCGCAGCATTGGGATTAGGTGAAGTAAATCAATATTACCAATTGTTCTCTAGCTATAATCATAGATTAGTTTCTTTAATCTCTGGAAGCATCCTTACAATATTTGGTTATTCCTTGTACGTTGTTATTATCACCATCTTGATAATCCAGGTTTTCTTGTCCGATAGTAATGTCATTCTTTTTAGTAACCACTATGGATACTAGCTCCTAGGTCTATGAGATAATTTCAATCACTTGAGCTGTCGACATACAGAAGAACCAAAAGGTAGCTGTAGATCTTGCAAAAAAAATTTTGGGAGAAATCGTAGATCTTGCAATTTTCATACTGCTGTTTGCTCATCTGTCATGACAGAGGAAGTCAACTTCTTGAATCTAACCAGTGAGTTGTTGTTCATGCAGCAACTATGACATATTCCTTACCAGAGATTGTTTGGCTTATGCTAAGATAAAGCCCGCAGTGAATCAAATCGAGACACATCCCTACTTCCAGCGCGACTGTCTTGTCAAGTTCTGCCAGAAGCATGGGATCTTAGTCACTGCCCATACCCCTCTGGGTGGCTCCACTGCCAATACTGAGTGGTTTGGGTCCGTCTCATGCCTCGACGACCCTGTCATCAAGGTTGTATGATATGACATTCCAAACCATCACCACTGTTTTTGCATAGCATCACATTTCAGTGTCACATTGTGAAAACCTGGTAGTAATTTCTCAGCTTACTTCTATGCCGGTGCAGTCTCTGGCTGAGAAATATGGCAAGACACCGGCGCAGCTGGTGCTCCGGTGGGGGCTTCAGAGGAACACAGTGGTGATCCCCAAGACATCCAAGGAGGAGAGATTGCAGGAGAACTTTGCGGTCTTCGATTTCGCCATCTCCGACGAGGACATGGAGAAGATGAGATCCATCGACCGGAAGTACCGCACCAACCAGCCTGCCAAGTTCTGGGGAATCGACCTGTTTGCTTGATGAATTATGAGTCTTTAGCACGAACAATAATGGGGGCTTTTCTACTGTCCCTGGGAGCTTCTTGTGCAATCATTTTTCTCTGAACTGAAACTTCTTGTGCTGAAGGATGAAGTTGTTGGGATCGTGTGAACTTGAATTGTTATTCAAAGGGAAAAAAAAAGTGTGAACTTGAATTGTATCTATATTTCGTGTATTTGCGCTTCTGCAGCCCGCCTAATCAATAAATTTTTAGCATCCCTGCTAAGTATCATGAAATTTCATATTCGATTCGACTCTTATTCAGCAAATTACTTCATAAACTGCTAGCTAAAACACAATCTACAAGAATTCTTCCAGACTGCACCTTGTATTCAGAATAAGAGAAAATTAACTACGGAATACCTGGGTAGATTGTCTCGTAGAACAGTGCAGGATTGCTAATTGCATACCGTTTTCTCCTTTTTATGTAAACCTATTAAGTAGTACGTATATGAAAGGCAGAGCTACTGTCCATTCCCTCGAAATAAAATAAAATAGTGCATAATTCAAAATTATTCACAAATCGTGCAGACTGGTGGTCAAAATACAAAATCATTCACAAGCCGATTAGATTGGTGGTCAAAATTCAAAACTATTCACAAACCGAGCAGAATTCGGTTCGAATTTGTCGTCGCGAGCCTGAACTCTCAGCGTCGCCGTCGTCGTCGTGTCAGTCTCAACTCCTCTCAATTAATCCCCAAAACTCCAATCCAATTCCAAGCCCAGCCATGGCGACGCCGCCGCCGGCCGCCGCCGTGGCCCTCGCCGACCTCCTCGAGTCCGGCACCTTCGCGCCACCGTCGCCGCCTCGACCCCCCGCCCCGACCACCATCCTCTCCGCGTGGTCGCACCTCCGCAACCCCACCTCCCCCGCCGCCGCCGACGCCCTCGCCGCCCTGGAGACCCTCCACCTCCACCGCCGCTCGCTCCGCCTCTCCTCCGCCCACGTCGCGCTCCTCCTCCCGCTGCTCCCGCTCCACCCGCGCCTCGTCTCGCCGCTGCTCGCCACCAGCCCGCACCTCCTCCCGCCGTCTCTCCCCGCCTCTCTCCCCGTCTCACCTCGCCTCCTCCTCCTCGGCGCACTCGCCTCCTCTAGGAGTGCTAAGAGCCTCTCCAGCCATGCCAATTCGGGGAGCACAGCAGCAGAGAATCTCGGCGGCGGCGGCGGCGAGTCCGGCGATGGCCATGATAGCGATCCTGTTGTGGCTGTAGCTCGCATTCTTGATGACATGGAGAAGGGGAGCGAGAGCTGCCATGATCTTGATCACCTGGCTCTTGCTGGTATTGGTTGCGTGTTGGCATCTGCTGATGAGCTGCAGTTTAGAAGAATTATTGGATCCTTGCTTACGATTTGCGGGAGGATCGGGAGCCTGTCTGTTGGTGTTAGGATGCTTAAGCTGGTGGAGTGGTTGTTGCTGGGCTTCATTGAGTCGAGGAAGATGCGCAAAGTTCAGGTTCTATTCGAGATGATTTCACCGGAGTCGTGTCAGAGCCAGGGCTATGTTATGTCTCCGGTGGTGATGGTAGCTTGTGGTGCCCTGAGGGCATTGAGGGTTGCTTCAGCGAGATACCGGCTGGATTTTGATCCACGGTTGAAGGAGGCGCCTGAGCGGACTATCCGATTTGCAGCTGAGAAGGCAGTTTTAGAAGGGAAACACGTCGATGATAGGCGTTTACTTCTTCAATGTGTTGCATTGGGCTTGACGCAGTGTGGGCAGGTCACTCCTCATGAGTCAGTGTTGCGTTGTGTCTGTATGGCGCTACTGGAGGAGCTTCTTCCTCTGCCAGATTTGCTCAAGATGTCTGTGCAATGTCCAGATGGGAATTCACCTGAAATTGTCAAGAATCGGGTGAAGCAACATCTGGATAGTGTGCTTTTCAAGGAGGCTGGACCTGTTGCTGGAATTCTCTGTAATCAGTATTCATTTGCCAGTGATAAGGCTAAAACTTCTGTTGAAACGTGTGTATGGGAATATGCACAAGTGCTGTATTGTCATCTTCGTGCAGCAGTAATTTTGCATCAGGGGAAGCAGGATGATTTGATCACAGATATTGAGAAGATCGCCGAGGCTGCATTCCTTATGGTTGTAGTCTTTTCAGCCGAGGTCACTAAGCACAGGTTGAATGCTAAGTCCTCAGAGGGATTCCAACCAGATGTTGCTGTTAAGATCTTGGTGTCCTTCTCTTGTTTGGAACATCTGCGACGCTTGCGCCTTCCTGAGTACACTGAGGCAGTCCGGCGTGCTGTTCTTGTCAATCAGGAAAATGCGGCAGTTGCTGCTTTGTTCATTGAGTCAATTCCTTCTTATGCTGAATTGACAAGTAAACCAGGTTGATTTTTTAATTCCCATTTGTCTCATTTTACCGTTCTGATTCTGATACTGTTCATTAAGGTCCTTTTTTTGGCATATTGTAGATTTATTAACCTTGGATGGAACAAGATATATCTGGCACGGAGATGTGGTTCAGACATCACGCATATTGTTTTATCTGCGGGTTATACCAACTTGCATTAGCCTCATTCCAGCCCACATGATTCAGGACAAGTTAGCTTCGATCATGTTCTTGTATCCTTTCAAACTGCAGTTTGTTATTTTTTGTCTTGATATTTAATTTGTTCTTGGCTATCTAGATTTTCGATATTAAGAAAAAGTGTCCTTATCATAAAATTGTCAGATACATACAGCATTCAAATGAGAAAGTAACACGTGCCTCACACTCAGTGGTGGTATCTTTCTTGTCATCCGGCAATGATACTGATCCGGATGATCGAATGGCTTTGAAAGAACAACTTGCTTTTTACTATATCAAGAGAACTTTGGAGGTAACTCATTGGCTACTATTCCCATATTTGATTTCTATCTGGAAGACTAATTTAGTTGGCTATTTTCTTTTAACTTAATAGGCCTATCCTGGGGTAACTCCCTTTGAAGGATTAGCATCAGGAGTTGCAGCACTCGCCCGACATCTTCCTGCTGGGAGTCCAGCCACTCTTTTCTGTATCCATAACCTTGTTGTCAAGGCTAAAGATCTTTGCCATACCTCAATGGTAGAGGACAAATCCTTGTGGAGGTCATGGGAAGGTAGCACAGAACCTTGTAAGAAAATATTAGACCTGTTGCTGCGGCTCATCTTCCTCGTGGATATTCAGGTAAGATCTCTCTCTTGACCAATATTTTGTTCATGTGTAGAGTAGTATTTATTTTCTGGAATATTCATGTGTTGTTCCATGGTTGTATTCAGGATGGTACTTAGTTTCTAGGACGATAATTTTACTGCAGAATCATGGAATCACAAACAAATTTATTTGTCACATTACAAACTTCACTAGCTAGGAAAATCTGTATCTTTGGTGATTGAATGACTCGCGAACCACTGTGTTCCATACTCGGTAGCTATGTTTCAACCGGCTTTATTGAGGCTATCATTCAATTCCAATGTTTTTCATCTCTTGAGTCTTGAGAGTGCATAAGCCTTTGAAGTTGCAGATACCATGCACTACTAACACCCTCTTTTGCCCTCTCTGCAGTCATTCCCTTATCTGCTGAAGGAGCTGGCGGAATTCGTCAGTCTGCTACCGAAGGAAGGTCAGGATGTGCTCCTTGACGACATGCATGCTCATGTTGCAGAATCTGATGATGTCACACGGAAGCCGGTACTTGTCTCTTGGTTGCAGTCCCTCTCCTACATAAGCTCACAAGCTACCCGTCATAAATCTCTCGATAATGTAGGAAGCGATGAACTAAACCTGAACAGAACTATGGCAAGGTTGTGATATCAGCTTGCCTTGTGTGCTATGCTTCTTTTTTTTTTTTCAGAAGTCATACTAGTATTGTATGTACACTGCCACTACAATGGTATAGAGTAGAATGGAAGATTAGAGATGCAATCACTCATTCACTATCTGATTTGATAACATGAGACACACACCAACATTTCTGACAATCTCATAAATTCATAATTTTACATTTCAGACAATCTCATATATTCATAATTCACATCTCTACCCTCCAAAAGCATAGTATCTGAGCTAACTCAAATGCCATGAAGCTGATACACAGGGAAACCAACATCTTGAGCACATACACAATGACGGGCATTCTTGTCATCGATCACCAGAGGTGAAATTTCTGCCAGAAAATGTATGCAATTACAGACAGCAATACAGGAGCAGCATCTCAGATTCTAAGTACAATGCAACGAGAATTCTTTTTTCCTTGTAAATATTGTTTGGATAAATGGCCAAAGTTAAACATCAACGCATCAAGTGATGTAACTATTAGGCAAAAACAACAGTACATGAGAGTAAAATTGGGTTAGTGTTCCAAATAACACAACCTTGATACTCCTTCCGGAAATCACAATATTGGTTCAGGCGTTCAGCCATGGATCGTCTTCAGGTTTATCTTCAACAACTTAATACCAAAAGGATCCATCGCTCATTGCATTTTAACAAACGCAATCATAATTTTTCAACATTACATCGGTTCCGATCAACACGTAATTTCCAACAGATTAATGAATCACACATGCGCATAGATAAACAAGGTAAATTTAGCATAAAGCAGTACAATAACAGCAGAAAATAGTGCCAGCATGATAACCAATATAGGAGCGAATACATAATCCTCACTCCCATGGTACAAACCAGAGAGCTCTTTGTCCAAGTGTTCGACAAATTTAATGTTTTAAACTGTAAGCTGCAACGAAATTAAGAAACAAGACCAGGTTTAGAACAGATGCGACTTCCAAAATGCCAGAAACTTGATTGGTGCTTCAGAACTTGCAAAACTTTGCGCTGAATACTATCCTGGAGAACTAGTTCTCTAACCTCTACCAGCCCTGTTCAGGCTCACCATGCGTGCACCGCCATCACCTCCTCCCTTCGCCATCGAACCAGTGCGAGATCTTCCACCATCCTGGAAGCGTGAACCACCACCATAGCCTCCACGAGAACCCTGACTGCCCCTGTCCCTCTGGTAGCCACCACCACCTCTTCCAGAGCCTCCACCTCTGCCAGAGTATCCGGACCTCCCGCCGCCTTGCCGCCCTTGTGATGATACGAAGTTCTCCTGCCACTTGCCCAAGTTGGATGAGTCCTGAGCATCACCCCTACGCCTGGGTGGTGCTCCCTCAAAGGTACCACCAGTTTTAGCCTCGTATGCCCTCTCATTGCTCTCCACAAGGACTGAGAGCTTATCAGCCATCTGGAAGAGTAGTCCCTGAAGTCTAGTTTGATCAACGTTGTGGAAAATGATGCACTTGGTAGGTTGATCCCAGCTGGCATGAAGCTCCTCATGCATCATCATCTTGCTAACAATGCTGTGCGCTTGTTGCTCACTAAGGTCAAACATTGTCGTGAGCTGGTCAAGGCTCAGGGACTGGTAACAAGAAGAGTATGAAAAGAGATAGGTTCTAAGAGCTTCTTCTTTGATCTTGAGTTTCAGCATCTCAAGAACATGCTCCTTGTTCCTCAAAAGCTTCCAGATCTCCAGCGAATTAATGACATCGAAAGCCTTCTGGTGGTCACCCTTGCTGAGGGCCCTTGTCGCAGCCATTACATGGTCCCTCACATTTTCTGGTGGCCCGACAAAAGTTTGCCTCTCACTGATTTCAAGAAGCCTGCGGAATGTTCTGTTCATAAACTTCCTCTTATCGTAAGTACTGGCTGCCATATTGGGGACCTCAATCAGCATGGCGCAAATCAAGTGTGTGGCTTCCAAAAGTTCAAGGTTTATATGCATATGGTAAGGCATCTGCCTTCTTCTCTCAAGCCTTTCCTGCAGGAATTAGAGCAATTACAATATTAGCACTTATGATAAAAAAAAGTACAGAAGATGTGTGGTACCTCTTTAGATTACTGTTGAAGTATTATTCCTAGTAGAATAAGATCAGCTCTGCGATGAGCCTCAGCATATGTAATGAAATTTCTAGGTCTAGATAAACAAAATAAAAAGGCAGATAATGATGGAGACACTAACATTATAACTTTATAAGTGATAGAGCAATCAAAGCATTTAATGCTAAAATCAGTATGTGGCTATCCTTAAAAAAAACAAATATGATAATAACAATAATAAATCAAAAGATGTAGGAAATGCAAGAACATAACTATGTTAGAATACAGTCAACTGATTAGTAATTGCAGTGCCAGATGTAATTCACATTGACCTCTTTCCAACAAAACAATAGTTTTGTGAGGAGAATTGACATGTGTGCAGGTAAATTTACATGGGAAAAAAGCAGTGCATATTGCAGGGAGTTCAGAAGTAAACCTGTTCAGGAGTTTTCTCATGGTATCGGCTTTGTTGGACACCTTGTGCAAGCAACTCCTTCACTCTCCCAGTTGAATATAACTCAGACAAGCAACCATGCGCTTCGATTATCAAACCAGCCCTAAAAGCACACAGCCCCAGCTGGGCCATGACTCTGTTGAACAATATCTGTGACGATATGTCCATGAGTTGAACCCCATCTTGCAAATGGCTCATTAAAAGCAAGTCACGAGCAACAGAAAATTCATCAGAGATAGCATGGTGATAAATGTCACACAGCATTGCCCGGGCTTTGGTCCTTTCATCTCCATACTTGTAAATCACAGACATCAATGCATCCATCAAAGCTCTGCCACTCTCTGGGAAAGTAGGCTTCCTAGGCACGACCTCAGGGATCACAACAAACGGCGGAGGGCCCCTATTGTTATCAGATACTTGACGCTCCTCATCAGCCTCTGCGTCTTCATCCTCCCTACTATCTTCATCCTGCTCTGCCAGCTTTCTCATTGAATCGTATACTTCTTGAGGTTTGTAGTATACCAATTCAACACGACGCAGTGCAACCTTAGCTTCAGCCTTAAAGTTACCAACATGTTCCAGGTAATCTTGGACATTCTGTGCAACAACCAGAAACAAAGGTTCATCCCTGAGCCTCTGAACATAATCTTTCGTATATGGATCAGTGCACTGCAAACTCTTAAAAAATTCAGAATCAAGTCTCTCTAGGAACGCAACCAGGTCACCCGTCACATGGATTTTTCCATCATAGTCAGCACCCTTCTGAGTTTCCTTCTCATCAGGCTCCACTGAGGTGTCTACTACAATATTAGGATACTGTTGCAGTATATCAAGCACAAGAAGCATGTTATTAACACACTTCTTCCACATGTTGACTGGCATGTGACCAAGTAAGCTAGGGTTCACATCAAATTGGGCAGAAATCACATGAAAGAGAATTTCAAGCTTCTGAGCAGGTGTTTTTGCCACACGGGTTAAAAAGGTTAGCTGCTCAACACGCTCAACCCTCCCCGTGCCCTTTTTACCCCTTGATGCCACAATCTCTTTGAGCTTTTTATCAACAATATCCCATGTAATTTCACTGGGGTCTTTCAGAAACTGCTTGTCCATAAGCTTATCTTTCTTATTCGTATGCCTTACCCAGTCTCCACCATCCTGGTCATCCTCCTCATCATCATCTCCTTCATCTGATTCAGACATTGCTATCTTTTCAGGATCCTCCTCTGCATCACTATCCTCATCCTCTGTCTCATCATCATCATCCTTGTCTTCCACATCATCATCCTCAAAACGCTCTGGATGCTCTCTGCATTCCTGGATCAGATTCTCATACTGCTTGTTGTTCTTCTTTAGTTTTTGTTTCATTGCATTGAGTGCCTTTGCATTGCTGCTGCTCATCTTCTTCTTGGCCTCTTTATTTGCAAGTGCTTCAGCAAGGAAGTCCTCCAGTAATACAAGAGCCTTGATATACATATTTGGAACTGTGGAGGATTCATTGACACGAACCACCTTCTCAAGCTGCTTGTTGAGCTTCTCGAAACTCTCTTGTAAGTTCACCCAGTCATTGATCTTCATTGCATTGCGCATCTGATCAACGGTAATTTTCAACTCTTCATTGCGCTTATCCTTCAAAGAGCGAACCACACGCTGACCAGAATCGGACTCGTCACTGTCACTCGCATTAGTAGTCCTCAAATAGCGGTTCTGGTTGCCAGAACGGCCCCCGGCATCACCGCCTTCATCTTCACTTTCACTTCCTGCTTCTGACTCAATCTCCTGCTCCTCCTCCTCAGAGTCGCTGTCTCCCTGAAGTTGAGTAGATCCATGCAAGAGTATTAAATTATTGTAACCAATGATAAAAGGGTTCATATCTGTTACTGCAATATTGATACAAAGAAGAATCACTGCCAGTACAAACGGAAAGGCGATTACCTGTCCCCAGAAACGAGATGCCATGGCTGCTGCTTGGTCTTTTCCTTCAGATGGCTACAAGCTCTGCTGATTCTATAAATTGGGCAACAGTTATAATCAAGAAAATGATACAAAAATATAATTGGCCTTAACTTGAAAATAGAAAAGGTGTATGAACAGAAACCAAACTCATAAGCTAAAACATAAAGGTATAAATTCATACAGAACAAATTTACCCTAAATCGAGAAGCATTCACATATCGAAACGCGAAGGGGCAAAATACCACCGAATCGTGGCATGGATCGGTGAAAAGAGCTAAATCAAGTATATAGTAAAAAATTTTTAAAAAAATCGCATCAACCTGCCAGGGAGACCGAGCGTCAGGGGTCCCGAATCGAACACAAGAATCTACCGGCGAAATCAGAAAACATAAATCTAGATCCGAGCTCTACATCCAGCCAATGGGGCGGAAAACACCCGGACTAATCGCGCTAGAAGCGGGGGCGGAGCCCTAGACACTACCGATCCGAGCTCAGCGCAGGACTGCACCTTCGAGAGATTGGGGGGGGGAGAGAGGGGAAGGGAGGTCACCTCGACGCGGGAGGGAGCGGAGAGGAGCGTGGTCCGGGAGGCGCGGCGGCGGGGGAGAAGAGAGGAAGAGAGGAGGACGGCGGCGGCGGCGCGGGAGTTGTGTACTCGCTGGCTTCTCCTGCGATGGAGGAAGTGGGGGATTAGGTTCCTAAGTTGGGCCTTAAGAAGATTGGGCCTATGGCGGTGCATCGCAATATGGGCCGGTCCCATCAAATTTGGGCCACCTTACTCCTTGTCCTGATCCGAATTGCATTTGAAAGAGTAATAATACTTTCGTCCCAAAATAAATTAACTTAATGTAGAATATCATCATATCATCGTATATTTAGTATGTCTGTGTAGATTCATATTAATAGGATAATTTATTTTGGAACAAGGAAAGTGTGTTTCAAACAGAGGATCTTAGCAATATTTCAAGTGAAATATTTGCTCTGAGTAAATGCTATACGTATTTAAAAAAATCTTTACAAAAAACTTAAAAAACAAAATCTCAACCGTTAGATTTAATTAATGGGTAATCATAAAAAAACAATATTTGGTTACAGCAGGCCATATCAAATTTTACGATGTTTGTAAGCAAGTTTTTGTACGCGTGTCATTTTTCATTTTCATCTGCTATGCATACCGTTTCTCTACGGAATACGAACCCATATGGCCTAATGGCCATCAATGGCGATCGAGCTGGGCAAAGTGGACATCATACAAACATGTTACTATTACATAGCACAGAGCACAAGCATCGACACTAGATTGCAACACAGAATCAACAGAATCATGAAAAACCCAAGCAATTTTCTCTTGGACTTGTTCTGGGTTCCAGTATGTCCTGCATGGTAATTGGTAAATAAATACACGGTATCGTTGCAGGGATGATGTGCCTATTCTTAATATTACACCGATATACTATAGTATAGTTAGATTCTCAGCTGAGCTGCCACCAGAGGAGAGAGGAGAGTTTACAGTGGCCGCAACAGCTTTGCAGCCCCAAGACATCAGGTAGGAATGCCAAATCTTGCTAAGGAAATGGCATGTACAGATAGGATTAGGATCAAGCTCAAAACAAAACCCATCAACCAGATCACATGAACCACAAAAGGTTAATCATGGCAAATCGTTAAGGAAACTCTCAGACATGACATCTGCCTGCTTGTCCATTATCCTTATGAGCCCGATGTGTATGTATATCGTGTCTGAGCCCCCTCCACTAGCTCTACGAGTTTGCCTGCAATGAATTGAGCATGCAGAGCTTATGTTACAAAATGTTTCCTCCTTGAATTTATGTAGGGAAGAATTTTATAGATGTGGAGAAGGTGCGTGTACCTGTAAGGAAACCAATAAGAGGCACTGGATCCAACACTTTCTCAGCCTTCTGGAGATGGCGCCTGTCATCAAAGAAGTGTAAGAGCAGGGGAAGAAAACGGAAAATCAAACCACTCAACTATTATCATAAGGTTTCATAGATCATTACTTGGTGTATCTGGTAAAGAATGGATCTCTCATGACATAAAGGGCCCACATCATCTTTCGCCTTTTCAACTGATGAAATTGAACCAATGAAGAAAAAGATAACTCAGAAGAAGAGAAAAAATGATCAAACAAAATTGAACAAGGTAGAAAACTAAAATAATCTTGCCTCGTCCCTCTCAGCAGATGAGAGCTGATGAACTTTTCCCCCTCTTTGATGAAGATCAGTTGCACGTGAATGGATGCCAAGACTTGTGATCTCCACAGCTAATGACACTAACCATGGGGTCCATGATTTGATTCCAAATTTTTTGATCAAAAGTACGTATAGCAGTGGTCTGAATATGTGGACAACTTCTCCTAACAAAAATAACCGCCCTGAAATTCCTTTAGCAGACCAAATACTTGCCAAAGTTGGCTTCTCAACCACCATCGCTGCACAGCAGACAACAAATAACTCGCTGTGTGAATAGACTCATAGAGATACATGATTCAAATGGTAATACGATGCAAAGATCACGACACATGACACTCCAATAGGGAATCATTATTTTACCAGGAGGATCAGGAGGAGGCAGAGCCTTCTTCATCCACATGGGATCTGACGTCATCTTTGCATTCTGGCCAAACTTGTTAAGAGCAGCTACAGCTCTTCCCTCCAGACTCTTTGATACAAATCCAGCCTTTCCATCAAGACCATTAGATGCAACCCCATGACCATTTTGGAAATGGCCATTCATCGGATAAATGACTGGTACTCCATTACTTTTGGCTCCAAAATTTTCATCAAGAATATTAATCTCCTCTTCATTTGCCACCTCTCCTCCTTGTAAGAGCATCTTGTAGCCACTCTCCCCGAAAGCAGCTAACCTGACACCTGCTCTGAAATGTTGCACAACCATTATCATTTTTCTGAGCAATGCCTGAAACGCAGACTAGTTATGAGTTATGCAACCAAGAAAATGATACGTAAGTTATCATCTTACTTCACAGCTTCTGTAACAGCAAGAAAGCTCCATTTGCGATCATCTCCAACAAAGTGCTGGGCAGCCACCTCAACAACTGCCTCAATATCCTTAAGTACTGAGACAACAAGGGACCATGGGATAGATTGCTCTTTGGAGGCCAATGTCTGACCATCAGTTGGCGTTTCAATTATGTGCTGATTGACAGAACTCACGATACCCAGAAATGCATATACTGTTCAGGAAAAAAAAGATGTCTTAATGTGAAATGATCAAGCCTGTAACACTCAAAATACATCATTTAAGTAAGAGAAGAAAACAGTGCCCAAGAACAATCTATCATGTGTTTGCAAAGTGAACAAGTGTTGATTTGTTTCGTACAGCATAAAGTATCCTTGGGAAAACCTTAGCAAAATTAAAGAGCTAGGCCCTATAATGGTTTGATTTGGAATAATAACAAAACTGGAAGGTACTCATATTCCTAAGTTAGCAATGAATAGTTTTACTGCCAGTGCATTTAACAATACAAGTTCGCCGGAGAATAGTATCGTCAAAACAGTTACATATCTTTTCAGAATGTGAACATACTCAAGATTTTGTGGCTGAAGACTGTCACCTTGTGATGCAAAGAAAATTATAATAGTATCGGCAAAACACTTACATATCCTTTCGGTATAACTCAAGGTTTTTTCAGTGTTATTGTTATAAGAATTTGTCTACAAGGCCGTATACAAGGAACAGGTGTCCAGCTTTTTTACTTAATACAAGGTCGTATACTTAATAATTTGCATAAATAAATAACGAGATGATAGTAAGAACCATGTTTGTTTCCTCTATATGACACAAAAGGCCAAATCTAGTAAGCAGTGATTGTATTAGCACTAAATAGTTAACAATGTTCAACGACTAGAAGATGGTCAGAAGCAACATATAATGGAGTATTTTTGTGTCAACGATATTGATCACAATCTTTGCCTGATCCACAAAAGGCTAATGATTTCTTCCAGCTTCACGGCATGTGTTATCCAAGACCTAGGAGAGTGGTTACACAAACATACAAACAAGAAGCAGTTATGCTAACACCCAGACACAATACAAAGTTGGAAAATTATGTGTAACTAGATATCATTCTAGAGAACAGTACTTGGCGATGGAACCATGGGCATATCAATATTCAGTCACATGCATCATGTGGTAATGGCCACTGTGCATCACATGTCAAAACATAACGCCCAAACTGACATTTGAGTATCCATCATCTCAAAACTCATTAGATATACAACGTCTACATCTTAGATAATATTTATTCCAATATACTATACTTTCTAGCATCCAAAAATACCAGTTACCATGCCAAGATACTTGTACCCTATTTTTCATCTGAATAACACATGATATGGAAATAGCGTTTTGCGCTTGCAAATATAACACGTTAGTGTGGCTCAAAGGTGAAGCACAAGACAAAGCAGCAAGCATATCAAATAGTGATGTAGTGATGCTAAATGTTACTTCTACTAAAAGATCATTTACCGAACCTGCTTCTGGTGCGATCTCAGAGTTGGCAAAGCGCTCAGGAAGTATCCACGTTAGCCCCTGATAAAAATACTTCAGATGAGTGATATCCTGGTACGATTCAAGTAATGTTATTACAATAAATCTGCACCCCTCTAACCAAATTCCATGACACTGGAATAGAATCATTGAATCAAGATGAAAATTTGCAGGAAAATAACGAAGTTGAATTAACCCTCTCATGTTGTGCTCGACAAGAGACAGCACAAACCACACGAATTCGCCCAAAACCCAGCTGGCCCCAGCTCCAACTCCCAGTCAGCCACCACGGCGCCCCAATTCAGTCGATTCCAACCAAAACCCACACCCCCCCTACAAACCCCCAACAAGAGCTCCCTCCGGATCGACGAGCTCCACACAACGAACTACGGATCACGAACTCCCGAAGCTCCAGACCCCCCCCCCCCCCCCCCAAACAAAAGGAAACAGTCGATTCGATTGGGGATCAGAGGTTACGGTTTACATTGGCCAACGACTCGAGGGAGCGGACGAGGTCCCGGTTCTTGCGCACCCAGAGCTTGTATGCCTCCATGGCGACCGCGCCGCAGCCACCGCCTCCTCCTCCTTCTGGCGAGACCTAGCTAGGGGAAAGAAGAACGCGACGGTACCCACCAACTCCTCCTACAGGAGGAGCCCTACCGCCCGCTGGAGCCGCCTGATCTGCGGCGGCGGTGGCCGGCGGCGAGGCGGGGTGAATCGAGGTGTCAGAGCAGGGCGGCTTCGGCTTCGGCTTCGGCTATCGGGGAGGATTGGTTTTCTTCGTAGAAGCCGTCGTTGTAATATACTCCTACTTGGTGCGATGCGAGCTCTCCTCCGCCTCCCCGTCGCGGCAGCGTGGGCGCGTGGCGGCTTTGGTTGCTCCCCTGGCAGGTGGGGCCCACCTCGTCAGCGATTGGAAATATCCTGTCTGGATCATAGTAAAAAAAACCGACCGGACCGGCGGTGCACCGGAAAAAAACCAAAGGCTCGTTTCAACAAAAAGACCGCCCTTTCAATCGAACAAGTAAAAAAAAATGAACCGGGCCGTTTTCATGGGAACCAGTGAATTGGTAGTGGTTATTTTAAGAATTGAACCGGTTTTTAATTTGTCATAGCCGTATGCGTTATGAATTTATTATGTTATCATACTACATTTTTTTTTGACATTGTGACCATATTATATAATAATAGATATACTAGTTTCTTCGTGCATATTTTCACCAATTTATGATGGTACTATATTTAAAATAATGCAAATTAAATATAATATTAATAAATAAATAACCGGCGGTTCGACCAGTAAACCGGTGAACCGACGACCAGAGCGGGTCGACCTCCGGTCCGTTTTTTTACTGTGGTCTGGATTCGTAGCTACTCCAACCCAACCCAGCAGCCAAGTATGGTGTTATATTTTACTCTGTAGAACGGAACGAGCATAATTTTTTTAGGGAAAATTGGAACCATACCATTATAATTTTAGAAAATTTGAGATATGCTATACTGACCCACATATCATTGACTCATGTGGGTCCTACATGTCATTGAGATACCAATGGTATATCTTAAACTTTGCAAAATTATAATGGCATGGTTCCAATTTACCCTTTTTTTATCATCGAGTGAGTCTAAATTTAGCGTTTATTTGGTTTAGAGGAATTTCAATTCATATGAATAGAAAAAAAAAGAGGATTAGAAATGTATGCACGTATCAATCCAAAGGATTTTTTTTCAAGAGATTTGTGTTCTTGAGTTCAAGTCCCCAACCTCACTCTCTTATTTACTGCGCGCACACTTTTCAAACTTCTAAACATTACGTGTTTTGCAAAAAAAAAATCTATAGAAGAGTTACTTTAAAAATTATATTAATACATTTTTGAAGTTTTTTAAGCTAATAATTAATTAATCACGCATTAATCTATTGCTCCGTTTTTCGTGTCTCTTTACAACTTTATAGAAAAAAAAGATTCATTTTGTTTTTTTATACTTCATTCCTACAGAACAAATGATATTAGTAGAAATAATCCTTAGAAATCCAAATCTTTTACTTTTTCTTCAAACCGGAAGAGCCAATTTTCCATGTGAGATCTTTCAATCAACAGATCAATGACGAGGAATGCTGTACTCAAACCTAGCGTATAATATTGGTTGTGTTCGGCTGGCTGAGTTTCCAACTGGAATAGTGCGTACGGAAAACAAAGTGGTCTATTAATGCGTGATTAATTAGCTATTAACTATTTTTTTCAAAAATAGATCAATATGATTTTTTAAGCAACTTTCGTATAGAAACTTTTTGTAAAAAAATACACCGTTTATTAGTTTGAAAAGCGTGCACGTGAAAAGGGTTGGGAACCTAAATCCCCGGACAAAAGGATTTTCAACTATACGTATGCAAGGATACTGTGCTGTTTGTCTTTTTATCCTTTATTATTTTGTACTACTACATTGATCAAGAGAAGATAGTATGTGTTTGATATATGAAATTGTCTTTTTGTCAATTATCCTTTACACCAAACAAGTTTAATTCCTCTCACGAAGTGGTAAATCCTTTGCAGCTCACCTGTCCGAAAAAGTGGCAAAAGGTTAAATATTCCTATGAAATATCCAGATCAAACGCCGTCTCGTCCTTTTCGTGACACTGCTGCCATAGTGCCATTGCACACGGTACCTGTGCCTCACTTATGTTTTACCCTGCGCTACACCTGCAACAGTAGTGTCCAACTGTTTTCGCTGCTTCTTGAGGACACCATTAAATCTTGCATATTAACTCACTCCTGTTGAATCTTGCTCTTGCATTTCTACTGCAATGCCTGGACAAGAACATCGCCCATCGCTTGCATACAACACAGATTCATTGCCATTGGTCCTCCCATCCATTAATCCATAGCAGCATACAAGTGTGAGGTCAAATGCAGTAGTAAATTTTCTTTCTGTCTCCAATGGTCCATTCCCATGAGCTTGAATTCCAAGATTGAGATGATGGCAATTGGAAGCCTATTCCAAGTGATACTAGCTAACTCTGCCTCTCGTAGGCTCGTTGCTCTGCTTGCATACTTAAAAAGCTAATATTATGGAAGAAACTAATATCAAATAATTAGAAGAGATGAGGTTTCGAACCCAGATCGTCTATCACCTTGTGGAGCTAGCCGAAATAACCCTATGTGTTTCTCGCTCTACTTGCATACTTTGTCCAGCTTCGTGCCTTCGTCAATGAATGCATACTTGTCCAGCTTCGTCAATGAATGAAGCTTCTTTCATTCGTTGGAAGGTTAGACTGGAAAATAATATGAATGATAGCACACGTGCTTCGTTGACGAAGCTGTCAGCTTGATTCGTATGACCAGTGTGGATGCAGGGATTTCTCAGAAAAGAACGTAGACTCCTCGCAAAAAAAGAAGAAGAAAAGAACGGAGACGTGGATGTGTTCCATTTGCACATGATCAGTATGTTCGGCCCAATCATTTGCAGTATTCGCCTTACCACTGACTGGTTACGGCTGTGACTAACTAAAGATGTGTCGAAATCCTTACAGCAGATAAAGGAAACATTGTCACATCAGTTGGAAAATGTTGGCAAAAGAGTTTAAATTAACTGGTTGAATGACTGGAGAAGTCCATGCCACATTGGCAGCTTAAAATCCCAGCAGTCCTGGAACTGGATATAGGCAAGAGAGCAAAATTGCAATGTAGAGCTCCCGCAATAAGGATCTTTCAATTGGCTTGAATTACACAGAGGGATAGCCAGGAGGTACCTTCTGTTCTCATCTCTACACAACCAAAAGGGCAAAAATAGAGTTGGGGGAGGAGCACACCAACTTAGATTAAGGAAAGCCAAAAAAGAACTCGGCTGAGCAAACAATGCAATCTTAATTTACAAATGGACAAGATGAGGCATAATCTACGCCACTTCCAGGTCCTTGAAGTACTCGTGCTCGAGGGCAGCACGGGCATTGATTCTTTTGCTTGGATCTAAACGGAGCATTTTCTGCATGAGGCAAACATAGCAGTCAGCAAGGCTATGGATGCATATCAACTGACAATTAAAGGATGCCAAGAAAATAATGTCACTGATAGATTTGGAATATAGTGCTTCATACAACTTTATTTAAAAAAAATAATAAATTCATACGCAGATTGCAGCCCAAATGCAAGACTTCTAACATTCATACAACAAGCTATGCAATCTTCTGTTTGATGTTCAATGTAGATGGCGATACAGCCATATAATGAGGATGGAGAAACTGCAATATCTATACTAGAGGATTCCCTTGCCTACATACAACTAACAAAGTGCACCAGGACCAACATTACAAGAGAAATGAATACATGGCTACATCCTGACAATCAAGCTGCGCCCGCTATCTACTATACTGCTTACACAGCATGGAGGTATGTACTAAAGAAAACAAACGGGTACATTTGTGTGCCTGAATTAATTTGGGAACTCAATTATAGAACCCTGGTATAAAATCCCAAGAATTCACTAAGCAACTCAAATATCAACAGCTGAATATATAGAACACAAACAATGGACTGTCTCTAGGGAAATCATATGATAACATGAGTTGCATAATCGAATCCAAAAATATTCACAGGTCACTTACAGAGAGAAGATCGAGTCCTGAAGAATCAAGTGTTGGGACCACGGTTGCAAGATCCTGCAACATGGACACTATGTTAGAACCAAAAACATCCAGCATCCCAATAAAAAAAATGGTGCACTGTCATAACGTGATTGCAAGGATCACAGTGCATGATTTTATTTTTGCCTCTATCCACATATTCAAACTATATTAATTTTTAAGAGTAATAACAAAAGTCATTCATGATTTACCACAGATGGCCACTTTGGGAAAGTTGATATGTAGTCAGGTAGTGAAGCAACACCTGGCCAAGTTTCTTCATTTGGAGTGCCCATAATACTTCATTGACATGAACACATGAAAATGTATAGAGCAGTGTTAGGTCTTCCTGTCTTTGTTCAGAAACATGGAAGAACATGAAGACTTAATAACATTTGAAAATTAAGACCTGAAAATCTTAAAGAGTTCATCAATCTCAGAATCTCCAGGAAATAGTGGCTTCTGATTCACCATTTCAGCAAAAATGCAACCAACTGACCACATGTCAACAGGGGTGGAATAATGCCTTGCACCAAGAAGAATTTCAGGTGCTCTATACCACAATGTCACCACCTAACAAACCAAAGTGGGTTATGTTAAAGATGAAATGATGTAAACATGGAGGGGCAAAAGGTGTATATCACAAGAAGACCTCGTTGATACTTATGCCTGCTCCAGTCAAACCTGGCTCTAGGTTTGCCTTAAGACAGAGGGGTTCTCATTTTGTTCTCCATTATCTAGATTAACAACAGTTTAAACTACGTGTGCAGCATTCCAGATTCAGGAGATGTAGAAATTGCTCTGTACCTATTCTGGTTAACTAATTCGGTTCTTACAAATGCCTATGTTCTGTATGCATGCATTCATTTTCGTAGTCCACCTTTCTAAGTTCATCAATTGCTTTTTTTTTTCTTTTTGCAGGAGTTGTCGTAAAGGTAGTTAGGTAGAAATGGATGGTGTACAGTACAGAAAAAGGTCCAGGTATTTGTGCTGGTTTATAGGTTTCACCAGATATTGCCATGAGAGTAAAATTCAAACTGACAAAGAAGCACTATGACAGTAGGCTTGGAAAATTATCTACCATTGATTCTTAACAGTTATAAAAGGCAGTAGAGGGAAGAGAGATACAAGCAGTCTTAAGATGTACCATAAAAACAGTGAGCACTAATGGGTGACATTAATCTTCAGTTGGCAGCCATGACATAGGGTCATAGTCCACAATTTGTACCATATCTCCGTGAATACATGCGTGATATTCAATGAAACAGACAGTAGCACAACATGTAGCAAAAAGAGTACACATGTGGCCTACTTAATAGAGCACCTACAAAATGCATTGCAGTGAAGGAGGCAAAGTTAATTTTTTGATGTACTCATCTAAATTAACTGCACGTTTTCACCATTAGACAGTTCCCCTCTTCTGTAGTGTGATGTGCAAGGACTATAAATCACAGTGTACCAAACGAAAAACGTGTCGGGCTGTAAAATGTACCTCGTGAGTAAATGTCCGGACAGGAATGCCAAATGCCCTGGCCAACCCAAAGTCCGCGAGCTTCAATGAGTTGGTACGCCGATCTATCAGCAGGTTCTGGGGCTTCAAATCTCGGTGGAGAACACGGTGCGAGTGGCAGTACGCAATGCCCCGGAGAATCTGGTAGAGGAACGACTGCACACAGGCGCAAAGGACAGCATCACATTTCCCGTTTCAACATAAACCATGCACAAAATGGAAGCAATGGCTAGCTCATCCCACACTTTCAGCGAAGTTACTATCACTAAATGGCGTGATACTTGCATCAATGAAAAGAGGATGTTAGTTTCAACATCTTACTTTGACTATGCGGTGGTTCTTGAAATCCGGGGATGAGTCCATGTGCTTCTTGAGGTCAAGGTCGAGGTACTCGAAGACGAGGTATATGCATTTCTCCTTGTGCACGACGTCCTGCAGCCTGCACGGCACAATCCAAATTCCCAAAGCATTCACAAATCGCAAATCACGCAATCCATCAATCCACCCACCCACCCAACCAACAGCCGCAGAGAGAGATGGAGCTAGCAGGGAGGGAGGAGGTGGGTCACCTGACGATGTTGCGATGCTGCATCTCCTTGAGCAGCGAGATCTCGCGGATGGCGGTGGAGGGGACGCCCTCGTCCTCCTGCTCCAGGCGGATCTTCTTGAGCGCGATCGTCTCGTTGGTATGCCGGTGCTTGCCCTTGTACACCACCCCGTACGTCCCCTCCCCGATCTTCTCCACCTTCTCGTACTGCTCCTCCAGCCACACACAAACACACTCATCATCAGCAGCAGCAGCAGCGACCATTTCCTCCACGCTCGCGGATGGATCGGATACAGCAAAGGGCATCGTCATCGCGGAGGTCGAGGGGTGCTCACCTGCTCCATCTCGCGGCGATCCGGGCGGCGGCGGCGGCGTGGGAGTGGATGGGTTGTGGGGAGAGGAGTGGTGTGCGTGTGTGTGTGTGTGTGGTGGTGGACTTGGGGATGAATTGGGTTGGGCTTGTGGCATTGTCGCTCTCTCCTCATATACGCGATTCATATGGGCGGGGGCGTGCGCGCCTCGTGCGCGGCGTAATGCCTCCACACGAACACGAGATTGTGGTGGTGACGGGGAATGCGCATTGCCACGTCGGTCGTGGTTCACGGCTCTATTCTCGTGTAACCCTGTATGCGCTGATAAATTTTTGCCCGTGAGGAACCTTTGTACATTCAATATTGTTTGGATGAATAATAGTACTATTGGTGTAAGGTTGGTGGATATTATTTACGTGTCGTTTTTATGTGTAATATGGATGTGTAAGGATGTGACGCGTGTGCAGCGTAATGCGCCTACACGGTATTATGGTGAAGATGAGGAATACGTATTGCCAAGTCAGTCATGTTTCATAGCTCTATTCTTGTGCATCTTGAATGTGCTAATAAATTTTCTCCCACTAAAAGGTAAGAACCCAATGTACACTTATGTTGTATTTTTTAAATGAATGTCATTAGGTGTTAGTGATAGTCGACATTATTTTTCTCGTCGTTGTTATAAATCGTTTGGAAGGGGCGTTCGGTACGCGGCGTAATGCCTCCATACAAAATTATGGTGATGACAAGAAAGACGCATTGCTAGATCAGCCGTGATTCACAACTCTTTTCTCGTACATCTTGATAATAAATTGTGCTTAAATGAGTAAATGTTTTTTTATCGGATTTCACGATAAAAATAGGATTTATATATTATTTGTATATTTTAAGAAAATAATATATATATATATATATAAATATATATGTGTGTGTGTGTCAATTAAAACTAAAATAACTAATAATCGTATTTGTTACTTATGATAGTTACTCACAACATGGTGACATGTGACGGTAACATAATAATCGAAATCCAATTCTATAGACATAGCCCACCAGATCATCAATCATTGCCACTGACATGGCAAATATATATGGCATACCATTACCATGTCAACACAAGTGACCCGAGTCTTCATTTTGTTAGGTGACTCATGTGGTGCGCTCTTTTGAAGCTGAATCGCGGGAAGCCCAGCCACTGAGTAGCGCGAACAAATCGCGGGGTCAACCCCACGTCATCCCCCCCGACTTCCATGCACCCGGTCCACCAACGCCACGACCCCTCCCATCTGAGTATCTCACGCGCGGTCCACGTAGACCGGGAGTTGTGCGTCGCTGTCCGTGACCTGGTCCACGCTCGTTCTGGCGGGCGACGTGGCGCGGGAAAGGGGGGGGGTGGTGCGGTCACCGCTGGCCACGTGGACAAAATTTCGGCCTCGTTTCGCGCCAAATCCGCAGGAGCGGCGTGTGGTTCGCGCCACCGAGCGGGTGACGGGATCCGCGCGGGGAGGTTAGGTCAGGTCAGTCAACGCGGCCGTGTTGCTTGATGGGGATTTGGCACCCAAGTGGAGCTCATTAAGCGCGCCAAATCTGGCTTTTTGTGATGATGAGAGGGAATTGCCATCAGCCATGTGTGTCTTGCCTCTGCTGCAACAGTGATTTTAGTGATTGGGCTTGATTAGGTGACTGCATTGCAGAAATAGTACTTGATAGGTCCATATGGCATTGACTTTGGATTTAGGCTGTGTTCGTTTGGACGTTTTCCCAGCGCACTACAGTAACACGGAAAACGGAACGGTTTATTAACACGTGATTAATTAAGTATTAGCTAATTTTTTTTTCAAAAATGGATTAATTTGATTTTTTTAAGCAACTTTTGTATAGAAACTTTTTGCAAAAAAGTACACCGTGTAGTAGTTTGAAAAGCGTGCGCGGGGGCAAAACACTGTAGCGCGCTGGAAAACGTCCAAACGAACACAGCCTTAGTTGGTGAGACAAAGGCCTCGAGAGTCATGTGGTACCGAAACTCGAAGTTCGAATATTTTTGCCTCCCACAGTTTGTCTGCCTGTAACTTGGTTGCTCACTAGTCACTACTAGTACTAGCTATCAAGTAGCGCATTCGCGCGACGATGACCTGTCTTTTTCTACGTGTAACACCATTATGTGCCATTAGTAATAATAGTGTTAAAATTTAGCCGATCTAATATTGCATAAATAAATTTTACATAGAAAGTCCATTTCTAGTCTCTACAGAGGTCCATCAGTAGGGCTGTAGGTCCATTCATGTATTTGCTTCACAAATATTCCCATTTTTCCCATTTTACTGCATAGAAGTATCTTTTTTTAATAAAACTCCCATATCATTTTCTAGATCCTTCCGATGGAAGTCTCCTGAATCCTAACTCTTCCCCTTCTCTTCTCTCTATACATTCATCTAACCGTTCTTTTTTTTTAACGACTCACACGAGACGGTGCGAAGTTCTATTGATAAAGCAAGAAAAAATTATAAGATTACAACCCTAAAGGGTCGTAACCAGAAAAAAGGAAAAAAACCACCACCAACACACCGACATCGCCAACACACAAGTCCAGGAGAAGGCTAGCACCGGAACGGCCGCCGCTAAGCATGACCGATCACCACTAGACCAACAAAGCGACACAGACGAGATCGCCCCCCCTAGGGGATGCCAAAACGACGTCTTTAAGAAGAGAAGCGATAGAAAAACCGCTGGCGCCGTCCGTCGAAGCTCAAAGGAGCCAAGACCGGGCTTTCGCCCGGCAACCACCCTTGAGGGGTGAGACAACACGACAATGCCCTCAGGAGGGGGAATGAACCATCGTTGTCGGTCCGGCCGAGGCCAGACTAGGTTTTCACCCGCCGCTCACCCTGCGAATCCACGGCTGACACATCGATGCTCCACCACCACACAAGCTCTGCCAACATGTGGAACCCCTGCACCGGCGTCCCCCGCCGGCCAGCCTTCGTGCGCCGAAGACTGCGCCACTCTCACCGGCAGCTCCTCCTCACACCTAGGTCGCCTCCTCCACCGCCGGCCGCACCACTCGCGCCAAACCGGCCTCCTCCACCGGATGCGCCTCTCGCGCCATTCCGGCCTCCTCCTCCCTCCATCGGCCGCACCTCTCGCGCCAAGCCGGCCTCCACTGCCATCGGCTGCGCCTCTCTGCGCCAAGCCGGTCTCCGACCCCTCCACCAAACGACGCCACACCGGCCAAAAGCAGCCGTCTGCCACGCCCTCGGCTAGCCATCCAAGTCCGCCATGCCTCCGGTGACCGCAGACACAGTCACCGCCACCGCAGCCGCTGCTGCCGAACGCCCAGCCACCTCGCTAGCAACCCGCATCCGCTGACGTCGCCACCGTCCACAGCCACGGCCGCCGTCACCGCTGCTACCGATGCCAGCCTCCGCCTCCGCAAACCGCTGCGCCGTCGTCCTCTGCCACCAAGTAGCCAGCCCGACACCACCGTTGCTAGCCGACACCGCCGCAAACTGCCACGAGCACCACGGCGGGCACGACCGTCGCCGCCGTCACCAACAGCCGTTTGGCCGGTCAGCCTCCGCTGCGTGCCGACCGGGTTGCTCCTCCGAGCCGCGTTGCCGCGCCGTCGCGGCCGCCGCCGCCGCGAGCTGTTCCGCCGAGTCGCGCCCCCGCTGCCGCGAGCTCGAGGTCGCGCCGCCGTCGCGCGCAAGCACGAGGTCGCCCGCCGTCTTGCCGCGCCGCCGTCGTCGGGAGCTTGAGGCCGCCCACCATCTTGCAGCGCCGCTGTCGCCGCGAGCTCGGGCCGCCCGCCGACTTGCCGCGTCGCCGTCGCCGCGAGCTCGAGGCCGCCCGCCGTCTTGCCGCGCTGCCGCCACCCCTCTCCCGATCTGGCCGGCAGGGGGCCAGATCCTCCACCGGGGAGGCCGAATCCGTGTCCGGCGCGACCGGATCCGCCCCGCCGGCCGCTCCGTCCGCCGCCTTCCGCCGTGCGTGCGTCGTACCGCCTCCCACGCCGAGGGGGTGCTCCGCCGCCGGCACGTTTTCCCTGCCGCCGCCTTCCCGGCCGGCCGCACGATTTCCGGTAGCGGGCTCCGGCGGCAGCGAGGTGGCTGGAGGCGTTGGGAGGGGGCAGCACGGGCGGCTAGGGTTTCGCTCCCGAGCCGCCCGCGTGAGAGCGGCGCGAGAGAACCTCCAGATGCTCTTTGTTTTCTAACCGTTCTTTTCAAATCCGACGGCTCATCTTATATTAGTATATGTGGCTTAATGGGAGAATGAATAAAGATTCTTCATTCATTACATCATGATGATGATGATGTGTTTAGAAATTCTTTTAGTAATATGGATTGTGTAGGAAAAAGACAGATTAGAAAAAATCAACTCTAAACTCAATCTACCATTAAAAAAACAACTCTAAACTCAACATACCAATTCATTCCATCCTCTACTTTCAAAAAGTTACAACCAATTATTATTGATATTATGGGATAAACGTCAGCGATCTATAAAATCACAATTTGCTAAAAACAAGAAAAATACTAAAATACCACTTTAAAGATAGAGATAGCACATATTGCTAAACTTCTATCTATAGTATATGAGAATATGTAACCATTGTTTCCCCCAACAACTAACCAGTTGTATTTACTTCTTATTACCTTTCTCAAGCTAGACACCATAATCTCTGAATTTAGCAATTGATCATTGTATCGATTATGTCACTTGCACCGCCACTAGCAACCAATATCAAACCATAGTAGAAGATAATACCGAAGAGTAACTCAACTGTAATCAACCATTCGTCCATATATTGCCACCGCTTCGTAGCTCAAGCTGTTGACACGAACTTTGCCACCGAAGAAAGCCATGCCAGTATGAAACTTCCAATGCGACACTTTTTAAAAGGCCATGACATTTGGAATATCATATTCGCTATTCCGAACATTCAGAAGTCCGCCTCAAGGCACCAAAGGTGATGGAGAGGTTATCGCGACATATAGTATGCAGTATGCACAACTAGGAAAAACACATTATTGTAATTACACAACGAGGAAAAAGAAATACAATTTAACATAACACCAATGCAGTACCATTGTTATCCCTGATTTACTTAGTTTTTCTTGATATGTAAGAGGAGTTTATACTAGTTTTTTTTAAACAATATATACCAATTTAATCAACGGTCGAGAAATACTTTCAGAACTACCACAACTATCTGATGATATTTCGATATGAAGGTTTTGTACAACGGATTTTGTTTTATAAAAAAAATTTAAAAACATAATTTCTTGGTTTTGGACTCGAGACTAGCCCTTCAAGGCCCGGCCCCGGTCGTAACAGGGAAAAGAACAAGAGCCCATAATTTATTTCATTTGGGCTTGAGAATAGCCTTTCAAGGCCAGGCCCGGCCCGGCCCACGTAACGGAACGGAAAAGATGTGAAAAAGGGCAAAACGGGAAAAGGAGAAAGGCAAAGCGTTGCAAAATGGTGGCGCTTCCTTCCTTATCCCCACCGCCACCGCGTCCTTCCCCGTCTCCGGCCACACCTCGCCGCCGGCCACCTCCGCCGCCGCCGCCTCATGCTACCCCTTCACACCGCGTCCGGAGCCGGCCTGCCACCGTCGTGTCCGCCGCCTCCGGTGTCACCGACGGCTACCACTCCACCATCCGCTCCCTCAACTCCCGCGGCCGCCACGTCCCCCGCAAATCCCTCGGCCAGGTAGTTCCGGTCGTCCTCCCCCCCGTCCCCGATTCCCCCCCCCCCAAGCCGCGAAACCCTCGGTTTGATCGTGCGCCATGCCGACGCTGGCCCCTCGTCTCCGTGCAGAACTACATGCTGAACTCGAAGGTGAACGAGGAGCTGGTGGCGGCGGCGGGGGTGGAGGAGGGGGACGTCGTGCTCGAGATCGGCCCGGGGACTGGGTCTCTTACGGCCGCTCTCCTCGATGCCGGCGCCACCGTCTTCGCCGTAGAGAAGGTCGGCGGCATTGCTAGTCATTGGCTTGAATTGGGCTAAGAGCTGCTGAGACCGTGTCATTGTTCCTTTTCACTAGTTTATTTGGTCCATAATCTGCAATGCCATATATCATGTTTGCTTTGGTAACAGGATAAGCATATGGCCACCCTTGTGAATGATAGGTTTGGATCCACAGAACAATTGAAGGTAGTTTCATGTTCTTAGACCAACACGTTGGATTGTTTCATCCATTTCTTTGACTATTGGTGTTTCTAGAATTGGTTACATGGTAATCCATGATGTTGCTTATTTGTTCCTCAGAATAACCACCCTTAGTTTATAACTCTGATTTTTTTCCCCAAGTCCAAGTGCAGGACCACTCTTATGCTGTGCTGAGATAAAAATAATGCTACTTATCTACACATGCTGCATTATGGAAAAGCTCTGAAGTGTGAATTCTTCTAGTTTCAATATTTCCCTGTCCAGCATTTGTTGTACACAGTTTCCTTCTGCTATAGCATAATGCTCTTATGACCAAATTGCACGCTAGCTTAACCTGCTTTACATTCTAATAACCAAATCAGGCATGTCCCATACATGGTAATAAGATTCACATATTATGGCTTCTCGTGACTTATGGACAAAATAAACTTAAAACGGGTTTTACTACATAGTCTAGTTGGGTCTCAGGACTTGAGCATATGAACAAGTATACGTTGTAACAGATGGTTGTAGTAAGATCTAAGCTCTTAAGATTCTAATAGCACTTTGCTCTTGTCATGGTCAGTAAGCATTTTTTTTTATGTTTCCGTGTTTCTATAGTTGCTCTTCTTGACATCCAATATGACCAATACTGCCATTTAAACTATCCACTCTTCTTCCAGTCATTGAAGATTGATATGTGGATAATCCTATTGCATATTTTATGAAACTAGAAATGCGAATGTGATATGGACAATATGCTGTTGCCTTTACCAAAATCTAGTCTTCATCTGATGTGTAATGATTTTAAGAATATAATGCAGATCATTGAAGAAGATATCACAAAATTTAATGTCCGCTCCCATTTTCTTCCTTTCCTGGAGGAAAAATCCCATCACACGAGAAAATATGCCAAGGTAATTATCTATGTTCAGAATCGTTGTTTTTTCATTGAAGTGTGTACATAATTAGATAACTGTTTAGCATAATGAAGCTGGTTTGTGGTGAACATGACACTTTGTACTTTGCAGGTGGTGTCAAATTTACCATTCAATGTAAGTACTGAAGTTGTCAAACTTCTTCTCCCAATGGGAGATGTCTTTTCTGTCATGGTGCTTTTGCTTCAGGTGTGAATCTCCTCCCATTTACACGTGTATTAGCAATATATCATTTACAATTAACTCTTGGTTAGTGCTGGTTGATTTTTTTTTTTAATTTTGGATGTTTGCTCTAGTATCCATTGTTTAGGTATAGTTTGTATTTAAGTCCCACTGGTTTTTGTTTATCTATCTGTTTTGATACACAAATGCTTTTTATCTTCCATGTATTCCTGCTACCTCTGATTATTTTTTTATTGGATGTGTAGTTCTGGACCATAATTCATTATATATGTAGTACAAAAAATACATAACTATAAATTTCATTTTCAGGATGAAACGGCATTGCGCTTTGCAGATGCTTCAATACAAACACCAGAGTACCGACCTATCAATGTGTTTGTGAATTTCTACTCAGGTAAGCTGTTTACAATGTTCTGTGAGGGACTTCCTTCGTAGTTGGCCAACTTCATATGATCTTATCATCTAAGAGGCCACTAAGTTTACTACTCTTTTTTCCTTCTTCTGTTTCGTAATAATCAAACTGTGCAAGTTAGCTCCTCTTATCTCTGTGTGACAGCCTCTGGAGGGTCACATCTGTATTCAGCTCTTCTTCTAATATACTGATGTGCAAAGCTCTTGCGTGTTGGCGAAAAAATATTTAAAGTGAATAACCGTTCATGCTTCTATACGGATTATCTGCTCTGTTTTCTACTTTTGACTTTTAGATGTGCATAGCCATGGAAGTGTCCTTAAAATGATGAAAACCACCTCTTATGATTATATTAAAAGAGTTTCATCGAATTCTTTTTGGAATGCGTAAAAAAATTTGCTTAGATAATTGATGTCATATGCACCAGTGCAATTTTTGTAAGGCATTGCGTCCATGCCTTAAACAGTAAAGGAATCTACTTCAAAGTTCTGCTTATTTTCAGCATATGTACCGCACATATCATTTAGCCATTATTTCGCATCTAATCGCTTGTGTACTTCCTTTGTTCTTTGTAGAACCAGAATACAAGTTCAAAGTTGAGAGGACAAATTTTTTCCCTCAACCGAAGGTAACCAGTTATGACTTATGTGTTACACATTGCTTAGCATTTGAAAAAGGCGATGTTTTTGGTTCTGTAAACATTACTTGTAGTCTTATAGCTGATTTTATCTTCAGGTTGATGGTGCTGTTATAAGCTTTAAGCTAAAGAATTCAGGGGATTATCCACCAGTTGGTTCTCACAAAGGTTTCTTTTCAATGGCAAGTCACATTGCATATAAAAGTTTCCTGTATTTTTGCCTTCTAAGCTAGTTGATCCCTGATGTCCTTATAAGCTAGTTGCCTTATAATTATCCTTCAATTTCAGGTGAACTCTGCTTTCAATGGGAAGCGCAAGATGCTTCGTAAATCACTCCAGCACCTGTGTTCTTCCTCTGAGATTGAGGCTGCTCTGGCCAACATTGGTCTTCCAGTTACAGTAACACCTCTCTCTCTCTCTCTCTCTCTCTCTCTCTCACACACACACACACACGAAGAAAAAACATGCATCTAATTGTCCATCCTGGCAGGCTAGACCTTCTGATCTGTTGTTGGATGATTTTGTGAGGTTGCACAATCATTTGACAAAAGCATGAATATTTGGTGCCTTCCTAATGCTCATGGAACTATCTGTTGGTTTGCCGGCTGCCCTCTAAGCATATCGCCTAAGAAATTTTGTCCCCATAGTATCACTACCGACTGCAGGTAAACCATATCCTAAAAGATTCAAAGTTGAATGGCTCAAAGTAGAGGTAACAATAACGATATATAACCATTTCAGGTTCTGTTAGCTGACACTGCCAGTGCTCGCCCGATTTTCTCCAGTCGTTGCACGGCCTTCAGGCTTCAGTTGCAACAATAGTGGTGATGGTACCTGTCTGAATTTTGAAGTGCCCTTGCATGGATGACCTTGATGTTTGTGTTCCAAGTTCCAACTTCGAAGCAGTAGCAGACTAGCAGACCTGCATGCCACGATTTGCTAGCATTCATTTGCATGAGAGTTGCAGGCCTATCTCTATCTGATATATGGCATTTCATCGTTGGACAAATGAAAACTGTGTCATGTACAAAATTTTGGAAAGGCGATGTGTGCATAATTTCCGGATATCCTCTTCTGACATCTTCACAAACTGGAGTAGGCAATCTGGGCAATGCAAATTGCAAAAACCAGAGATGTTGGAAGGAACGGTGCGAAGACCAAAGAATTCAGCTATTTATAATAAACCAGAGATGTAGGTAGAGGCATCCATGCTGTATTATACAGATTTTGGGCTTGAACTTTGTTCATAAACTGTAGTGAAGTCTGGAAAATGTAAATTCTACTCGTCATGCTTGATGCCCTTAGACATGTACGTACTTGTCAACCGTGGCACGGTGGTAAGACATTAAGACAGTTTATATTTAGTTCATTTCCTGGTAAACATTGTTTTGGCACAGCGTTTTGTTTTACTAATCACAAATTGACAACGGCTGGTTCAAATTGGATGCATATGGTTGGCTGATTGCTTGAAAATGGAAATATAAGGCATCCATCTTCTTGCTCACTTCATTTCTTATCACTGTAGTGTGTTGCCAACTTTTTTTTTTCTTCCAAAAGGGCAGGGTTTTCAATAACAGGGTTTACCAGCAGTGCAGTGGTAGAGGAAACCACTCGATATTTTGATTACAAGAAGTTCAAAAGGAATCAAACAAAAAATTAAATAATGGGTAAAATTTCTTCGGTTTTTTTGTTGGTAACCGATTGGTTACTATTGATATCAACGAGAAGCGGTAGCCCGCCTCTATTGGTATTGAAAAGACTTTATATACATCTCAAAACAATTCGTCTGTACATAGTACTAGGTTCACAAAAGAACCTTTTGCAAACAGGAACGGTTTTGTCGATTTGTGTGAAAATCTGTAAAGTGGGATTAGAACAAATTTACCCAAAAAAAATTCGGTTTGTATTTTTTTTAACAATTTGACCGGTTTGTCAACTCATCCAAAGCAATATGAGCAAAAAAAAAAAAGTGAAAACCGGGTGTTTTTTTATCGGATTTTCTGTCTAACACTGTAGCATCCAATACCTATCAAGAAGACGGTCCCTATCAGCCTAACCATCACATGTCACCACCACTCATGGTCTCATCTTTTCGTCTATCATTATCTTTATCAGCTAAATTTAGAATTTTCAATCTTAAATTTAAAGATGATTTTAAGAATATTTTATTAAAATTTATTTTTTAACATTTGCTTTTAGATAGCTAAAATCGCATATATAAAAGTTTTATTTACAAATTTTTATAAGCACAAGCATAATGAATAGGAGTAAGTGATAGGCTCCAGCAGCTCTCCGACCGGTCACTGCAGGTGGGCCCACATCCATCCAGCGCCAGGGAAAATATCTACCCCCATCCAACTCATCCATCCCCACCTTGTCCACGTCGTCGCCTATAAAAACCCTCGCTACGCCGCAACGGACCAATCCCCACTCTCTCCTCCTCTCCGCTTCTCCATTCGCCGGCGCCGCCCGAACCAATCGCCCCGAGGAGGAGGAGACCTAGGGTTTCCTCGTCCTCGTCGTCGTCGTCTTCCCCCGCGCCGCCGCCCGCTCCTCCCTTCGTCTATCCCCGGAGGTACGCGTGCTACGACGGAGGTGGCGCTGTGTGTGTGGGGTTCTGTTTTGAATTTTGGGGGATGGGGGGTTTGGATCTGGGGCTAGTGTTACACGGTTAGGTTTTTCTCAGATCTGTCGCTTTACGAAGTTTCATAGGGTTCTAGCTAGCTGGGATTCGGTCCTTTAGAGCTTGAGGCGGTTCCGTTTGAGCGCGACAAGGTGGGTGGGGCTCTGGTGGTTGTTGGTTGGGCGGGATTTGGTTGGTCGCTCGCTCGGGATGAAGCTGCTGTTGAGGGGAAACTGGTGATGTTTTAGATTCGGTTGGTGTTCTGATGCTAATTCCAAAACCTTCGTGACATGGGAAGAGGGGAATAGTAGGGGGGAGAGAGAGAAAACCTCAAGTGTCAATATGGTCTCTATGATTGTCTGCATAGATGCTGGTTTTAGTTTGATTTTGGGCACCTTGATGTTTGCCTTGGTAATCCCTGACCTAACTGTAAGGGGTTTTGAGTTTTTAGGATTGACTCCAGTCTCTATTTTTGAATATGCTTAAAGTTAAAAAAGTATGGAGTGACTATATCCCAATTCTTGACCCAATACTGACATCACTTCATAGCTTTTTCTATGAAAGTAAACCTAGCATTGGCTATGGTGGTATTGGCCTATAGGTAGCAAAAAAAATATGAATATGTTTGTCTTTTGCAAAGCTACGAGTGTTGCCCATGTTCTTTAACATTTATTGATTACCATTTTTATGTTAGAATATTGACTTTATATCAGTTTCACTCTTGTATCTCCATAAGGTAACTGTTCGTTTTACTGGGATAGGTTTGAGAAGAGTTGCTTGTCCTAAAATGAGGCCAGTTTTCTGTGGAAACCTTGACTATGATGCTCGCCAATCTGAGATTGAGCGCCTCTTCAGCAAATATGGACGTGTGGAGCGTGTTGACATGAAGTCGGGTAAGGCAGTTGCTCTCAATTGTTTTTTCTTAAATTTAAGCTGCACTGTTTTCAAATTTGTTTATCCATATTGCACCTATCTGGTGTTTCGCATCAAAAGAATTCGACTGGTCAAGCCAGCAACAGAGGCTTTTAAAAGAGTCAGCTGACAAGTGGCTGCTGATGAATTTCACACTAAAATGAAAATTTCCATATTAACTTTTCCTATTTTGTTTGCTAAACTGTTAATCCAGGTAGATTCATACGATAATTCTTGTGGAATCGTATTGTTGCAAACACTCATGGGTTCAAATGGTGTACAGATTAAAAATTGATATGTTTTTTCCTCCTTTTTTTCACTGTTTGATTATTAACCTGAAACTGTTTGTAGTATGTACTGCACCGTAAGTACATGAGTCTCAAAAGCGAGTGGGTACTCCATTTGATATAGCAGGGGCTAGCATGTTTCACTGCTATATCCTTGATGCGAGACTCTGACTTATTTCGTTCAACACGCTCCCTGGTGCAGCAGCCAGCAGCTTGTTGTAAGATGTGAAATGCATGAGGTTATTTTGCATTCACTGTGAAGCAAAAGAAGTTTCAGCAGGACCAGATTATCTTAATGTTAATTATCAAAACATTGGACAAGTGCACATCAGGGTACATTTAGAAAAAAAAAAGAAGTTATTTCTTTAAGTTTAGGTCCAGTACTCAATTATTTCTTTGCCGCAGGATATCATGGAGCATCTCTGCTCTTCCTGGATGATGGACTGGGCTCTACCTTTCCTGCCTGAGCCCCGCTCATCTCTTGTCCATCTCCAGGAGCTCAGAGTCCATCCTGGCATCTGTTCACTTGGAAACAACCACCTCGTGAATGATGCCTTACTTTTACGATCAGCATTGCACCCTCCTCTGCGTTGCACTCTCCTCCCCCGTCCGATTACAATTTCCCACGCCAATCCAACCATGCCAACCACACGGCCGGCTGGAGACGAGTGGAGGTTGCCACCACCACCTCTTTGATGTACCACGAATGTTTGGATTAATGTACATTGACGTCATTTAGTTCGACATATGCAAGGTCTGTTCCTGTTTATTCTGGCGTATTAGTTTGTAGCCTAGTGAGGTGATCTTAAAATCTTTTCAGTGCAGGGATTTTATCAATCATGATCCATCCTAGAGTTTGTGCCACTATGATATCTTTTTAACTAACTAGCTACTTTATCATGTTCAACATGGCAGGGTTTGCCTTTGTCTACATGGAAGATGAACGTGATGCTGATGAAGCTATCCATAGGCTTGACAGAATTGAATTTGGCAGAAAAGGGAGGAGACTTAGGGTTGAATGGACAAAGGTGTGATCCTGTAAATGAAATATTTCCGGTCTCCTTTTAGACATATTTACCTATTTATGCTCAAGTCTCATCTATTGTTTGTGCAGGAGGATCGCAGTGGTGGTAGAAGAGGGAACTCAAAGAGATCTCCAAACAATACAAGGCCAACCAAAACTTTGTTTGTGATCAATTTTGATCCAATCAACACAAGGACAAGAGATCTGGAGAGGCACTTCGATCAATATGGCAAGATCTCGAATGTCAGAATCAGAAGGAACTTTGCCTTTGTCCAGTATGAGTTACAGGAAGATGCTACTAAAGCACTGGAGGGTACAAATGGAAGGTACTAACACTTGCTTTCTTGTCATGTGCTTACCGGGAGTACTAATTTGTGCCACTTTATTACCACATCACCTTTAGTAACTATATGACTGTCATCTTATGCCTTAACTGCTTTCATCATTCTTGTGGCAGCACTCTTATGGACAGGGTTATCTCTGTGGAATATGCACTTCGTGATGATGATGAGAAAAGGAATGGATACAGCCCAGAAAGAAGAGGCCGTGATCGATCTCCAGACAGGAGGGACTATCGCGGGCGGTCTGCAAGTCCTTATGGCAGAGGGCGTGAGAGGGGCAGCCCTGACTATGGAAGAGGCAGGGAGAGGGGCAGCCCGGACTATGGCAGGGGTGGTGACAGAGGTAGCCCTGATTATCACCGTGGTGCAAGTCCGCAAGGGGGCAACAAAGGTGATGAGAGGGGCAGCCCCCCTAACAACTACGACCGTGAACGCCGTGAAGCCAGCCCTGGCTATGATAGGCCCCGCAGGTTTGTATGCTGAAATTCCATGTTGTTTTCACAACTATCTTTGAAACTCTATAGAAACCTTGCGCTGAAAACTTGTTTGCAATACATTTGTGCAGTCGCTCACCTGCGAGGTACGAGAGAGAATGAAGTTGCTCCACATGATGCCTGCGCTGCACCTTCCTGCTTCAGATCAATGGACGCACTATTATTATGTACTGAACTGCTGATGTTGTCTCTCTGAAAGTTGTATTAGTAATTGGTAGCAGACGATTCGTGTACTAGCTAGCTCTAGAACAATGTTTTGTGGATCTCAACTCGTGTTGTTAGCTTACACCTCTTTTCCCGCTTTGATATGAGATGCTTAAACTTCCAGTATTGACTATTTTGGCTGACAGCCTGACACTATGGTAGATTGCTGCACCAAAACGAATTTGCTCTTTGTCATTTGTCTGTTCAACATTTTTTTTCCTGTCCTTATTACATTCTCTCTTAGAAGCACGCTCGCTGGTGCTCTCACGGTGGACTGCCGTCCTCTAGCTGCTGTTGCAAATTGTACTGTCAAATGACTGCGATATGCTCCCGGGAATGCAAGTATGCAGCTATAAAGCGCATGCTGACCTCAACACTGTGCAAGTCGTTGGTGAACTGTGAAGGGTAGCACAGATGCCACAACGACATTTTGCAATCTTCGTCATCCTGTCTCAGTTTCACTCTCCAAAAGAAATCTTTACTCTGAAGATGATGATGCGTCAGAAAATATATTATTGCATAAACAGCATCTTCTCAACACGTCAAGTTAACAATCCCACACAAAATTAATTCTACAACCCTTTCTTATTGCACAACGAGATTTAATTGTACAATCATTTTTTCCTGTCTCAGCTTCACTCTCCAAAAGAAATCTTTACTCTGAAGATGATGATGCGTCAGAAAATATATTGTTGCATAAACAGCATCTTCTCAACACGTCAAGTTAACAATCCCACAAAATTAATTCTACAACCCTTTCTTATTGCACAACGAGATTTAATTGTACAATCATTTTTTATTGCACAGCGAGAAGACTGACAGATAAAAACCAATTAAGAGATTAACATAACCCCTTTTCCACTGGTTTCCTCAGATACTGTTCCATTGGATACATACACATTTCATTTCAACCGCTTTCCTCAGATACTGTTCCATTGCATACATACACATTTCATTTCAACAAAAGAACAATACAATTCTCTTCTTCCCAGGTCAACATTCAGATTTCACAAACCAGATCCCCATCTCTTGAGGATGGATCATGGATCTCATCAGTTCATTCCTTTTCCCTTTTGTAACTACAAAACATAAATAACCTGCAAGCTAACACCAATCAAAGAATTTTCAGGGTTCATACAAAATGGTGGGTTGGGTACTCATGCTCCGATCCATTGTAATCGTAGTACAGCCTCTCCCCTTTGGAGATGTCCCTGTTCGCCACCAAGAGCACCCGGCACTCGCCGCCGACGTCGAAGCGGACGCACTTGAGATTCTGCTTCTTCCGGCCATCTCTGCAAGCACAACAAGATATGTTTCTTTCAGGCAACAATGATCCCAAATTCCCAATGCTGCTACTGCTACTGCTACTGCTGCTCTGAATTTGCAATGTGGCAAAAATTCTGCAAGGGCCAGGCGGTTTGTGAGTTCCGTTCCAGTTTGAACGTTCGTTCCATACACGTTCCAACTGCGGGGGTGTTTGTATTGTATCCGGTTCGGTTTCCGTAATCCTATCCCAATTCTGTATCTATAAGTCGGTTATAGAGATAAGGATGTACCGTCCCTATATGTACTTGTGTCCGTGATCAATCTAATCATCGTGTTGACTCACATATGCTTTCAGTGTGAGATGCTTACGGAGTGTGGTTGTTGATGCCATTGATGAAGCGAGCGATGTTGCTCCGCTTGTCGGGGCAGATGACGAGGCTCCTCGACGGCGTGGCCGCCGACAGCAGGGTCATCATGCTGTCGCCGTCGTCGTGCTCGCGGCGGGTCAGGTAGTCGACGTCGCCGACGTACTCGGTGATGATGGTGAGATCCTTGATGAACCTGTCCGCCTCCACGGTGAACCCCTCGACGGGGTCGTAGACGACGAGGAGAGGCGGCCACTCGCCTCTCGCCATCATCCTCTTGCACAGATTCAGCGTCTCGACGTCCTCCTTTGGTAGCACCTGAGACGAAAATGGCGGCGAGATTTAGCAGCGACGAGGAGGCGACGAGATGGGCGATTTGGAATTTGGGGCGGGGTCGGAGGTGACCTGCATTCCGCCGGATTCGAGGGCGGCGCGGTTGGCGGCGCGGGGAGCCATGCCGGGGACGTAGGTGAGCTCGTTGCTGAAGACGGCGCCGGTGGCGGTGAGCGCCGTGGCGAGCGACGCCATCTGGCGGAGGCGCCTCGCCGGGTCGTCGCTGGGGTTGAAGGGGAGAAGCTTCCTCTTCTTCTTGGAGACCAAGCGGATGCCACCCACCTTCCGCTTCCTCTTCTTCCCCTCCGACGACTCCGCCGCCGCCGCCAGCGCCGCCGCCGGGCCCCTCTGGATCTTGAAGAAATCCACGATCTTCGTCTGGACCAGCGGGAACTCTGCAGGAAGAGAAGCAGAGTGAATCTCAAAATCCAACCGAAATTCGTTCGAATTCGGCGAGAGGAAATGGTATCCGTTCTTGCATCATCGGCTACTCACGCTTGGGCTTCTTGGCCGCGTGTGATTTCTTGGAGTGCGGCGACGGCGAGGCGCAGGAGGGGCAGAACCAGTCGCCGGCGGGGACGCGCGGGAGGATGGGGCGGAGGCAGAAGATGTGGAGGCCACGGTCGCAGCCATCGCACAGCAGCAGCTCCGCCGCCGACTCCCCGGACCCGCACGCCTCGCAGCGAACGTCGTCGTCGTCGCCGTCGCCGCCGCTGCCGCCCTCCGCCCTGGTGGCGGCCGGCCGCGCCCTCGTCCGGCGGCGCAGCGGCGTCGCGGGCCCCATCGCGCACGCGAGCACGGCCGTGGTGGCGAGAGGAGGAGGAGAGATGGAGAAGGCGAGGAGGCGGCGCCACTGTGGAAGAGGAGGTGGCGCGCGTAGAGATTAAAAAAACAGGAGGCGAGCAGGCGGCGGCGGGAGAGGGGAGAGGATTTGGCGGGAACAGGGATTTCGGCTTCGCGGGAAGCCGTTCCGAGCCGGGAGCCGAGGCGCGCCAAGTTTTCTTGTTTTTTTTTTTTATTTTTGGGTGCCTGGATCTGAATATTCTGTGGGTGGGCTGGGCTAAGAGAGTATGGGCCTCATTTCTTGTCGAGTGGGCTGAGCTCCAGGCCTTTGCTCCGTAGACATGTCATGTCTGTTTGGCCAAATTGACTCCCTCCCATGTTTCTCCCCCGACACGGTGTTCCTCTTGTCGCGCGGGCAGCCGCTGTGCGACGGACATCACGTTCACGTCCGCCTTATAAAGCACAATTCAGTTGTGCCTTTTTTTTTTCTTTTTCATCAATCAAGTTGTTCTTTACCACCGTACTATTAATTACTAGGGGATCGATGTTTGGGACAACTTTAGATTTAGCTAATGGGAATTCAGTTAGTGAAAATCTAGAGAAGCCAAAAAATTAGGTTTTGATTTTTAGTTTATTAACTTGATTCTATAATTATAGTTTCTGATGACTTGGATGAAAAAATGGATTGTTTGAGGAAGCTTCACCTTCACCATACAGGTCGCTATTATATTTTCTACCAGCTACAGAAGTCGAATCGAATCGGTGACAAAAAAAATCTACGTAGTTTATCTCCTGTTTAATTTAGGGGTTAGGTTGAGCTCATGCAAAGAACCATCGATCTGTGCAAGTCAAATTTAACAAAGATAGTAAAAGTAAAACTGGCCGTGCCGATGCCGGTTAATCCTGCCATAGTACACTGACCTAACCTATCTACTCCTGCAAAAAAGAAAAGAAAGGCATTCTGACCTATAGCTGCTACTGCAGAAAAGAAAGGCATTTTGACATTTTACTTATATTGTTTGACCATTCATTTTATTAAAAAAATTAAAATTATTATTTATTTTATTTGTGACTTATTTTGTTATCCAAAGTACTTTAAATATAACTTTTTATTTTTTATATTTACATAAATATTTTGAATAAGGCAAGTGGTCAAACAGTGCAATTAAAATATTAAAATTTCTTATATTAGGGGACGAGTATACTGGTGGAGCTGGTTGAATGAGATGACCATTCCATCGATCGGATATGATCCGTTAATGTGAAGCAGATGACGATGCATATGGCTACCTTCTCGGAAGCTTCCTTTGAAAAGGACGATGCCAATCGATGCTAGCTAGGCCTCTTTGCATCAATCACAACTTGGCACGCATCTCCTCTTCAATTTGCAACACACAAAAAATCACTCTCTTTTTTTTTGTCATCAGGTGTGAAGCGATTGAGAGATTATTGATTTTGAATTCGTTTTCGTGTGAAAATGTCTCAATTGTCCGTGTGTTTGTGTTTCAAAAAGAAGGTTCTATATATACGCGTGGCCATCACAGTGGGTTAATTACTGCTCCATCCGTATTTTAATGTATGACGCCGTTGACTTTTCGACCAACGTTTGACCATTCGTTTTATTTAAAATTTTCATGCAAATATGAAAGTATTTATATCATGTTTAAAGAACATTTGATGATGAATCGAGTCACAATAAAATAAATGATAATTGTATAAATTTTTTGAATAATACGAATGGTTAAACATTGGATAAAAAGTCAACGGCGTTATACATTAATATATACATTAATATAGAGGTAGTAGTAATTTTTAACACTTTCTTTTTCGTACGTGCATCATTGATCATGAGCTAGTCAGGGCGGTGGGGATGGTTAGGACGATAGGGACGTGAGCAAACCAAACCATGCAGGGATTATCGCCAGTCAGATCAGCTGAAGCTTCCTGGAAGCTCTCCTCTGATGCGATCGTCCTAACGACGCTTAGAGCAAGGATAATACTAGATAGTAGAGCTCACTTCCTACTATTAGCACATCTTAAAGCCAACATATATAATGGATTAGCTATAAGGTTGGCTACAACTTTCTTTTCCTCTCTCTATCTCTCACCTATGCATTCAATATATTTACATAGGAGTTTGTATTAAGCTAGCTCTTGCATGAGAGACAACATCCTTTATATTTTGTAATCTCTCTCCTCCACGTAAGTTTATAGTAGGTTTACGCTGTCTCTCTTCTCGTTAACCTGCTCTACCAATCGTCTTGTAATTTTTCACACATTACGCATTACTTAGTCTTTGGTCGGGGAAGTAAAACAATCTCAGGCGGTAAGAATTTAATTTACACGAATCAGTTCAAATTTCAATGAAATTCCCGCAAAAATCTTCTCTTCTAGAGGAGACCCTAATATATACTACTACTAAGCTGTTGTTCATTATCTAGTTTTAGATATGTTTTAAGTCAAACTTTAAAAAAAATCAATATTGAGGATCGATGTACGCACATTATTCGTGTAGATATTTGCGAAGCATCTGTTTGGTGTGGCAATGAAGTCTAAAGTATGTATGATTTTCTGGAGTACGCATACACGGATATACTTTCTACAGGATTTTAGCAAGATTAAGGATCCATGGCGGCCCTCCATCTCTTTGTATAGGGTTAAGAGTCACATCAATAAGCGTGTGCGATGTAATCGAAAAGAAATTAGTATTGTAATATTCTATTTTTTAACTGGTTCTCCACTATTATGTATGCAGTTTAATTTAATGATCATAATAGTTGTTACTAATAACTAATCATCTGGGGCAGTAATATCACTGTCACTGATGGTCCATGGAAAAGCTTTGGGTGCAGCACACCACCACCACATCACATTATCCCCGTGCCGTCCAATCCAACGCCCTTCGTTTTATATACAAAGCCGCACCCGCAAAAATGTCAACACGAACTCTCAACACCACTCTTGATCTTCTTGGCTTCCCTCGCCGGCCGGCAGCATGAACCATCACCAGCAGATTCGATCCACGACGGCGGCGGAGCAGCAGGAGGCGTCTGCCGGAGGCGGCGGCGGCGAGGAGTACGAGGACCTGATGCCGGTGATGGCCGGGCGGCTGGGCGCGGAGGGCCTGCTGTCGGAGCTCCGCGCCGGGTTCCGCCTCCTCGCCGACCCGGCGAGGGGCGCCATCACCGCGGAGAGCCTGCGGCGGAGCGCGGCGAGCGTGCTGGGCCTGGGCGGCGGCGGCGGCGAGATGACGGTGGAGGAGGCGGCGGCCATGGTGCGGGAGGGCGACCAGGACGGCGACGGCGCGCTGAGCGAGGCGGAGTTCTGCGTGCTGATGGTGCGGCTCAGCCCCGGCATCATGGGCGACGCCGAGGGATGGCTCGAGGAGGCCATCGCCGACGAGCTCCTCCGCTCGCTGCCGCCGCCGCCGCCGGCCTAGACCGTCATCTCTGCATATTAATCCTGCTTGAGGTTAATTAGTTAATTACCGCGGTAATCCATCAGTGAAATTTATATATGACTGATGATATTGCAGGGCATCTCGATGCGTATGTATGTATCGTCGTTGTTTCGTGGTAATAATAACTGGTAGTAACACGTGACTTGTATTTCTTGTGTCTGTTTCTCATCGAGTCATGATCTTTGCAAACGATGGCATTCTAAATTCCATTCCAATTTTGAATTTCAAACCATCCGTCCTTTTCAAAAGAAAAAAAAACTCAAAAAAAAATGGATGGAGAGAAATGTCAAGGCCCAAAGATTTCCGGCCTCGGCTAGTCGGAGGAGAACACACGGCCCAGATAGTAGGGCACAGGGAACGTAATGTGCGGTCCAAATAGCTATTAGGTTGGGCCTAAGGTGATCTATTTTTGCGTGGTTGGGCCAAGGGGAGGAGGAGTCACGGTGAAATGCCGTGACGTGGAACCAACCAACCAACAGTACATGCAAGGATTGAGTGATGATTCCGATCCAACCGTATTACTCTCTCTGTCCTATACGCCGTTAAAATTGGCACAGTCTACAAAACTAATTTTTAATTTATAATTTTTCATATATTATAAGGTTTGTAGCAATAAATTTGTAACCATATAAAAGTAAATTTAAATCCCAATCTAATCATATAATTTTTAATAAATAAAATTAATTTTATATTATACTAAGTGTTTATTAAATGTTTTAATAGTTGAATCTTAAAATAACTTATATTATGGAATGGAGAGAGTATTTTTTTTTTTTTTGGGTATCCATCCAACCGGCGATCGGTGCTTGGATGGATCGCCGGTGGTCGACGGAGACAGGGACCGAAACGCGTGGCGTCGGCGTCACCCATAAAAAAACGTCATCTTTTGCACGGAAAAGCGCCATCAGAGCCAACGGACACAAACTTGGCCGCTCGCCCGCGCGTGCGAGTCCGCCACGTCCCCTCGAATGTTCGATATCGACGCAACACCACACTACTCTTCTCGTCTCGTCTCCCTCCCCCTCCCCACCTCGCCCGCTCGTTTCCACCACTCCGCTCTCTCCCCTCCTTATCCCCGTCCTCACCTCACCATTTCACCAACCACCTCGCGTACTCCGGCCAACACCACGGCGACCATGATGGCCGCGCCGCTCGCCGCCGTCCACGCCATCATCACCTGCTCCGCCTCCAACAAGAACAGCCCCCCCAGCGCCAGGCAGCAGCAGCAGACGACGACGACGACGGCGACGCGTGGCTCGCCTGCTGCCCTGCCGTCGTTGCTGAGGACGACGGCGGCGGCGGCGGCGACGGCGGCGCTGGCGCTGGCGCCGCCGGACGCGCTGGCCGCGGGCGGCGAGTTCGGGATCCTCGAGGGCCGGAGCGTCGCGCTGCTGCACCCGCTCGTCATGGGCGGCCTCTTCGCCTACACGCTCTGGGCGGGCTACCTCGGGTGGCAGTGGCGCAGGGTGCGCACCATCCAGGACGAGATCAACGAGCTCAAGAAGCAGCTCAAGCCCGCCGCCGCCGCCGCCACGCCCGCCGCCGTCGCCGCCGGTGACTCCTCCTCCTCCTCCTCCTCACCTCCCCCTTCCGCACCCAAGTCGCCTGTCGAAATCAAGATCGACGAACTCACCGAGGTATAATCAAACTCTCCCCAACCACTCCATCATCCAGCTCGCTCAAGCTTCGCCATGGCGCCATGGATCGATCGATGAAATGGTGAATCCGCGTGATGCAGGAGAGGAAGAAGCTGATCAAGGGATCGTTCCGGGACCGGCATTTCAACGCCGGCTCCATCCTGCTCGGGCTGGGGGTCACCGAGTCCGTCGGCGGCGCGCTCAACACGTGGTTCCGCACCGGCAAGCTCTTCCCGGGGCCGCACCTCTTCGCCGGCGCCGCCATCACCGTGCTCTGGGCCGCCGCGGCGGCGCTGGTCCCGGCGATGCAGAAGGGGAACGAGACGGCGCGGAGCCTGCACATCGCGCTCAACGCCATCAACGTCCTCCTCTTCATCTGGCAGATCCCCACCGGCCTCGAGATCGTCGGCAAGGTCTTCGAGTTCACCACATGGCCATGAACAAACAACACAACACAACACAATGCAGTGCTGCAATTCCATTCTCCTCTTAATTAGGTTTTCTTTTGACTCCATAGCCGATCTTGCGTGTGTTCAGCTGCTTCACCTTCCACAGTGTTCATTGGTTCGTCCCTGTTCAAAAAATATAGTGAATGAATGACATGAAAGAATTCAGATGTGCAAACGGTTTGAATTCTTAACGATTGGTCCAAATTTGATCATAGGTTCTATTGAATATCGGAGTTCAGATGTTCAGATGACGCATGATCATTGATCAACTGATTGTTTTCTGCAAGATCTTCAGACTTAGAATCGGTGCTGACAGCAGCCCATATATACAGGGAGTAGTAACTTTGTACTGCATAGGCTATACGAGTATCAAATTACAATACATTTGAAAATAAGACGGTATTGAATCAACCTTGATTCCCGGTGGTATTTTATAGATTTTGAAACTGTGTCTCAACTCTCAAACTCTCAAACTTCATTGGTTCGTCTCTGTTCAAAAAATATAGTGAATGAATGACATGAAAGAGTTCAGATGTGCAAACGGTTTGAATTCTCAACGATTTGTCCAAATTTGATCATAGGCTTTATTGAATATCGGAGTTCAGATGTTCAGATGTCGACTGATTGTTTTCTGCAAGATCTTCAGACTTAGAATCGGTGCTGACAGCAGCCCATATATACAGGGAGTATTAACTTTCTACTACATAAGCTATACGAGTATCAAATTACAATACACTTGAAAATAAGACGTGTTGAATCAACCTTGATTCCTAGTGGTATTTTACAGATTTCGAAACTGTGTCTCAAACTCTCAAACTCCAAATTGTAAATCCTCAGAATTTTCCAGTGGCATTCTCCAAATTACAATGCTTCGAGCGGCATACATATTTGTCTGAGATGACCGTGTAACGTGGATCACTGCAAAACCTTCTTTCATTGTGTAATTTTCTGTTGAAGACTGTTTAAATAGTTTGAAGGAACAAAAGCGGAATAACCTGAAGAAGCTGGCGAACACCATCACATCACGCCACCTGAGCTATGCTTAGTTCTCGAGTTCTCGAGAGTTACACTTAATAGTGCAGTGACAAGGGGTGTTTGATTTCAACCTCTCTTGGTTTTAACCCTGAGATTTAGTGTTCAATCCTCAACAAGCTTATAATTTATTCTTAAAAATTGTTTAGAGGGACATCTCTCCCTCAAAATCTCGTTTTTTATGCTTGGTTCTCAAGACTGCATATTAGTTCACCCACAAGGTAATGAGGTAAATCATAATGACTTTAATTACGTATGCCCGGTGCATTTTCTGTAGAGATAAGTGATTCACATATTGTTGTCATCTGTAACTTGAGCTTGAGAAAATGGACATGGATAATCAACTCTTAAGGGTCCCTTTTTCTCTCTTATGGATTATGAATTACCACGAACACACTTCGTAAGTTTTTATACAGTGTAATTGTTGCAAAAGTTTTCTATATATGAGTTTCACTCTCCTATAATATTTTCTAAAACAATATTTTTGTTTTTTAATAGTTAATCCGTTCGTTTGTCGTCAAGTATTATTACTGTGAAGTAATATAACTCATCATCAATTTATCCATTGACCTGAAAAGAACTAGCCCCCAAAAATCTAAATTTAAGCCAAAAAAAACATTTGAAACATGAGAGTTTGATGGTTTGCCACTTTTTAGATGGAGGATTTGATGATATCCCATCATAGCCCAACATCGTCAACTTTGTGGGGTGGGGGAGGGGGTATATCCTTGTCACTTGGTAGCATTGTAATCTAAAAAGTGTCAATCAACATGCTTAAACTGATCAGCCAAAGTTGCCTTTAAATGACTTGATGAAGGATCTCTTGCTTATATTTGGTTGAAACTTGAAAGCCTTTAGTCTAATTAGCAAGATGATGGGCTTTGGGTAAAAAGCTTCAACCCAAACAACCATTCGATAAGAACCTTGCTTTTAAACAAACCAAAACTGATTACAACTTTAAACAAGCCTTTCCACTTTCACACCCGACTCCAAACCAGTAAAAAACTTGGCTCTTAAACAAAGTCTAGCCTTTCCTCATATGCCTGTTAGCTTATTAAATATAACCAAAATTTAAAATCCGAGACTTAAATCTGTAGTCTATTTTTGAACATGAGGTTATAATGTGTTGTTTGTTTGCATCTGATTGATTGAAAAAAAAATCCCTTGTTCTTTACGCGCACGCTTTCTGAAGTTTTAAACAATATATTTTTTTATTATTTTTTAAGTAGGAACGTTGTTTTTAAAATCATATTAATCTATTTTTTACTATAAAATAATTAATACTCAATTAATCATGCACTAATGACTCACTTCGCTTTGCATATCTCCTTAACCTTCTTCTTTCCTCTCCTTTCAAACACACCCTAAAATATTAGACTTAGCAAGATTAGTTTTGAAATTGGTGTCTCAATACTGGACCTAGCAAAATCTCCCAAAGTGCCCAAGTCTCCAATCATGCACCCAGATCATCCAGCAACAAGAAAACAACAGCAAAAAAAAAAACAAGGGCCAAAGCCAGCAAGGCTCCCCCTCTTCTCCCCCTCACTCCTAAAACCTCTCTCTCCTCCGCCCCCTCCATCTCCGCCGCCGCCGCCGCGGCGGCTAATGGAGGGCTTCCACAACCTCCTCGCCCGCCCCAACTCGGCGCCATTCGCCTTCTCCCTCCCTCGCCCGCGCCCGCGCCCGCGCCGCAGGCCGCCGCCTCACCCCTCCGCTGCCTGCCGCGCCGCGAGCCGCTGGGCCGAACGCCTCTTCGCCGACTTCCACCTCCTCCCCACCGCCGCGCCCTCCGACCCGCCGTCCCCGGCCCCGGCCCCGGCCGCCGCGCCCTCCGCCTCCCCCTTCGTCCCGCTCTTCCCCGACGCCGCCGAACGCTCCCTCCCGCTCCAAGTCGATTTCTACAAGGTGAGGCCCCGTGAATCTGCTGCGGTTTGTTCATCATTTGGACCTCGGAATATCATCCCGTAGATAAAAAAAAGCGCATGATTCTTGCCTTCTTGGTAGGTGATGATACATTGTCACTGCTAAATCGTTGAAACGTTATTCCACCTGCAAGTCTTTTGCTAGGTTACTGATCCCTCAGTTCCATGAAATCGAGTTATTTGCTATTTCCGTAGTGTCACTTCACTAGGTTATTAACTGACTACAATGCCGAATCCATCGCATTTGTGATCCACTGCATACTATGATACGAATTATGCCTATATCATGTGTGTGTGGGGCTAGTGAGAGATCATGCCTTTTTGACTATTTCCGAAATGTTTTGTTGAATCTGGCTTTGCTCAGGTTCTAGGGGCAGAGCCACATTTCCTTGGCGATGGCATCAGGAGGGCGTTCGAGGCACGGATAGCCAAGCCACCGCAGTATGGCTACAGCACGGATGCTCTTGTTGGTCGTCGACAAATGCTGCAGATTGCCCATGACACTCTCATGAACCAGAACTCCCGCACTCAGTATGATCGTGCGCTTTCTGAGAACCGTGAAGAAGCTCTCACCATGGATATTGCTTGGGACAAGGTGAGGCTTTAGGGGGCAGCAAAGGGTGTGTTTGGATCTTGTCAAATAGCACTAGTGTATAATCTCTCTCTGCTTATAATATATTGGGTGTCTTGTGAAGCAGGTTCCAGGTGTGTTGTGTGCGCTTCAGGAGGCTGGGGAGGCACTTGCTGTGCTTGTAACTGGAGAACAGTTGCTTCTGGATCGGCCACCCAAGCGCTTCAAGCAGGACGTGGTGCTAGCGATGGCTCTGGCTTATGTGGATCTATCAAGGGATGCTATGGCAGCAAGCCCTCCAGATGTAATTGGCTGCTGCGAGGTGCTCGAGAGGGCTCTCAAGCTCTTGCAGGTGAACTGTTTGCTTTTTTACTCCCTACTTTTTCATTGGGCTTATATTTGAATAGGATAAGATTAAATAACCCTGTGAAGATTGGTTTGGGACACATGGGCTATATTTTTTTAATAAGAATGGTGATTTCCTTGAAGCAATATTAATAGGAACTTCATACTGTAGGAAGATGGAGCAAGCAATCTCGCACCTGATCTGCTTTCACAGATTGATGAAACTCTCGAGGAGATTACACCTCGCTGTGTATTGGAGCTTCTCTCCCTTCCTATTGACACAGAGCATCATAAGAAGCGCCAAGAAGGGCTTCAAGGTGCGAGAAACATTTTGTGGAGCGTTGGCAGAGGAGGTATTGCTACCGTTGGAGGAGGATTTTCTCGTGAAGCCTTCATGAACGAGGCTTTTTTGAGGATGACATCAATTGAACAGGTTCGTACATGTTTGTTTTTATGAAGCAGCTGCCTATTTATATTGCAGGAGCACATCTTTGAAAACATGTTAACTCCCTTTCTGTTACACCTCCCAGATGGATTTCTTTTCAAAAACACCGAATAGCATTCCTCCTGAATGGTTTGAAATTTACAATGTAGCACTTGCACATGTCGCTCAAGCAATTATAAGTAAAAGGCCACAATTCATCATGATGGCGGATGATCTTTTTGAACAACTCCAGAAGTTCAACATAGGTTCTCATTATGCTTATGATAATGAGATGGACCTTGCATTGGAAAGGGCATTCTGCTCATTGCTAGTCGGAGATGTTAGCAAGTGCAGAATGTGGCTTGGAATTGATAATGAGTCTTCACCATACAGAGACCCCAAAATTCTAGAGTTTATTGTGACCAACTCTAGCATCAGTGAAGAGAATGATCTTCTTCCAGGGCTGTGCAAGCTTTTGGAGACTTGGCTTATCTTTGAGGTTTTTCCTAGGAGCAGAGATACTCGGGGCATGCAGTTCAGACTTGGAGATTACTACGATGATCCAGAAGTTTTAAGCTACCTAGAAAGGATGGAGGGTGGTGGTGCTTCTCATTTGGCTGCTGCTGCTGCTATTGCAAAACTTGGTGCTCAAGCTACAGCTGCACTTGGTACTGTGAAATCAAATGCTATTCAAGCGTTCAACAAGGTTTTTCCATTGATAGAACAGTTAGACAGGTCAGCCATGGAAAATACTAAAGATGGCCCTGGGGGATATCTTGAAAATTTTGACCAGGAAAATGCACCTGCTCATGATTCGAGAAATGCCGCCTTGAAGATTATCTCTGCTGGCGCACTGTTTGCACTGTTGGCAGTAATTGGGGCCAAATATTTGCCTCGTAAGAGGCCCCTTTCTGCTATTAGGAGTGAGCATGGATCTGTGGCAGTTGCTAATAGTGTCGACTCTACTGATGGTGAGTAAATGCTTTTCATTTGCTAAAGTAGTCAAACAACACTGGAATTTACTGCTCACGTGTTTACTGGGTATCCTTGTTGGCTGATTACAGTATGTTCTTGATCTTATAGCTTTGCATTAATGTTTTAACAAAGCTATACATCAAATATTTTTGTCTCATACATACACAATGCTACTATAATTCTGTAATGTATATCATAGAGAGTTAACTTTTGCATGATGAATGTTGAAGATCCTGCACTAGATGAAGATCCAGTACATATTCCTAGAATGGATGCGAAGCTGGCAGAAGATATTGTTCGCAAGTGGCAGAGTATCAAATCTAAGGCCTTGGGACCAGAACATTCGGTTGCATCATTGCAAGAGGTGATGTTTAAAACTTTGACTTTTCATGCTTCCTAGCTGGCCACTGCTCTTACCTATACCTACGCTTCCTATAGAGAGATAATTCAGATATAACTCTCCTATAGGATATATTGGTCACGCAATGTACCTTTACAAGTTTGGTTACAATAATCTTTCTTGTTTGACTCACACACATGCTTCAATTGCAACTGAACAATTTTTCAAGAACTATTGCCACTGCATGATATCCCCGTGATGATGGCGGTCAAATGCTGGTACTGATTTTCCATGTTCTTATAGGTTCTTGATGGCAACATGCTAAAGGTGTGGACTGACCGAGCAGCGGAGATTGAGCGTCATGGGTGGTTCTGGGAGTATACACTATCCGATGTGACGATTGATAGCATCACTATCTCCCTAGATGGTCGACGAGCGACTGTGGAGGCTACGATTGATGAGGCAGGCCAACTTACTGATGTTACTGAGCCCAGAAACAATGATTCATATGACACAAAATACACTACCCGGTATGAGATGGCCTTCTCCAAGCTAGGAGGGTGGAAGATAACGGAAGGAGCAGTCCTCAAGTCGTAGAACAGTGTGCAGTAGCTTGTCCTTTCAGTTTGATTGTGTAAATAGACAGTGTAGATGTCTTCGTTCTTTCTGACAGTTTTGTTAGATGAGTGCTGAGATCCCCCTGTGTTCTTCATTTTCGCAAAGAATGTAGGTGTATTTAGCTGTAATAACTATATTATTGCTAGCTCAGAACTTTTGGAGATAAAAAGAGGAAACCTCTGCAGACATGCTGGCATGCACAAATCAATTTATCACAGTTCTGCTTCTGAGTTTCAAAAAAAAAAAAGGGAACCGACTAAAGCTGACATGCACCTAATCGATTGATTTTAATGAGATTAAAATTTGAATTGTTTAACCAAATTCTCTTTTCTGGTTGTAGATCCTGTAAAGCTCTTTGTAGGATTTTGAAATTGAGGTCTTGTCAAAATGACAACTAAGAGCGCTATATGGTCAAATCAAAACGAACGGAAAAATGAGAAAACTATCAACTAGTAATACTATATTTTAAAATAAACAAATTTAGTACATTATCTATCAACAAGCAGTTTTTAATTACTATTCTCTCCGTTTTGAAATAAAAAAAAAATCTAGTACAAGATGTGAACATGTTAGTATTACGAATCTGTATAAATCTACCATGGAGTATATCTGCAAAACAACTGATACATCTAAAGAATATTATAGACAAATTTGTTATTCAACCAAGAACTGCTGATCATAGTTTTCCTTTTCACATTTCCGAGGATGTACATGTAGTATATCTCAAATTGTCCTAATTTCTGCAGATACAACAATTTACACATAAGTGAAGGGCCAATTTGTATAAATCACATAAGACAAGGAAAACTATCTGTCTAAAAAAATAACATACCCATTGATTCGCTTATCCTTTTGTTTATGGGCCAATTGCAAATTTACCACTGGTTTCAACCAGTACTGTGAATCTACCACTACAAAAAGTATAATTGCATATTTACCACCAGAAACAGTTGGAACCCAACCTGCCTACCATTAGACCGACAGCCTGAACTATCACCGTTAGAAGGTTGGTTTTTATCAAATTTAGGACAAGGATACCCCTATCCACCAAATTGCAAGATAAACATTATTTTGGCATACTTATCGTATAAGAAAAAAAAAAGGAGGATAAAAGCCTTAGGAGATGCAACCGTGGGCTGTTACTGGCCTACTACCCACGAAAATACTGCCTGCTAATGTTGTTGTTGTTGCCTAAGAGCTAAGATGCTTAGATGTAGTTGTCGGCTGCTGCTGTTGTGGCCAACATTTGCTTGCTGCTGCTGCATCCCCTGATAATGTTGCTGCTGCCCAAGATGCAGCTTTGCTGCCGCCGCCTTCATTTGCTGCTACTGCGGCCGCCGCTCAAGCCGAGGTCGCCTGCAGTTCTGACCGCCAAAACACCCACTGCCTACCCGTCGCCGCCCGCCGCCATCAAAATCCATTAGCTCTTTCCTTGCCATGGATGAGAGGATTTGAGATCTATGGTTCATAGAGGTAGAAGGAGGGGATCATTCTAGCTTGCGGTCAAGTCGGGTCCTAGGGCTGGGAGGGTATAAACTTAGCTAAGGGCAAAACAGTCTTTCAAGTTGCAATGTATTTCTATGAATTATTTTTATCCTTTTAATTGCATCAGTTGGGACAACAGTGACAAACGGAAGCATAGAAAACCAACTTTGATGGCAAATTTGCAGTTTGCGTTTTTATAATGGCTATTTCGAGTTAGGAGTTGAAAGTAATGGCATATTTGCAATTATCCCTTTGTTTATTTATTTATACAGTTTATTAGTAAAAAAAATTATAGATAAAGTTTTTATATACATGTACTTAACAATATAAAAGTAAATACCGTAAAATAAACCACGATGGCAAAAAAAACCCCGTAAAATTAACTCTAAATTATTAGTAATTGCTAAGTTTTAAAATCCAGAAAGTCAGGAACAAGCACGCAAGCGTGATACCGTGACCGTCCCGTTTTCACGTGGGGTCATATCCACCGTCCGATTAGAACTCAACGGGCGCGATCACCAACTGCAGCAACAACTACAAGAGAAAAAGGGAAGCCACAGCAAGCAAAACCAAAAGGCCAGCGAAGCCAACGCGTCACCTCCTCTCCCCGAACCCCCAACCCTCCAGAACCTTCCGCCTCCCGCCGGCGCCGGCGCCGCCGACTCGGCCGCGGAAACCCTAGCGTGCGCTCGCGCCCGCCCTCGCTCGCCGGCCACCTCCGGACTCCGCCTCCTCCGCCTGCTCCTCGTCTCCGGCCCCTCCGCCGCCGTCGACCGGTCAGATCTCGACGCCGTCAAGCCGCGATGGAGGACTGGGGTGAGCGCCTCTCGAATCTCTCCCTTCCCGATCTGTGCCTCTCGTTTCAGTGGAGTCTCCGCGGACGCGCTGCCGCCGCGGAGCTTGCCCATCCGATGCGTACGGCTCGTGCTCCAGGGGGCGCGGTTCGCGACTGAACGCTTTGCGTGATGTTAACTTTCGCTGATTGTTAGGTCGCCGTATGTTTTTTTTTGGGCTTGGAATTAGGGTTTTTCATCGGATGATGGTAATACGTACCCTGAACCCGTGAACTGCTGCATCGGAATATACTTGCAATTTGTGGGTTGTGAACTTGTGATTGCAATGGTGGTTAGTTCAAGGTGTTCGCAAGACTAAAGGCGCGGTTGCTCGATTACCTGGCCTACAGTTTAGATTTTGGGTTGGGGGTATTGTGGTATTGTTCTGGTGATTAGTTTGAGACGCAAAAGTACTTGTGGGTGTTGATGTGTTCTATTATATCGTGAAAATATGCGAGTCGCTGGTGATTTCACGCTCATAGACTTTGAAAAAGACTGAGTCTGCAATTAGATATATGAACTGCTGCTGAAAATGATTGGGAGCAATTGCAAACTGTATAGCTGTGTAATTTTGTCATGCTAGGCAGAACGCAGATCATATAGATATAGTATGCACATTCACCTGCTACCAGTTCTGTTAGGCTGCTTTCTTGTTGGTTTACACCTTCGATGTTCTTATAACTTGAAAATTGTTGTAAGAGTTTGAACGTATCTAGTGACTCCACTGTCTGCACACAATTACCTTTTTTTTTGCAGTTTATTTTGGGAGGGTAAGCTTATGTTACAATTGTAAAGGTTGTTGTAGTAAAAGGAGATATTACCTCGTTCTAGTCTGAGAATATGAATGCATCAAAGTTTCTGCAGGCTGCAGTACAACTTTGAATTTATTAGGCTTATTACTGAATTTCATTATGAGTTCTGATGTTGGGGTTTGCTAATAGCTTATGTTTTCCTGTTGTCATATTTGGAACAAATCTATCACAACAGATTCTGAAGACTTTCAGCCCGCAGTGCCTAGTGCAAAAGCTGAGCCGCTTAAAAGTAAGTGGGCAGATGAAGATGTGGAAGAAGATGATGTAAAAGAATCATGGGAAGAAGAGGAGGAGGAGGTAGGGTGAAAGATCCGCAATAGTTTCTCAGTAGACATTTTTGTTTCCCTTCATGCCATTTCCTTTATTATTCTTTTAATTTGCATTTCTGAAGTAGGAACCTCCTAGATTACTACAATCATTTCATTTTAATTTGAGTGAAATTAGTTAAGTAACATTGAAGATTTGCAATACAGCTGTTCACGTGCTTCGAGCTTGCATTTGTTATGTAGTCATTGATCTACCCTATTGTATCTTGTAGAAGAATTCTAATCTTTGTGAGTGTTAACCGGTGGCATACTTGCTGTAGTAATTTGACATTGTGCACGATTATTAGCATTTCTTGCCTTGATGATTATCTTATATAAAGTAGTCAGTAAAAAATATTTGGCTTTGGGAGAACTAAACCCAGTTCTCCCAATGCCAAATAAATTTGACTAGAGGGAGTGATTTATAAAAGTAGTGCAATACTGATTCAGCACTTGTGCTTGAATACTTTAATGCAATGCAGAAACCTAAACCACCACCTGTAGAAAAGACTGCACCAAAACCTAGTGGGAAAGGTGCTGCGAAGAAAGGAAAACAACAAGCATCAACTAGTTCTGAAGTAGTTCAAGATGAGGCTCTGGATGATCCTGCTCTAGAGAAACTTCGTCAACAAAGGTATATGCTATTTTTTTAGGTCTGCTGAAGAACTTTGTAGGTGCTGTTTGCCCGTTTGCTTGCCGCTACCATGTTTCCCGATTTTAGTCTATATCACTGTCCAATTTTGAGCTTTGTGCAGCATCCTGCCCTTCAAATCTCCGTGCATGTATTTTGCTCACCTGATGAATACATATTGTAGGCTTGTGGAAGAAGCTGACTTTAAGTCAACTACGGAACTTTTTGGAAAGAAGGACGGCAGTGAAAAGTCCCTAGATACCTTCATCCCAAAGTCTGAGAGTGACTTTGCGGAATATGCAGAGCTTATTGCAAACAAACTGCGTCCCTATGAGGTTTTTTGAACATTTTGAAATCTGCGTTTATTGGGGAATTGTCTCTGCAGGATCTGACCTTCATCCCTGTCTTCATGTATACAGAAAAGCTTCCACTATATGGGTCTACTCAAGAATGTCATGAGACTTTCCATGGCATCATTGAAAGGTGCGGATGCGAAAGATATATCGTCCTCCATTGCAGCAATTGCTAATGAAAAGATCAAGGCTGAGAAAGAAGCTGCAGCAGGCAAAAAGAAACAAGGTGAGGTCAAAGGCGCTTTATGTCCTACATGCGGTGCTGATGTCAAACTGTAAGCTGTTTTTTCTATCACATTCTTTTGGTACTGATGTTTGCAACGAAATCTGTAGGGGCAAAAAAGAAGCAGCTACACATTGAGAATAAAGACGATGATTTCATCCCTGGAAAGGGTAATTTTGATGATCCGGATGAGTACGATTTCATGTGATCGGCTGTGAGGGAACCGTCATCTTCTATGTATACCTTGGCAAGCAGAGATTAGAGTTTGCGGCATAGTTGGTATTTTCATTCAGAGGCACCTGAACACTTGAAACGATTGCATGGGAACAATGCCCATTTGTTCGACGTTGATTTTGACTCTCACAGAATAGGGAAGAGCACCTGTGTGCTCGAGCTCGACACATAGGCGTTTTTTCTTATTCTTAATCCACATTGTGTTTTTGGTCTGTTCATGGGTTGGGATCTATATTTTTTTGCCAACTGTAGTATAATGTGTATCTGGTTTATATTGGAGTCCTGCAAGTGAATCTTGGTGCTGCCTCGTTTGTTTTCCTGGTTATTCCTGATCGTAATATGTTGGTCACTGATATGATATCCCAAGCTTGCTTCTCCGACGCGCGGAGAATTTCAGAAGTTGCCTTTAATCAAATAAAGGAAGCTACTACTCACAACTTGATGAATGTTGGATGGTTTACTATGTGTAGGAAAATTTTGCGCGACCTCTTGCTGCCAAAAGGCTAAAACTATTTCATCTGCAATTCCTGTCGGAAATTCACAGGAATTTTGTTGGAAATGAGGTGATTCGTGTGAAGTGAAATGGAGAGCCTGGAATACCGGAGACGTATATACGCAGGCTCTACCAGCAGCAGCATATCGAGAACCACACATGCCCTTTTGCCTGTCACTGCTAACGTCTTTTCGGCACGCGCCTGCCTACCTTCGTCGTCGTTCCGTCCGCTCCCGCTACAACTAGCGCGGCGCCATGTCCGCCCACCTCCGCCTCCTCTCCGCCGCGCCGCTCCCGGCGCTCCTCCCCACCCGCCGCCTTCCCGCCGTGCCCACTCCCGCTCTCGCCGCCCGCGCGGCACGCCTCGTCCTCAGCCGCCCGCTTACCGAGCCACAGCCGCCGCGCCTCCCCCGTGGCGCCGCCGCCCGCTGCCGCGGGGTGGCCGTGGCGGGAGCGGATGGGGATGAGCCGGCGGCGGCGGCGGCTGGAACGGCGGGGTTGTGGGAGCAGGTGCGGGACATCGTCGTGTTCGCTGGGCCGGCGCTGGGGCTCTGGATCTGCGGGCCCCTCATGAGCCTCATCGACACCATGGTCATCGGCCAGACTTCCTCCCTCCAGCTCGCTGCCCTAGGTACAACGCCTAGCTCCCCTTGCTCGCTACCTAACTAAATTAGTCTATGTCATCTGCGTTTGCTTCCTGCTAATCTCCAAAATGGAACTAGGCGACATTTTGCTAACCGAATTAGCTGAATCTGATGAACTGTGGTATATGAATATCGCGTGCAAAGGCTAGGGTCTTTGCAGCTCAATGTCATGTGGTTGTTGTTTCTTCAATTTCAGGGCCTGGAACGGTGTTCTGCGATTACCTCTGCTATATATTCATGTTCCTTTCGATCGCGACCTCCAACATGGTGGCCACCTCCTTAGCTAAAAAGGTGTACCTTCCTCTTTGTTAGATGAACAACTATAGGCAGGAATATGCTATGCTTGGGCAGTTATCAGAAACATATATTGTTAACTTAGCTACTCTTGATAGTATGATTTACATACTGTTTTATCTGTTAGAATTTTAGTGGTAAAACAAATTTAACATTCCAATTTTGATTGTTGCCAACCTAAGCTACTTAGCTTTATAACTTAGTTCGGCGTGAACAATCTCTCCCTCCCTTTCCTCTATAAGACTATGGAACAAAAGTACAAAAAATGCCTAATAACAAGCTGAAATTGAAAACTTTCGAAGTTAATGTTTTGATTTCTCTTGCATGAACTATACACTTTTTCTTACTACAAACGAGAACATTGCAGCAGGACATACATATGTATATTACTCGGCAATTTGCAGGCCACTCAGAAATTCAGAAACTAAACTGTTTTCAACTATAAAACTCTCTGTATGGCGAGAATATTGGTGGCTTGGTGCTTGGCATGTTACTAGAGCCCTACTTTGTGGAAATTAGTGGTGGTTATAATTTTATGAAAGGTTATTAACTTTGAACAATGAACGCACAAACTTTCATGTCTTTTCTCCGCACTCTATTTATAAGCACAGTTACTATATGCAGGATGAAGAACTTGCACAGCACCAAGTATCTATGTTGCTGTTTGTTGCTCTTACTTGTGGTTTAGGAATGTTTTTGTTCACCAAGCTTTTTGGGACTCAAGTGTTAACTGGTAAGTTGAAACTAAACTGTGCTAATAAGATGAAACTGACTGTCAACCTTGTTTATCATACTTTGAAGAACCTGACTGCATATTGATGGAGAAAACCTGGTGGATTTCTTTCACCACTGGATTATCTCCTTCACTGTTTTTCTCCCTGTTTGGCAGTGCACCTTATTTCTGTTTTTTCCTTTTAATTTGCTTCTCAGATTGAATGCCCTTGTATTTATCATGCTATCTAGAGTTTCACATGTCTCATGTCTGAGTCCACCTACCTTCTTAATTTTACTGCAACCTCTATTTTTATTTTCAGTGTTTACTGGATCGGGGAACTATGATATCATTTCTGCTGCCAATACATATGCACAGGTTTGTACATGTCAGCATTCTCTCATTAATTTCACTGTTTAGGGTGTTTTCATTGTTGCCCTAGTTGAATGAGCAAGAGAAATCATGTTTTTTTTAAGAACACGCAGGAAATCTGCGTATCATTTCATCAAGATAGAGGAAAAAAGGTGGATGGCATTAGATATAAACTCTGACATCCACCCACCCAGAAGTACAACACCAACACCACACACCCACAAGAAGCAAAACAAACCTAGTGCACTAGCTCTACAGCCCTAGACAAAAGATCACGAAGCTTAGAAGCTCCTGCTAGGCACCAAAGGGCGCCCTCACTAGCAATGGCTTGAAGGACATCTGCCATGCTTGGGGTAGCGCCAAGAGAAATCATGTTTGTCTGGCAATTTTGAATTGCTTGTTTCTTTCTTGAATATAACTGTATAAAGCAGTCAAATAGTCAATAAATTTTGAGGATAAACAAATATGGCTAAAAGTTCAATTGCATGCTATCTATGAACTAAACCTCATAGAGCTATACTATAGCTATACATATACAAGGAAGTGGAAACATGATGAAATTTTCTAGTACCTCTGTATGGATACTGAATGATGAGGCACGCTGATTACATTTCCTGCACTGAAGTACAAACACGAGGATGATCCTGACTGCAAACCTATTGATTTCAGAAACCTATGCAAATCCATGGATGCTTCTGACTGCAGGCATATTGCATACCTTGTTCTGTACTATAGGATAATTCTATGCACTATGCTATAGGATGTAAGTTTTTGACTTCCATGTTTTATATGAAGTACATAGATCAATATGTATACTCATTCATTTTCAGATTAGAGGCTTTGCATGGCCTGCAGTTCTGGTTGGCTTAGTTGCTCAAAGTGCTAGGTAAAAACCATGCTCATTCTTCTCCTCTTCTGTTGCACGGGATCTATTTTGTTCTGGAGAAGTTATATTTCTTTTGCCTTCAAATCTATCATGTCTTCTTTCTTTGACCTTTTATTTTGCCAAATTACAGATGCATCTGTTTTGAGTTGTCTTAATGTCTATTCGTCATTGAAATATTCATATTGCCATTTGAACCAACTCGCATGGGCTACATAGTTATTTGGTTGTGATGTTTCTGATAACAATAAACACTTTGAGCTCTTCTATTTGATTTCACATTACAACTACCTTGATTGGAGGCTTCTCATATTATACTGTATGTTTGCTATAACTCAGTCTAGGCATGAAAGATTCTTGGGGTCCCTTGAAGGCATTGGCAGCTGCTAGTGTTATCAATGGTGTTGGGGACCTTCTTCTCTGTTCTGTATGTGGATATGGAATTGCTGGCGCTGCCTGGGCAACTATGGTTTCACAGGTAGGCATACTTTCCAATCACCTCATCATACCTTGCTTCTTGCACATCTTTACTTGAGCATGATTCTTTAGACTTGGCAAGATGTGGATTGCCACCAATGCTTAGCCTTAATAAACACTACCTGATTTTTCTTTGAAACTTGAATCGGATGAAACACCACATTACTAACAAAAACAAATGTTTCTTGATCTTCTAGTAAGATATGCTACCTAGTTAAGTTATAAAGCAATCACTTATCTATTGTAAAATGTTATGTTTTTGATGGAACCACATGCTCATAATTTTATATATTATTATCCATGTCGATCTTTCTTTATGATTTGTCTACTCAACTTGTATGCCAGACATTTAGCTACTTGTTATGCTAAACAAAAATCCAATTTATTTACACAATTGAGTCTTCTGACAACATATTATTTTCATAAATAGCTATTTTTTGACACACACTCAGATTGTTGCAGCTTTTATGATGATGCAAAATCTAAATAAGAGAGGATTTCGAGCTTTTTCATTCACAATCCCATCATCAAGTGAGCTTCTGCAGATTTTTGAAATTGCAGCTCCTGTTTTCATAACAATGACCTCCAAGGTATGCTTTTTTTTTTGTTCTAATATTCCATGTCCTCTCCTCAACTTTACTATACCTAATTATTTGAAACCATTCAGGTAGCATTTTACGCGTTACTTACGTATTCTGCAACTTCTATGGGAGCAATAACACTTGCAGCCCACCAGGTTCATACCTTTTAACTTTTGGTATGCTTACCCATGATGAAAACACAGTGCTACTATGTACTTTCTTCTGTGGATAACATACAAAATAATCTATGCTGTGAAGGTTATGGTTAATGTCCTATGCATGTGCACTGTTTGGGGTGAGCCCCTGTCACAAACTGCACAGTCATTCATGCCAGAGTTGATATATGGAGCTAAGTGCAATTTGATGAAGGTACCTATCTAAAGCTCTCAATTTCACGTGAATTTCTGTACTGCATTATTATTGTCCTTAGTGATATATTAATCCAAAGGAATCATGTGTAAAGCTTGATGATGTATGCTTGCACACTTTATATGTTTTTACGCTTTTCTCTGGTCAAGAACTTAGGATAAACCGAACTGATATGCAAAGTTTCCTTCAACAGTGTAATTTTCAGTACATGCTCCTTCTCACATTTCTTCTAAATAAAATGCTGATATCACAAACTAAGCTTATTAAATCATTTAGAATCTTGAATTACATCTGCTGCAAAACTATCCACAAATAAATATCAACTTTATTGGCGGTCAAGGCAGGTCGAATTTAACTGGACAAAAATTATAGCTTTGATACACAGTTAAAAGGCTGAAGGTAAAAGCAAGAGGTCAACTGAGACTCTTGTATTAATCCTGTTCGTTGAAATTAACAAAAGCTTGATCCCATCACTTATTTGCTGCCTCTTAGGACATGAGGCATCTTTACGGTTTACAACTACCATTGAACTAAAATAAATATTTGAATCGGAGTTGTGCATTTGCCATCAAGGGTTTCTATACATTTGCTTGCCATACACATACCTTCTTTTCCTGTACTAGAGTAACAGTTGCTTCTGCTTGTGCTTGTACGCTCAGCATCATTACACATACTTGATGCATCCTGTGCGGCACTGATGGTGCTTTGATTGACTAACATAGTGCATATCTTCTACTGGAATTCTTTTCTACATTAAAGTGCATTTATATTTTTAAGTTCATTACTACAAAGACACTAAAGTCTAAAGGTACCGTTTTATCCAGGCAAGGATGCTATTGAAATCACTTGTCATGATTGGAGCAATAACTGGAACGACTGTGGGGGCAGTAGGAACACTTGTTCCGTGGCTTTTTCCTAGTCTCTTTACTAATGATTTTATGGTTGTCCAACAGGTTTGCTCTATAACTTATAAAATATTCTGCATACTGTTCTGGAAGTGCATTCGATTCTGATTGCTTCTCACTATGCCAGAAACTATCAATACTACCATTTCTTATCTATCAATAGTACCGTTTATCCTTTTAGAATCTAACTCAGTTGCACTGTTAAGAAAAGAAAATTCAGTGCTCCTATATCTGATCTGATGTTAGTCATCTAATTTGGCATCATCTGCTCTATATGATACTTTGGTTGTATCATTTGTGTACACTATGGATTTGTAAATGCTTGCAGAATCTGTTCACTGAATCGGATGATGATTATAAAAGGTTGATTCTGACTCATAGGTCCAGTTAGGGTGGTCCTTATGATCTTAGATAATTACTTTACCTTCAATTTATATACATTTAGTTTCCTGTGCTCTATAGAGAAATAGAATTTTACTTGCATATTATTGTAAAATAAATTTACTTGCATATTATTGCGCATGTCTCCTATGACGTGGCCTTGGCTTAACTCAGTCTATCTGCAGAAAGTTTTATGCTTTATTTTCACGACCCCCAGTCTCAAATGCTTTCGATTTTGTCTAGAACTTACTGACAGTCCATTACCCTGTTGACAGATGCATAAAGTGCTGATTCCATATTTCTGTGCATTATTGGTGACACCTTCAGTGCATAGTCTTGAAGGAACATTATTGGTAAGCTGATATATTTGTTTTGGCTGACTTTTAAAGCAATTATCCTGGAAAGTACATTTGGAGTCTGGGAAAACCTTGTCAAAATGAATTTACTTGTTCCAAGTGCCATTACTTCCCTAGTAAGCATGGCTCAAGGCACTAGGTTTCTAGCAGTTTAACACTGGGAAGTGGGGATCATATTTTACGTTTTATTGGAGTAGATAAATAGCACATTAATGCAAAGTCGAATATGGCACGTGCTGGAAAAATGTGATGACATCCCTTGGTACTTTCTCCCTATTCTCAGGCTGGAAGAGATCTCAGGTTTTTGAGTCAATCAATGGGAGCATGCTTTGGCATTGGAACCTTTCTACTAATGGTATGACCGTATGACTGTTTCCTTTCTTTCTCCTTTGGTGAGGTACTGATGTTAGATATAGGTTCTTTAGATCGATGCTAGATGGAGTTTTTGTCCCTACTTCAATTATGTTGAATGAGCTTGAGAAAAAAAAAAGCATTGGTACTGTGAACATTGTATCTTCTTCCTACTTTTGAATGCTGTCACTCAGTTCATAAAGCTCTGTGATGGCTGTCTAGCAACTAAAAGAACTTAAGTCCAAAATTTGAAAATCCTTTAATCTTCTTTGTTGTTCAAATAACAATAGTCACATCCTAATGATCGACTTCTCTGATCTCGTTTCTTCTTAACAGATCATTCGCAACAAATTTGGTAGTTTGCCTGGATGCTGGTGGATACTTGTCTTGTTTCAGTGGGTAAGGCCATCTGACCATTTCAATATATCAAGTTCTTTTTCTCATATTTGTATCCTTAGTTCCCTACCAAAGATAACAGACTATCGTTTCGAGCCTTATTTTTTGCATTATCTTACTTCTCACTATATAATAATGTCTCGCTACTCCAAATGTTTCCTGGCCACATTTTAATACTGTTTCCATTTTCCAGGGTCGGTTTGGAAGTGCTTTACAACGGCTTCTTTCTCCAACGGGCATGCTATATAACGAAAACTTCAATAACCATCATGATGAGTATGTCAAGGTGAAGGCCACATAAGAAGTAGTATGAATTATAGGTTTTCCTGAGGTGACAACAAAGATGAAAAGAGTTGCATAAGCCCAGAAAGATCATTCTGCAATCTCTGCTGATCAGTGGCACCTCAGCTCTCATACAGAAGCTGCACTTAGTTCATAGTATGATCTTTGGAACGGAATTCAAGACATGATGGCCCAGAAGATTAGACCAGGAAAAATCAGTAAGTTGTAGGGTAGAATTCGTTCTCCTGTCATGATATACTCCCTCCGTCCCAAAATATAAGCATTTTTAACTATAAATATAGACAACTGTGTGTCCAGATTCATAGCTAAAAATTGTTATATTTTGGGACGGAGGTAGTAGTATATAGTTTTGTCCTAGGAATTATACCTGCAAGCAACATTATTGCTACGGTAAGGAAATGTTTTCCACTGTCAAACACGAAGGCTGTCAAAGAGCAGTTAATTGAGCATACGCAGAAGAAAGCAAAAATAGATAAGAACAAAAATTTCCACATCTTTCTCCGCGAAAAGATGTCAATATCTTATACTAGCTCTGCGTCACAAAATGAATATTATTGAGGTGCACGCCACATAATGCAGCTGTTGTTTCTTCGGGTCACTAATTCACAGCTTCAGTGCAACTCACCTTGGCCATACCTTTATGCATTCTTATATACAAGAAATCGAGTTTTTGACATGCGGAGCCATGTGTTCTAAGAGATGTGATAATTTGATATTTCACTCAGCTGGCTTTCGATTACTTAACATTCATTTTCATTGACTTACATGGTCCCATACGTCATCCTAAAAAGTATCAATTTTAAAAATTAAAGTGACAAGAAATAAAGTGTCAAATCATCAAATTTTACATTTAAGTAATGTGGCTAGCTAAAACTGTGGCACCAATCAAATAACCGCAAAAAAAAAAACTAGGGCGTGTGTAAAATTTAGCTTAGCATGTTGTGGCAAATTTTAGATTTAAGATAAGATGCACTGCTTTTGCTCTTAAAAGAAAGGGAAGAGAAAGACTCTGCTTCATCTTGGGCTGGGTCGAAATGAGGCCCATCTACTCTGGAAGAGAAAGTAGAGGCCTTGTGGGCTTTAAAAGGCCTGGCCTGGTCTAGGTTTCCCGGCCTCTCATTGGGAGCAAATCGCTCCTCTTCTTCCGGGCCTCAGTTAATTTCCAGCCACCCCCTTCATATATTACACAAACATTTTTCCATCTAAATGCGTGGTGATGAATTTTATATTGTTTTGGTTTTTGTAGCATAAGATTGTTTTACTCTTCAGTTATGCATGCACCACTTCAAAAGTAAAGCCCTATTTTGTCTTTGTGGTCTTCAGGATTGCCCTGTAAGTAAAAACAAAGGAATTCTAAGATCCAACTTTCTTAGAATGTGTGAAACGCCTCACAGGTCTTGGGAAGCATTCCGAAAAATTTGGGTTGGCATAGTACTTTTGATTTTAAGATCCAACTTTCTATCAAATTTGACATACTTGAATGCAACCTGCTGTTGTTCTTCTGTTCACCAAGTGTTTTAAGCATGCTACTGGATCTTCACTACTACCTAGAATTAGGATAGCTACTGTTTTCTGGATTTTCCAGGCTAGTTATTAATTTATGTGCTAATAATAATAATCAAGATTCATAATCATAGGGCTCAAAAAGAGCCACACAAGGGTCATCGTCGTACTGCAGAATGGTGGCAGCTCGCTCAAACTCCTCCCTGAGAACCCTGATTGTCTGCCTGTCGACAACACGACCGAGGTCATGGCTGGTCTCGAAAGGATCCTCGATGCATATCAGATGGCGATCGTTTCCAACGCGAGTCGTCCAGTTCTTCTCCTGCTTGCTATCGATCGACCAGAGATCGAACCAAGTTAAAAAGGACGCGAAATTCTTTGAAGCATATGTGACATTAGTTCAAAATCGAATTTTTGAAGTTTAGTCGGTTTTTGAGAAACGCTCGTTGGCAATTCTCACCTGATTGTGTTCCCCATGCGGACGGAGATGACATCGTTCCTGTAATCGTGATGGAATGCCCAGTAGTGGAAGAATGCCCACAGTAACTCGGCGATGCTCTCCTTGTTTTCAGCACCAAAATCTTTAAGCTGGTCAACTTGGTCGAAGTATGCACATTCAGTGCCATCGACAACCACAGTATATGTTGGCTCCATCGCCTACAATTGGAGTGAGTTGAGAGGACAAATTGCATCAGGATAAAACTGACGGAAGTAATTCATAGATGAAGCTGAAATATACAACTTTGCAGATCCTGATTTCATCTGAACAATTCTAGACGCAAGCAACTCTTAGTAACATCAATCAAAGAGAATAAAAAATGGACCTGCTACATTAGTGAAAAAAAAAAGAAAAGAAAGGAAAGAAAATTGACCAACCATAGTTGAATGTCGAGCCATCCAAAACAGAATCATGCATATATGAAGGGAGAATGCGAAATCAGGACGATTCCACCAGCAAATAAAAGAGATAGAAGTTAAGTATTTTAGAGATAAAAAAATGAAAATGAAAATAAAAATGTGTGCAGACCATTCGTTTAACCTGTATCAGCATCATGAGTCTAAATGCAGATGAAGCAAGCGTGAAGTGATTTTATCCTAAACTGTGTGCATCCAAAGTATCAGTACTTCAGCGAGTAGTTCATATGAATGAAACATATTGGTGAGATAAAAAGTAAGGTATAGAACCTGCAAACATGGTAGAATCTTGGGCTCTCTTTGCTGCAAGAAGCTAATGCACATAAGCACATATCTGCAAATTAATAAGAACAAGATCAGGTTCAAGATTTTCAACAAATAACATATAGCTGTAAAAAGGGGAAAATCATGAACGCAAAGTCGTTTAACTCACGCATAGCTCGAAAGGGTTCCACGATATGTTTCATTAACGCCCCTTAGTTTGGCCCAGTGCTTTACAATGAAGGCCAGCTGAAGCAACCTCTCATCTATCTGGGCATAATCCTTGAGAAGCTTTGTGTTAGCAACAGCAAAGAGATTGTTGACACAGATATCACATGACAAGCCACTTCCTGGATCTGCAATCTTCACAATTGGAACTCGAGCACTGGTAATAGCCTGCATGAATTTGACAGGCATTAGAAGATGAACAGTCTCAACCTGCGTCAATTAAGAAGCTATTTTTCAAATACATCAATTATGAAGAATTATTTTTTCCCGGGCCTAATTTTTTTTCCACCGGGGCATTTATGAAGAATTACATGAGGCAACTAGCTCTTCACATTCCAGTTCCAGATTAATTATGCAGCTAATATTAAATTTTTCAAGTAATGATGAATCATTCAAATTTGGAAGAGATGCTTGCTTGCAAAATTGCATATATCTGGAGAAGAATTAATTAATTACCTCAACATTGTCGAAATCATCCTTGCGCAATGTCTCTGCTAATGCGAGAAGAAGCTCAGCAATGTTCTCTTCTGCAGCAGTGTCAATTTGGAGACAAACATCTACATCGCTATGCGAATTTCCGAAGGAATTAGCACACGATCCATAGAGATGCAGCTGGGCGTTGGGCCACTCTTTGCTCACAGAATTCGTGAGGGATTCGATGAGCTGCCTCTGCTTGGCCTTGTGCTCCTCTGATGGATTGAGGGATTCGTAGAGGGAGAGCAATCCGGGCGTGAAGGCGTCGATGTCATGGCGGCGTTCCACCCTCCACCGCCGCGTTCCGACTCGCTGGCGCGGCGGCGGCGGCGGCGGTTGATCCGGCGGCGATCCGAGCTGCTGAAAGGGAGAGCAAGGTGAAGAGTTTCATAGCATGAAGCGTCGGTGAAGTCTCGGTCGAGTTTTCCTCTACCTCCATTGGTTTCTCGCTGCCGGCGCCATCGGCGACGACGGCGAGGAGGTCGTGATCGGCGGCGACGTCGAAAGGGTCATCGCCGTCGCCGTCGTCTTGTTCGTCGTCGTCGACGTCCACCTGCTCGTCCCTCTCATCTCCACCGGCATAGCCCGCGCCCATCGCCGCCTGGTCCTCATCCCCGCCGCCGCAGTCCTCGCCCTTCTTCTCCACGGCGACCCACACCTTCTTCTCCCTCTTACGCACCACCGCCCGCCTCTCGCCGCCGGTGGCCTCGCCTGCATTCGCTGCTCCGATGAAGCCTCCTCCCACCCTCCGCCGCTCGAAGCCACGACGTCCACCATTCCCGACGAAACCTCCATACCTCCACCCCACCACCCCACTCCGGCCGCCAAAGCAACCACCACCACCATTGCCCATCCGCCGCGGAGGGCAACGAGTCGGCGGCGGGGCCGTCGCCGTCGCCGGCGGAGGTATCGAGAGAGGCGGGAGCCAGGAAGGGCGCGTGGGGGGCACGATGAAGAGGCGCTCCTCGGGGCGGGGTGGCTGGGGGAGCGGCACGGGTGGCGCGATGAGGCGGTGGGGCGGGACGAACAGCGCGGCGGGAGGAGGGGTGGTGGTGGTGGTGGTGGCCGGCTTCGGCGAGGGGAGGAGGAACCGGAAGAATCCATCGTCGGCGAGATGCCGCCGCCGCCGCAAGGGCTCGCCGCCGACCATGGCGCGCGGTGGTTCGCGACGCGGGGCGAGGAAGGCGTGAGTGAAGTGGAGTGGAGAAGAAGGCGGATTCCTTTTTGGCTTTTTCAACGAAGTGGTCAACAAGTCAACGCTTTTTTTTAAGGTACTCCATCCATCTCTAAATGTTTAACCCGTTGACTTTTTTAAACATGGTTGACCGTTTATTTTATTAAAAAAATTTAAGCAATTATTAATTCTTTTCCTACATTCATTGTTAAATATATTTTTATGTATACATATAGTTTTACATATTTTACAAAAGTTTTGAATAAGACAAACGGTCAAACATGTTTAAAAGAAGTCAATGGCATCAAACATTTAGGGAAGGAGGTAGTAATAGTTAACTATTTTGTTAGGGTGTGTTTAGTTGGGGAAAAGAAAATTTTTGGGTGTCACATCGGACGTTTGACCGGATGTCGGAAGGGGTTTTCGGACACGAATGAAATAACTAATTTCAGAACTCGCCGGGAAACCGTGAGACGAATCTTTTGAGTCTAATTAAGCCGTCATTAGCACATGTGGGTTACCGTAGCACTTATGGCTAATCACGGACTAATTAGGCTCAAAAGATTCGTCTCCCTATTTCTCCCATAACTGTGCAATTAGTTTTTCTTTTTATTTATATTTAATACTCCATGCATGTGTGCAAAGATTCGATGTGATGTTTTTGGGAAAAACTTTTTGAGAACTAAACGGGCCCTTACTCTCTTACTAGTGGTGCTAAATTATTTGCCATTAGACCCACGTATCATAGACAATGAATAACTAATAATTAATTGCTACATCTTAAAAGTGGCATGGAGTTAAATGTCCCTTTTTTAGAGGTGGACTGAATTGTAAAATTGTATTTTCATTTGAACCCAGGGTGCAATCTACAAAAAGTTTACTAGGGTTTTCTTTGCTTCTCTCGCATCCCCTTCTGAAGTGATCGGCGGCGGCGGCGGCGGAGCAGGTGAGCAAGGTCAGTCGCTTGCTGATTGGTGATTCCGGAGCAGTAGATTGATTCGTACTAGCTTTCTTCTTCCTCGGGCAGGGCAGGGGGAGGTCTCGTTGCGATGGCGGGAAGGGGCGAGATGCCGATGAGGCCTGTGCGGCCAGGGCCGCCGATGCAGTACCGGGGGCCTCCTCCCATGGCTCGCGCGCGCGTCGAACCCGTCGATCGCGAGAAGGTGAGGCCTCCTCCGTGCCCCCCTCCCAATCGATGCGCTGGAACAGCAGTAGATTGCGTACTACCTTGCGATTCGACGGCATTGTGTTCCAGTTCGATTCTGCTAGGTTAACCATGTTGATTGATTTGTTTACTTACTGTTCACTATCGGGTTCTTTTGCAGACGTGCCCTCTCCTGCTCCGGGTTTTCACAAAGGTAAAACCTCTTGTTATCTCTCTTACTGCTAACTTCGTTCATTTGTATTCCTGTATGTATGATAAGTTCACATTATGTGATTTACACTTCTGTTTAGTGTGGTTGACTGAGGAGAGCATATGTTCATTTGAATACAAGTTAAATAAATAGTCAGAAACTTTATTGCGCTAGTTATTTGCATTGTGCAATCTTACCGAATCATAGGTTCTGGTGCCTTGATGGAATTGTAATGTTCATATCGCACTTGTAGTTGAGTCACACTTCTATGCAGTATAACTCGATCAAGTAACTCATGGTAGTGTTGTTGAAAATTAAATCCCAAGCCATTCATTTAGGACAGACTTCAGATTCTTGAGTAAACACTCAGCGACACAGAAAGCTGATTGTGGTACTGGTCATTTATTTTCAGGTTGGTGGCCATCACCAAAATGAAGAGTTTGCCGTGAGAGGAAAGGAGCCGAAAGATGAAGTGCAGATATACACGTGGAAGGATGCCACACTCCGAGAGCTCACTGATCTTGTAATTTTTCTAATATTGTGCTTTCTTGTCCTCTTTGGGGAAAATGAAATTTTACCTAGTTTTATACTACTTAACAAACTAGAAATCAACAAAATTTGACTAGTCTGATGATGATAAGTGGGGTTTGGCACTACGTTTGACTAAATGTTGTTTTTAGATGGAGATCTGATCAGCACAGTTTTGGTTATGTTTCAGGTGAAAGAGGTTGCTCTTGCAGCAAGAAAAAGAAATGCAAGGCTTTCTTTTGCTTTCGTGTACCCTGATAAGCATGGTCGTTTCGTTGTCAAAGAGGTGAGAGTTTATCCCCATTGACCATTGTGACTATTCTTCTGCTCATCCTGTTTTTCTTCCTCTGATACACAAACATGGAAAAAATGCAGAGCACGTTGGTCTTAATCTGAATAGGGAATGAGTGTTATTATCGTGAATGAGTTGGATTTTGCTTTGACTGTCACTATACGTTGGCTATTAGTTTGGTCACTATACATGGGCTATTAGTTTTAGTTATGGTTACTATTTTGTGTGCTTATATTCATGACATGCTTCCAATGACATCAAAATCTCTTTTCTGCAAACTCAGGTATGCATACCTAACACATGTCATTGGTACACCACTAGGCCCCATGTAGTTACCACTTACCAGTAGCCACTTCAGTCACATCGTGATAATTGTCTCTGTACTAAAACGTAGCTTGTTACAAGTTCTATCTGTGCCATTAAACCACTAAATATGTCAGTAAATTCCCTTGTACAACCCATGTTCCTTTATATTCCAAACCAGTAACTGTTCAATTTGTGATAACTTATATAATTGGATATTGATTGAAGGTGGGTTCAACCTTCTCTTATGGCCATGGAAGGGGAGATGATGCTAAAACTCTTGCAGAGCTAGGATTCCAGGTATTTGTCAGAGCTGTATTATGTTATTACAATGTATTCTTCTGAGGCAAAAATCAATTGATTATTTGCTATGTTCTTTCACAGATAGGGGATTACTTGAGTGTTGCAATCTATTGAGTGACACTGCTTCACGAAATAGTGTGTTTCTCCCTGCCTACCATGCTGAATCCAGCTTTCCTGTGGCGGTACCCAGCTTTCCTGTGGTGGTGAATATCTCTGTAGTACTAGAGACGTGATACCAGAACTGTTTGTTATGGTAGTAACCTTGGAATTCACTCAGTATTTCGAGTGTGTTGAACACTTAAAACGTTTGATGTGATTGCGTGTTATATACCTGTTCGTGGTTTCCTTGGAACTGTGAGATCTGAACATCACGCGTTTTCCATTGATTCTCTGCGCCGAGTAGGATTAAATGTGTTCTGTGCTAAATAACTGGGTGAAGGAACATAATGTTCTTATGATCATCTCCTACTTCTCACATTTCAGTGTTTCAATTTCCAACTGAGTTGGCAGGATACTGTGTAGTTCTGTGGTGAGCCCCCAAAGTATCTGAATGCATGCACATAAACTGAGTCACGGCTATCACAACTCACAAACAGCATCAAAACAGGAGAACGACAATGTGAAATTGGAATTTTGTAGTATGATTCTTTACGTTCAGACACATCAACCAATACATCTTGTGGCAACTGGCAAGGAAACTCCTCTGTAAAGTATTAGGAATATTTGCTAGTCGAGCTAAGGTCACTCCTCTGTAAAGAAATAGGCAGACTGATGGTAAGTTAGCCAACCTGTCTTCCAAAATAATAATGCTTGATATAGAAATTGCCTCACACTTTTGGGAAATTTAACTATTTGCCACTTTTAGGTTTGGCAATTAACCAAATACCCTTCTTAGATTTGCACTTAAGAATTTGCCACTGGAGAGAGAAGCTTTTGTAATTTTTTGCCACTTTCTGCACTGTTCAGTGCCACATATACATGCCAGCATGGACCAGGCACACGAAATGACTAATCTACCCTTGTTAGTAATGTCTGTAATATAAGCTGAGTCAGGAATAATATTTGGACAAATTGCTTTCGCGAATCAGTTGCATCGGTATGGATGCTGTTCACTTTTATGAGGTACTATATTAAAGACCGAGTACCTCCACATCAGTTAACAAATCAATATTTGAAGTAATAGATCCACTGAGATGGTTATAACAAACTTTCAAAACGATACTTAGATTGAGTTCTTTTGTTCACTTTCATAACTCATCTCTCTCGTTTTTCACGTGTACGTTTTTCAAGCTGCTAAACGGTATTCCAATTTGGCTGGTATTGTTGGGATGGTGCCACCTGGAGTGAGCTCAATTAAGGTGTGCGATAGCATGGTTTGGAAATATTTCTCTCTTCACGTAAAACTGAGCAAAGAATTAGCGCATGACTAATTTAGTTTGAGTTTTAATAAATAAAGAATAGATTAATATATATTTTTAAAGTAACTTAATTTTATTTAAAAAGTTATTAAAGAAACGTGCGAAAAAAATGAGGGAGTAGAACTCAGACCGGCGGAGGCCCTGGTTCCGGTTTTTTCCAGTCCAACCGCCGGTCTGGTCAGTCCTAATAACTGTGAGTAGAAGTTAGAAAAAAGACATCCGAATGCAGCCTCAAAAAGTTAATGAACTGACTGTAACATGAATGGTGCCATTGATGTTGTTGCCTTATAAATTTAAAAGTGTAAAATGGGAAGATTGGGCAGGTTGCTGGTTTCTCTTGGTATCTTTCCAGTGAATGAATTATGACTAAGATTCAATGCGGACAGGCTTAGCAACTGAGAAACTAACCACTAGCTAGAAGGGGTAGGTTGGTCATTTTTCACGTTGGTCCATGTTGGCATGCACATGTGGCACTCCACAGGGCAAAAAGTGGCAAAAAGTTACAAAAGCTTCTCTCTCTAATGGCAAATTCTTAAGTACAATCTTAAGAAGGGTATTTGGTTAATTGTCAAATGTAAAAGTGGCAAATAGTTAAATTCCCCACTTTTCTTCTTTTCCTTTTTTTTTTTGAGCACAAAGGGCAAGGAGCTCTGCCTCATGCATTTAGGGGGGGGGGGGGGGGGGGAAAGCAGTACATTTTCACAATATGTTTCTTTCAGCCGGATTCTTTGGTCTCCCGCAACTACTGCCCTTCAAAGTCCAGGAGCAGAGTACTCTTGTGATCTGGTCTTCCCACACTTCATTTCCTCCCAAAGATATCAATCCTTGAGAAGAAATGATCCAGATCGGTGATACTATAGTGACAGAGAAAGTTGGCTTGATTGTTTGGCTATACAAAGTCCTGATTGGACCAATATTTTAAGGATATCTGCTGAATTATGGGTACACCGCTGCCCGGAGCATCTACGCCCCGCTCTGAACACCTGGATGAACAATCTTAGTGACATAGGAATTTCTTAAACTCCATCCTCCCCCCTCTGTATTTTCTGAATTCTCAAGCAACTTCTCCTTCCTCCATGTAAATTATCTTTATTTGTAACTATCTCTTTATTTATCAATAAATGTTCAGGCCGGTGCTAATCCACCCGCCATAGTTTCCCTGAAAAAAAAAAGGATATCTGCTGAATTAATCTGCATTCTAACATCATACAGTTGGTTGATCCATTTCTTATGGGGCAGTGGATCAGGCACAGTTTCTGCATCCTGTTCGTTCTTTTAAGTTCACACTTATTAGTCCATCCTGTTTGGAGAAGCAAAGGGCATGCGATTGAAATGCTCCTTGGGACAAAGCAACCCACTAGATTCTTTCCCTTATTCTGGCACTTGCACGTCTCATCTGTCTAGCAATAAAATCAGCTTCCTTCATTTTCCCGGATTCCTCCAGTGCATGATGAAGTGCAACTAAACTACGAGGTGCAGCGACAGAAGCCAAAGCACTTCTGTTCTCAATGAGTTCATAGAACAGCCGGAATGCTTCTGAAGCTCTACCAGTCATGCAAAGACCATCCAGAACCATGCTTGGAATGGCTACACCAAAATTCTGAGACTTCTCCAAGCTAAACAAAGTAAAATCTGCAGCTTCTATGAACTTCTTTTCCTCGCAAAGGTTTGCGATTAACTTTTCCATCTTGATGTAATAGCCATGGTCATATAGAGATGTAACAATCTTGTAAGCACGGTCATTTAGGTTGTTCCTGAACAATGTATCTACCAAATTTGTCGAAAGATCAACATTTTGGCGAATCTTCCTCTCTAGCATTATCTCAATCAAATCAGCTGCTTCTTTTGCACAACCATCTTTGTTCAAAAGCCCCAAAAGAACCGAGTGAAAAGTACTTGTGCTTGGCCGAAGACCGCTATTCAACATCCTGTGCAAGGCTTCCCATGCAAACTTCATCCTTCCCCTCTGTGAAAACCCTTCAATCACGGCAATGTAGCATTCATCATCAGGGACAAGATCCCGCTTCAACATTGAGAGCAGCAATGCATACCCTTCTTCGAAATCACCCTCTCTGCAATGCCCAAGGATCAATGTCTTGAATGCAGGAACATCGACCTTGCTCCTCCGGTCCAGCAGCTGCCCAAACAGCATCCTTGCCTTCTTTGTCTTCCCATGCTCACACAAGTACACAAAAACCGGGTTGTACGCTGCAATGAGCGGCGTGCAACCCCCTCTCTTCTTGAGCACCTCCTTCTCCAAGAGCTCATCCACAAGCTCCTCAGCCTGCCCAAATTCCCCATTCTCACACAACACCCGGATGACCATGCTATAGCTTGCAGAATCACGTCTCACACGGAGCTCCACCATCTGATTAAACACCTTCATAGCATCCTCGATCCGGCCTTCCCTACAATGCACGGCCACCAGAGTGTTGAATGTGCAAGTGTCCGGCCTAAACGAGTCCATCTCCAACACCTCCTTCACTAGCTCCATCCTGCCGGCATCGCAGAACCCCTGCACCATCGTGTTGTATGTGATCCTGTTCGGCGCCACACCATCCGCAACCATTAGCTTGAAGATCGCGAGAGCCTCGTTCACGAGCCTCTTGGCGCAGTACGCCTTGATCATGGTCGTGTATGTGATAACGTTAGGAAAGACAGCTCCTCTGCCTTCTTCTCCTCCGACGCGCATTCCGTCGAACAGCTTGCGCGCGGTGAGCACGTCGCCGGCGCGGCAGAGAGCGGAGAGCAGCGAGTTGTACGAGATGGCGTCCGGCGCGAAGGCGTAGGTGTCGGGCAAGAAGCGGAAGAGCCTGAGGAGCGCGGGAGTGGACGGGTGCGGGGATGCGGTGGAAAGGCCGTGGAGGAGGGTGTTGAGGGTGGCGGCGTCGGGGGAGGCGGAGGGGGAGCGGAGGAGCGCGGCGAAGAGCGCGGAGGCCGCGCGGCGGCGGCCGCGGCGGAGGAGGGCGGCGAGGAGGGAGTTGAAGGAGTGCGGTGTGGGGGAAGGGATGCGGCGGAAGAGGGCGGCGGCGGCGCGGACGCGGCCGGCGGCGGCGAGCGCGCGGAGGAGGGCGTTGAGGGCGTGGTTGGGGAGGAGGGTGAGCGGCGAGGGGAGGGTGCGGAGGTAGGAGAGCGCCGGGCGGAGGTCCCGGGAGCGGAGGAGGAGGTGCAGCTTCCGCGCCGCCGCCACCGACGCGTCCTCCGGCGACCTCGACCTCGCCGCGCGATTCATTGCACCGAACTTTTATTTTCCAGGTACTACCACCCTGCTCCCCCTACTAATAACAGAGACAAACACTTTTTTTTAAAAAAAAAACAGTGTAAATACTTATTAAAGATTTTAGCAATGATGATGTACATACAAAAAAAAGTGCAAATAGTTATGTTAGATTTCAGCAAGGATTATTTACACATACTAAAATATATTATTTTTATTTTTGGCAATGATCATTGACATTGAATTCAGCACTATAAGCTCATTGGGCATTTCAATTGTCTCCAACCCTTCCTTGCAGCAGCAAAAGAACTACAGCTCAACTGGAGCATTATACAAACAACGCAAACTCATAGTGAATAAATTGCACGCATGGCAAGCATTTTTTGCCAGGAGAAAAATGAATCATGGAATTCCACAAGGCAGCAGAACAATAAAGGGTAGAGAAAATTAACACTTAGCATAAAACATCATATCTCACAGGGAGTATGGTCATTGCATGTTTTGTTTATTATTCACAAGTCTACAAGCACAGCAAAGATATTATTCCAACGGCAGCTACAGTTGCATTGCAAGGCAAATTCAGATGCTGAGATAGTCACAGAAATATAGCATTTCTTTCTCATCATGCAGACCACATTTCTCTCTCAGACATCAAACATGAGGCTGAACTTGGTGGCGAGAGGAATGGATATAATGGCAGCACCCAACGCAGCACCAAATATACGGTGCGAGATAGAGAATGTAGCACTCAGCTGTGGCTTCTTCAGAGGAAGGTGGGGTGACAGGGGGCGGTTAGCAACAGGAGCCGACAGAGGATGGCTTGTGTGCAGGGGTCGGCATCCAGATGGGAGCATCTTTGGCCGCACAGCTCCTAGGGGACGAGATGTGTACCCCCTAGCTTGCTCAAGGGTTGAGGAGCGTCTGAGGCTGTCGATGCTGCTGAAAGATGAGCCTGAGCTACCAAGGGCACCTGAAAGTATGGTGGCAACAAATGTGAGGAATTCCTGGTTGTGTGAAATGAACTGTAAACAAAAAAAAAAAAAAACATACATAGAGCAAGAGCACACAAAAAACTTTTGGGGGGGGGGGGGGTTCTTGATTGCATTTTACCAAATCTGATTGAAGGCATTGTGAACTATACATGTATACACAGAATTAGCAGTTGCTTGCTAAAGATTCACTAGAGATGGCTGTTTCTCACTAAAACTACACATCAATTATTCACCTATATCCAACCGGAAGTGATCAAAGTCATGTCAGACACGCATAAACTCTTGTCCCCATAAAAGATAAATCATGTATGACCAGCAACAGCCTTTTGCATTCAGATAATAAATGACCAGCGCTACACGGCTGTGTTTGATCATCTCGAGCTATGCAGACAATCTATATATGGTGATAAATCAGCACAGTATTAGACTTGTCTCAACTGAACCACTATTTGGCAGACTGACACTCTAATGTAGTTTCCAGCCTTGGGATACCTCAACTGTCAGTCAGTTTTACCTCCTACATACAAGAATATACTTAAAAAGATGTATGCATGTCTCCAATATTACCAATTCAGTGTGTCTGTGGTGTAATTGTTTGATATCATGTAACTACGTCAGAAGGACAGATAGCATACCAAATCACTGAAAATCTCTTACCACGGAGAGCAAATGGAGCATCTCTGAAGGGAGCAAATCGGGAGTTGCTGTGATACTTCTCCATTCCTACACAGAAAATAACAAAGCAATCATACATCAGCATCGACAGAAATTTGAACAAAAAAAAGAATATGATTGATTATCTTTTGTCAACTGAGTATCATAAAAAAATATTAACAGAAATGCATCTTGGAAATATCAAAATCAACTGAAACTGTTGGGCTTCATTTTGCAGATCATAGATTGAGTAATGCATTCCAGGAAATTCCATGTAAGATACAATGTTAGTCACAGGCTGGAATGCAGAAAAGATGACAAAAAATGCTATGGTTCACAAATCCATGATGATTCACGATTGGTGAGTCAAAATTACACCACCTTTATATTGCCATTCAGTGTTGAAAAGATTCAGAAGCCGATTATGACACATACATAGAACATTAGCCTGTGAATTACAGTTACACCTAAAATTTCTAACCACTTCACACATTTCCAGGGCCTCTCTAAAATCCAAATCATACACAAAAATAAGCCTAGGCATGGGTTCCATAGTATTCTACCGCAGATAACTATACCATACCTATTCACATGTATATCAGATTATCAGTGTATCACTAACAACGCAGAGGATATTTTCGTGATGGGACATTTAGTGTGAATTATGCAGCAGAGAATCTGAACTACTTTTGATGTTTATGATAGTACAAACAACATTGAAGAGCACAATGAAAAAATTTCCACACCAGGGAAACTTCACCAATCTGGGTTCTGCAAACAATGATTAGAGTATTTCAATCCAACAGAGTGGAATCCAACATACAATCTACTTCCAAACCCCCAATCTATGGTAAAAAAAAAAATCGTCATACTAGACGCGATGGGGACTAAACGCGGGGTGGGGGAATGGAAATATAGCTGCGAATACCAGTAGAGGATTGAAACCAAAACACATCGGCACAAGCGAGATCCGGTTTGGATTCAAGTCATCCAAGCAAGGTAGGGCTTCCTTGCCCTTGCAAAGGAGAGCGCGCGAAGGAGAGATGGTCACCTGCTACGGGTGGATGAGGAGAGCGCCGGCGAGGAAGAGCTCCTGGTTTGTGGCAGGGAGGCTTGATCCGGCGGTGGTGCGTGGCGGGGGTAGCCGGCCGCCGGGCAGGTGGGTCGCCGCCGGAATTCGCGTGACGGCGAGAGGTGAATTTGGGATTGACAGCTTGGCAGCACGGCCCGTGACCAGTATGACATGTAGGACCCCCTCCCCCGGTGGGCCCCACTTGTCATCCTCATATTGATGTTTTTGTTTTCAATTTTCACATTTTTTAGTATTTCGACTCCAAGTTTATTATGCGCTCGTATGAATGCAAAAGGCTCTTGATGATTTTTATTCGTATCCATTGTCCAAATACACGCCCATAATTTTTAGAAAAAAAAATTGCGCGTCTCTATGTTCCATGCTGCAGGGCATGAAAAGGTTTGTTTTAACTTCAAACTTTTTTCAAGTTCGATCAAAGTTATGAAAAAACATAGCACCATCTACATTTCACCATTAAATATATATTTGTTTTGTGTAAAAAATATTGCTATATTTTCTGTGAAAATTAAAGAGAGTGAATGGCACTTTTTTACCACATTTTATTGTTAAGTCTTTTCTCTGAACCACCCTTTGACTAATCATTTCATTTTTGTACTAGGTAAATTTACATTTGTTGTTTTTTTTATCATCCTAAGGCTTTCTCTAGCCATGTACGCCACTCTGCCAACAAAATTATCAATTGTGGCTTGAGCATGGTGAGGGAGTTTATTACAGTGCTAGAGTTGATATATGGTTACAGAAAGTGGTTTGAAGTGGTCTAAAGTGCAACAAATTAATGTAGAATTATATGGTCCAAAATAAAAACATAAGTTAAAGAGTAATCCAAAATGAAACTTTGGCAATAAATTACATGCCCAAATTCATTCAATTTGAAATTAGTTTATCATAGGAAAAAAAAACTAAAACACCTTATAATATGTATAATGGAGGGAGTAAAAATTCATCATATTTATTTACTACAAAATCGACCAGTACTATCTCCCTCACTCAACTAACTATAATCCTATTTACAAAGACCTAATCCACAATTAATCTCTACACGCCATTATGCATGGACGATGATGAGGTTCATACATGGATGAAATTAAAATTCAGGTCGAATCAATCGATCGAATTCAGAAGAGCAGCATCCTGACGTAGTCGTCGAGGACGGGGAGCCGCCGCTCGCCGTCGTAGCCATACATGACGCCGACCATCCTGGCGGCGTTGAGCGCCGCCTGCGTGAAGCCGGCGGGGAAGGTCGTCGCCGGCGACGATCTACTGGGGCTAGCGGAGAAGCACTCCCGGTTGAGCTCCTCCCACTCGCCCGCGATCAGCCGCCGCACGTGCTCCTCCGCCTCGCCAGCGGCGAGCCCCGGGTTCTCCTTGAGGTATAGCTCCTTGTACGATCCGTCCAATCCTTCTTGTGCCTCATCCTACAATTTTTATTTCATACATTTTCAGTTCACGATAGGCCCAGCAAAGATCAATCTCCCATACAACTTTAAACATTTTTTTAAAATAATTATATTTTTACAATCCTTAGAGAAGATATCAGAGATACCATATTGCTTTGATGTGTGTGTGGGCGCTGATTTAAAACATGAGAATAAGATTTCAAAGAAGAATAAGATTAATTTGCTACGTATAAGTGTGTAGTAATTACTTCCCCCGGTTTTTAATAAATATGACATCGTTGATTTTTAACATGTGTTTAACTATTCATATTATTAGAAATAAAATTATGTAAATATGAAAAAAAATGTAAGTCATACTTAAAGTATAAACCAAATACAGTAGCCAGACGATGTATGTACAGAAGACAACGACATTATCTATATTAAAGAAATTGAAGGGCCGGGAGTAGCATGTTTGACATGGTGAGAAAAAGGTATTGACCTTGGCACTGCCCAGGTCATCCCAGAGTCTCAAGATTTTTGCTGGGCAGGAGATGACAGGAGGGATGTGATCAACAAACTCTGCTGCATTTTGGCTCACATCATGCCCTAGCATGAACAGCAGGTGTACAAATACAAGTGGCACTCCTGAGGTGACAACTCCATTTCTTAGGTATTCCTCTGAGTCAGGAACCTGGCCAGCAGACAACCATTTTGTCTCTGTCATGAATCCATCAAACAGCATTGCCCACTGCACAAGATACACATGGTAGAAAGAAAGTTCAGTCAATTGCATTGCATATGCATGGTCAGTCCTGCTGCAAATTCGTTGTGAATGAGATTTTTTTAAAAAAATGTTCTAACACAAACGAAAAATTACTTACAGCTTTCTTCAGATGATTGATAGGGTTTACTCCATGTTCTCTCTCGACCATATCTGCGATGTCATTTGTAACTGTGTGTAGAGCCCTGAAGCATGATCTCATGCAGCTAGGTAAGGAATCAGCAGCTGCAAGGTCCCACCTGTAAAAAAATCATTATTAATTGTTACTTATAATCATAATAACAATTTAAATTAAGGCTCTGTTCTAAATAGATTATTCGCGAATGAAAGTTGATGGTATATATCTACTTGATTATAGGGACAAATTAAATATTAAATATTATAAATGTAACAAATGGCTTATATTAGTAATAAGTAGTCTAAGAAATAAAATAGCTAGACAAGAAGTTTTTGAAAAATCATATCTCTATGTGTAGAGCAAATAATCCAGTGAATAAGAAAAAAGAGAATAGGGAAAATCAAATGTATGTTGAAGACTCATGTTAATTATCTATCTTAAGCTGAGACTTACATTCTGATTGCCTGAGTGAAGCAGGAGAGCTCCTCACGTGTGCCAACCAGATCAAAAATATCATCCACAATATAGACAAAGGAGACGATCTTTGTGAGTTCAATTCTGCATCTTGACAAGGAGGCACCCTGGATGGCTGTCATCATCCACACAAACCATTTCTGAACCTGGTCCCTGGCAACTGGTATTTCTTGAGCCAATCCCAGGTCCATCCACCATCTGCATGCATAGTTCATATTATCATTTTCAGACACTCATAGTCAAAGTTTAATCCAGCAAATTAACTATGAACCACTGCTGTTTGATACAACTGCTCAACTAATTAGGAAGAATCACTGTTGTTTCAATTAATACAGCAAGTAGTTGGCATGCATGTAAGTTACTACGAATCACATTGTTGTTTGATACTCTCTCCGTCCTATAATATAAAAGATTTTAGGTGGATGGGACACATATTAGTACAATGAATCTGGTACTAGGATGTGTCAGACTGTTTAGATTCATTATTGTACTAGTATATGTTACATCTATCTAAAATCTTTTATATTATAAAATGAATAAAGTAATTAAGAAGAAACACTGTTGTTCAGTCAATACAGGAAATTACTCAGCAAGTAGCTAGGAGTAAGGTACTATGAATCTTACAGTTGTTTGATATATACAAGCGTGCACGTTTCAACTAATTAAGAAGAAACACGGTTGTTCAATTAATACAGGAAATTAATTACAGCAAGTAGCTATGCATGGAAGAGCAAGGTACTACTCCTACTTATGAATATTCTTACAGTTGTTTGATACAAGTGTGTTTCAACTAACTAATTAAGAAGAAACACGGTTGTTCAATTAATACAGGAAATTAAACTATAGCAAGTAGCTATGACTATGCATGTATTCCTTCCTTTCTACAACTAAGAATTTATCCCAACATATTATAATTTCTCCATTGATATTCTTTTTCCAACCAATTATAGGTTCACAACCCTAATCACAACATCTCTCCATTTAAGGTCCCTTTCGAATCCACTAAAAAAGTAGATAAACTTTTGGATAAATTGGCACGCTTTTCATACTACTAAACGGTGCGTTTCATACGAAAACTTTTTATATGAAAGTTGTTCTAAAAAATCAGATCAATCCATCTTTCAAGTTTGTATGAAACACTTAATCTTTATCTTCATCTTCGTCTTCAGGAGATTCAAACACCACCTAATTCTACCTACTTTCTTGATTACCGTGTTAAACACTAAAGCCTTTTACATTCTAGAACGGAGATAGTAAGTTTCTATGATTCTATGAATCGTACTATTGTTCGATACAAGTGTGTTTCAACTAAGTAAGAATCATTGTTGTTTTGTTACAACAAAAATTAAATTATAACAAGTACTAGATGAGATATTTTATAGCACTACAAATCTGGACATGATGTTTGTCCATATTCATAGTATTGGAAAATATCACATCTAATCCTATGTTCTTATATTTTGGGACGGGGGGAGTAGCTAGCTAGCTAGTATGTATATCAATGATTCAATAATGTATGTACTGTAATATGTACCTTTTGATCTCCTGCATCTCCATCTGATGGAGTAGCTTGTTGAGCTGGAAGTCTGCAAGTGCGAGCTCCTCCATGGCAGTGCACCGGATAGGCAAGGTCTGGAGGTAGCTGAGATGGTGCCTGGCCTTGTACTGATTCAGGCTGACATGGTAGGGATGATCCAGCGACTGCCTCACATATCTTGCAAGATTTGGCTCGAGGTAGTTGATGGCAGATTCAAGGTTCCTGGTTGAGAACTCCTTTGCCTTGCAGAGTGAGGCTTCTTGTCCAATGTTCATGTGTGATATGTCTTGCAGGCTGAGTAACCCTCTGATGTCCTTTCTGTAATCGAGCCTGAATTCGCCATTATCATCTGTGAATCTTCCAAGAACCTCATCTGCAATTGACAATTAATCATGGTTAGTTGATTGATTAATCTGTAACATATGATATATGATCATTAGTGTGTGATCATCTCACACCCTCGGAGGGCCATCTGTGTTCTTTAGCTGGTGTTGCCGTTTTTGGGATTTGTTGGGAGTGTAGCGTGGCTCGGCCCCTCTCAACTGCTTGGAGTTTTGTATTTAGCCGCTGTAGTTTTTTAAGCTTCAGCTTTTTATTTTGCTTTTTCTCCCTTCTCCTGGTATAAGCCGATCTAGCTGATTGCGTTGTGTAACTATAATTTTTTTCTTCTAAAGTATTGACGTGCAACCCTTTCGCGCGTTCGCACATAAAGAGTGATCATCTCACCTGCTGAGACATGGTGGCCAGCTTCTCTCATGAGGCGGAAGGCGAGGGTGGCGTCAAGCAGGTCGCCGCCATGGGCGAGCTCCTCGAGCAGGCAGGCGTCCATGGCGTCGTCGACCTCGTCTTGGAAGTAGTGGTCCATGCAGAGGCGCCTGAGGTGGTCGACGGTGGCTATCCGCTCCCGGCCGCCGCTCGCCGTCTTCTGGTGTCGCCGGCGTTGATGCTGCAGCATCTCCTGCACGTCGTCCGTCAGGGCTTCGTGCCGCTCAATCAACACCTGCAGATCAATTAAACACGAGCTAGATTAGCAATTAATCAAATATATTGATTAGTAGTATCATGCATGGTGTTCATTATTAGCTACCTAATTTTCACTATTTGATAACATGTTCGTTTTGACTTTTATGTAAGTTAAACTTTTAATAACATTTTTAATATAAAACAAACATACTAGCTCCCTTCTTTCATAAAAATTATACATATTACTTTTGGCACCATGATCAAAGAAAAATTAACTTATTCTACATATAGCAAAGATCAAGAATTGCATGCACACGTATGCAACAAATGCAATGAGTATTAAGATGACTCATCGGATGATCTCTGATCAAACATTTAATTTACTTATCTATTAAAGTCTTGCATATATAGAGACTTACAAATAGTAACAACTTATTTGCAAAAGAACTTAAATATAAAATATTTCTAACTCTTGCTACGAAGGGAGTAGCATAAAAACATATTTGACATTCTGATTGGAAAAAACAAAATGACTATAATAGTACAAAATAGAGAAAGTAGCTACCTAAATAATTGTTTAATTAGGGTACGTAGCTTACCTTGATGTCGAAGTCGGTGGGTAGCATGGATGAGTGAGAGGCAAGTTCTTGGCGGCCGGGATAGATCGCCGGCGAAGGGCGGACGTGGGCTGCACGGCGGCGGCGGCCACCGCTCCGGCTCGCCGGAGAAGAAGAAGAAGAAGAAGAAGCCGAAGCAGCTGGAAGGAGCAGCGGCGCCTCCAGCACACGAATTAGGGAGGAGGAGAAGGACGAGAAGACGTGGCAAACCATAGATAAGCTATGCTAAGCTAAGCTGCTGGATTAATTAGCGTAGAGTAATTAGCTATCTCTTCTAAGCCTTGATCTGTGGCATATCAAGCTCAAGCGAGTTTAGATGGGATGGAAAAAGTGGAATGCATGGCCACTTCATTTATAGGAAGATCGAAGATGGGAAGTGTGTGTGGGATCCACAAGCGCTTGAATAATGCTGAGTTGCTGACTGTGCTGATCAGGTGGTTTAATTAGTTATAAACTCCCGAACAAATTAATTATAAAAAATATTTAAATATTTTGATGAATATTGAGTATCTCTCCTGTGTCATATCATTCCAAAAGAAAATTCTAACTCAAAACTCAATCTACATATTGAGAAACTTATATATGTGAAGTGTTAAGTAATTATGATACTTGTATGACGTCATATTTTGATAGTCAAATTTTCATTATAAAAATATCACTATTTGGTAAAATGGCTTTCCCATATGAACTGTACGTTGTGCGGCGTCATTGTCTTATTGGGTTGGGTTGTTTGGCTGCATGTTTCAATTTGCTAAACGTTTTGAACTGAGGTGCTGCTTTACCATAATTTGTGTGGCTAGGAAATCCTTATTGAATTACACAAACTTTAGGAAGGATTTTGTAGCATGCCACAAAAGCGATATAAAAAACTAAACGTTAGACCAGATTGATTGAACTTTGCTAAACATTTGGTAAAATGTGGCTATGAACCAAACACTCCTATAATACTAATGGTGATAATATGGATATCTAGTCCTAAGTGAAAAAAGATATTGTGAGCATGATCTTTTTCAATAAAGTCATCGCGTAGTAAATCAATAAAACATAAAATCAGTTCATGTCTTCTTCTACCTTACCTCGATAAGATTCAATATCATATTGTCAACCAATCTCATTAATAACCAAACATCCCCATAATATGATATATCCTCTTTCATCCACAAATATAAGCATTTCTAGCTTATTTAAGTAGATATTAAGATCAAGAAGATAGAACTTTGACGCTCCTCATTTAATGAGAAATGTATAGGGGATGGGAGGACAGGTTGATGTAGGTGTGGAGATTATGGGTACCTCATACACACACGGTATGGTTATCCGACTGGTTATAGGGGATAACTTATATTTATGAAATATGTAACGGATCATGACTTGGGTATTACGTTTCCTTGTATATTATGGAACGGCCTAAAGTCCTGATTTGATAATATTGTAAAGTAGATTTAGGAAACTGATATCGTATTGGTTAAGGTTTCTATCTTGTAATCCTGCCCCCCATCCTATATAAGGTGGGCAGGAGGCCCTCTAGGGGGTATAATTCACAACTAGATCGTCAGATCTATAATACACCCGACGGATTCAAATCCCCAAACAGGAGTAGGGTATTACATCTCATCGAGAGAGCCTGAACCTGTCTAAATCCTTGTCTCCGCATCCATTCACTTTTAGGTCTCGTGCGCTACCCTATTTTATTATTGTCGAATTCTTGTTTCGACAGTAGGATAAACGAAATTTAAATAAGAAGTAATTTATAAGACGAATAGTACTATGATATTTTAGTATTTGTAATAAATTTGAAGTACTTAGAATGTTTATTTTTATGAATAAAAGGGTACATGAACACGTGAAAATGCTCGCAGTACAGGTGCTGGCCGGTCACTGTCACCTTCGATGGAATGAACAAAGGCCAGTGCCATCACCCACTGTCCAATGATCAGTAAACCACGTGATTTCTACTATCATTTCAGTTTTTCTTTTGGAATTTCCCGTTGTAATTAGCGAAATCGAAGGGATACCCCTGGAGATAAGGAACCATTTTTTGCCGATTTGTTGCTGCATCCGCTGACCCATCCATCGGTCTTCTGTTAGGCCTGTTGCTATGACACACATGGCTGGCAGTGTTGGTTTTGTATAGTACTTTTTCCGGTAAAAAAAATAATATTTTATGTTTTAAAACTCCGATCATCAATTATTTCTCAAACACTTATTTTGAAAACAAAACAAAACAAATACTATGCATAGAATTGAATAAAAAGTACTATTATTATAATATTATAAACTTATTTAATTTCATTAACTAAATCAAATACAAGAGTTCTTGTTATAATTTTAAAATTTTGGCATAATTTCCCCCCTAAATACAACATTAGTTTGTTTAATTGAACCAGAGCAGAGTCAACGATAACCTCTGCTATTCAGTCAATGTCCAACCTAAACATATACTAGATGATGGAGATTTAGACTCTGTTTGGATCCAGGGATTAAATTTTAATCCCTGCCACATCGGATGTTGTGACACTAATTAGAAGCATTAAACGTAGACTAATGACAAAACCTATTACATAACATTGGACTAATTCGTGAGATGGATCTATTGAGCTTAATTAATCTATATTAGCATATGTGATGCTACAGTAAACATGTGTTAATTATGAATTAATTAGGTTAAAAAAATTTGTCTCATGAATTAGCTCTTATTTTTTGCAATTAGTTTTGTAAGTACTCTATGTTACAATTAGTAGCTCTCAGATTAGTATCCAAAGATCCGATTGACGGGAAATCCAAATACGCCACCTTACTACTACTGAATATGCATGCATATGTCACAATGTTGCACCCTCCTGTCCCTCCACCACGCACTACTCCACTGCGTTCACATTGTCATCTTCGTCAACCAGCCGGCTGCGTTTGGACTTTGGAAACCCGTATTCCTAACCCCCAAGTTGTGTGCAAATAAAACAGAGCGATCCATTAGCGTATGATTAATTAAGTTTTTACTATTTTTTTAAAAAAATGAATCAATATGATTTTTTTAAGCAACTTTCGTATAGAAACTTTTTATAAAAAAACACACCGTTTAGCAGTTTGAAAAACGTGCGCGCGTAAAACGAAAAGAGGAGTTGGGAACAAAGAGCTCCGAACAGTCTAAATATCGAAAGCTGCATTACTATGGCCGTGTTTAGATTCAAAATTTTTTCATCAAACTTCCAACTTTTCCGTCACATTAAATGTTTGGATACATGCATGGAGTATTAAATGTGTACGAAAAAAAATCAATTGCACATTTTGCATGTAAATTACGAGACGAATCTTTTGAGCCTAATTACGCTATGATTTGATAATGTGGTGCTACAGTAAACATTTGCTAATGACGGATTAATTAGGCTTAATAAATTCGTCTCGCAGTTTACAGGCGGAATCTGTAATTTGTTTTGTTATTAGTTTACGTTTAATACTTTAAATGTGTGTCCATATACTTAAAAAAATTGGCACCCAACTAAAAATTTGAGCATCTCCAAGAAAGGTGGATCTCTCGTCACGTCAAAATTAGGCAAACCCCGAGAAAAAAACAAACCAAGAGACTTGCTATATTTGGTTGACCGAGCCATCCCGCTAGTAAAATCACTCCTTTGCTGGCCAAATCTAGCAAGCCAGAATAATAGCTGGTCAAATCACTCATTTGTGCTGAAGAGAAGGAAAAATGAGATATAGACTGAAATGTGGATCCCACAAAAAAAATGAAGAGTGTAGTTTGGAGAGGATATTGCATGTTAGAGCACATGAAAAATATAGAGATGAATCTTTGACTAGCTAGCTTATCAAATGGGTAAAAGATGATATGCTAATACTCATTAGCCAAAATTTGAAATTTTAACTTTAAATTTAGAGTTGGTTTTAGAGTTTTTCATTGAAGTTTATTTTTTAGCCTATACTTTTAAATCACTAAGAACATACATATACATATATATATTTATTCATAAATTATTTTTCGTTTGCAAATATATCGTTTAGCTTATTCCGTGATTAAGTAAAAAGATGGGACCGTAAATGGAGAGCAAGGTTTAAGAGATGTCTAGCTTGGAGATGCTCCAGGACGACTTGCAGTTCGCAACATTTCGTTTAAGCGTTAATGGTAAAAACAGGGCAGAGAATATAATTGCCGTTAATTAAGATCAATCATGGGTTTGTAGTATCTAGGGCTAGTTTTGGTCAAGATGGTCATGTGCATGTTAAACATGGAGCGCACTGTACATACTGGTCAGTCAACAGTGTTCCATTTCGTGAGGTTCACCATGCGTGTACCTTTTATATCTGAACCAAATTCCTCTGGAACAAAATGTATTTATGCCCAATTTCACACGCGCATACACGTTTATTAATAGTACGTATAGAACCATAAACCTGTTGTTTTTCACACTGCAGGGGGAGTTGTCGCTGTACTACCTATTTTAGATTTATGAACTCTTGTCCTCATTACAATTTAGGACAGATTTATCACTATCACAGATTCACGAGACCCCGGAATTTTTACATCTTAGTCCTACTTATGTTCTTGTTCTACAAATAGACCGACTAAAAATTTGTTCTAAAAATAAACCCAGCATCAACCTTGACATCAAAATACAAGAACCTTACTGAGCTGGCCTGAGCTTGACGTAAACTGATAGATTAACCAACAAATATGCCCTTAAGTAATGATGTAAATATTATGTAAACGTAATCAACAGATTACTAAATTACCATTCACTCGTTGGTTTCTGGCTAAATGTAAGCTAATTTCTCAAATTATGTATAATGTTTGCGCCAATGTTTTTGGCGGCAACCACCTGTTGACAATTCGACATAGAGTTTGTGCTAGCTTAGCGAGGATCTCAATTCTCAACGACAAAATTTGTAACACCGATGTGTCATACTTCGGTCCATTGCTAATGCCGTTGAGTTAAGGGTCTATTTTAAAATAAATTTTCTAGAGGGCCTATTTATAAAACGAGAATACGGAAAGGGGTAATATGTACAATTTTGACTACATTCCTGGCCCATCTTCAGGTCGAAGATCATCGGAGAAAGGAACAATAAGTTCCTACTAAGGCCATGTTATATTCTTCAACTCCAAACTTCAACTATCTCGTTTTCATTAGCATGTTTTTCAAACTGATAAATGGTGTATTTAATTTTTTAAAAAAATATTTATATATAGAAGTTGTTTAAAAACAAATAAATTCAGTTCTTAAATTTGTAATAATTAATATTTAATTAATTTTAGACTCCCCCTCCAGAGCAATCGAACGAAGCCTAAGCAACCTTTGAGTCGGTGCGGCTCCTGATTTTTTTTCCCCATCAAGATGTGACATGATCACGTGAGTATACGTGATAATATGGAACCCACATTTGCAACCACGTTTTAGTTATGTGGGGAAAATAAGCTTGACGACTATAATGGCTTCGTTATTTTCTTTGTCATTTCGAACATCCACACAATGCACATGTCTCATTATTGTTTTTATATATTTATAAAATTTATTTAAAATATAATCAGAAGGAAGTTTTTTTCATAACAAATATATTATTAATGATTTAAGGAATCAAGGTTTGAATGCATACATTCTAGAATTACGCTTACTTTAGAACAATTAATGGTATTATTTCTAACAAATGATACTCTCTCCGTTTCACAATGTAAGTCATTCTAACATTTCTCACATTCATATTGATATTAATAAATCTAGACATCTAGATTCATTAATATTAATATAAATGAGGGAAATGCTATAATGACTTACATTGTGAAACGGATGAAGTACTGTATATGTCTAAATATCTGGCACAACGGAATGGAACATAAGGTTGTAGGAAGCAGCCAACCAGGTTGCCATCAACAGCTAGCTGGGACCTGATCCAGGTTGGCTCCTGGTCTCAGTGCTTTGGCGAAATTTCAACTAGAGCGACACAGATAGGGACTTTCGAGAATGACAAAAGTAAACCTGTAGCTGATCTTCACATAGGAAGCATCGTCTATCAACGAGGTCGAAGTTAGTTCTGAAATATAAAACGAGGTCGAAGTTTCGTTGGCTTCTTGCCTGACATTTTTTCCCCCTTTTTTGGGGTGCCATCACAAGTTCACAAACGAAATATAAAACGAGGTCGAAGTTTCGTTCGTTTGTTGTTGTTGTTTTCTTTTATCTAGGTCTGCTGAAAGATGGCCTCGGAAGTTTAGATATGGAGTGATTTAGGCCTGGTTTAGTACCCAATTTTTTTCCCCAAAAACATCACATCAAATCTTTGGATACATACATAGAGCATTAAATATAAATAAAAAGAAAAACTAATTGCACAGTTTACATGAAAGTCACGAGACGAATTAGTCCATAATTAGCTATAAGTGCTACAGTAACTCATATGTGCTAATGACGGTTTAATTAGGCTAAAAAAATTTACCTCACGGTTTCCAGACGAGTTATGAAATTAGTTTTTTCATTCGTGTCCGAAAACCGCTTCCGACATCCGGTCGTCCAATGTGACATCCAAAAAAAAATTCTTTTCGCAAACTAAACAGGGCCTTATACTTTATGAGGAAATATATGAAGGTATCATATTGGCAGGGATGAAACTAAGTGCAAACTTTGATTTCCTTAGCAGACAATGAAGTTCTTGCATTACCATGAGATTCTCGTGTGTGACAAAGATGTGACTTCAGCTTTGGCAATATATCCTCAATTTTTTCAGGCCGAAGAGTATCTTGAGAGTGATAGAAAAGAAAAGAATCAGCTTGTATCTTATCGTCGGCAAGGAGGAAAGGACAATTGTCACAGGGCAAGGAGATGAGGGACAATTGTCCTAAGTTGCTCACATTCACATATCATCTACCAACCAAGTATCTTTCTTTCTTTACCAATGTACTCGGTTACTGATCTTCTCGTGCCATCACAATGTCCATCAATCTACTGTTCTACTTCCTGGTGACCTGGTGGGATCTATACACAATTGCGAAACCGCGAAACGAAACCAACAGGCTTCAGATTGTTTTTTTTTTTTTACACAGGATTCAGATTTCAGGATGTGCATGCAGTGCAGTGTGCACCCTGCGTCGAGAGCGAAACGTATGACGAGAAATGATCCCGTGGCGTGGGAGCTTTACGTACATCGGCGGCGGTCCAGTTCAAGCTCCACCCATGCGCCTCCTGAGCCGGCTCCGTGTCATCCGGATCGCCTCCTGGATGAGCGTCTCCTCGTCGGGTATTACCGGCGCTTGATGCGGGTTGCTCGCCGTCGTCGCCGGTGGATTGGCCGCCTGCGTCGCCTCGGTGCTCTCCGTTGTGACGGCTTCAGCGCCTGCTTGAGGTGGCTGTGGCTGTGGCTGTGCAGGAGGCACGGCGGCGCCTGGAGGGGCGACCGGAATTGGGGCCTTGTCAGCTTGAGCTTGGTTCCTTGGCGGCGGAGGCTGTGGCGGCAGCGGAGGCGCTGACGGTGAAGGAACAGGCGGCGGTGCAGGGTTCACCTGCCGAGTCCGTGGAGGTGGTGGACGCTGCTGGTGTTGCTGTGCCTGCAGAAACAGAGACGTTGAGAGTCAGGTCGTAGCTCTACACAGATATAAGCTGATGCAGGCATCACGCGATAATAAATACTCCCTCCGTATCGTAACGTATGACGCCGTTGACTTTTCGACCAACGTTTGACCATTTGTTTTATTTAAAAATTTTGTGCAAATATGAAAATATTTATGTCATGCTTAAAGAACATTTAATGATGAATCAAATCACAATAAAATAAATAATAATTACATAAATTTTTTGAATAAGACGAATGGTCAAACGTTTGATAAAAAGTCAACGGCGTCATACATTAAAATATGAAGGTAGTAATAAATATCTAGTTCAAAAACAATCATCTGAACATACAACTGAGAAACATGAAGCGGATATTACACCTCTAAGTGCTCAGATAACAACTCAATCATGCATCATGTCAACAACTTTACTAGACATACATTAGTAAACTGAAAATGAGTGTGATGGTGGTAGTTTTAATTTAACCAACTTTGTCAGTAAACTGTGCCCAGATAGCCTACTTTGTCAGTAAACTGAACATACATTAGTACTATGACGAGTAGTGTAACATCATAATGAGTGTGATGGTGGTAGTAATAATTTAACATGAGAAAAAATGTGCATGAAACAAACTTTGCTAGAAGCATCCCTGCAAAAAAAAAAAAAACTTTGCTAGAAGCAAAAATAAATTGGAGATGTTCAACTTGAACCCTGCCAGAAAATGACCACAAATATTTGCATTGCCAAACTATACACGGTAATTTCCATGTAACAAAATGAATAGTTTATATGAAACAGTCAAAAAAATTATAAATATGGTAAAATAACAAGACAAGAAAGGTTGGAACACAAAAAATAGCAACTTCAGAACTATGAAGCGCCTATACATTTACTCCTAATAAACATATAATAGGTCCATTTCGACATCAGCAAGGTTCCACATCCTATTCCTAGAGACCCAAAAAACAATTGGTTCGTGGACCCAGGTTATTTGGAGGGTAAAATCAGCACCATGATTAACCAAGTTAAGATAATAAAATAAAGGGTCATGTTTGAAACACAGATGGAATTAGGGCGCAAAATAACTTCCCTAGTTAGGAGTCACTGCTAAGGGAGCTTGGCAAAAGATAACCACAATAACACACGACCTAAATGAATCGGATCCACTTGGTTGTGCTTCTCTTGCTGAAGCAATTTTAGAAACTTTCCAGCACCTTACAACAAGAACTAGTAAAACTACCATATTAAGAAATTGATTCAGCATGGTCAAATTAGCTCAAGCTCCTAAGCTCAGAAATAATCCAGAGAAATAAAGGACACCAGCTAACAACAGATATTACTAATACATCTAAGAACAATGCTTAATTTAGATTTTAAAAAATAAGCTACTGTGTTTAAAACTATTGGTTCCCCCTAACAGACCCATTGATGAAACAAACAAGAAAAATGTAAGTCGCTAGATGGTGATCACGTAGCCGGACATATACATTCAGTTGGCGTGAACTTCTCAACAACAAGCAGTCAAACACAGCCTTTCAAACAGCTGCACATAAGTTCTCAAAAAAGGTACCACTGATAGAGAAATAGTGAATAATCCACTGAAATGGCATTAGGTTAACTATCTTTCTGGAACCTCGCGATATTATTTTTAAGTTGGATTTTCATTGTTAGTTCAGTAAATATCCCACAGGATCAGAATCAAATTCATATATCATATAGTAACCCAAATTCTTCAAGCACTAAGAAGAAAAAATGCACTGAAATGCATATGTCAGACCTTTCCATAGAAAGGCTTGGTAGTACATTTATACCACGATTAAGCTAAGTCTTACTTATGAAAATGATTGTGCATCTCATCAACAGCAACACAAATATGAACCTAAATACCTAATGGTAGACATGGGATGTGAAAAATGCAGGGCTGAAAGGAATATAGAACCAATAGGTCATAACCTCATAGGTATGTCAAATTTGCTGAATGCGTATGTTACTGCATGCATTTGATTCTGAAATTTTAAATACAATCATGAATCATGAAGATTACTAGTTCCGATCTGCCCAAGAGAGAGACGATGCTGCAGACCTATTCTTCTAACTTCCACCAGCAAATGGAAGTAACTGAGAGATTATGGCTGGCAAGCAACTTCAAGAGTTTTCTGAAGTACCTGAGGACGAGATCTTTGAGCCTCTGACTGCGAAGCAATATATTGCAAGATTTCATAGAACCTTGTGTGACTGTAGTCTGCGATCTTCTGGAAGTAATGAACTGCCATATCACCAGCTCTAGTCCTCAACTCAAGTAGATTGCGATCAATTTCAGCTTCATGTTTGCCAATGTACGGCTTGAAGAATGACTCATACACATAGGAAGTGCCCTGAAAATGCTCTCCATTACAAAAGCCATACGATTTTGAAATTAAAAAGAGATAAGAAATTCATACCTGTGTCTTGGGATACCATAGATACACGATAAATGCCAGCTTTGCTTCACTATACATTGGTAACCTGTATGATAACAAAATCATCATCAGCAAGCATGAAAGTTCCCTCCAAACTGCAACCACAAAAAAAACCACAATAACAGATGGCCACATTACCATGATACAAAATTATCCCCAACTCTCTCAAAAACAGTTAGAACTGCTAGTAAAATCCTGTAAAATCATCACTGAGCATGTGATCAAGTAGAGAATTAAATCCAAGAATGATAGTCTAAAGTAAAGGGGGTGTCCAATACAAACCAGTACTGACACCAGAACCGCAACTGCTCAACCTCAGGTCTGTTCAGCTCCACTGTCTTGTAGCAATCATAGGCTGGGTATGCATATCCAAGAATAAGTCTGCAAAATCAAAAGATAGCAAAACACATAACAGGTGTGGCCAAAATCATTGCCCCTTTCCAGAAATTAAAAGGAAACTACCGCTGCTACTTACATTAAAGCTCTGGTAATGATTGAGACGACCATCTTGAGCCCTATTTCACAGAAACATCTGTTAGAGCATGGGGTATACAGTTTTTTTGAGCAAAAATGGCCTAGGAAAACAAAGATGGACTATGAGCATCAAATTTACAGGAGCAATTGCAGAACAGCAGACATGAATAAATGGAAGCACTCCTTTCCTACTGCATGATCAATTGTGCATTTAAAAGTGCAGTGTTCAATCATGGTAGCATCATAGCAACTTCCAGGAACCCTTTTGATTACTACAAGCACTACAAGCAATAGGAGGAATCCACATGATTACTAGTACAGACAAGACCAAACCAAATAACCTAAACATGCTGAAAACATATATTAGTTTCGGAAGTTTGAAAACGAATAAAATGGAAGCACACAGGTAGAAATCAAACGAACAGCCAAAACCGCTCCCCGCAATTCAGACGAGTCTAATGCCTACCTAGGCGGATAAATCAACGGAGCACACAGGGAATCGCTACATTTGACTCGCAAATCTCCCCAAATGCGCACAGCTTTGAACCGAACGCCACCTCGCGCGGGGCGATTGCAGCAGCGGAAACACCACCGAAGCGCAGAAATCGCAGCTCCGCTACTACTACGGCAGCAGCAGCCGCCTAATCCACATCTAAAACCACAAGCTAATATTCGTAACGTGTACGGGAAATCGAATCCTAACGAGAGGGGAATACCTTTCCTCCCGCAGCAAGCAAGCAAGCAACGGATCGATCGCCGAGCCACGGGCCGCCTCGCCGCCGCACGCACGAACGCCGAGGCGGGGGACGGCGCCCCGGTCCCGGAAGCTTCCAGAAGCTTCTCGACGGAAGCCACCCGCGTCGGCGGCGAGCGAATTCAAAACCAAGGGGAGAGAAAATACAAGAGTCTTTTGAGTTTAATAATTTCCTTTTTGGGGATAATCTAAGCAAGCAAAGGACGCGAGGAAATTAGCGTAATCGTAAGAGTAAATAATTTACCTTTTCTCTTCCCGTCCGCTACGCGTAGTCACTGACTGTGGGCCCAGGAGGAAGAAGGACCCACCTGGCAGTGTCACCGGTGGGTCATGCAGGGACTTTGCTGACGTGGACGCGCTCGCGACGGGGGCATTGGTAAAGGATGGGGGGAAACGTGACGGGTTTTATACCCGGCGCGGGGAGGGCTAGATCTGGGGTGTGGGTCCAAGATGTCAGTGAGTGGTTAGGAGGTGGATAAGGTTGCAAAGACGGTAAGTAAAGAATTGCTGCTGCTGTGTTGGGATTGGAGGGGGAAGGAATATGTGAAGGCGAAGGGGAAGGGATGGGATCTCCGCCGTCGATTCCGTCCACCGGCGGCTTTACCCGATTCGGAGGCAAACGAGAGGGGACACGCGCTACGTGTAACTGACGCGTGGGCCCAGCTCTCTGGTGGGCTTGCTGTGGGCTGTCAGGTATTGGGCCAGAACGGATTGCAAATATGGGCCCATTGAACCTTCTGTGCGTAGTTAGTTTGTGGCCCACACAAACTCTGGACAGCCCTTGAGACACGGTGCTGTGCTGCGTCAGCTGCATGGCCCACGTGCCAGTGAGACTAGCATAGTAATCGTATTGCTATCTCTTTTTTTCTCTGTTTTGGTGGCATGCTGTCTAATCCATGAGTCACTGACACCTCTGCACACTGCAACTGATTTTGGCTCTGTTCGGCAGCCATATTTTCCACCTTATGTTTGTCGTTTTTCACGCGTACATTTTTTTTAATTACTAAACTTTGTGTTTTTCAAAAAAACTCTATAGAAAAGTTATTTTTAAAAATCATATTAGTACTATTCTAAAAAAAATAACTACTCTGTTTTGTAATACATAATTAATCATGTACTAATGAGTTGTCCGTTTTGCGTATGCGCGGGATGAGTTCCTAACTCATGTGTATGCATGATCTCATTTCTACTCTCTTCCAAGAAAATCATCTTGAGCCATTTGAATTGCATATTTGCATGTTCTCCTCCATTAAATCAAAAGATATAGTATATCGCGGTGTATAATTGGAATCAGTACGTTCAGATGTGATATTGTAAATGGACCAGAGCAGATTGTACAAAGAGTGGTACAATTAATCACATGCCAACAGAGAGGACTCCATATTTACACGTGGTAGATTCATCCATAACTTTGCCTTGATTGCACTTTTAATTACAGCTAGCTAATCACACACATGTTACCATGTTTTCCTTTTCATATTGTTTACCAGATGACCGAAATGAACTATAATGCTCTACCTCCTAAAAGAATATGTGTTTTATCATAAAATTGTATTCTATTGTATTACTTAGACCACTCGTTTTAATAAACTAATAAATCTATTAAGTTTTTTTTAAAAAATAAGGTTAGATTAATTAAAACTGTGGATGCAGCAGAGATAAAATCAAGCAACCAACCATACCAAAATTTCAGTATTTTTTTATATAATAGATAATTAGGCCTTGACTGCAATAAAAGCTAAAACTTTGTTCTATTGCATTACTGATTAGACCATTTATTTTTAATTATTTATTAAGGTTTTTTCTAAAAATTATTTAGCTTGTTTAATAATGGAATATAAATTCCAGCCTTTACTTAAAAGAAGCTATAGCTACTTATTAAAAAAACCTCTCAAAGAGAGCTAATAGTCAGGCAACAATAAGAACTAGAATAATAGATAACCCACAATAACAATATTTTGCTCTAAATACCCAGTTAGAAAGAGAGATTGGGGATATTTTTTAAGTGGGAGATAGGGATTGCCATAGAAGCAGGAGCAGATCACCCTGCACCAATCACCACCACCATCCACCTTGGTTTCACCTTTGCTGTATTGGTGTTTGGTTGGTCTATACAGGAAGTGGTAGTACATGTGGGGCAGTGAGCCGCAGATGCAAGTGCAGTGGCAGCCGCAGCGCAGCGCATGCAGATGCAAGGTTTCCGTTTCTGCCCACGCCAAAGCGGCCAACAAAAAGCGCGACGTCTCCTGCAGTTGCTGCTCTTCCATTCCACCTCGCATTTACTCATCCCTTCTCTCCCTCGCTCGCTCGCCTCCTCGCCTTCTTCTCCATCTCCATCTCGCATCTTCTCTTTCTCTTTCTCTTTCTCTTTATCTCTCTCTGTTGCTGCTGATCAAGAAGCTTGGAGAGAGGGAGGGAGAGATGGATCGGTGCATAGGCATATGACTGGAGGTTAGTGCTTCGGAGTGGTCTGTTTGTATGGATGGATGGATGGATTGGAGGAAGGGAAGGGGGATTCATCTGCTGGTTTTGGTTGTGGATTGTGTTCTTCTTCTTCTTCTTCTTCTTCTTCTTCTTCTTCTTCTTCATCAACTGCCCTGCAATTCTGCCCTGTTTCTTGCGGTTTCTTTGATGTCGTGGTTGCGTCTCGATTTCAGGATGGGCTTGACCGCTGTTCTGTCTGTCTATCTTATTTCGGTTGGCTTTGATTTCGCGGTTTGGTTTATGTTTTTGCTACATGCTTCGTCTCCATCGTTTGTTTGATTAACTTCTTGGCATAATTTCGATTTCGAGACAAAAGGGTATGAAATGTGGAGTTCACTGCAAATCAAATCATATGACTAGTTTAGTAGCATGAATTAAATAGTTTATTACTACTTCCTTTTCTTGAAACGGACAGAGCATTTGACGTTAAAATTCACAAGCCTTTTGTGTGGGGGAGAATACCCTGAATTCATTTTCCAAGGTGCGATGCGACCATGTGCGCAGAGTGATCTTATCTCTATCTTTTCCCTGCAGCGAATGGGAGCCAAAATCTTATTTCATTTTTACCCTGAAGAATTCAGAAAGATGGTGTCTTTGGTTGGATCTGGATAATGATTTGCAACTCTATGCAGTCTTTTTTTTTCTTTTTGAGATTCTTGGGGGGCTAAAGATCCATGAATCTTTTCCAGTCAAGAAACACCACCAGAGAAAAAAAATTCTTCTTTTTCTATCACCTTTCCCCCCTTCCCTCATCAGCTTTGCTAGCATCTAATTCTTCTGCATTTCATCACACAGGACCAAGCTGCATAACTCCCCCTTTTTTTATCCTAACCTTTTGGTATTGCCTTTGCTTCCATTGTACTGCTGACCCTCTGGATGCTGTCTCCTTGTCTCAATACTAGCATTACTCCTCTTCCATAAAGCTGGAGTTCACTTTGTTGTTGAGTCTCTCTGTGTGTGTATATCTTCTTGTATTCATTCATACTGATTACTGCTGCATTTGTTGTGTGTAGTGTAGGCCTATGGTAAGTGTGGAGGAGAGGAGAGAAAGGGAGATGGAGATTTTCTGAGATCTTTTGGGCATATAACCTTTTGGATGGTGGATATGGAGAAGAAGAGGGAGAAGCTGGTGGCTGGGCTCACAAGAAGACACATGATAAGGAGTGGCTCCTCCTCTTCCTCCTCTCCTACTGCTGCTGCTGCTGCTGCTGGTATGTAATGTTCTGTTCTCTTCTGCCCCAGTGGTCTCTCTCTCTTCTCTCTTCTCTCTCATGTGTCCAGTCCAGATGGTTACAGTGAACTAACCCAGCAGCTTTCCTTTCTCACTCATGCATATATCTTTCCCCAAAATGCCCCTTATCTTAATTATCTCTCCTTTGCCTTTCCTAATGCATCCTTACAAATAAAAAAATAATCTTTTCTGGTGCTCTTTTTTGTTCTTTTGTTCCACTCTGGTGGGCCCCACTGATCACCTTGATATAGGGTCCTAGTATGGCGCTGTGATTGGTTTTAAGGTTATTTTCTTTTTGAAACCCCATTTTAAGGTTATTTTCTTGGAAAATTAGCACCCTTGTAGTATTGCTTTGGGCAGGATCACACCATCTAGTGTACTACTGCTAGGGGGTTGGCTAGAGACCACCACTACTGCATAGTAGCTAGAGTAAATGATTACATCATATATGAGTAGAGTAAGCACTAAGCAGTAGTTGTACAAGCTTGTCATGAATTTGTATTAGTCAATATAAGGTCAAATTAAGTTTGTCATGAGTTTATGTTCAGACAGTGAATCTAGGTTTGTCATGAATTTATGTTTAAACAGTCAATATAAGGTTTGGCCTTTTGGTTTGGAACTTTGGATGGATGAGCTCATACAAAATATGCCAACTTTCCTCACCATCGATCACACACCACAAGAAACCTCTTTTTTTTTGGTAGTACCTTTTTTTCGGGGAAAGTTTTATTGTTTAGACCTTTCTGGTTTTGGATGGTTCGATGAGGTTAAACTTTCGTGAAGAAATCTCCAAAATATTATGATGTTGTCTTGGGTCTTAACGATTGTCACCTACTGCTTACGTGTAGATATGCACCCCAAGCCATACCTTGTGATTACTATCCTTTTCACAACACAAAGTTCTCCTCGCAGCATGATATGACATTCACCAATGAGCTTATTTTTCCTCCTGCTTTTCCTTTTTAAATGATTCTATATATTGCTTTTATTTTCTTTTTTTTTAATATACAGGTTCTGTAGCTGTACACCTTTTCATCAGATGAATAGTGCATTATTTCCAAGAGTGTCATCTGATTCTTAACTATTTAAAAATATTTTGTCAACAAAAACTATTTAAAAAGACTCTGAACTAAACACTTGGATGAAGTGCTTATTGGTTCTAAACGATTAGTTTATCTAAACTGGAGTACGGTGAAACTAAAAACTGTACCTACAACCTTTCAAAAGATAAAATTCTTTAGTTACCGGAGTACAAAGTTACACACGATATCTAATGCCAGTCGCCTCTGTACATTGTTTACAGACAACAACAAAAATATGAGTGAAGGTGGAGATCTAAACCTGATATCTAGGCAGAAGAAAGGAAAGGCAAAGGTTTTGAAGTGGAGATTAAGCAACACTGACATGGACATGAAAGGGGAGGAAGGAGGTTCTGATGGAGACTACGATGATACAGTGCTCTCCTCACTGACCACAGCTAGCTTCAGCAGTCTGATTAGTAGGAAGAGAGTGAAGAGCCTTGGGAAGGTTTGTGTCCCGTTTATTAGCCTTCTCTGCTGTTCAATCATTTGCTTCCTGTTCTTTATGTACATCTTTTTTGTTCATTTTTCTGTTTCAAAGGTGGCTGAGGATTGTGATGCTATTGATCCACCGGTTCCTAGAAAATTAAGATCAGGTAGGAGTACTAATCACTGTATATCCTCTCTCTCAGAGCTATAGAAAGGGACAACTTATTTCGTGTGCTTTTATCATGCCTTTTCCTTTTAGTTTACATCTATGGTGGGGCTAAGTGAATATGCTGTGCTATTTTTTCTCGCAAGACTTTTAGCATATAATACTGTAAGATTTTACAGCGGGATAGAAAATATAGAGTGCATTTTTTTAATTAAGGTGGGTACTATTCACCTGTGAGAACACAAAACCCAAACTGATGGTTCGCTATGATATTTGAACATACCATTTTCATTTTAATTCCGTGAGCTCTGGTGCATACACATATTAGATGTTTTATTAACTAAAGTGTTTTGAGTACTGAAAATAACAGTTCAAATTATAGATTAAAGATTTACATTTCTGAGTTAATATTTAAATTCTGTTTTCCCCCTACTTTCAGCCATAAATAAACGTGCCAGTCAAACTGTTTCTACATCACCGCGGCATGTCAAGAAGAGGCGCCATCTTTCAGCTATCAGCTCTCAGACTTTCCTTATGGATCGAGAAACAAGATGTAATGCAATTCCGGTAAGTTTTTGTGCTCATAAATATCTCTTCATTTTGTCAAGAGGCAGGACCAAATATTGAAAATGAATCATTTTTTCTTCATTCTTGCTTAGCAGTTGGCGAATCATTTTTCGAAGGAGGAGGAGGTAGTTGTGGATGCTTTGCTATCTTTATCTCAAATACCCCATCTTTGTGAACTGTCGTCCGACAGAGGAATGGCAGAAGATAACTTAGATTTAAATGTTACTTCAGTGTCTTATTCAGCAGGTATGTTTGCAGTTTGAGTGTTTGACTTGCTATTATCGTATTAATCACTATATTCAGCATCTTTTTGACAATGTGTTGCATATATAATTGACTGGTTACTTCTACAGGAGCAACAAAGGTGGATGAGAAAATATCGGCATTGCCAACTGCCGGTACGGAAGTAGCTAACCAACCTGCCCTTGATGAACCAGTGGAACGAACTGGCAATGTTTCACAAATAAATCATGTGCCTTGTGGTGGTACCTGCAACAACACAAATCCAACTTTGTCAAATGATGGGCAAATACATGATATTTCTTTGGGAATTGTAACGAATTTACCGAGCCCATCTAAAGACTACAATAACAGGTTGGAAATTGCTCATGGCTGTCGTATCTCGTATTGTATTTTGGTAAATGGTCTCTCCATGTTTATTTGATTATTTCTGTTTGCAGTCGGAAGCAACTGAAAGTGCAGTTTGATAATAGTACAATTCATCCCACAAAGATAGAAGCCCCTCGGTGCCTGGTACTGCTTTGTGCCCCTCGGTGTCATTTTTTCACTTTTCAGTCTGTCCTTACGATTCATGCTTTCTCCCCAATATGAATTTTCTGCAGGAAAATTCTAAGAAGCCTGATATTCTGGAACATGACAGGAAAAATGTCAAGAATAACACTGCCCAAGGTACTCATAGAGCTTTATAGTGTCATAACAATTTATAGGTTGAATAGTTCATACCGTTTTGTCCAACTAGTCACGATGCTTCTACTATTTCTTGGCTAATACATGGTCACTATTGTCAGAAATTGTGCCACCGGTCCAGACTTCAAAACCTTGTGCCTCGCATAGGTATTTGATCAAGTAACTTTCGATTAAACCTTCAGTGTTGTTTTCATCATCGATCTCTAAATATGTCCCTTTTCCAGGCCATCTTCAAACACACTGGCGTCGTGTAATAATACTGCCGCAGAAACTGTGAAAGGAACTGGAGAACATGAGAATGTAAGTATTGTTAACATATCCATTTTTCTATGCCTTCTTTTCTTCCAGAATAAATGGATAAGGAAACTCTCTCTCCTAAGTTGAATGCTATGTTCTATTAAGGCTGATATCATGAAGGGATATTTATATGTTAACTGCTATGATTGTATTCTTTGACTACTGAGCTGACAAATTTTATATCTGCAGCTTTCCCTCGTTAATAAAAATGGTACCCCCTCGAAGACATGGAAGAGAAGCATTACCCATGTCTACATGTGTCATCTCATCCAAATGCATTTGGACAAAGAGAAGGCATCACAAAACCGGGTAAAACCTGAGGAAGTTTGTCACAGTCACATTTCAAGGTCTCCAGACGGTTCTACCATAAGTAAGAATGGTGCACAAGACGAGAAGTTCTACGCCTTGCATTTCGATGTAAGGCTACCTGTTCAGCCATCTTGCAGTGTTTGCGACACGACCATTGCCCGACAAAAGATGGTGAGCAGTGACCGCCTTTTCAACCATCTCAGCTACTTCAGTTTTCCTTCTATCTCTGTTTCTATATGAAAGATGTTGTGTTGCTTCTTTCAGGTCAGTGGTAATTTTCTGAACTTGCCCACTTCTGCGGCGTTATCAGGGGTGCAGCATGTTCAGTATTTACATCCCCCGATCGCTCCCCGCGGTGCAATGCCATATCCAATTCAGCATCTCCCTTACACCAGGGGGAATTTGACGCACACTGCACTACTACTTCAACAGGTTTGTCCTTGCACATTGCTTCTGAAACAAAAGAAAGATTTACATCATTAATAGTACTATTAGAATTTGCAAGATTTGTGAGGCGTTTTTCTGTCAATGCCTTATAGACAACCACTAACTTTTTTATAGGCATCTCATAACAGTTACTAGTACAAACTCCTTTTCTTGTGACAACTTACAATACAGAAAAAAAAAACCACTTCTATCGTTATTGATCATAGCCTGTTCCTTTTCCGACAAAACGAAATGTGGATAAAAGAGAGACTGCAAACAACATGATTGTTTTCTTTTTTGCTATACAAATTCAATTGTATTCTCAATTTCTCATCACAGTTTGTTTCTTGGCCATCGAGTAGCAGATGCCACAGTACATGTGCAATCCAAACCCAGCCATTATGAAGATTCAGCAGCAGCTCATGCCCAATCAGCATCAGCATCAGCAGCAGCAGCAGATGTGGCAGTTTCAATTCCCTCAATACCATCATCCAAGGCCAGACGCCGCCGCCGCCGCCGTGTCGGCGGCGTGGCAGCACAGCAGCCGGCTCCACGACGTCTCTTCCCTGCGTCCGGTGGCCGTGCTGCCTGCGCCGCCGCCGCCACCGCCGCCGCAGATGGAGCTCTTCTGCTCGCCGTACCATGGCGGCAGCAGACAGCCGCCGCAGCTGAGGTTGATCTAGCTTATTAGCATAGCAAAACTGTCACTGCTGCTGTTTCTGTGTGTTCATCTGACAAAAAGGAATTTTCAGACAAGTTGACATGACATTTGACAGTCACAGATGCCAATGGGTGGCAAAAAGCTGTAATTAATTTGAGATGTTTTATGTTGCTCGATCGAAAGGTACTCGAGTGTAGTGAAGTACTTTTTTTATATGAAGAAATTAGATGCATTGAAAAAAAATAAAAAAACAAATAATAGTTTAGAACAAATATGGTTTTAGCAAATGTAGTAGGGAAAATTTTCTTTAAGAAAACATTTTAAAAAGCGTGAAGCAAATAATCTAAAAATGATGGGGGCGTAATTAATGAAAATGCGAGTGCTAAATTATTCAGCCCTCCTTTGAAACATATGGATATTGTTTACAAAATTATTATTAAATCCCTGCTCTCAACAAAAACTCGATCTTATTTGATCGCTCGTCCGTGTCGAACTCGCTAGTTTAAGGAAAATTTAGTTAAATTTTCCTAGAAATTAGTACAGTTCCCTTGTAGTAACTCACTAGATTTCCCCTCATTTTGAAATTAAGCCTTTTGCTTAGATTCATGACATGTAAACTCAATAGGAGATTTCCCTGTTTACACGGAGGAAAAAAAAAAACCTGAAACAGGGGGCGGTATTGTGAAGCCTTTAAAACCAGACTCCCTCCGCACGCAAAACCATAACGGAGTCGCTAAAACCAGGGACCCACCAGTCAGTCACCCGTGGAGTCCACCGTGCGGTCACCTAATCCCCACGCCCTCCCCGCTGCCACGTGGCGCTCTCGCTATAAACCAAACCAATCCGCAGCTCAGCTCTCTCTCCCTCTCTCTCTCTCTCTCGCCTCGCTCACGAAGAAATCTCTCCTCCGCTCTCGCTGCCGATTCCGCCGCCGCCATGGCGAGCAGCGGTGGCGTCGTCGTCGAGGCGTTCACCGAGGAGGAGCACGAGGTGGCCGCCATCCTCCGCGACCTGGCCGACCTCGTGCGCGCGCGCCATCGCCGCCGCCGCAGACGCCGCGTCCAGCGCGAGGAGATCCCCTCGTGGGGATGTCGCCGGCCGAGGACGACGCCTGGGGAGAAGAAGCCGGCGCCGCCCGCGGACGTGGGGCGGCGACACGAGGCCGCCGCCAGCCCCGACACGCCGCTCGCGTTCCTCGTCCCCGACGAGAGCAGCGGCGACGACGTGGCGGCGAGGGCGGCGCCGCCCAGGAAGGCGCCGGCGTCGCACGCGGAGGTGAGATCTGATTCGCTCGCTCTCTCTTCTCCTCCCAATTCGATCGGATTCGATTTGATTTTAGCTTGTAAGCAGTATTGATCTGTTCTTTTTTGCTTCCCTGCTTTGCTCATCAGTGGGTTGAGGAGCAGCGCGCCGTCGTCGCGAGCTTGTCGCAGGAAAACTCGCATCTATCCAAGGTGAGATTTATCAAACCCTCTCTCTCTCTCTATCTATCCAAGTCTTTATCTCTCTCTCCAACTGAATGGATGGATGAAGAATTCGCTCTCGAGTTCAACTATCCCGATCGCAAAAATCGTTGGGATTTTGACACACTTGTTCATCTTTGTGGTGAATAAAAAAACAGCAAATCGAGGAGTACAGAGTCCGGCTGCAGAGCTCGAGGAGCACCAATGACGGATTGAAGCAGATGCAGCGCAAGGTAAAAAAATTTACAGCTACATATATTCCAATTTTTGCATCCTCTAAAATCGTAAAAACAAATTATGTTCGATCGATTCATCTCCAATTTTTGCATCCTCTAAAATCGTAAAAACAAATTATGTTCGATCGATTCATCGTTGTTGTAGATAGATGATAAGGTCAATGCTTCACTAGTGCTACTCTTTTCTTGCGCTTCAATTCAATTCTTTGGTCGAGGTGTTTGCGTGGACACACACCTGACACCCCGGCATGGTTGGCAACCAGTCCAAATGGAAAGAAAGATGCGACCTTTCCGAATAATCCCCAATTGAGTCGGAGTCAACCTCATCTTACTTTTTTTTCATTTTCTCTTTTTTTACGTTTTTTTTCATTTTTACTATTTGCAGCTGAAGCGGCAGCGGGAGCATGAGGAGGAAGAGGAGGTGAATCGGAAGCGGCGGGTGGAGGCGGCGGCGGCGGCAGCCGACATTGTCCGGCCGGCGCCGGTGCTGGACCTGAACGAGCCGGCGCGGGCGCCGGAGGAGGACGACGACGATGCCGTCGCCGTCGCCGCCGCCAAGGCCGCGGCGGCGGCGGCGGCGGCGGAGTGGTACCACCTGGGACAGAAGCGGGCGGCGATGGCGTGCAAGGCGGCGATGACCGCGGAGGCGCGGCTCCGGCGGCAACAGATCCGGCGTGACAAGGCGGCAGCGCGGCGAGCAGGATGAGGCGGGTAGAATGAAATCCTGATTGGCCATTGCCAGAAATCCAACTTTTTTGGATCAGTGCAACGAGAGAAGAAGAAGAGGAGGAGGAAGAAGAATTCGATCGGATTACTACTAGCAAAGTAGCTAGTGATTAAAGGTTTAATTATTAGTAATTACAAATTTTGTTAGCTTCTATATTCATCATCAAACAGTTGAGCGAGTGTTCATCTTGTTTTGCAATAGTGTGTGAGTGAGACTGGTTAGCAGTTCTAGCTAGCTTACCATAGGAGAGTATTGTATTTTGGCCATGCAGCCAAGATTGATAGCAACTGCTAATCATATATATTCATCATTCTTTAGGGAAATAAAATACATATATTATTCTTTTTGTGAGCAAGACAATACCACAATATCCCAATATCCTAGTTTTCTCAATGTATTGTTTTTCTCTTACCAGTACAGTTGTTTTACTCTTACCAGTACAGTGGAGAACAATGAAAGGATGTCCTGAAAGGTTTGAAACTATTTAAATCGAATCTGATTTGAATGTTTGATTCAGCATGAGAAAGGGGACAAGGGCTAGTTAAGGCCCATGATATTGTTCATCGCGTGATTTTAGCCCTTGATGAGTCCTCCGCTGGGGGCCTGCCTATTTTGCCGTTTAGGAATAATCAGATCTTTATCGGTAAATCTCTCACAAAGAAGCCATACTTATGGCTAAATAGATATCTGGATATATGAAAAACAAGACAATTATAAATGTGCTAGTTAGGCCTTGTCCCATACATGTGGATGGGCCAGGATTGAAGCCCACCCAAATAAGACACTAGTCAGTAGTCATGTTTCTGTGAAGGGATAAATCTATTTGCTTCCCTCGTCTCTTGCCCTCGGTTGAATCAGATCTCTTAACCGCAAAATCAGGTCGGGTACGCGGATGGTGATTTTAAAATCAAATCCAGTGCAACCGGGGGCGCAAAATAAGATCTCTCCTTGGGCTCAGACGGTCTGGGCAAGATACGCAAATGGCGTGGTAGTGGAGGATAAAGAAGAGCTCAAGCCCAACGATGGCAAAGCCGTCATCCGCGATGATCGGGAGAGGATGGAGAGGAGACAATGTGGCCACTCAAGCTCGATGTCGGCGCCACCGCTACTCGGAAGGAGATAAGGTCACCGACACCTTGGCTCTTCCACCGGACATCGCCCTATAGCTGGATCCTACCCTCCCAAGGTCGCCTGTTAGACCCGGTCCTCCTGTGGCCGCGAGCGCCTCCTCCATTTCCCTCGACTTCCCCGAAGCAGCAGCAGCAACATACGACAACTGTGACGATGAGGGAGAGAGGAGGTTGCGATGGTGGTGTTGAAGCAAAAGCAGCAATAGGCAGTGGCTGCAGCAGCGAGGGAGAGGAGGTTGGGGCATCAAAACAACAGGTGAGCGACTAGAAGGTGAGAGAGGAGGAGGGAAGATTGAAGAGAGGAGAGAGGTAAGTAAGAGGATGAGATAGGCGAAAGTCGCTGACATGTGGGTCTCACCTATCACGACAACAAAAACAGCTTCCTAAACCATTCAAGGAGTCATTTTGCACCAGTTTCTGAAGTTGGAAGAGACATTATACCTATAGTTTTATGGTTGAGAGATATGATTCAATCAAAGGCAAGAGATGAGGAAGGCAAAATAGACTTATTCCTTTGTGATCAAAAGCTGAAGAATTGAGGGATAAAACCCGATAATTCTGAACTGAGCCCAATAAAAAATGCTCAGAGCTTTAAGCCCAGTGACTAGTAGGCCAATTTGGGCTATTTGTCAAACTGGGCTCTCTCCCCAAAGAACGTTCAATATGCTCTGCCACAGTGCCACCCTATCCCAGAAGAGAAGATAAGCAGCAGTAGTATAACGAATACTCCCTCAGTCCCTCCGTTTCAGAATATGATCATTTTCCATCCCTCCCATTTATTTTGAATCTCAAAATAAATTTATTTTAAAATAATTATTCTACTGAAGTTTGTAAAAGTAGAGGATAAATACATTGCATTGGGATTTGATAAATTTTGTATAGGTATGTGTGGGATGGATAAAAAACAATTTTTTTCCCAGATAATCACTAAGTAGAACCAAAGTTCAGTTTATGGCAGATCAGATAAGGTCAAATTTTAACTTATATGAGATGATAGTTCCCTGTTGATGATGATATCTCCATCGATTTTATAGGTTGAAGGGCTATATATCCAGCATGCAGGGTGAAGAAAGTAAGTCGTCTTCTGTGTGGTTCTGTGCAAAGACAGAATTTGTCTATCTGAAAAATCGAGGTAATATTATCTGGGAAATCTACTAGTAATAAGCTATAGTAGATCCAGCAGGAAAGAATAGACATGAAGATCCAGCAACCAGCATGTATTGATGTATATGGTTTTCTGCCAGAAAAGGAGCCCATCTGGATCTAATCGTGCATGATACATATACAGTTTAAATGTAGTTTCAGTCTTCAGTGACAGACACCATCTGCAACAAACGTAAAACCAGCATATTCAGAGCTGAACTGAACTAGATAGAACTAACAATTCCTTTTAGCAATGCCAAGAGCTGAACTGAACACAGCTGAGATCAGAGGATGAAAGGTAGCACCGAAACCGAATTCTCTTCTTCCTGCAGCTGCTCCTAAATCCTGTGATAGATACTACCACCAGCATGCTTGGCTGTTTCAGTGATGTTTCTGAAACTAGCTTGTGTTCAGTGATGCATCTCCACTCTATCCATGTGTGAGTTGGATGGAACTGAGAGGAGGAATGGAAGATGATGAGCCATTCCGGGCTCATTCGTTTCAAAGAAATTTTAAAGGAAAAATAGAGAAATATGGGATCCTTTGGAGTGACACTAAACTGCCATCTGTTTTAAAGGGATCCAGCAAAAAGGAATTTATTATCACTCTACTTTTATAGGGGGAAAAAACAATCCACTCCAACCCAATGTTTTAAATTTTTTGGATTGTTTACTGAACATACATGGTAAAGTTTTCGATGTTTTTCAATTCTTAAGTTTACACATATATTTTCATATTGTTCCTATATTTTTTTTATTCTTATTCATACGTTACGAAAATCGTACAAAATAATGGAGCCCTCATTTTCCACGTTGTGAAAGCGACAAGAACGGAGGAGGATGTCAGGCAGAATGACGCAGAGCAGACGAGTGGTCGCAGGTGAAGTAATCACGGCAGACCGGCGGAGGCATTGACGCCGTTGCTTGCGCGGTTGCAACCTCACCGCCATCACGCCCCAAATCCACTGTTTCTAATCTACTTTTGATTGCCAGCGATTTCTGCTTCAACAGACTACTCGTCACCACTCCATAATTTCCAAACCATACTACTAATCCATTGTAAAGTATATTTTCTGTTTCTAGAAGATCAACCCACCAGTACTGTAATCTTCAACAGGACAGGACAGAGTGACTTTTTTGGGTATAAAAGTACAACTCGTATGATAAAAAAAAAACAAACTCGTAGCGCTAGAACGTAGTACTCCTTCTATCTACTTTTGATAGTAATATTTCATCTTGGCATATAGATTAAGAATAAGTTATTCTATTTATCATCCATTTAAACATGCTAATAGTCATTTCTCGTAAACAAGCGATTCATTAATATTTACATTTCTCGATGCCCATATAGCCAATTTTGTGTAGAAGAATGGAGAGTCATGCATTAAATCCGAGAAATTCATTAAGAGGATAGGTTGTTGAATTAAAATATGCCTATCAAAAATAAAATTTTCAGATTTGGAAATATGACTATCAAAAGTAGATGGATCCTTCCAAAAATATGAGATCTATTTCTTTTTCATTAAAACCAAGAAGCAATTAACTCACTCACTATATGGCAAAACCAATGAACATGCAATCAATAAGTACTAGAATTGTTTCTTGGTTTCCGATCAACAATTTAATTTAGCACATGTTGACTACAAATATGACTCAGATTTTTACAGAAACCAAAAATAAAATAGGTCTTAGATTTTTTCGAAGGAGTGAGTATCGTACTATACTTTTTTTTATGCAACGTGTTCTCAAATAATAACTATAAGTATATTTACATTTAAATTGTATACAAATTTTGAATCCTAATATTTGTACCTATATCTAGGAATATATGTCAACCTTTATGCATAGTAAAATTGACAGCAAGATCAATTTAAAACGTGAAAAAAATACACTAAGGCTCCCATCGGATGGCCTAATAAGCCAAAGAAAAAGCCAAATTTTAAATATTCAAACTTAATTTTGAGATTGATTTTGAGATATTTTCAACGTACTTTCTTTTTCAGCATTGGCTTTTAAGTCATCAAGAACACATATATAAAAATTTTACCTACAAATTTATTTTTATTTCCTAATAAGCCAGAAAAAAAAGCGAAACGATGGGGACCTAAAAATAGTACTATGTTGTGTAGTTGTGGTTTATATGTCCAACGTTTGAACATCCAATAATATTTATGCTTAATATTTATTTTATTATATAATAATAAAATATAATAATATGTTATCTGTGATTTATTTTGGGACGGAGTGAGCCAATATTTTCGCGGCTGACAGGCGAGACGCGACGAGGGCCAGGCCAATCATCATTTTGCATTTGGGCTGGGCAGGGAAAGCAATAGTAGTGGTGGGCCAAACCAATGCGACGCGATCCCCGACGCGCGCGGCGACCCCGACCCGCCCAACCCGACCCAACCACCCACCCCGGGTCAAACACTGCGTAGCACCAACGCGACCTGGACCTGCACGCACACGTACGTGGGCCCCACCCTCATCCATCCATTCATTCATGAGCCAAACGCCAAACAAAACCCTCCTCTGCTGCCTCGAATCTCGCGCGCCGTCCTCCTTTTCACCGCCACCAGCCGCTGTCTCGTGGGACCCAAGCCTCTTTTCCCTGTATTCTCTCTACCCATGTGGGCCCCACCGTCACCTGGCTCACACACACAGGGAGAAAAAAATCGACCGAGCGTGTAAACTTTCATGACAATCCTTTGCCATTTTTTGCTTGCACGTTTTCGGAAGATGATGGTAATTTGTCGGTATTTTTACCTAGGGTGTGTTTAGTTTAGACCAAAATTGAAAATTTAATTAAAATTGGAACGATGTGACAAAAAAGTTTAAAGTTTGTATGTAAAAAAATTTTGATGTGATGAAAAAGTTGAAAGTTTGAAAAAAAAGTTTGGAACTAAACTCACCTTACACGGAGAATCAAATCAATCTGCGTATGAGATTATGAGTTGCACTTTGTGATGATGACGCTAGCGTTAATTGCAACAGGAAAGGAATATGCTGCGATCAAATGGAGATGGAATTGTATAAACAGATTCCAAATCTGACTAGCTCCGTTTTTGTTCCGCTAGACCTGACTGGTGGTGCTACCACGAGATGCGATTCGTACCGCTCGGGATGAGGGAAATTTCGTGATTGATGTCAAGGATACTCCCTCCATCTTATAAAAAAAAAAAGTCAAAACGTGGGTTCCTGTGCCAACGTTTGACTATCCGTCTTATATGAATTTTTTTATAATTAGTATTTTCATTGTTGTTAGATGATAAAATATGATTAATACTTTATGCGTGACTTATCTTTTTAATTTTTTCATAACTTTTTCAAATAAGACGAACGGTTAAACGTTGGACACGAAAACTAGGGTTTGTCTTTTTTTTGGGACGGAGGGAGTAAGTCTCACTGCTAGTATAGGAAAATATATTTGGTAAAGCTATCTACCGTTGTGTTGCTAAAAATAAGATGTTCATATTGTAGTCAAAACAAACTTGAACAAATTTTTGCAAGTTGACAATATTGCTAAATTTTGACAGGATTTTTTATGTGTTTAGCAATTGGTAAAAAACTAAACGGATGCATGTTTTTGATAACTTTACTTAAAATTGGTATGCTTTGAAATTATATCAATCTGAACAACCTCTAAGTTTATCAAAAAAATCTAAGATCCATCCAAATATATTGTGTGCTCGCGGTAAAAAAATACTATAGTACTAAGTACTACTCCGTAAAAAAAAAGGCAAACCCTGAGTTTCCGTGTCCAACTTTAACTGTCCGTCTTATATGAAATTTTTTTATAATTTATATTTTCATTGTTATTAGATGATAAAACATGATTAATATTTTATGCGTGACTTGTCTTTTTAATTTTTTTCATAATTTTTTCAGATAAGACGGACGGTCAAACGTTGGGCACGGAAATCAGGGTTTGTCTTTTTTTTTTACGGAGGGAGTTATTAGTATGGCTAATGAAAGTTGTGATTTAAAAAAAACAGAGAGAATTGATTGTACAATTGTACGCTGGGTTGTGGCCTTGTGGGAGGCAAGGCAGCAAGATGATGGCAGTGACAGCGTACCTAGCAAATTTCAGAATGGTCATTCTTCAAAGTGGAGTACTACTCCTACTACAGGTGTTGCAACTTTTGTCTTTTCACTAAAATAACGGCGACCTTCAGTTTAGTACTCCTGCCCTTAATAATAGAATTTTCAAGACATAATAATTCAGTTTAGTACTGCTGCCCTTAATAATAGATTTTTCAACACAAAAAAGGTTCTAGTATCCTCTGGTGAAACGCAATTATGTTCACCTCTTGAACCTGTAAACAACTTGTAAGATCATTTACCCCTCTAACCGGTAAGCATAATTTCAGAGATCTGGTAAGCGATCAAATTACCCTCTGGTGGTGGTAACATCAGAGATCAGAAACAGTGGATCACATCAGAGAGAGAGCCTCGGTGCAAAATAAAAAAATAATAATAACCAAATGGATAAGACGAAGTCCCACAAATCACATCAAAGTCAGGCATCACGCGGCGACAAACCGCTCATCTCACGAAGATAGTTTAATCTACTTTAATCGCAAGAACGTTAGTACTGTCGCAAGAACAAACAACCACACAGGTGTAAGATCACAGAAAATCCACGGATCCCAAATGTTCTCATTGATTGATAGCGATATCATAGAAGCAGCGACACGAATTAAGATTTAAAACCAACCCCAAGAAGGATCGCAGATCCAACTCCACCGAATCGATCCAAGAACTCCGCCTAATCCAACCAAACCATGGGCGATCTCATCTCACCAACACGACACGAACTCATAAAAAGACTAACACCACCACCACCTCCTCCTTATTTAGGGACTCGACGACTCAAGACGACTGATACTGGCGAAAGGCGAAGGGGAACAGCACAGATCTAGGAGAGCTGGCCGCAGTCGGCGATGACGACCGGCTTGGCGGTGCTCCCGCCGCGGGATCCCACCTTCTCGATGGCCTTGACGACGTCCATGCCCTCGACGACGCGGCCGAACACGACGTGCTTCCCGTCCAGCCAGCTGCAGGGCACGGTGCAGATGAAGAACTGGGACCCGTTAGTGTTGGGCCCGGCGTTCGCCATGGACAGGATGCCGGGGCTGTCGTGCTTGAACTTGAACACCTCGTCGGCGAACTTCTCGCCGTAGATCGACTCCCCTCCCGTGCCGTTGCCGCGGGTGAAGTCGCCGCCCTGGCACATGAACTCCGGGATCACGCGGTGGAAGGTGCTCCCCTTGTAGTGCAGCGGCTTGCCGCTCTTGCCCACGCCCTTCTCGCCGGTGCAGAGCGCGCGGAAGTTCTCCGCCGTCCGCGGCACGTCCTTCGCGTACAGCTCCATCACGATCCGCCCCGCCGGAGCTCCGCCGACGGTCATGTCGAAGAACACCCTCGTGTTCGACATCGCCGCCGCGCTAGGGTTTTGCGAATTTCACAGATGGGGAATATTTTTTCTTTTTGTTTGATTTTTTTTGCTGTTTCACTTCAGATCGCTGCGTGGCCTGAGGAAGACGAGGCCCCCGCGGTTAAATAGGCGGGTCGCCCAACCCCGATGCCCTCCGCAGCCGTCCGATCGTCACACGTGGCGGCATCGCGCGCCCCCACCCCTAACCACGGGTGTCAAGGCGGTGGGGTTACCATAACCATGGTTACCTCCTCGAGTCATGTCGAGATGCACGTGACCCGCTCCCACCCACGAAGCCAATGACAGGTGGGACCACGACACGCTCTCCCCGATTTTGGCCTGCGTGGTGACGACATGGTGGGGCCCGGAGAGGTGGGCCGGGTTCGTCAGTAGGCGTGGGTGGACAGGCGGGCGGTGCGAGAGGCGGTTGGATCTTTGCGGGGGGTAACTCGCGTTAAGTACGTGGGTTACCGTGGGGTGGTTGGGTTAGGGAGGATATTTTAGTTGGGGAGGTGGACGTGGTCTACCAAGACCGGGTGGTCCGGGAGGTAGGACACTAGGGGGGACGTGGCGCATGGGCGAGGTTTACGGATCGGAGAGGTTATTAGGAAGGGATATGCGGTTGAGCGAGTGGGCGATATTCTAGGTCGCGGGAAGCGCACGCAGACGGCATGTGCGACTGGCCCATTCCTCTGCCGGCCCAAACCTCCCCCTACAGTACAGTATATTCTACTACTACTGCTGTATATACTGTACTGTTACCAATACATATTACTCCATACTTATAAAGAAAGTAGTTTAGGACAATGCTTAAATCAAATCTTAGGAATATAAATCATAAATAACTTTTAAGTTGTTGAGTTTGAAAATATAAAAATTATATATATAGATTTGTCTTGAAAAATAATTTTATAAAAGTATACATATATCACTTTTCAATAAATACTTTTATAGAAATAAGAAGTCAAAGTTGTGTTTTGGAAACCGTGTCGCTGTCCTAAACGATTTCTTTTACGAGTATGGAGGGAGTACAATATAATAGTGGTATTAGTACCTCTTCCTCTCACCCAAAGTATAAGATACGTCACATCCACATAAAATTCCTTATATTTTAGGATGGATAGAGTATTATTTTGTCAGTTTGATATCATGGCTTTTTTACGGTTTTATAACATTTTGATATATATAATGTATAGACGTTTCATTAAGTAATAAAATAGTACTAGTCACATTGATAGGCTTCGAGTTATAAGCCATAGAATAAAAACGATGTTACGAAAAAGTAGTTTTACGGTAGGCGTTTAGTATATTGATATTTGGTTAAAAAGCCGAAACTTAGGCTGTGTTTAGATCCAAACTTCCAACTTTTTCCATCACATCAACCTGACATACACACGCAAATTTTCAGTTACATCGTACCAATTTCAACCCAAACTTCTAATTTTAGAAGGAACTAAACACAGCCTTAAAAAATTTGAAAAGGAACGCCTAAAATGAATTAAAATTAGGATTACAAATCCAGTTTTTGGCTAACGTTCCACATCCAGCCTCTATGGGACGAACTATAATCTGTGTTTGGCTGTTTGCTTGAATGCTGACATACTCTCATTGGAAGGCAATATGGCATATTGCATTTTTGCATTTGCAGGACAGGTTTTTCCTTCCTATCTCCTCCCAATACCAACAGAATCACGTCTTGTGTTGAGTTCGTTTGGTCGGCATTTGGCAATTTCAGAACCTGTAAAACGAGTAGGAAAACAGAATTGAAAAGTCTGACGGATCTGAAATCTGAACCAAGCAAAAAGATCAACCTGAATAATCTCAACTCAGCTGTCAAGCCAGAGACGTCCTGAAAACGATCGAGATGCCTCAAGTATGGCTGCCACAAGTGATCATGGCTGGCAGCTACTGTACGCAGGAGATGCTTGATTCGATCGATCTCACTTTAGTTTCCTTCTCTCTTTCCACACGCGGTTGCGTTAGGAATCGCAAAAATTGAAGAACAGCTTTCCAAGTTGTGCGAAATTCTGTTCTCATGGTGCTCGTATTCGCCAAAATTACTTCACAAAAAGGAAAAAACGAGAGGTTGTGTGTCGTTGACGTTCTGAAAGCATGACAAGTGGTGGTGACGACGCACTGAACATCGATTCCAATTGTCATCTTCAGGATATATAGATAGATACTTGCTGCAACTACCTTGAAAAGGCCAATCACCAATTCATCATTGGAAGAACGGAGAAGTAGAAAGACAGTATCCACTACTTTTTGCAGGCAAGTGCCGTTTCGTCTTGTCTCCAATCTCCATGCACCTGGCTGTGGCGCCTAAAACCTGATCTCCAATTCATTTCAGGATCTAAACACAGAGGAGAAAATTATAAGAAGATGTGGAGAGTTTGTTGTGTTACATAAATACAAGATGACTTCATTTCCCTTTTAATAACAAAAAATAGTTGGTGAAGGAAATCTCACCATTGCAAAAAATGATCTTGAAACCCTCCAATTGCTCAACATGATAAATATTAAATTTCCCAAAACCGGTTTTATTAAGACATCCGTATTATATTTTGGGCAAAATGTTTTAATAAACATATTCCAATACAAAGTTCAAATACAACCTTGTCATCTTATATTCTATCTTATCCTTGCGCTGGATTATTGAAAAACTTAATACAATCCCCCGCTAATAATGATATAAAACAGTCCAACTGTTTAGGTCGGGCGTCGACAGCGGCTTATGTCGTTGTTCATCTCCGGCTTCGCCTTAGGATCTTACTCTTCCCACGGCCTTATGCGGTTTGTAGTTGTGTTTGCCTTAGGCTTTTGTGTCTTCTGTGTAAAATTTTTGCCGGTTTCACTTTAGCAAAACGCGCAGTTGTATGTTATTTGGCCCGGTTTTCCTTATAAACAGGGTCACACACTATCTTTCTAATATATTCGGCAATACTCTTGCCGCTTCCACTTAAAAAAGATATAAAACAGTCGATTACATATACACACGTACCTCCATACTGTTGATAATACTCGATGTTGATTGAAAATATGGTTGAAGTGTATATGTACCTAAAAAAAATATCTCATACTACCTTTTTTTTAACACAATTGCTGTTCATAAATTTGGTTAAATGAACAATGTAAGCCTACACAAAGTTTCACGAAACATTTAGGGCTGTTTGGTTGGTTGTCACACTTTGCCACGCCACACTTTAGCCATGCCACAGTTTTTTAGGCATGTGTTTGGTTCGCTGCCGCAATTGTGTTATACCACACTTTCTTAACTTTGGGACCCACATGTCATGCTCTCAAATTTAGAGCTAAGCATGACACACTTGTGGCCAACTATTTCTAAGCCACATTTATGCCACCATGCCACAACTAGCCTAAACTTAGTTATGGCAAGGTTAGGCATCAACCAAACATTTCCTTAGGCAGCATTCGAGAGGGTGAGAGAGAGTGAGTTTGTTTATTTCGTTTTCCGCGCGCACGTTTCCCAAACTATTAAACGGTGCGTTTTTTGCAAAAAAATTCTATAGGAAAGTTGCTTTAAAAAAATCATATTAATCTATTTTTGAAATTTAAAATAGTTAATACTCAATTAATCATGAGCTAATAGCTCACCTCGTTTTGCGTATCTTCCCAATCTCCTCAATCCCCTTCTCCTCAAACACACCCTAAGTGGTTTTACTCAAAATCTAAGGTTTCTTAAAGAAAACCACAATATTTGTGGTTTGCATGACAGATACCCTAAACTTGGTGGTTTATAAATTTTGCTTAATGATAAATGACACTGACATCTTTTTCATTTTTACCTGTATCACATTGTAGGATGAAAACACAAACCATGTCTTCATACTCTTGTTTTCTCAGTGAATTTCAAAAACACTATGCTATGGTCTATTTAGCAGGACTTCCAACTCCTGGAGTTGAGTTTAAAGCGGAGTTGTGGAGCTGAACACCGCTTCACCTTCTTAGTATAGTTTTTCATACCACTTAATCTACTCCAAACCATTTGGTTGAACTTCAGTTTCGAGATAGATGAAGCTGGAACTGAAGCCCTGCCAAACATATGTCTGCATTTGACAAAGATGAATTGTGGATGGGCCGTGATAGGGACTCGAGGCCCATGTAAAGATCTAAACGAAGGATTGGGCCGGAGAAAACCCCGAGCTTTTCTACCCGACCTGCGCCGCCGCGCCGCTCGCCGTCGCTTCCCCCGCGGCGCTTCGGGGCTCCGGCGATCTCTGCTCGAGCTCTGCCGCCGTTGGTCCATCCACGTCATGGGGGGTGGGAGGAAGCGGCGGCGGCGGGACGGCTCGGAGGCGCCGGCGATCCACCCGCGCAACCGCTACGCCGCCGCGGCGCCGGACTTCGCGTCGCTGGCGTCGCTCTACCCGTCCTTCGCCCCCTTCGTCTCCGTCTCCCGGGGAGGCCGCGCCTCCATCGACTTCACCGACTTCGCCGCCACCCGCGAGCTCACGCGCGTCCTCCTCCTCCACGACCACGGCGTCAACTGGTTGGTACTAATTACACTCTCTGGGCTCACTTCCCTGAACCCTAATCCGTCTGTGCTTCTAGTGCATCCCGGTATTGCTCTGCTGAAGAATCACTAGGGTACCACTCAATTCAGCCATCCGCAGCATCGAGCTCAAGCTGTTGCGTCTCATTTGTCATTCTATGAACTGTTGATGCTAGTTGCTACTATCAGGAGTGAGCTTGAGGGAATTTGATTGTTCTAAGTAACTTCAGTAGTTTTTCTGATGATGCTACTATATCAGAAATGGTACTATTGTTGCACTAACAGTTCAAAATTCAAATGGCCTCTCTGAAGAAGTTTTAGCTGCCATGTTTATTTGAAGAGAGAGAATCGTGATGTTCGTTTGTCATGCAAAATATTTACTAGTGCTCAATATGTTATTGGCTAAGTGTCATGCATATGGTTTGTGATCAATATCTTATTTAATCTAATATATGAACATGACATTTGTCGCTAACTACCGTCAGGTGGATTCCGGATGGACAGCTGTGCCCTACTGTGCCAAACAGATCCAATTACATCCACTGGATTGAGGATCTTCTCTCATCAGACCTCATACCACCAATATCCAGTTCAAACAAGACTGTAAGGGGCTTTGACATAGGCACAGGTGCCAATTGCATCTACCCTCTGCTTGGGGCTTCTTTACTAGGCTGGAGCTTTGTTGGATCTGGTATGCTTTAGATCATGTACAATATAAGTTTTGCAAAGCATCAATTAGAGTTTCTTATGTTAGTTGAACTTTTATTTGCATTTCTCTTTTAATCGGATTACCCCTGTGTTTGTAGATGTCACTGATGTTGCCCTTGAATGGGCTAAAAAGAATGTGGAGAGCAATCCACAGCTAGCAGCTCTGGTTGAGATTAGAAATGCAAACAAAATGTCCTGTTCTTCTGAATCTGAAGCAGTTGATGGTGAAGCAGCCAGGGAGAACACTTCGAAGCCAGTGGATGGTGTACTGAGGTCGAAACCATCTATCCTTCTTGGCGTTGTGAAGGATAGTGAGAGCTTTGACTTCTGTATGTGCAATCCTCCTTTCTTTGAAAGTATAGAGGAAGCTGGTCTTAATCCAAAAACTTCATGCGGTGGAACTGCTGAAGAGATGGTTTGTCCTGGTGGTGAACAGGCATTTATAACTCGTATAATTGAAGACAGTGTTTCCCTTAAGAACTCTTTCAGGTGATTCAAATACTAACCTAACATGATAATAGCCTTTTAATTGTCTCTGGGCTCATTGTTCCTTTTATTGTTTTAGGTGGTTTACTTCGATGGTTGGCAGAAAAGCAAATCTAAAAATATTGGTTTCAAAAGTTCGTGAAGCTGGGGTGTCAGTTGTGAAAACTACTGAATTCGTGCAAGGTCAAACAGCTAGATGGGGCCTTGCATGGTCATTCATTGCTCCAAGGAAAATGGTCATTAGATCCAGTACACCTGGAAAAGCCAACTATTCTTTTATGCTTCAAGTTAGTATCACGTCACCTTTTGTCCCTTTGATTCATATTATCATTTACCTCCATAAATTGCACAGCTATTTTTCTTTAGCAACCAAAAGAAAAAGAAATCCAACTCGAATCTTATCTACCATTATGTTTGTATGTTCTTGGACAATACCTGCGCCCTTTCCTCTTATTAATAAAGAGCTAATCAGCCAACTTATATTTATCTGTGAGTTATTGATACTGAGTTTCCACTACTATTGCACCTTCTCAAGCTTCTTCGCTTCAATATCTCATTTACATAATGGCTTTCAGGGCCTTCGACGTGAATATGGTGCATTTCAAGTGCTGAAGTCAGCTGAGAGCTTTTTCCATGCTTCTAATCTATCGTGTAAAACTGATTCTTCATTATTTTCTATTGATGTAAGATTCCTTATTAATCTGCCGCATATTCCTTCTGTCAAATTACACCAGTACACAGACCTTTTTGTTGTTGTACAAATTCTATAGTGTATCGATCTCCAAGAATTGTATGAAATACTCTTCTTTCAGGTTACCTTATCAGATGAGCAGGCTCAGGCTGCAATGTTGCACGATGAATCTGGTTCTGTAGAAGGCAACTCTACAAAGCTTCATAGTGGTGTTACTGGAACATCCTTCCGTATTTCGGTATGCTTAGGATAAATTGAAGTATATTATGTTCATCAGTTACCTAGTTATGTTTTTTTCCTATGAACTTGTCAGTTGTTTCTGTGTATATTTCAAAAAAAAAATCATTGTATTTTTTCCATATAGGTGTTTGAACAAATGCCAGGCACACTCCTAGTCAGAGGTTCATTATTGAACAAAGCACTGTCAGGTAATCGTTGTTCTTCATGTGAATGATATCACATTTATTGTCCAAACATGCAGATACACCTTTGTTGGTTTTCATCAATGCATAACATGCCATTTTCTTGATCTTGTAGTTTTGTGTAAATTTCACTGTATGTTATATTTCAATTGAGTGCATATACCATTGTTGTTGATTTGAGTTCCGAGCTATTTTATTGAGTCTAATGGCATCCCACTTTGCCTCTGGCCTGGCCATTATTTATTTCCATGTGAAACTGACAGTCACGGATGCTTCATCTGTGTGTATAAAAAAACTAAAAAATGGGAACTATTGAGCTATTAAATCATGAATGTGACATGGCAGCAATCCATCCTCTGGGGGCTTGGTCGTTCCCTCTCACTATTGTTCTTCCAGCTATCTTTCCCACCCAATGCAACCAGAGTGATCACCCTCTTGCCAGCAACATCAATTCTCCAGCTACCATCACCTTCATTTGATCTACTCTTCTTTTATCTTGTCAGATATGCCAACAGTGTACTTGATTTTACTGTATGCCTGTAGCCACTGTCCAGCCACGGTCGTGGTGCACTGGTGCCTGGCTACCACCCTCCCTCAACTACCGTTGGCATTGGCACCCTGAAGCTATCATTGGCTCACTGCTGTCCATGCCCCAAAGCTTTCTGTCACCCATCAAACCCATCTTCTTCTGGCATCATGTGTTAATTTGTGTTCCAGAAACCTATTTTGCATCTTAATCAGACTTCGAGTGTATGCCTCAGCCTAGCCTTGTTACCAACGGACAGAGATTTGGAGAGGAGTTGTAAGATTTTGTCCGTTCCTTATGGTAGCAGGGGCAAATTTCAGTATGAACTGACATAAGGTTACTCCATTGGTCAGCTTACTGGTGAAGAAATTTCCAGAGGTAGCCAGATTTATGTTGTCTAGTATATAGGTGCCGAATTCCATGTGATTCAGCAGACACAATGCCTTTGAAATAGCCATCTTCAGGAGAGCATTCAGGTTAAGTGGTGATGAGTGAATCTTTAAGGGTGATGATTTTTAACGAATACAGCATCTGGCGCTTAATCATGGGCACCAACCAGATGGTCTGTGGCCATTCAGAAAATACAAATGTCCACCCTCAAGTTATTTAGCATGCAGCTGGCTGGCATGCGTGGAAAGAGCTGACTTCCACGTTAACCTAGAGATTTGGATAACGTACCAACCAGTTTGTGAAGTCAGAAAGGATGGCATCGAGTCTTAAACACAAGAGTAGCCTGAAATCACTTGAATTCGTGCATCTGCAGGAAACCTCTCCTGCCACTGCTGCAGCATGTTTATGCAGTTCCTTGTTCCAACCCCTGCAGTGATAACCTCTTTTATCTTCCCCTATTGCCATATAACTCCATTCCAGATTCAAGCATGTATAAATCCCCTGATGTCTGTATCATCGGCTATTTGTGTCCTTTTAATTCTATAGGATGCATAAAACACTAAAAGGGCAAGATGGGGAGCTGAAACTTGATTCGTTATCTGTACTAACTCTTGCTATTCAGGATGATTGGCACTTGCTTTTGTAGATGTGAGGTTGTTTTACAGTGCATAAACGCTCAATCATAATGAAATCTGTTGATCGAGTAGAAAATTTTGATCCACCAAATGGTGTCAAATGTACATTGTACAGCACGAGATGGAGAATCCTGTTCATGCCCTCCTCTGCCAAGCTGTGTTGGTCCTATAGTCATGAAACGGTCCTGAGAATTGTCTTGGTTGTCTATCCAGTAAAAGAAGGGTGACAGTAGTACTGATGCCTAGCTGGCTCTAGCATATGAATTGTCACTGGCTCTAGACAGCTGCTAGTGCTAATTCCACGATGGAGACATACTCCTAAATGACACTTGAACGCTAGGGACCATTGACGCATTGAGAGAGTTTGGCTGGTAAGTTTGCAGGAGGCAGAGCCTGTAGATACGGATCATATGGCATGTTGGCATTGAAGCTGCTGCTTTTGTTATTGACTGTCGACTGACCGTCCTTGCAATTGAGGATACAATTATTCAGGTTGTAGAGGGAAGTAAATCAAGCTCTATAGATAGTAGGACAAGCAGACAAGAATCTCTAGCTGATCTTTCTGTTAAATAGAGATTGCTTGTCATATTTCAAACCTGGTTAGGTTATATAATTGCTCTGTTCATCTCTAGTCTATACATGTGCAGCATGAGCATTTAGCTCATTCCCTCAAATTCCAATTGTATTATGTATAACCAATAGTGGTTGCAACTGGATGTGAACCAAACAGAACTTCTGCATGTATGATACTTGTACCAATTGCATGATAGCTCCTCTGGCTTACTAGTACATGCACAAAATTAGAGTTTTTCTTTTATCTCGGTGACAATGACAAAAAAGTACTGTTCTTTTGTTTTCAGGTATCTTCTCATCGACATTCTCACAACTAGAGGACACATTAAAGATGGAATTCCTCAGCAAGGCACGGTAGTTAAAGGCCATCATTAGGGACTTAATCATGAACCCTAATCAGCCTAATGTTTGGCAATCATGAGGCAGCCATGGACCATGGCCTTGGCCGGTAGCCACAGAGATCACAGGTGCTGAGCTGTGATGAAAAGCTGCTTCCGCTGCAGGAATTCTTGTCGCCCATCTTTTGCTTGCTGGTGTGGGCATTCACCCCTGGACAAGCAAGCTATACGCTGTCACGGTGCTTGGTTACAAGTAACGTTAAATGTTTTTTTTTTTTTTGGCGGGGAAAGTAACGTTAAATGTTGCCTTCGCTGCTTATCCGAAATTGGAAAACGACTCGCCGTGTGAGATTCTTCCTTTTCCAGATTCTGCAGTGACACCCACAATGAAGAACTGCTTTTGTGTCACTGGCTGTGAGATGTTTGTAGATGCCTGAAGCTGTGCTCAAAATATCCGTAGAAATACACTGCATGGTCTGTACTGGATGTCTGGATGATTGTATACCAACCGTCTCTTGCAAGTTGCAACAGCTGTGTTCATTGCCTCTCAATTCTGTGATGAACTGGGTGTTAACTGTAAACTTCTATGGTATCGATGTGAGAAAAGTTCAAGGTTTAGGCTGATGGTCTTTAAGAGTGTTTTTGTGCCTTTGAGGCGATATATTTTCCATGTTTGCTGCTCTTTCGCTTTGTGACGAAACAAGTTTAAATCACGAGAAAGAAATTTAAGGGCTTGAAAACATATTCCATTTTTGCTGCTCTTTTGCTTTGTGACGAGACAAGTCAAAATCACCAGGCAAAGGAAATTTAAGGACTTGAAAACATAAATATCAAGGTGAAAACATCTTCTTAAAAGCTTGTATAAGCATTGTCTGGAGTAGATACGGCGACGAGGGTCCGCGTTTGGAGACCCAAGTACCCAACAGTTTTTTACTAGTGAGAAAAAATTGTTATATCCATATGGTATAGTAATGAGGAGTATTGGATATACTCTACGGGTTTATTCTTTAGCCATCCACACCCACTAATCCATGGTTAAAAAAACCGTATGCATAGAAAAACTGCCAATAGTTATCATCTGTAGCATAAAACTCCTTCGGCTTTGCTAAAATTATGTCGACATATTTCTAGGCTAAATACAGTCAGTTTGTCGATCTACCATCTAATTTTCTTCACGATTCATGTAAAGTACATCTGATAAGCTAATCGAACAACTTGCTCCTAAGTTGGTGACTCCTTTTTGCTTTGCGTGACACGTGTTGGTCATCAAAGAATGCAATTAGTCTATTTACACAGTAATTACACATGTGTAATTTAGAAACTTACATATGTAATTTTGGTACTTACATTATAAATACACTAAAATTACATATGTAATTTCGAGATTTACATTGTAAATGCACTAAAATTACATATATATTTTAGAAACTTACAATATAAATACATGCCGACTATTTTTTGGTGAAAAATATGGCGCCATAAATATAGCTACTCCCAACTCCTTTAACCTGTCTCTTCGGGGACATTCGATAAAACTCCTTTAACCTCTCAACCTCTTCCCTAGTCTGTTGTATGGCATTATCATTTAATTTCTTGATTTTGGAATGTAGTTGTTTGGTCTGTTTATTTGCTAACTTTGATGTTAAAATCATTGTATACCTGACATTATGATGTTAATGGATGATTGCTAATCATTTGACTATAGTGTAAATTGCAAGTGCTCAAAGTGTCACGTGTATCGGTACCCGGCAGGTCAATGACAGACCTAGGTCATGAGCCACTTAGGCCATGGGTCGGACCTAGGCCTAAAACCCCATATAAACCATGCATTTTCACAAATGTAAAAAGACATGTCTTGGCTCAACATGCATTGAGTTAGCCTAAGACCTTGGTTAAACCTGAGTCCGACCTGCAACGGGTAGTTATTGCCCGCACATATACAGTATAGAGAGAATCTTGTACCTACGGATAGGTGGGATTGCGATTTTCTAACATGGAGTCAGAAGGACATGGTAATTGACATGTGAGCCTCACCGTTCACGGATCCATATATCAGTGACTATGTGGGAGGATACTGTTTCGAATAGGTATGGTTGGAGATGATACGGGGTAAGAAAACCCAGCGGTAACCGGTATTGTATCCATTGCACCTCTAAACTGGAGTAGTAGGCATGAAACTCTGTTACGTGGTGGTACACGCTGACGCAACACACGAGCGTACGCACATAATCACGCACGCAATGAATCACAAAAATCACGGCCCAACCCGCGAGCATTGACGCGCGTAGCCACCGCATCCAATCCCACCACCACCCTCTCCATGGCCCCACCCGTCAGACTGCCACCCTCGCGCGGGGCCCATCCCCACTGACAGCTGGGCCGTCAGCCCACACGTGCGAGTCACGGGCCCACGCGTCGGTGTCCGAACCAAGGCCCACTCCCCCACGACCGTCCAGATCCCGGTCGCGCGATCACGGCCGTCCGATCAACCCCCATCCCGCGAGTCGTCTCCCCCCCCTCTCGGCTCGAGTTCCTCGTATACCACGCCGCCGCCTATAAATAGAGTCTCCCAAGGAAACAGATAAGATCGGGCACACGCGTAGCGAGACGAGGGGAAAAAAAAATCAATCAAACCCTAATCAGATCAGGGAGAGGCGAGGGCTAGGGTTTCGACTCCTCGGCGGGCGATCCATGGCGGCGGCGGCGAGGCATCGGGGGACGGTGAAGTGGTTCAACGACACCAAGGGGTTCGGCTTCATCTCCCCCGACGACGGCAGCGAGGATCTCTTCGTCCACCAGTCCTCCATCAAGGCCGACGGCTTCCGCTCCCTCGCCGAGGGCGAGCAGGTCGAGTTCGCCATCTCCGAGAGCGAGGACGGCCGCACCAAGGCCGTCGACGTCACCGGCCCCGACGGATCCTTCGTCAAGGGCGGCGCCGGCGGCGGCGGCGGTGGCGGGGGAGGCTTCGGATCGCGCGGTGGGGGCGGATCTGGCGGTGGCGGCCGCAGCTATGGCGGTAGCTGGGGCGGGGGGAGGAGATCCGGCGGTGGTGGACCCGGTGGGGGCTGCTTCAAGTGTGGGGAGTCTGGCCACATGGCCAGGGACTGCTTCAACGGCGGCGGTGTCGGCGTTGGTGGAGGCGGTGGCGGCGGCGGCGGCGCTGGTGGTGGCTGCTTCAAGTGCGGCGAGATGGGCCACATGGCTAGGGACTGCTTCAACAGCGGTGGTGGTGGAGGTGGTGGTGGTGGCGGCGGCGGCGGCGGCGCCTGCTACAACTGCGGCGAGACCGGCCACCTCGCGAGGGACTGCTACAACGGCGGCGGTGGAGGCGGAGGCGGGCGATTCGGCGGTGGAGGCGACCGCTCCTGCTACAACTGCGGCGAGGCTGGACACATCGCCCGCGACTGCCACAAGTGATGGATTCACAACACCATCTCCCCCCCCCCTCCTCTTAGATCTCGCCTAAATCTTCATCACTCCTAAGTCGAATTATTGCTTTAGTTTTGCCGCCGATCTGGGTCACATGGAGAGCGCGTTGCCTGCTATAAAGGAACCGCTTGCCTTTTGTTTTTACCTCTTTTTCTTTTTTTGCTATTGGGATTTCGGTTTAGTTTTAACTTCTGCTGCTGCTGCTCGTGTGATGATGCTTTTGCTGCTATGAGTTGGTCTGGTCCTCTGGTTCAGGTTAAGAAGACGTGATGTCTGGATTGGTTTTGTGTGTTGGGCGAGGAGATTGACAAAATCTCTCTCCTTTTTGTGGTTTCCCCGAGATGAAAAAGATGATTATTGTCGGTTACTCTATAATTTTTACCACCTTGTCGATTCCATCATCAGCATATGATCAATATTCTCTCTGTCCTGGATGCTTGCATGATACTGCTAACAATACCACAGATTTGCTGCCAATTACTCCTAATAATGATGGTACTTGTATACATGATAGTACTACTAATGATCTTGGTTGCTTGACTTGATTAGAATCAATAAGATGTTGCATCCAGCTTGATCTTGGTTGCTTGACTTGATTAGGATCAATAAGATGTTGCATTCATCCTGTTTGTGTACAACAGTGACTTTTTTTTTTTTTGAGACAATCCATTATATGCCACTGAGTTTGTCATAGCTCTACGATTTGCCACTGTCTTTGTCACGTTCTATAATATACCATCGACTTTTACTTAACTTCTATGATTTACCATCGCCGTCCAGATAGTCTCCGTTAGTACTGTACAATTTTGTCCAAATGACCAAAATACCCCTGGGATAAAACTTCCAAAATGTGGACAAAAATTCCGAAATACCATATTATAAACATAAGATTGTAAACATTCAAAATTTGTCCAAAAACTTAAAGTCTGACATTTCAGAATTTTTATCCAAAATTTGAAAGTTTTTGTCTCAGGGGTATTTTGGTCATTTGGATGAAAGTGTACAGTACTAACGGAGACTAACCGGATGGCGGTGGTAAATCGTAGAAGTTAAGCAAAAATCGATGGCATATTATAGAACGTGACAAAGTCAGTGGTAAATTGTAGACCTATGACAAACTCAGTGGCATACAATGGATTATCTTTGGCATACAATGGATTATCTTTTTTTTTTGTTTTCTGAGTAGTTAGGGAGGAGAGTAGTACTACAGTACAGGAGTAGTAGCTTTGCTGCATCTGGGAATCTGGGGGGTGACACTATTGTCAGTTCCCTGAGCCTTGGGTGTCATGTTGTGTCTGGTGTTGTTTTGGATTTCTTTTGTTGGCTAGTAGGAGTAGCTTTGTTGTCCTTGATCTGGTGGTGATCTCGGATCATGGTGTATCCAGTTTAGCTCCATCCTTAAGCAACAATCACTGTAGTTCATCAATGGTACTACTAGTACAAAAGAAGATCCATGGTTGATGGATTTAAGCAAAGAAGAATTATTCTTGTTGACCAAATCGGACTCTGCTGCGTGCATCATCTCCCTTAATGCATCATCATGAATACAATCCAATGTTAAGATGTACTAACCGGTAGCAAAATTACAGTAGTGCCATTTTGCCATCTACTAGTACAGTAGTAGTACTAAGGGCACCCGCAATGATTATCTATATACTATCTACAAGATATCTATGTCAGCATTTTTTTCTACTTAAAAGAGATTAAATAAAGAGAGATAGCAAAGCTATCTACTAACGAGAAAAACGAGGCAATGGATTAGAGAGCTATAGATACCCATGTAGACATACTATTAAGGAGGTTTATTATTAATCTAGTCTATTGCTGAGATGTAGATGTGTTATAGAGAGCAACTTACTTTACTATTGCGGTTGTTCTAATGTTGTGGGTGGGCAGCGGCTGGATTTATTGCAGGACTTGTCTGGTACTCCTATCCATGCCTGTTTTAGTTAACCAAAAAGATTGATTGTACTACTAGTGTCATTTTGATGGTTTGGGCCAAAATTGTTTACTGCTGGAATTGTTGATTTGCCACACATGGTCTAACATGGTGACATTTAGGATCCAAAATGTTTCATTATTTAAGCCGTGGCAGAAGGTGACATTTATGATCCAAAATTATTCATTATTTAAGCCGTGGCAGAAGCTCGGAGTGATTTTAATTTTTTTGATTCAGTAGTTCCGCAGGTAGTCCACTTGGCCTGGTAGCCAGACAAAAGGTATCCGTTAATATTTAAATCCTGAATTAACAACAATAATAACCTTGTGGGTAAAGCCTCAGGGGCTGTTTGGTTGGTGGTCTCGGTTTACCACACCAAACCTTAGGCGTGTCACAATTTTTCAGGCTAGTGTTTGGTTGCGTGCCGCAGTTGAGTCAATCCATATTTTATTAGCACATTGGCCCACGCGTCATACTCTCATTTGCTAGCTAAAGTTTGTCATAGTTGTGGCCAACAAATTATTGGTCACACTTTGTGTGGCTTGCCACAGTTATGGCAAATCGAGTTATGACAAAGTTAGACTCCATCCAAAACATCCACTCAGTTTTCTGATCAAAAGAAGAAAGCATGGGAGTTGAAACTTGAAAGCTGCATAGTTTGATGTGCTAATCAGCAATTACTCCAGATTATTGTTTTTGTTTTGACAGCAGTAGGGGGTGGAGTGGACAGTAGGCAGGCAAGAAGGCATGTGTTCATATGCCCAACAGTTCAGTTGATGGGATCCAAAAGCGAAGACAGGCAGCAGATGCAGCAGTAGACGAGTGTACGTTTATTTTACTCCTCTACCAGTAGTAGCACGAGTAGTACTGGAGGAGAAAGAGAAGTTTTTTTTTAATTTTTTATTTTTTCTAAAATAATCTTTGGGGTGGCTGTGTGGGGGGTGGTGGTGCGTGTCAGAGAGACATGTGCGGATACCTGAAGGCAGCAGCAGCCATGGGACCCTTTCCTATCTGTCACTCTGTCAGAGACACTCCCTCTCTCCTGCTTTTGTTGCCGTCGTCTCATCCTTTCCTTTGCTCCAAGGCCGGCCAGCCCTCCACATGGACACTCTCTCTTCTGATCATCAGCATCTGCACTCACTGTCCCTGGTGCCACATCCATCCTCACAGGAGCAGTCCTGCCATTGCCACGTCCATCTCTCTATCTTGCACCCAGGGTTTCGCTTGACTACGTTGACTTACAATCAAGGTTTACCAAACCGTAAGGATTTCGTGATTATTACTTGCGGTAACTCTCTCTAGTGGAGTATATATCACAATAACTGCGTGATTTTTATGGTGACTGCCAAATCATAGGATGACGGTAACCCTATCTAAAACAGTTTGGTAAACCCTACTCACAATAACTTTTTATTAAAAGGTAGAGCATTGAGAAACTTTACCAAAAAGCCATCCTCTTTCGCCAAATTTCTGTAATACTCCCTCTGTCTCAAAATATAAGTGATTTTGACTATAGGATGACGGTAACCACATCTAAAACGGTTTGCTGCTCACAATAAATGTTTATCAAAAGGTAGAGCATTGAGAAACTTCACCAAAAGTCATCCTCTCTCTCCAAATTTCTGTAATAGGAGTATTTTCTTATGTGGTATCAAAACAATACAAAGGGAGTAATTCTTATATTTTGATATTCCATAGGATTGCACTGACATGCCATTCTACTTATGTGTTTTTCATTTTTTAAATTCTCGTGTTTTAAATGTTCATATAAGATCCATCAAATTGGGCCAGGATTGTTTGGAACAAGAAATATAATGGCAAAATTATTCTGACATACCTTCATTTCGTTGGAATTTTAACATGAGCTCATTACCTCTTAGTATTCTATTATTGTCCTTTGACAAGTCCAATGCACACCAAGGTCCTTTTTGAACAGATTTTTATGTGGATTGTTGAGGCAGATTGCTTGATTAGCGTGTTAAATCAATGTTTTTATGAAAGAAACTTTGTCCTAGGAGAAATTAACAATGCAATATGAGAAATTATTTTTGATAAGTTTTTCTAGAAGCGTTTACCAAATAACCTAGGACAAAAATCTGGAAAATAAAAAGGAAAACAGATAAAATGTGGCCTACCTTTCCGTCTCTATTGTCTTCTGCATATATGTTACTAGAAAGTTGCAAATATTTTCCTACAAGAATCATATGTACTCCCTCCGTACCATAATAAGCGTAGTTGTGAGTTTCAGTGTCCAACATTGACCATCCGTATTATTTGAAATATTTTTATGATTAGTATTTTTATTATTTTTAGATGATAAAATATGAATAGTATTTTATGCGCGACTTAACTTTAAAAATCTTTCATAAATTTTTCAAATAAAACGGACGGTCAAACGTTGGACACAGAAACTTATCACTGCACTTATAATGGGACGGAGGGAGTACTATTTTGCGTAACCATCCAAACATATTTACCTCAGCATTCATTTGTTTTTAAATCCTATATTATTGCATACTCTGATGATATATTCTTATCCCTTTTTTGCTTCATTTTGAGAGTACTGTATGTCAAACAAGTCATAAAACACAGAAACTTTACAGGGACTAGTTTCAGATTCCGGAGGATGTAGAAAATTCTCCGCGTCGTAAAAGAATCCTACGCCCCAAATGAGCTCTAAAACTTAGGCTGAACAAATTTGCAAACGAAAAATAATTTACAAATAAAACTTTTATATACGTGTTCTTAACGATCTAAAAGAAAAGGCTGAAAAATAAACTTCGATGAAAAAACCATAAAATCAACTCCAAATTTAAGGTTCGAAAATTAAATTTTAGCTGATAAGTATAAGCGAAAAAATAGAGCTGTTAGTAATTTTACAGTTAGATTAGATTCGGCAAGATTAAATTCTCCGCGTTGTAAATTCTGTAATATTTTCCGCGTTGTGGACGAAAGAAGGCAATGATTCGGGATGGAGGGATGGCGCACCTATAGAGGGGGTAGCTTGTCTTTTTGTGTTGCGCGTAAGCATAATTTTTGTGGCGAATCGTATCGTTGTGGAGCTTTTTTTGAACAGCGAGATCGATATGGATGCTGAATGTCATCATCATTATCCTTGTGAATTGAATGATTCTCGCCGAAGGAGCCAACAGATTATATTCTCGCTCATATACTGTAATCCTGATCGCAGCTCAACTGGTGGTTTACCTTTATACTCCTATGTATGATTCCCCTGCCTATTGCTGTGGGGAGAATTTACTATTTGCTGTGGGCTAGTACGACCGTGGATACTCCTATATATGTATATGTATTCCTGTGCTAGTTGAGTGCTAATTAAGCTAAACTTTGTCATAGTTGTAGCATCTATGTAGAAATTAAACCCACTAGCTATAGACTTGACTTGTTTTCAATGTGGATTTTAGAATCAATAAGGTTCTCAAAAAAAAATGATTCACGTATCATCGACTCAAAATTAGATAACTTAGAATCTAAATACTATTGTGCCTGTGGTCCGTTCTTCATTCTCTTCTGGTTAAGATTCAAATTTTATCTCAATTTCTGTTAGCACGTGTTTTTTAATCTGTTAAACGATGTGTCTATTATATATATATATAAAGTTTGTATAATAATTAAACTTAATTAATCATATACCGATGACTTTTCCTTTAAAAAAATATACCGATGACTTTTTCATCTACCTTGCGTGTTCTGATTTCATCTTCATCTTTATCTATCTTTTGTCAAAATCTACTCACTTCAGTGCTTCATCTTCCCCATGATATAAAAGATTTTAACGAATGTGATAGTATTATGAATATACTAGTGTAGATTGAGCGGGTTTTACACGTGGAGGCGGGAGGAGCATAGAGGAGTTGTTTGTCGTTAGGTACGAAAGAGGGGGGGGGGGGGGGGTGCAGGCCTGACCTGGCTGGGGGAAGAAAAGGCAGCAGCAACAATGGCCCTGTTTGGATGCTTCACGCTAGGATTAAAGTGCTCCAAAATTTTATTATTCAAGAGTATTAAACATAGATTACTGACAAAACTTATTTTATAACTTTTAGTCTATTTTGCGAGATTAATCTAACGAGATATATTAATCCATAATTTACTACAGTGATGCTACAAAGGCCAATACCAAAGACGAGACGAGACGAGACGGAGCAGAGCAAGGGCAGGGCAGGGTGCAGACGAAGGATCAAACAACGCACACAACACAACAAAAGACTGGGCAGGGTCGTCGTCGGCCGCCCATGCATCGTCTCATCCATCCATCCATCCATCCATCATGTGCAATTATGCATTTCCTTGCCCTCGTTGTTTTGGCCGGTGGGCTGGTGGAGCCATGTCCTCACCATTTCATCCTCTTATAGCATCACCAACAGATTATCTATAATTTTCTTCTAAAAATTTATTTTTTTTCTAAATTAAAAATAGAAAGTGAAAAAACTCCTCCCTCCAATGGATAGCCTAAATTTAATCCCCAAAACTTAAAAGTGGACCCTTCTGTTAAACTACCAAGAGAAAATTCTGTTTTTTTACGGGAACGAAGGAGAGAGGCAGGATTGTGTGATTGGGAGCGACTTTCGCACCCGCATATAAACGGAGCGAGGAACCGGGAGAAGGAAACTCCAAAACTTGGTAGGAGAGTAGGGGATCTGTTGAAGCTGATTTTTGGACTAAAATCTCTTAAAATTAGTTTTGGAAATCATATAGGTAGACTGTTGGTGATGCTCTTAACCTATTTTTTCCTTCTACCTCCGTCCTATTTAAAGAAAGTGCATACGTCAGTTTCTATGTTTAACGTTTGACATATGTTTATGATTTTTTAAACAGTCATATATAAAATAGTATTCATGTTTTATCATCTAATAACAACAAACCTGCTAATCATAAAATATTTTTTAATAAGACGAACGATAAAAGGTTTATTCTTTTTTTAATGGATTGGGGGGCTGTTTAGATGGGACTAAAATATTTAGACACTAATTAGAAGTATTAAATGTAGACTATTGACAAAACCTATTCCATAACCCTGAACTAATCCGCGAGACGAATCTATTGAGCCTAATTAATCTATGATTAGTCTATGTGATGCTATAATAAACATGTGCTAATTATGGATTATTAGAATTAAAAAATTTGTCCTGCGAATTAGCACCATTTATATAATTAGTGTTATAAGTAGTTTATGTTTAATACTTTAAATTAATATCCAAACATCCGATGTATCCAAACGCCACCTGAGTATATTCTTTTCTTTTCTTTTCACAAGATCAAAGAGATTAATTTCTCTTATCTCTACTTTGCAAGCAACTTTCCAACTCCGCATTTTGCTGGATTAAAACGCTCTGAGGGATAAAATGCCTCACAAGACACTGCTTTGTGGGTCCCACCTGTCAGTCTCTCTTCCTTCGTGGTTGTTGGGCTACTGCAGTTTGTAAGCGCGTGGGCTTTGTTGGGCCCCCAAATATCCCCAAACTCTATCCGCATCGTCATCTTCTTCTTCTTCTTCTTCCTTTTCTTCTCGCAACAAACTCCCAATCTCCGGAGATGATGGCGGCGGCAATGGGGTCGCCATGGCTGCGCATCAGGCTGCTCCCGGAGGTGCCGCCGCGCCTCCTGCGGCCCCACCTCCGCCGGACCCTCTCCGTCCGCGCCTCCGCCTCCGCCTCGGCGTCACCGGACGGCGCCGGCGGCCCGGTGCGGGTCCGCTTCGCGCCGTCGCCGACGGGCAACCTCCACGTCGGCGGCGCCCGCACCGCGCTCTTCAACTACCTCTTCGCGCGGTCCAAGGGGGGCAAGTTCGTGCTCCGCATCGAGGACACCGACCTCGAGAGGTCCACCAAGAAGTCCGAGGAGGCCGTGCTCAGTGACCTCGCCTGGCTCGGCCTTGACTGGGACGAAGGTGAGTTGACCCACCTGATTTCTCTATATCGCTCTAATGTTTTACTGCCTAGGAAGTTAAGTTGTACTCCCTCCGTTTCAAAATGTTTGACACCGTTGACTTTTTTTTACGTGTTTCATCATTCGTCTTATTCAAAAAATTTAAGTAATTATTTATTCTTTTCATATCATTTGATTCATTGTTAAATATAGAGTAAAGTGCACGGGCGGTCCTTAAACTTGCAGGGGTATGTCATCTAGGTCTCTAAACTCTCAAAATACATATCCAAGTCCGAGAACTTGTCATAGTGTGTTATTTAGGTCCCAAATCGCCCCAGCCCCTATAGGATCCTACGTGGCACTGATGTGGCATGCCACACGGACAAGACGTGGCATCATTTTGACTAACAAATGAAACCCATTTATCTTTTTCTTCTTTTCTTATCTTTTCCTCCTCCTCTTTTTTTTCTTTCTTCTCCTTTTTTTTCTTTTCCCGAGTAGAAGAAAGGAAAAAAAAAGAAGAATGAGAAGAAAACGAAGAAAAAAGAAGGGAAAAAGGAAGAAAAGGACATATCACGTCCATATGGCATGCCATATCAGCGCCACATAGGATTCTATAGGGGCTATGTCGATTTGGGACCTAAATGATACACTTTGACAAGTTCTGGAACCTAGATGTGCATTTTGAGAGTTTGGGGACCTAGATGACACAACCTTATAAGTTTAAGGACCGCCTATGCACTTTTCTCTTAAATATACTTTCATGTACACATATAGTTTTACATATTTCATAATTTTTTTAATAAGACGAACGGTCAAACATGTGCTAAAAAGTCAACGGTGTCAAACATTTTGAAACGGAGGGAGTATCATTTTGATGTAGTGCTCTATTGCTGTCCACCGTAGTTAGGCCTTGGATGCTGAATTCTACTCTACTCGAGAGTTCTGGCAAGCTCAATTCTTATGATTATCTGATTGATACAATCTGATTGCTTATCTTTATTGATATTGTGCAACTGTGGAGATGTGTATTTGGTTTTATTAAGCATGGATAAACCAGTGAAATAGTTATTCTTTTTCCTCTATGATGGTAGATGATATGAATGCTCATATTTGTACTTGCTTAGGTCCCGATGTTGGTGGGGAATTTGGGCCGTATCGCCAGTCCGAGCGCAATTCGATGTACAAACAGTATGCCGAGAAGCTGATGGAGTCTGGTGCAGTCTATCAGTGCTTTTGCTCCAGTGAGGTATATTTCTCCCCTTGCATGATCTGCATGTATGTGTGATGCATTGTGTTGCGCTTATACACAGGTTGTTGTAATGTTGGAGTATTATTTTGGTGCTTTTCAAAAAAAAAAGCTTGATCTTTCTGTGTGTTCATATGAAACACTCGTAGTGATTTATTCAACTATGAATACTAAGGGATGAGTTAGTTTAAACCCCGTCAGCAATTTGTCTAGGTTACTTCTGGAATTCTACTGGATCAACTATTTGCCCATTTGATAGCTGTTTCTGTTACTTCAGGAACTTGAACAGATGAAAGAAACTGCAAAGCAGATGCAACTTCCACCTGTATACATGGGCAAGTGGGGGACTGCTTCAGATGCAGAAATACAACAGGAGTTAGAGAAGGGGACACCTTACACTTACCGTTTCCGTGTACCGAAGGAAGGGTCGTTGAAAATTAATGACCTTATTCGTGGTGAGGTAATAACTAGAAACTCTAGCACTGCCACATCGTTGCATTTTTTTTAGCCTTCCACTGTCAATAATTCATGCTTGCAAATTATGAGAAGTGATACACACACACTAAGCATCGGATAGTTTTATAAAGGTCAGTTGGAACTTAGACACGCTTGGTGATTTCGTGATTATGAGAAGCAATGGCCAGCCAGTGTATAACTTCTGTGTCACAGTTGATGATGCTACCATGCGCATCTCTCATGTTATCAGGTAATGTAAACTAATTATTTTGTTATCTTTCCTTTTGATGATTTCTTCCTGAAGTTTGCAATCCTCTTGTTTCTCCCCCAGAGCTGAAGAACATCTGCCAAACACATTACGGCAGGCTCTTATTTATAAAGTAATTTTCTATGCCATTCTTATCTTGTGTATCATTGTTTACAACCTTGACCCTTCGAACTGTATGTCTCAACATAATATGCCTACTGTCCTATGACTGTCTTCTGCAGGCACTTGGATTTCCAATGCCTTCGTTTGCTCATGTATCACTTATTCTAGCTCCTGATAGAAGTAAACTGTCTAAACGTCATGGGGCTACTTCTGTGGGACAGGTAACCAACTAGATTTTGGCAAAATATAGTATTGCAGCTAATTACTCGCCATTTCACATCTTTTCTGAAACACTTTCAATGTTAGAAAAATGTAACAATGTGTCCTCTTTTCTTTGGCCAGTACAAAGAGATGGGCTATTTGCCTCAGGCAATGGTAAATTATTTGGCACTTCTTGGTTGGGGTGATGGTACTGAAAATGAGTTCTTCACCATTGATGACCTAGGTTAGTTTATGAATAATTCGTTCAGTTACTTTCCCTGCACAGTTTTTGAAAATTACAGTCACCATCCATTTACCCATTCTTTGCTGTTATATCTCATTTCCAGTGGAAAAATTCACTATAAATCGTGTCAACAAAAGTGGAGCAGTCTTTGATGCTGTAAAATTAAAGTAAGATCATTTTTTTTTGCCAATCTCCTTCTGGTTGAGTTATCTTCATAGAATTTGTCAGTATTCTCTAATTACTCGTGATATCTCAGTTGCAGTACTATAATTAGTTGAACTGGAGCTTGCTTCCACTTATTGTTATGTTTCTTTAGTCTGATATCAGGCATTATTTCAATTATAAGGGAACCAGTGAAAAGTCATTGTCACTACTCCCTCTATCGCACGTCAAACACGTCACGATCTCCAAAAATAATCTTTTGCTTATAATTTCTGATATACTATAAGGTTTGTAGCAACAAAATTATAACCATATGAAATTAAATTCAAATGTCAATCCAATGATAATATTCACTAATAAAATTTTAATTCATATTATACTAATTGTTGGTATATTTTAGAAGGTGAATCTTAAAAACCAATCTAGTACTGGATATGACACATGCTAGTACTACAAATCCGGACATATATCTGTCCAGATTCGTTGTACTAGAATGTGTCCATAACTCTATATGACCAACAAAGTTAAATGTACAGTGTATCAATGGATTTGTTTTTTTTGGGATGGAGGAAGTAGCTAGTAATTCATAGGTTCTTTTATTTATGAACTCAGACACAAGCTGGGAAGCATGTCCAGTCCATAACTCCATATGACCAACAAAGTTAAATGTACAGTGTATCAATGGATTTGATATACTGTATGGAGTTCGCAAAATCACTCCACATTATGGATCAAAGAGAAACATAAGTCTGATAAGCAATAAATGCAGTGTGTCTAATCAGTAATAAATACGTATTTATGTACTTTGCTGCCTGCTGGTCAGTAGTGTTTGAAAGGCGCATTCCATCATGATAAAGCTTGTTTACTGGGACCTACCCTCAGAAACCACCATCAAGCTCAAACCTACTGATATTTTGTTGGCCTATCTAATCCACCGTTGCCTTTAAGAAGTGCATGTGCACACAACTACTCACTTGAACTGGTGATCATGGAAAATAAACAAACAATCCTATTTACATAATGCATTACTTTTTATATTTGTAGATGGATGAATGGACAACATCTAAGATCATTTCCCCCTGATGTACTCATCAAGAGTTTTGAGGATAGATGGAAGGACACAGGCATTCTCCAGGAGTCTGAAAGTGGTTTTGCTAAAGTAAGATTGGAGGCCTTTTGTTATTTCTACACACCATGGGTGTTTGTACTTTGGAACTACACACTAAAAAGAATTAGGTATATATGCTAAATGGACGGTAACTGATTGGGGAGCACTAATAACATAATTACTTTATTTTTTGCACAGGAAGCGGCTGAGCTTTTGAAGGATGGCATCGATTTGATCACTGATGCTGACGCAGCCCTTTCAAACCTGTTGTCGTATCCCCTCCATGCTACATTAAGCAGGTCTGCAGAAATGTGATGTTTTAAATTTAATCCCTCGGGAACCCTTCATTAATCTTTCACTGAAAGTCCCTTCATAAATTGTCGCCAAAAAAGGAAAGTTTCTTCAGTGAATTGGTTGTTGTGGTAGTACTGTTGGAGTAAACAGTTCGTTTTTCTGTTCACATGTAAATTACCAGTGATGAAGCTAAATCTGTGGTGCAAGACAAGCTTTCTGAGGTTGCATCAGGACTCATTTCTGCTTATGATAGCGGTGAACTTTGTCAAGCACTAGCTGAGGGCCGTGATGGTTGGCAGAAGTGGGTGAAAATTTTTGGCAAATCACTTAAAAGAAAGGTCAGTGCTAATGAGTAATGACAGCAATCATTTTGTTCTTTTGTTCTTAGGTGCCGCTCAAACACAACTTTTTATGGAAGCAATCTGTCTCACCTAAACCTTGATATCTAGAAATGATGAAAATACAACCGAATCATTTGATCTAGACTTTGACAACCCAACCCTAGTAAGCTTCCTTTGTTTTGACTTGTATATACTAACCATCATATTCACCTTAAAATCACATTCAAGCCCATTGTTGCAAATGCCTTTTGTGCCATATATCCTGAATGGAACAATTATAACTTACCTCTTCTGGCTGTATCCATTTGTGACCAGGGAAAGTCACTCTTTATGCCGCTCCGTGTACTGCTGACTGGCAAGCTTCATGGGCCTGACATGGGCGGCACCGTAGTCCTCATACACAAAGCCGGCACCTGTGGAGCGGTCACTCAGCAATCCGGTTTCGTAAATCTCGACGAGAGGTTCAGAATCCTGAAGGAGGTGGAGTGGGAGTCACTGGTACAGGAGCAAGAGTCCCCAGCTGAAACTGCCGTTCCTGCTTCTCGATAGGCTGCAAGATTCAGATCAATCAGGGAGAGTTTTTGTTTTCTGTAATACTCCACTATAAAGCATAGGATATGTTCCATTTTACTACCCATTTCTACAGTTGTGAGGAAACTATAGTTTCGGTTTTCTGTAGTTAATAAAGCGGAATTTTGCTTAGCTGTTCTGTAATTGTCGATTTGAATTGGATTGGATGGCAAAGGTTACGAGGTGATGCTGCTTGTCTTTTTCAGTTGCTGAATCCAAATATTTCTGAGAACAGTAGAACATAGCCTGAATTCTCTACATCTTTGTGACTATCTTTGCAAGATCATGTACTCGTTTAATGGCATCGTTACAAGGAGTGTTAGATATCCACTTGTCCTCCAAAATTTGTTCAAAACAACATTTTGATTTTGAAACCGAGGAAACAACTGGAGCACGCACCCTCTTTGGCTGTGCTCGGGAGTCACTCTCTGGTACACAAAACGAAGCAGCGTTTAGCGCATGATTAATTAAGTTTTAGCTAGAAAACTAGAGAAGCAGTTTGAAAAGCATGCGCGCAGAAAACGAGGGAAGCGAACACAGCCTAAAAGTTGCACATATCTTCCAGCCTTCCACTATTCCAAATGGGCCTAAAATTTAGCTAAAGGGACTATCTAGAGAATTGTCGAAAGTTTTTTAAAAAGAAAACTTTCAAATCTAACTTATAGTATAATTGCAATATAATTTTACTATAACTATAATGTAACTCCTATATAAGTAATAAAATAATATATGTAACATTATATCTAAATTATACGGAGATGATAATGTAGTTACAGTGCAGTTACATAGTAGTTACAATAAATATTACCCCAAAAGTTGCACTTATTTTGAGGGAGTAGTAAATCAATAAATAATCCCTTTTTAATTATTGATTAGACCCTAAAAAATCTTTTATTATTAATGGATTAGCCCTAAACCCTTGTTGTTACGTGGGGTTTAGCGGCTGCTGCATTTACACGCCATTTTTTTTCCGCTCTTCTTTTTCCCCCCTTCTTTTCCCTTCCCGTGCGCCCGCGAAAAACCTCCCGCCGCCGCCGCTCCAGGGCACTAAACCCTAGCCATGGCGTCCTCCATACTCTCCGACTGCTCCTCCTCCGCCACCTCCCGCCTCCTCCCCCTCCGCCGCGCCCTCCTCGCGCCGCCGTGCCGCTTCCGCCCGGCCACCGTCGCCGCGCCGCCGCGGAGGCCCCTCGCCATCGCCGCCCCCCAGCTCCCGCTTCTCCCCCGCGCGCGCGGCACGGCTTCGGCCTCAGCCGCCGCCGCCGCCGCCGCCTCCTCTACCGACTCAGGTGCGCGCGCCCACTTCTCCTCGCTTGCCTGACTGTGAATGTTCTATTCATCCGTGTCGAGTTGTGTGTGGCTGGAAGAGCTCTTCAGGTGAAACCCATTTGCTATTAGTTGCACCTGTATTATTAGATAGTACTATGTTTTTGATTTCGTTGTTGAGCAAGTGTAGTTGCAAATGGAGTATATGAAGAGATCCTTGTATTTTCTGATGCACTGATATGACAATTCTTTTTTTTAATCGTTTTGCATGTGTTACAACTGTGTTCATCAGATGCTTGTGCCAAGATCATTGATGGGAAGTTGGTGGCAAAGCAGATAAGAGAGGAAATCGCTGTTGAGATCGCCAAGATGAAGGATGCAATTGGGGTTGTGCCTGGGCTGGCAGTCATCCTAGTTGGGTCAAGGAAGGATTCTCAAACGTATGTGCGCAACAAGAAGAAGGCATGCGAAGCGGTTGGTATCAAGTCATATGAGGTTAATTTGCCGGAAGACAGCTCTGAGGATGAGGTTCTCAAGCACATCGCAACATTTAACAGTGATCCGTCGGTGCATGGCATCTTGGTTCAGTTGCCCCTACCTCATGTAAGTTTTCAACAATTTTCTTTGGGCCAATGTCTCTGTATAACCTATCCACTGATATTGAATTTTGGCCCTTACCAACTGAACTGGTAGTTAAATGTATTTTTAGTGAGGTACATTCCTAGATATGTATGGCAGTATGGCACACCATGGAAACATTACTTTATGCACAATATTTTCTGGAAATATTGTGATATTGGTGCCATCTCCAATTTGTACACTAAATGTTTCTATTTATGTTAACTGGTTTGATGCTGCTCTTGTGAAAGATATCTGGTCTTAGAAAAATGTGTGCAAACAGATCCTTTGTTTTAGGTAGTCCGTCGCATTCCCTTTGTGGTCTTTCGAGTTTGTTGTCAGCATTTGTTTTTAATTAGATGGTCTATACTGGTGCTTGCAGTTCTCTGTTAATCTTGTTGCATTGTTTGTAGCATATTAATGATGGGGATATTTTTGAATAATTTTTTGATCAAGATACTTTGAATGATTTTACCTGTTAGCATTAAAAGAGGTATTTGCCTGCTAGCATCACACAAGTTTTCCATGTCTTCCATCCACTGAGCATCTGTATTTCTGCTCTCTGATGGTTTGCAGCATATGAATGATGAGAACATTTTGAATGCTGTTAGTATTGAGAAGGATGTTGATGGATTTCATCCACTGAACATTGGACGACTTGCAATGCAAGGTCGGGATCCGTTCTTTGTTCCATGCACCCCTAAAGGATGCATGGAATTACTACACAGATATGGAGTTGAAATCAAAGGGAAGAGAGCTGTTGTAATTGGGCGGAGCAATATTGTGGGGATGCCTGCTGCATTATTACTGCAAGTATGAATTAATTCTCACTTCAATTAGTTGGAGAAATTTTATTGGAGTGTTTAATTAACATGTTTTTATGCCATATGTGATTACTAGAAAGCCAACGCAACTGTTAGCATTGTACATTCAAATACCAAGAAGCCTGAGGAAATAACAAGACAAGCAGATATTGTTATCGCAGCTGTTGGAGTTGCTAATCTGGTCAGAGGGAGTTGGATAAAGCCTGGTGCTGCTATTATTGATGTTGGCATCAATCCAGTTGATGTAAGACACCTACTTTTCTGATTGGCTTCCTTAATTCTTCCTCCCTAACATTCAACAGATCTGTTTGCTTTTAATGCCAACCCATTTCTAGATGGATAAGTTTTATGCATGAAAACTGGGCATGTCATAGCCAAAGTCCCTTATATTTTGGGACGGAGGTAGTTTGAACCTGCTAATAAGATTTCCAATGTTACTGGTTCCCTGGAATATCACCACATTGGTGGGATCCAGATGGCTAATGGTGTATTTGTGTTGTTAATAAAATAATATATAATGCTTTTGCACTTCATGTTTCTAATCATGTTTGGTTCATATATGCAAAATGTCACATTCTTAGAAGGAATATAGTTTTTTTTTTCAAGAACAAAGGGAACATTATTGTCTAGATCCTCGCAGCTGGGATCGAAGGCAGGTAAGGAACTACACCAGTAGACCCTCCTGTGATCCCACTGTTGGACACCCATTTATAAAAACTTAAATTGCCTTATTAAATTTTGATGATCCCATATCTTTGCTGGTAAATTTCTTCACATTGTATATGTGTTTGGGCAATATGTGATGATTAATCAATTTAGTACAAGCCTTCACTTAAATGTTGGCTTGTGCATATCTTTAAGTTTTGTTGTATGTTTTTGTATCCTAACTCAGTTAATACCTCAGAAGGTTCCAAAGAAATTGGTGACTTGGCTGCTTCTTTCCCTACACCCCCTTCCTGATTTCCTTGCATGCTATGCTTACTAGTGATTTGAAATGTCTCAGGATCCAGAAAGCCCTCGAGGTTATCGGCTGGTTGGAGATGTGTGCTACGAGGAGGCCTCCAAGATTGCAGGACTAATCACGCCAGTTCCTGGTGGTGTCGGGCCAATGACAATTGCGATGCTTTTGTCGAACACACTTGAGTCAGCTAAAAGGATACACAAATTCAAATAACTGTGCAACCCTATGGTAAAAAACGGATGAATATCCATTAAAAAAAATGGATGTGTACTTAACCTTTGCTGTAGCCTACCAGATAAGGGTTTTGCTCAACCTTTTCGTGTGCCTTTTGCTGGACCAGGTAACCACAACAATAGTCATAAAAATAAATTTTGACCATGGTATGTTTTTCCTGGCTTGATACCAGCAACAATAACCTTTTCGTTGTATTTGGTAATGAGGCAAAATTGGGATGCCAGTAAGCTTGGATGAACCATCCATCCATCTGATCAGTTAGCAGTATATTTGTTTCCATAATTTGATTGGGTACAATGAGTGGTGGATGCTTCTGCCTTCTGGTCATTGTGACTGCACAGTAGAGGGAAAGAAACAAACAACTGCCCCAATCTAATCCAGCCAGTTGGATCCTGGATTTTATTAGCTGTCAATACTATTTTATGTATGGTACACTGCACTCATGGTTTTGTTTTGGTTCTTGCCAACTGGTGACTACTCATAGCTGGATGGAATTTGGTCGTGTAACATTTCTTTTATAAGAAAAGTTTGTCATGTCAATTTGTCCAATTCTATCACAAATCATATAATACTTGCATTTCAATGCAGGACAGTTTGATATTTTTCTTCGATGTATCAATCTTAGAACTTATAATATGACCAAAGAGAGCTGAAATAGAAATCATATTTCTTGCCCAACATATGAGATGCATCAACTTCACTTCACTTGATGTAGAAGTATTATCTTCCAACTAACAATTTCACTTTTCCTCTAAAGGTTTTTCAGCAACTTTTGTTAGTTGAACTTACAGCATCTTCTTCTGTATATATACTGAATAAATTTGTGCCAAAAAAACAATGAATGACTGCTGAGCAGTTGATTACTGAGTTGGCAAAAACGCCGAGAAGAAAAAGACACAAATAAGGCAATAATGGATGGTGCAGTTTGGGCAGATGGTAGGCACAAAATATAAAAGAACAAAGTAGGTAAAGCGTAAAATGATAAAAATAATAAATCCAATCATCAAAAAGAAGAAAGAAATGACATAAATAAGGTCAGGGCGGTTGTGAATGCCTTCTTAAAAACTTTTCTTGACGTAAAAGGTCGGTGTATGGACCAGTTTTAAAATCCAAATAGCAACCCGATAGGGATAACAAATCGTCCTTTTATAATACAACTATTTTTATTATAATATGATGATTGTAACACATGATAAAAATTACAATAGTATGAAATTGACATTTATTTATTTATGATCACCCATTCCCATGGTTTTGGAAGCTTGAGTTTGACATACTCCCTTCGTCCAAAAAAAAAAAAGACAAACCCTAGGTTTTCATGTCTAATGTGTGACTGTCTGTTTTATATGAAATTTTTTTATAATTAGTATTTTCATTGTTGTTAGACGATGAAACATAATTAATACTTTATGCGTGACTTTTCTTTTTAATATTTTTTATATTTGAAACAAATAAAACGGACGGTCAAACATTGGATACAGAAATCCAGGGTTTGGTCTTTTTTTTTTTTTTTTTTTTTACGGAGGGAGTATGATAGTACTACATATATGTGCACATATATATGTTTCTCGGCCTGACAGACAGGGTTAGGACAATGTAACGAGTACACCAGGTTAGGACAATGGCATCAAGTCATCAACCACCGGTATATAACATCTGTAAAAGCTACAGTACACTGGTACCATTTGACAGTTTGTACACAGGTGAGCTGGAATTAACTACACAACTACCAATTGCAATTGGTATATACTCCGTAGTAGTACTGTCACATTAGCAAGTAATATGGTCTCCATGGGAAACTGAAACAAAGGATATTAATGAAAAAAATTGACTCATATGAAAATCCTGTAAAATTTTACAATGTCCCAAACAAAGCTTTGAATAAACGAGAAAAATATAAAAGCTATATTCAGTCCTAATGAATATTGTTGGCTACATATGTGCTCGGTAGCCACTGGTGCAGTATTAATCTATATTGGTTTGTAGCTGTAGTGGCAACAATTTACATCCATAATGGTTGATATTTTGAACCAAAATCATTTATTTCAAGATACTTATATTATCGTGCATGACTTTTTAATTAATTGAAAGGATATAATTTCTTTCTCGAATTAATGATGACCCTGATCGGTATGGCTTACCGTGTTATAGTAGCCACCCAGTCAGCCGCGCTAACATTTGATCGGCGTTGGTTGGTTGCTACAATGTAAACAACAATTGATCGATATTTTGAACCCAAATAATTTATTCATTATCATATTACATGAGTTTAGAATTACTACTAAAGAAGATTGAATTTTCGCCCTAACTATAGAACAACTAATATACTACAAAATGATAGGGGGGGGGGGGGGGCGAGAAAGAGAAATAATTAATGGGCATATGCGTGCGTGATAATCGGGGAGGAGCGGTAATAAAGAAGGAAATGATGCGCGCGCACAACGTGGCCACCTCCTCCACCCACCTCACCCACCACCTCTCTCTCTACTCCTCCTCTTCTCCTCCTCCGTCTCGAGCGAGCTCTCTCCTTCCTTGTCTCGGGTCTCGGCATTGCATTTGCATTGGGGGGCATTGCTATTGCTTCGCTTGCGCTTGGCCACCCACCATTTCGGCGCGGAGAGGAGACCGCTTCACCCGCCGATCTGCGAGAAACCCTCTCCGCCTCGCCTCCTCCACCTCCCAATCTTAACCCAACCTCCCCCCTTCCTCTCGCGTCGACCCCTTGCTTTGCTCCTCCTTCAACCTTCTTCTTTCTTGGAGTTTCTTGAGAGAGAGAGAGAGAGAGAGAGAGAGAGAGAGAGAGAGAGAGGGGGGAGCGGTCGCAGGAGGAGGAGGACGGCGGCGTCTGCTGCGACCGACGGGGAGCGGCGAGGATGAGCGCGTCCAGGTTCATAAAGTGCGTCACCGTCGGGGACGGCGCCGTCGGCAAGACCTGCATGCTCATCTCCTACACCTCCAACACCTTCCCCACTGTGCGTATTCTTCTTCTTCTTCTTCTTCTTCTTCCTCCAAACATTTCCTTTTCTTCTTCTTCTTCTTTCTTTTGCTTCTTCTTTTTTTAATTATTTTTGAAAAAAAATACTTGTGTGCTCGGAGGCTTGGAGCTAGGATTATGGTTCTTGATCTGGATTTGGGCCCAAATTGTGGGGCTTTTCTGATTCGTCCGCCGCTCGTGAATTTGGGACAATGCGGCTTCGAATTCCTGCCTAGGGTTGCCATTCGAGTTTGAGTAAAAAGGGGATCTTTTGCACGGCACCCCGTACCAAATCAAAAACCGTGGCTCAAATCGAAGCCAAATGCTGCCTCATTCGTTCCTCGTGAACGCTCAAACAAAAAAAATGCAGTAGAAAAACAAAAAATTCGTCCTTGATTGCTTGCAGCATTTATGGATTGTAGCAGCATTAGCGGCGGAAAAAAATGCAGGTTTTTTCCCCCCACGATTCATATAACGTCGAATCAGTTTGGCTGGCGTTTCTCTATCAAAGGTGGGAAACCGCGGATCCGCCAGGTCGAGAGCTCGATATCGCTTTCCCGACTTTCTAGTTGTCCTGTACCCTCCTCCACTCACATCTCACACCTTCCCCATGGTTGGTAAGCGCATTCTTTGTTCCTTTCACGCAAATCCACACCCAATCAATTACACACCACCACCCTTGCTTTTCGCGCATGGTTAATTTCCCAATTGCACATTAATTTCCCTCTTTTGAGGAGAGATCTTCAAAAGAAGAGAACATTTCAGCTGCTTTGGGGGGTAGATTAGCTTATTAGAGCCCTGAGACATGGTGACCATGTAGTGGGGGTAGTGTATCCATTGGACCACCTGTGGACTTCTTGCCATGTATAATAGGCCTGGTAAAATAGTAATCTAGTGGAGTATATATCAGTTTTGTAATCTTATCTTTAGGCAAGAGTTTGAGAATGGACTGCACATTTACCATAGATATCTTATCAGTTCTGTAACAGTAGGATTCACCTCATTTTGTATCTTATGAATCGGTTGTGCCTTGAGACGATATGTGCACTCATTGTTCGCGTCATTGCTTTTGACAGGATTATGTTCCGACGGTGTTTGACAACTTCAGTGCCAACGTCGTGGTTGATGGTAACACCGTCAACCTCGGGCTATGGGACACTGCAGGTAATCTGGTTGCGCTGCTATCTAATTCTGCATGCTTGTTTTCTTCTACCAAGTTATTAAGTTTTTCCTTCGGAATACCACAGGTCAGGAGGATTACAACAGACTGAGACCACTGAGTTATCGTGGAGCTGATGTTTTCCTTCTGGCCTTCTCGCTAATCAGCAAGGCCAGCTATGAGAATGTTTCAAAGAAGGCAAGGGACTCACTTTCATTTTCTGTTAATAATATTGATGTGCTCTTTTTTTCTTCTTTCGCTAAAGAAGTTTGTTGGTCATGTTTAATTTGAGATCGTCTGTGCAATGATATGTTGCTTCTGGCATTTTTCTTGTGTTTTTGCCTTCTTCGATGATAAAACTATTACCATGCTGGGAATTAGGCTCCACAAAATTTAGAGCAGGCCTAGATGCATCCTTCAATGGATTATTCCACCCATTAGAGATGATAGATGATGATAATAATCTCATAAATTTATGTTCATAGGTCATTGTCTTATGTTGATACTTGATTTGATCATTTTTGTGGCTCGATTCACTTTTTTAGTCTCCACTTATGGTACTTCTTGTTGATTCTAAACTTTGTTATATTTCAGTGGATACCTGAGCTGAAGCATTATGCACCTGGTGTGCCTATCATCCTTGTGGGAACAAAGCTTGGTAAGAACCGTGCAAGGCTCTATTTTGAGAAATCTAATCTTTTGTACCTGTCACAAGTTCGGTTTTGATTTTGGATGGAAGTAGTGGCATGGGATTTTTAGGTTGATACGATTTTATTTGGTGTGTGTTCTTTTGATGTCAATGCTTGGTACTGGTGACGTCATTTAGTGATAATACATGAAGCAGGGTGCTCTATAAAAGAGGAAAAATATGGATATATAGTACCAGTATATCAATCAGCCATAGTTTTTAGTACTTGCAAGAAATTCTTGTGATAAACCTATTTGAACTGTTTGCTCTTTTGGTTCTACTTTTGTACTATTCAACTTTGGTTCAACAACATGCAACAGTTATACTCTGTCTCACAGATTTGTGGCATTGCACGTTGTCCCTCAGTTTGCTATTGTCATGATGGATTCAGTTTTGTTGTCTTTTTTTTTTTGGCTGGTGTTTCTACCTGTCTTATGAAATTAAATTCCAATCATTCTACAGATAATATCCCCTTCGACCTGTAAAGATCCAACTGTAGCCCACTTACATTTTTCACATTGTTTATTGCACTGGCAGATCTTCGAGATGACAAGCAGTTTTTTGTGGACCATCCTGGTGCTGTTCCTATCACCACTGCTCAGGTACAGTTGTGGCATTGTGGGTTGTTTAATTCCTTATTTACTGTAGCATCAGAGATGTACTTGCAACTCCTGTGGACTACATTGCCATATCTTGATCATTTTTTTGTTCCTTAATTGCCACTTTTGTAGGGAGAGGAACTAAGAAAGCAAATAGGCGCCCCATACTACATCGAATGCAGCTCAAAGACCCAACTAGTACTGCTTTCTTCCCATTTCTTTGCTAAATGTGCAATAACATATAAGATACTAACAGAGATATCCTGCCCCCCCCTGATCTGCAGAACGTCAAGGGCGTTTTCGATGCGGCAATAAAGGTGGTGCTGCAGCCACCCAAGGCGAAGAAGAAGAAAAAGGCGCAAAGGGGGGCGTGCTCCATTTTGTGATCTAATCATCAGTAGACGACGAAGAAGAAGAACGATGAAGTTGCCAGGCTTTATTATTGTTGCGTCTTGCTTCAGCGAAACAGCATTCATGGTCCGGGGATCCTAGTTTACTGGCAGCTGCAGCAAGGCCTCTTTGTCGAGGCAATGAGCGATCCGTTTGTTTCATTTTCTCCTTTCTGCCTTGTGATTATCTCGTGTGACTGACAAGTCGTGGCAATTAGGTAACTTTCCTAGATGGTATTTCCTGTGTTTGAGAAAAAAAATTCTTGTTATCCCTGTTTCATAAGTAGACATGATGTAATCGCACTCAGTTTATTCTTTTCCTTCTTATTTCACTTCAATGGAAAATTATGTTTCCCCTTCATATTCTGTTCTGCAAATGGAGCAAGATCTGTGATGTTCTTCTGACTTGTCCAATTGTTGCATACAAGTGGCCTACTCAACTTCCAATGGTTACCTGGAGTCAACATCTAGCTCTAGTAACATAATGATTTTTCTGGAGATTGTGGAGAGCATGTTTGAACTTTGAAGTAGAGGCCTGTTTGTAAATTATAATATGTGGAATCTGCTGGAATTCTGTATCTTTGCCAGTTACATTTTTAAAGGCCATCTATGCAACAGCCTAGCAGAATCAATATCATACATGCGTACATGTTTGAAAATTGTTAAACTGGATGCAATTTGGTGGGTGGTTGTCACCAACAATCAGTCAAAACCTATCATCTCAGAAGATCACCAGGTTAAATAAAACTCAGCTGGAAGTGCCTGGAACCAAGATATATATATCTCAACTGGTTAATTGGCAATTGTCCCCTGATTTCAAAAGACCCGATTGAGGCCTTCCTTTTGTTTTTCTAAGATTAAATTTAGCTCTCGATGTCGCTGCAAAATTTAAGCACAAAGTTACAAACACATGGATTATAATATCGAGAGCTGTTGTATTATATTTATTTATTTTTCAATCCAGCAGCTGGACTGTTCGCAATTGGGCTGTGGTAGCGTTCGATTCACACAAGGGTAACGCAAAATCCCCCCCCAAAAAAATCGTCTCGAAGTAACCGTAGGGATTCTGAAAGAAAGTGAAAATATATATAAAAAAATATTACGAGTTGGTTGGAAAAAAAATAAAAAAGTTAATCGACGCCTGAGAGATTCGAACTCTCGCGGGGAAACCCCATGTACTTAGCAGGCACACGCCTTAACCACTCGGCCAAAGCGTCGGTTGTGTCAGTGAAAAATTTTCACTTTTAAAGAACAATAATTCCAATTTCACTTCTGACGAACAATAATTCCGTCAAAATCGCAGACTTTTATTATTCCTCCTCACCAAGAAGACGATGGTTTTTGATTATAGGTTAGATGATAACGATGATTCAGATTTGCAACAACAATCCTAATAATTGCAAGCAAGAATTATTACTATCTTTTTTTATGGCACGATCTATATTTCTGAATTCTAATCGACATGCTGGTGATTGACTGATTGTCCCCTGCATCCAAATCCAAATCCAATTGCCATTTCAGCTGCAATTAGCTAGCTTGCAGCTAAGCTTAGCCCATGGCGTACTTCTGCGTCCAGCCTCTTGCGGTGGATTCGTATCTGAGGCGATCAGTCTTGCACATATGAGCGATCTCCGGCACCAGCGGATCGTCCGGGTTCGGGTCCGTCAGCAGCGAGCAGATCGACAGAAGAACCTGCACCAATTATGAGTGAGTTACCATCCACTATTAATCATCATCAGTTCATTACCAATTCACAATGCTGCTGCTGATGATGATGTTGTTCTTGTGTTGTTAATTACCTTGGAGATGGTGAGAGCTGGGCTCCACTGGTCCTTGAGGATGTCAAGGCAGATGTTGCCATTGCTGTTTATGTTTGGATGGAACACCTTGGTCTTGAATGCCACCTGCTCCCAAGATCCCAATCAATGAGTCAATCAGACGCTTCATTTTTCATTTCATGATTGGGTTTCATCAACTTCTTGAATCTTGATTGAATTATGATAGACAAGTGATGTTTGCTTAGTTAGCACATACCTTTGGAGGCTTGAAAGGGTAGTCAGGAGGGAAGTGGATGGTCACCAGGAACACTCCTCCAGAGTAGGGGCTGTCATTGGGCCCCATGATTGTTGCTTGCCAGTGGAACATGTCATCAGACACAGGCCCTGATTGAATTTTCACCAATTCATCAACAACAATGAGAAAATTTAATGCAATAGATCTTCTTGATTTTGTTTCTGAACATTTCTATCTGAAGATTTTCAGGATGTAATGCAAAGATTTGCGTATCACCGGCGCTGCAGGAAGTCGGCGGATCCCTCTGAAGGTCCTTGAGCTCCTTGATTATTCTCCTCAGTGCCATTTTTTTTCCTTTCCTTGATCAGTTCTTGAGATGGGATGGAGGAGTGACTTAATCTCAAGATCAACTGAAGAATGTTTTGTTTCGATGGTCTGGGTACCGATGATCACTGGGCTATATATACCGACATCATTAGCATGGTCCAAATGGTATATGATTCTTGAATGAGACATTGAAAAGAAAAAAGGAACAGGGCATGATAATAATAATAATAATAATAATAATAATAATAATAATAATAATAATAATAATAATAATAATAATAATAATAATAATACAATAAAATAACAATAAATATCTTATCATTGCCAAATATTCTCCTTAAAGCTTAAACAAGTGATTGCAAACTTGCAATGCATATCTGTGTTTATTGTGCCTAAATTGAAAGTTAGGACTCCCAAGAGAATTCCTCATGAAGCTAAAAGAGAGTAGGGATTCTGACCAAAAGGGCAAAGTCCAAGTGGGAGAAGTAGTGCCAAACTTTATTTTCTGATGGCTCTAGTTCATGGAACTTGATCCCTCCATGTACATTTCAATGGCAAGAAAAAAGAGGTCAGATTTTGCATTTACAAGAATCCATCTTTGCATCCAACACCGGCCAACTTTTTCGACAGTGTTTCCACATTGCTGTCAATAAAAACTATATTCGAGCTTATCACTAGAAGAATCATGTGCCATTCAAGACCAAATTATATATTGCTAGTACAGTAGTACTTGTTGGTTGCTGTGTATGTTCTCGAAGGACCGGGCATAAACTCTCATGCTCTTGCTGATGCAAAATGAAATCAATGGCACCTACAGTTCGTTTGTCACCAGTGATTTCAGATTTGTGTTGTTTGTACTACCATCAGTTAATTTACTACATGCTGCAATGATTTATTGCAGCCAAAGATGTTCAGATTGCAGAAAGAACAAAATACTTGACCGTTACTCGTCTTCTGAAAGTCTAATTGACAGTGATTGCTGCAGGTGTTCTCTTGCCGACTAGTTCTGAACATAATGAGTTTCTTGTCGAATTTAATTAAAGAGTAGCATTCTGATTTCTGAACATCAAACATAACTATATTGGGATGCAGTTTCTGAAGAGATGAGACTTCTCAAACTTATCCAATTATCCATATGTCCTGATCCTGGCAAGTGGAAAGCATTCCACAAGCTGCCATGATGTATTTTAGCTATCACCCAACCAAAGAATCGTAATAAGAACATTTAATGGTGATAATCGAATTGTTTGTATATTCCATGTTTAAATCTGCAGTTCAAATTCAGCATATGGGTTTTGTAGCTATCCCTTTTCCTTTCTGTTGTGCCTGTCCTTTTTATCATGTGACTTGTTGAACTCAGAACTCTGAAGCGTGGACGACAGAGTAACATTGCATCAGCAAATATCTCACACAGCTAAGCTTTTTTCGATTCAACAACCTCTTACGTTTGCTGTCTGCTGTCAATGGAGAGGGACCAGATCAGCTCAAGGCTCTGTCTCACCCTGTTCATTTGAACTTTTTTTTTTTTTACTGAATTAACAGACAAGTTCTGAATTTCACTCAGAACTCATGTAAAAGAGGTTCTTGTGAACATTTTATCTCCATGATTATAGGTAGTATAACCAAAACTGTCATTGCGTAGTTTGAGAGGACTCATCGCAATTGCGATTACTTGCGTATTAGACAACAACATTTGTATTGGAGTTAGAAAACTCTCACACCTTTCTTGCAACTCACCTACCCACAACAAACCTTCAGAGCAATATAGGTGGAGTGATTAAGTAAAGAATTCAAAATTCAACTAGTATCATACATAATTTGACAGCCATTTCCGAAGACTTGGTATCAATACATCATCAGATAGCCATGGCTAAATTCAGAGGAACACACACATGTGAACTATATATATGCATGATGCAATAGTCCTTCTGTACAAAATGATTCTTCAGTTACCAATAGCTATCAGCTGATGCCTCTCTCTTCCATCTGTTGATCACTGCCACAGTTCGTCAGTTAGTTTGAAGCGATCTCAGGAAGACAGAAGGTATCTTTCTTTCTCTGCTTAATTCCAAAAATTCACTAGAAAAGATTTCACATACAATCCTGATGAGCCAGAAGAATGCAGCTTTGATCTCTGTCTCTTTAAGTTACTGAAAATTTGATTCAACATAGACTGAATTTTCAGACTAAATCTGTCTCTTTAGTCTGATGAATATTCAGACTGAATCTGATTGTTCCCTTGCTGTGATCATACCCTGAATTTTCGCTGTATCCTTGGTGACATCAACTTATCCTGTCCTGACAGCAAGAAAAAGCAGGCCTTGTGAATGCTGCAACTGACACTTGCATCCATTCTTCTTGCTTTCATGTGTCACTGCTAGGGCAAGGGTGATCACCACATGGGAAGAGGAGACCACCTGCTGATGAAGAACAGCAATGCTGCTGCAGCTGCAGCTGCTGTCAATGGAGGTGGCACCAGTTTGGATGCTGCATTGAGGCCTCTAGTTGGTTCAGATGGCTGGGATTACTGCATCTACTGGAGGCTCTCTCCTGATCAGAGGTATGTGATTGATTACTTGGCATATCATATCATATCATGCATGCAAAGTAGCAATTACGGTGTGATTTATTATCTCTGTAGTGATATACAACCATTAACACAAAATTAATGGCAGGTTCTTGGAGATGACAGGATTCTGCTGCAGCAGTGAGCTTGAAGCACAGGTCTCAGCACTGCTGGACCTGCCTTCTTCAATCCCACTGGACTCCTCCTCCATAGGGTAAATTGAATGATTAATCAATCAATCGATACGTGTTCTGATTACCTGCAAAATTGATGGTTTCTTGTCTAGTAACTCTGAACATTTGTATGCTTGGTGAATCTGAATCTCTGTCACTATCCATCAAGGATGCATGCGCAGGCATTGCTGTCGAACCAGCCGATCTGGCAGAGCAGCAGTGTAAGCAAGATTCATCACTGAACCCAGTAGCTGAATCTGAATCTGAATCTGAATCTGAATATGAATCTCTGTCACTGATGAGGTGTGTTGCTTGGATGCGTGGCAGGAGGAGGAGGAGGCTGATGGCGGCGGTGGCGCCAAGACGCGGCTGCTGGTCCCCGTCGCCGGCGGCCTCGTCGAGCTCTTCGCGTCGAGATATGTGAGTGGTCGGTCGTTCGATTGGTTAGAGGAGTAGTAGTTAGAGAGGATGCGGCTGCGGCTGCGGCGGCGGCGGTGGTGGCGGCGGCTCACGCCATCCGCGTGAGCCAACGAACGCCGGAGAGCTTGCGGTTAGCTGCACGCAACGGCCTTTGCGTTTTGCATGGATGGGTTATATAGATTTGTGGGTTGATCGGTGTTGGTGCAGATGGCGGAGGAGCAGCAGATGGCGGAGCTTGTCATGGCGCAGTGCGGCGGCGGCGGCGCCGGGGACGACGGTGGGGGGCAGGCGTGGCCGCCGCCGGAGACGCCCAGCTTCCAGTGGGACGGAGGCGCCGACGCGCAGAGGCTGATGTACGGCGGCTCGTCGCTGAACCTGTTCGACGCCGCCGCCGCCGACGACGACCCGTTCTTGGGTGGTGGTGGTGGTGACGCCGTGGGCGACGAGGCGGCGGCGGCGGGCGCGTGGCCGTACGCGGGGATGGCGGTGAGCGAGCCGTCGGTGGCGGTGGCGCAGGAGCAGATGCAGCACGCGGCGGGCGGCGGCGTGGCGGAGTCCGGGTCGGAGGGGAGGAAGCTGCATGGCGGTGACCCGGAGGACGACGGCGACGGCGAGGGGCGCTCCGGCGGCGCCAAGAGGCAGCAGTGCAAGAACCTCGAGGCGGAGAGGAAGCGGAGGAAGAAGCTCAATGGCCACCTCTACAAGCTCCGCTCGCTCGTCCCAAACATCACCAAGGTATCTTACCTCCTCGTCGATCGCCATGGCCATGAACGGATCAAAAGCTTCTTCAAATCGATTTCCGTTTGATTTTGCAACGAATCGTAGATGGATCGCGCGTCGATTCTTGGAGACGCGATCGACTACATCGTGGGGTTGCAGAAGCAGGTGAAGGAGCTGCAGGACGAGCTGGAAGACAACCATGTCCACCATAAGCCGCCCGACGTGCTCATCGACCACCCGCCGCCGGCGAGCCTCGTCGGGCTCGACAACGACGACGCCTCGCCGCCCAACAGCCACCAACAGCAGCCGCCGCTCGCCGTTTCCGGCAGCAGCAGCAGGAGGAGTAACAAGGACCCAGCAATGACCGACGACAAGGTCGGCGGCGGCGGCGGCGGTGGGCACCGGATGGAGCCGCAGCTGGAGGTGCGTCAGGTGCAGGGGAACGAGCTGTTCGTCCAGGTGCTCTGGGAGCACAAGCCCGGCGGGTTCGTCCGCCTCATGGACGCCATGAACGCGCTCGGCCTCGAGGTCATCAACGTCAACGTCACCACCTACAAGACCCTCGTCCTCAACGTCTTCCGCGTCATGGTAGTACGCCCCGCTCGCCGCCGCCATGGCCATGAACGCGAGCTCGCGAGCTGACTACTCCGAGCTGGTTGGTTTCTGCATTGCAGGTGAGGGACAGCGAGGTGGCGGTGCAGGCGGACAGGGTGAGGGACTCGCTGCTGGAGGTGACGCGGGAGACGTACCCCGGCGTGTGGCCGTCGCCGCAGGAGGAGGACGACGCCAAGTTCGACGGCGGCGACGGCGGGCAGGCTGCGGCGGCGGCGGCGGCGGCCGGTGGAGAGCACTACCACGACGAAGTCGGCGGCGGATACCATCAGCACCTGCATTACCTCGCGTTTGATTGATGATGATGATTGATTTTACCATCTACGTCTCACTACTAGTGTATACACACTCGAATTATTCGAGAAAGAAACATAATGCTACGTACTAGTAATAATGGATTTGATAAGTAGTTGTCTAGTATTTGTGATTAATGGCATATATGCATAATGACTTGATGACTGAAATGTGGCTAGCTAGAATTGTGGATACTTCTATCGAGTGTTTTTCCACTTTTGTTGGAAAAACTTTTGCTTGCCAATTTTTTTTGTTCGAAATATAGTACAGACGAAAATGCTTATATAACACGCACACATTCGCTCTTAGGGCATGTACAATGGTTATCAACAGTGGTCTCTCAGCGTTGCTAATTAGGAATATTTATTGACATGGAAGAAAGAGAAAGAGAAGAGACAAAACATCGCTGTTATTTATGACAATGGCTTAACAATGACTCTTAATCACTGTAATATGGAAATAAAGTTGCATGAGGGTAAAAAAAGTAGAAAGAATATTGAATATTGACAAAAGGAATATTTTTTGAGTTAATGATTAGAGTCTTTGTCGTCTCAACTATTGTAAAGACATGGTCTCTTAATAATCTTGCATTGTTTAAGAGACCATTTTCGTCTCTACCATTGAGCATGCCCTTATGAAACCACGCATGTCTCCTATTACTATGGGCATCCCCAAAACAGGGTTCCCCTTACCATTTTTGGTGTGGTTACCGCACCCCCGCGGTAACCGCGTGGTTACCGCGAAAACCACATGGTAACCGCGAGACATACCGTGGTTTCAAAAACTGAAAAGGTTACCGTGCATGGTAACCGCGCGGTTTTATAAACCCTGCCCCAAAGATTATTGAAGCAACTCTCAAATTAGGGTATTATTTGAAATGAGGATATTTTTTCTTTCTGTTTTTTTTCGAAACATATATACTTATGTATGTGTGCATATTTGCCTATATGAAGGTACACATGCATCCCCACCCTAATGAGCATTTCTGAGAGATTGGACTAACTTATTTAGAAATCGACGAAGTCATTATAGTCGTAGATGTCTCTCTATTGATGAACACACCGTCTACCACTAAAAAGAAAAATAAATAGGCATAAATATGAGTATATGTATTGAGTTGAAGACTTGAACCTTTTATTACGCATATTTTAATGGTGTAGCTGTCACTTATATGTAGGTTGACAAATATGAAACTAATACAGATGAAAACCAACTTGAAATAAGTTTCAGTGTGTCTATTTTTGTTTTTTAAAGTTTAGGACAAAAAACAATCGGTTCTTATGGACATGTACATCCAATTGGACGTAGAGAGTTTATCCCATTTTCTTAAAAATAATGGTGAAAACAGACTTTGAGCAATGTTCGAGGGTTAAAAATGAACTGTACCCTTATTGCCGAGGATCAAATTGGAATAGCAGGAAAAGAGGTGGGGATTTGCAAAAAAAAGAGCAAATTCCGAAACGCCCGAGCTGTACCGCTGTAGGCCGTTGGATCGAATGATCTAACGGCTCACACACTCCCACGCACTTTGCCCTTCTCTTCACGGGGCTTTTAACTATTTCCACTTTTAGATTTGACAAATAACTATTTGTCACCTCTATCTCAATGACACGTGGCTCCACATGTGTCTATGACATGTGGGTCCAGTGGCAAAAAGTTAATTCCACATCTAAACGGGAATATCTCTCTTCTGCTCGCGCCGCCGCCGCCGCAAAGCAAAACCCACACCGGCCACGCGCGGCACGAGCTCTCCGGCGGCGGAGGAGATCCACGCGTCGCGCGCCCTAATGGCGGAAGAATCCGCAACCCTAGACGCGCCGCCGCCGCTTGAACGGTCCCCGCAACGGGAGTCTGCGGTCGACGAGGAGACCCGGGCCCTCGTCGTCCCCGATGCCGGCGACCTTCCGCCGTTCCCGCCCTCCGCCGTGGAGGCCAACTTCGCCCGCTACTTCGTCGCTGGTACTTTTTACTTCCTAGAGCCCTACCTGATGTAAAAGATTGGAAGTTTTTATTGGAAGTTTTTGGGTTTTTGGGTTTTTGGGTATGTTTGTACGTAGCATAGAGAGAGCTTCGATGTTAGGGGAACTTGGCATTCCGTTATTAAGGTTAGGGAAGGTTGAGAAGTTGTTGAGGTCGTTAGGTAGGTAGAGCTCCAATTTCTTCACTTGGGCTGAATGCTCTAGCCTTTTCAGTACGCATTGCTTTATCGAGTATGGACCATGGATTACTTTACCCAATTTGCTGTTGAAATACCAGATACTGAATCGTTTTGTCTATGAATTTACTTTTCTTTGACCAATACAAGTTAAAAACAAAAGGCCACATCTTACATTGCCCATACATATTCTGGTCACAGTGAACATTTCCGAGTCTTCAAAGAACCTTATGTTGAACTGAATCCAATTCTGCTGCATTTGGTAGTGTGATTGAAATATAGGTTCATCTATGCTTCAAATCGTCTAATTCAACTCTTGTTATTTTCTTGGGCAGACTTTCTCAATCCAGGACATGATCAGTATGTGTACCGCCATCCAAACGGGTGAGCTCCCAAGAAATCAAAATTAGTCTTCCTTAGAAAAAAAAATGTTAGAATGGGTTTGTTGATGAACTTTTCATATTCACAAGGTGGATCCAAAGCAGGTCATAATTCACTGTGGTGTGTTTTCCCCAATGAGATTATATGTAGGCAATAGGCAACTATGTCTAGTGCATTCTTAAGGAATATCATCATACCATTGGTTTATCTTTTTGAGGCATGCTTCAATTTTGTGGTAGTTAATTATTTTCATATGTAGCTTGAGCTGAAACGTGCCACTCCATCCTTCGTTTTAATTACCGCGTCTATGATGAAGCTGAACTTTTTTTTTCTCGCTGGTTTCTTCTGTTTCTCAAAAGATCAGATTGTGTGTGGTTGGTTTAGCTTCAGCCCATATTGCATTGAAAGAGGAAGGGGGGATAACTGCCGTTGATTTCAATGTTGGGAAGTCAGACCGCAGTGAGATGAAAGTCACAGGAAAACGCAAAAGGGTAATTGGATGACTTGAACTCTTGAAGCATGTTTTTATCATTGGTTGACTTATTGGAACTATGGAAGCATGACTCGGTTCTTATTTTACTTTACAGAATGCACAACATTTGCAAGAAAATTCAGCGCTGTGTAAAGTCTGCACAAGTAGTAATTCTTTTGTAGTGAGGTTGGTCCACTAGATCTCCCAATCAATAATTGATAATGCCATTCTATTTTTGCACTGAGTTGTTGTTTATGCTAAACTCATGTAGGTGTTGTGTGAAAGGATCACTTTTGGAGATCAATGATAGATTGATCAAACAACCAGACCTGCTTAACACCTCTGTGAGTATCCTGTTTTGACCTAACAAGTGCCTTGATTTTCTTTCCTCCTGTGTTTCAGTTCTTTCCTTGTTTTCTTTTTATTTTTTTTTAGTTTGGGTTAAATATATATTTTTTACTGTTGTCACTTGTCTGATGCATTGAAACAGTGGTCAGACATGTATGGACATATTGTCTATAGTTTTCTGTATCAGTAACATTCTAATATCAAACATGAGATAGTGTTTATTATTCTGCCATCTTGTTGCAAAAAAGGCCCATACTCAGCAAGGAGATTTTTGAATTATTTCACTCATAAATTTCAATGTTGGTGCCATACACAAGTGAATAGAATTGTGACATGAAGTCATACATAGGAAATCACAGACTAGATTAGAATAAAAAAACTAGTTGGATTCCAGATAAACACTGGTAAAGTTGCACATCTGTCTGATATATCATGAATACAGCTATTGCATTTATCATGAACGTAGATTGTGGGTGAAGTGGGAGGTTTAGGTCGACCCTCTTCTCACAAATGAATTGACTAGATATCATTTAGCTCTGTACCTGTGATAGAAGTCTGTGGATCACTGTGTGTTTGTCATATATTGCATTACCTTTTACTCGTGACCTGTCATTCTGTATCTGCTTGCGCAAGTTTTTATTTTTTTTTCATACTCTGACCAACACATATACTTTTCCCACCTTTATTAGGCTGACAGAGAAGGATATATAGCAATTTTTATGCCAAAGCCAGCTGACTGGCTAAAAATCAAGGATAAATTTCTTAGCTACGATGATTACAAGAACTTGAGGGGAACATGCTGACATCCAAAAGGTAATCGGTGCATGTTTCTGGACTAGTGCTCCATCATTTTTTTCATGTTTCCTTCAGTTCCAGTGTTAACAATTAGTACTGTTTTCTTGCATAATTCAATTCGTGCATGCACATTTTAAGTATTTTATGTACATCCAGGAATTTTCGACAATGATCCCACAGCCTAGGCATGAGTCGACCATTCCCTCAGGATGAAAGATCCTTGCACGATGGTCCACTGCCATTTATTTACCTGTTTACGGAATTTGAAAACAATCCAGATTCCAGATTTATCCGTACTGGTGCTAATGAAGAGGAAGTTCTCGTGTGTGCTTTGCTGGACAGTCTGATAGAAGTTTCATCAGCTACACACTAATACTTGACGGTCCTATCATATCAAGTGGCATATCAAATTTGTGAGTTGGAATCATGTTAACCTCACAATGAGGAGCATTTTGTATTACAACTGATTGCTGCTCCTACATGCAATGTCTGATGATTATCATCTCATTGATACTAAGGAAAACATGTTCGATTAAGTTCTGTTGGAACATCCCGTGTAGAGATGTGTAATATTCTGTCATAACTATTGGTTTGGTGAATCTTCGTTTAACAAGCTTGTCCAACAAATACAATCCATGGTTAAACTTGAGAATATTTTGTACGGGCAATTTTACATGATGTTGCTCCTGGAAATCACCTAGTGTTATAAAAGTTAACCTGTGTGCGGAGGATGCCCCAAAGTTGTGCCATGTTCTTGCCTTCAGCCCCCATAAGGCTGAACCGCATGGAACATAACTGCTACAGATTGTTCTCGTCAGCTGAAGAGCAGTTCGGTTTTTCCTTGTCAAGTGCAATCTCAACAAGCTGAATGTTCCCTTGTAGTGAAGCAGCCTTGCATGACGGAAGGAAGGAGAAGCCATCCCGAAGCTTTAAACACTTCAAACCCCACTTCACCATTAAAAATTCAATCAAATGATGACCACTGCATACAGGAATCAAATAGTTGACACACAAGGAGAAGGGTAAAACAATTCCTGCAATTCTTCCATGAGGAGAAGGGTAAAACAATTCCCGGAACCTGCGATTGTGATATGTGGTTATGAACATCGCCCCCGGGGAATTTTCCAAGAGAAATGAGACTGTCGCGAAGAGATCATCAAACTCTAGCCAAATTGATGCAGTTGTGTGCAGGTCAGTCAACATGAAAATTATACAGAACTACAAATACAGATGTGTAGCCCGTGTAGGTGTAGCTTACTTGCTGAGTCGTAAAGCACATCGGCTCCAAGAATAACATCAGGATGCAAGTCAAATGTAGGTTCATCCCATTCTCCCCAGGTAAGTCCTAATACCTGCATGAGTGTTGTCGACTTATTAAGCTATATGTACCATAATGCAGATTTATTAAGCTATGTAGTAGAATGCAGATTTATTAAGCTATGTTGTAGAATGCAGATTTGTTAAGCTATGTAGCAGAATGCAAAGTACCACCATGCATTTCCCTCTAAATAAAAAAACTTACAGTGCAGTTGACATTATTGAGACCGCATACTTGTCTGATGTTGTTCAGGACCTATTGATAAAACATAAGAAGAAAATAATTAATATGAGCCTAGATGAATGAAACACAGCACCCCTCTGAATGAACTTAACCTCTGTATTATGTGCGATGTCTGTCAGTGTGACGTCTGCTCCAACCTTTGCAGCTACTAACCCTGGTAGTGAGGTTCCGGCACCAAGCTGAAAGTCGTACATGCAAATTAAAATTAGAGTGCAAAATATGCTCTGAACTGGATACAATTACTACTAACAGAATGTCATAATGGCTGTACCAAACCTCATAACAGAGGCTGGCGCTAGGACCTGATTTATGGTTGATCATCACAATGGCAAGTAGATCATCATTGGCCATTGACACTCAAGAGTAGAATTTAAAGATGACAAGTATAGTACCTCGACAACTGTGGAGGCAGTGAAGCGTGACCTCTGCTGCCACACGTACTCTGCTAGAATGACACTGCATGGCCAGACAAACATCCCGTAATCCTCTTCTATATTCTACGAGGCAACAGCAGTTGTGTCAAAGAAACTCAGAGATGGCAGTAGCAATTGAATCCAAAACAAAAATGCAGAATCATAAGCAACAATTTCCGAAGCCGACTTCTTTTCTGAAAAGGAAAATTCCCAGGACTTGTCGAGAGCCGATCAACAACAGCCGGGTGCGGCATTTCGCCGAGCACTTGGCCTGCACGAATCACCCCTAACCCCGGCGTCGCCATCTCTACCACCTTCACTCGCAGCCATGGTGCTACTGCTCGTCACGTCGCGGCGAGATTTACCGATCGCGGCAGCGAGGCGTCTTGGAGAGACACCCATAACACTGGGGGGGGGGGGGGGGGGGTGTGGGGGGGGGCGACATACCTCGATGATGTCCACCCGGAGGTCGTGGTTGTGGGCCGATGAGGCGCCGCCGAAGTAGTGCTTGGATACGGTGGTCATGCGCGGCGGAGCGGCGGCGGCATGTTGGCCGGAATCCCCCTCCGGCGTTGAGGTGGACGCCGAGGCGGCGGTTTCCATGGCGCGCGCGGGTTGGTGACACTATTGCTGACGTCAGCGTATAACGGTATAAGACAGGCGTGTAGATAGTTATTACACACGTGTCAATTGTGAGCAACAACATTGGTCAAATGACTCTCAAATCAATGCATAGAAATGATTTGCTAATTGCTAGTACTCCCTTTCATTCCAAAATATAGCTAATTTTATACCTTAAAATTTATTTTTTAAGACATCTATAAGTTTGTAAGCTTTAATTTATATATTCACCAAATATTACACATTGATAAGGCTATGCAATGTGCAATTTTAATTTATTTTAACTACAGTTTTATTGCTATATATGTTTTTATGTAAGTTTGAGTTCTTTTTTCATGTAATATTGTAAATTGTATTGAGTTATACGTTTATATCATGTAATTTTATAAAGTTTTTTTATATTGGAAACTGGGGAGTGATAATAAGCCACAAGTACTAACAGGGAAGTGATAATAACCACTGGAACTACGGCATACAAAAAAAATGAACTCTCTTTTTTTCGAAAATTTCACGTGCCTGAAATCTAGACACTCAATTTAAATACTTCGTACCAGTATCTTAAAGGGACGGCCGTGGACGGTGGATGACCGGCAGTGGGTGGTGGACACGGGCGGGCGACGAGGCGCCGGCAGCGGCGTCGGAGCTGCGGGGTTGGCAGCGGGCGGAGAGCCGGCATTGGCGGTGGGGGGAAAATGGGCCGTGCAACCTTGGAAAGAGAAGGGGGGAGGGAGAGGAGGCCGGCCATGGGAGGGGGGGGGGGGCTTGCCGCTGTCGTTGACTCCTTCCGACCAGCCCGCGAGGCCGGGCGGCGGCGACGGATGGACTGAGAAGCGGAAGGAGGAAAAGTAGGTTTTACTTATGTTGCACGATTGATCCAACGGTTCATAATTTGCAAGATTTAGGGAGGTTTTTTCTGTCAAAAGACACCTAGAAAGTCCCATATATTAATCCGAATAGTAATTTGGGAATGCAGAGGCAGCTACATGCCTACATGGTGAGATAATCCCAGTAGTTGTTGTTGGTGGAGCCAAGGATCCTCCCGCCGACGTCGGGGAAGAACTCGTGCCCGCGCAACTCGCTGATCTTGCCGTCGTCGCCGACGTCCACCGGGTACCTCATGAGGTGCCCCTGCATGGCGACATCGTCGTCGTCGGCGGCGTACCTCCTCCAGTTCTCCGCCGCTATCTCGTTCACCCGCTTCACGCACTCCGGCGACTCCGGCGACCTCAGCTCCCGCCACTCGCTGCTGCCCAGGTGCTCCTCCCACAGCAACATCCTGAAGCCGAACACCTGGCCGTCGCCGGCGCCGGCGCCGGCGCGGAGATTGGGCTGGTAGGCGCCGACGGCGATCTCGGTGTCGCGCGAGCCGGCGAGAGAGCGCTGGTTGATGTTGGCGGAGCCGACGATGACGTACTCGTCGTCCACGATCATCCCCTTGGAGTGCACGTAGATCATGAACCGCCGGTGCCGCCGCGCGCTGCTGGCCGCCGGGTTGTGCTCCTGCTCCGGCGAGCCCGCCGCCGCCGCCGCCGCCGCCTCCCGCTTGCCGAGGCAGTAGAAGTTGAGGTAGTCCCGCGGGTGCGCCGCGCCCTCCATCCCCGCCGCCCTGATCGCCGCCGCGATCACCTCGTACATCGCCTGCATCGTCTGCCTCTGCCAGAAGAGGATCTCCTGGATGGGGCCCGAGGTTGGAACCCCCTCCGGCCACATCGGGATCACGATGTACACGGCGAACCTCTCGCCGGCGGCGATCTTGCTCGCCACCTTCAGCGCGATCTCCATCGGCACCAGATTTCCAGCACCTGCACACACACATATACATGCATCAGTGTGCAGCATATTCAGACAATTTTGTTAGAGAATGGTATTTTTGGTACAGCCTCTACATCCAACCGGACATATGAATCTTTTTAAAATAAGAGCTTAGTCTAACAAACTGAGAACTTAGCCTTCAAATAACCCAATATGAAATTAGGAATTTAGTCCTCAAATAACCTAATTGTAATTCGCTCGTATGAAGATTTAAACTCATGACCTTAGGGTGTCAGGGTGTTACTCAGGTGACTGCAACCACTAAGCTCCATGTATTTTTACCGATTCAGACAAGTGATGAGACAAATTCAGCAAATTCAGATGGTGCCTGCCTTCTTGGTGCTTGTAGGATGGCCATGCGAAGGATGATCCGATGAAGTACTGGTTCTCGATGTAGATGAAGCGCTTCGCCGACCGGATCGCCCGGACGTACGCCGTGTGAATGCTCTGCTCCACCGTCACGTTCTTGTCGCACACCAGGTGCTTCGCCTCCTGCATCGCATATCGATGCTTCAGCTATTTGATGGAGTACCATTTTATTACTCCATCCGTATTTTAATTTATGACACTATTTATTTTTTAAATTTATGACACTATTTATTTTTTAAGATACATTTTTTATCATTTATCTTATTTAAAAAATTTATCTAAGTACCATATATTTTATTGCGACTTGATTTATCATCAAACGTTATTTAAACATGACATAAATATCTTTATATCTGTAAAAAAATTTAAATAACACAAATGGCCAAATGTTGATAATAGATTTAACAACGTTATACATTAAAATACGGAGGGAGTACGTCGATTATTGATTGATTGATTGATAAGTTAATGACGATGAGCCATTGATGAAGAGAGAAGAAGAGATTATTAACCATCTTTTTTGTCTCCCAGCAACGAGGCAATCCTTTCACTGATCCAGAGTCCACTGACCGGAACACCTGCCAGTTTTATCACCAAGAAATTAAAATTATCTCCATCGATTTCAAGTATCAATCGATCGGTTTATCATGTACCTGAGCGTTCCAGCAATCGGGGTGACCATCGGGCAAGGCGTAGAGGTGGCTGTCGCCGCCGTCGCCGTCGCCGGCGCCGGAGTCGGAGGGGCTGAGGATCCAGGAGATGCGCTCGAGCTTGAGCAAGGCGTCGTCCTTCCAGTGCGCCTTGGCCCTTCTGAACAGCTTCGTCGCCTTCCTCCACCGCTGCTCGAAGTTCTCCAGCACGTCGTACGCCGCCGGCCCGTCGACGCGGCAGTGCATGTCGTGCCACGGCTGCCGCGGCCCCTCCTCGCCGGCGCCGCCCTTGTTCCCCGCCGGCGGGATCGCGGGGTTGTAGACGTCGCCGGAGAAGACGGTGCCGAGGTCGGCGAAGAGCCTGTGCGACGGCGTGTCGTAGCGCCCCGCGGCGAGGTCGAGGCCGCCGAGGAACGCCGTGATCCGCCGCGTGCTCCCCGACGCCGGCGTGTCCACCAGCAGGCACTTCTGGTGCTGCGTGTACATCGTCCCCACAATCTGCACGCTGGCTGACACGCCCCTCTCAGCATTGGGTCTTGCATGCTTTGCTTGCATTGCACCATTTTTAATCGAGATTTACTTGTGATACTACTTTCGTTTCAAACGCCGTTAACTTTTCACGTATCGTTTAATTATTATTTTATCTAAAAGTTTAGCATAAATATGTAAAAGTATATACCCCATTCTAAAATATAAGTATTTTTAGCATAGTAATAAGTCAAATATTTTTTCAACTTTGACCATTAATAACAAAAAATAAAAAAAAATCAAACATGTAAAATTGATGTTACTAGATTTATCATTAAACAAACTATTATAATATGCAACTATTTTTATTTAAAGCATCTTAATATTGTTGGTCAAAATAGCATCTCGGAGACCATATCAAGGTAAAAAAAAAGATTATATTTTGGGACGGAGGGAGTAAGTTATTAATAAGAATATAGTAAAACAAGTCATAACAAAAATAAATAATATTTATATATATTTTAAATAAGACGATGTGAAAAATAAAAGGAGTAATATATTTTGGAAATGATTGAGTAATTAATTATATCTTGCCTTCTGCTTGGCCATGCTGAGCTTGCTGCTTGGGTATCGCGGCGACAGCAAGCAGATCACCGACGAGTCCTTGAAGAACTTCTTCGTCTCCTCGTCATGTGTTTGCATCAAGCCGCCCTGAGAAATCAAATCCAAATTCAATTTTCTTTGACAAAAATTCAAGAACAGAGTTGAATTGAGTTGGTACGCAACGCAACTGTCTTGAGGAAGAAGGTGTCGTGCGAGGTCTTGTCGTCCCAGACGAGGAGGCAGACACGGACGCCCTCCTGCGACTTGTACTTGAGCAGCGCGCCCAGCGACATGCCCTCCGCCGCCACCGGATTGTCGTCGTCGTCGGTTGCCGTCGTCCGCACCTCCTCCACCTTCGCCGCCATCTCCGGCGACATCGCCTCCCGCACGAGCCGCACCTTGGTGTTCACCGACCACCCCGCCACGTACACCAGGTGCTGCGCCCCGAGCACCGCCAGGCACATGTCCTCCCAGCACCGCCCCGGCTCGAACACCCCGCGCCGCCGCACGCCGTCCAGCTCGCCGCCGGCCACGTGCGCGTCCTGGTACAGCTTCACCTCGCACCCGCGCCGCGCCGGGAAGTAGGCCGCCGGGACGCCGCCGTGTTCCGCGTCGTAGATGCTCTGATGCTCGCCGGCGGGGACGAACGAGGCGGTGATGACGATGGCGGAGCTGGGCTTCGGCCTCCCGCGGCCGTCGGGGCGGTACAGGGGGAGCTCCCTCCTGACGATGGGCGCGGCGGCCGCGGCGAGGACGTCGGCGGCGGGGAGGATGGCGACGCCGATGAGGTCGGAGCCGAAGGGGTCGGCGTCCTTGACGTGGAAGGCGACGCCGGTGGCGTGGTGGGCGAGGTGGAGCAGGACATGGGTGGACCACTCTGGGTCCTCGGAGTCGCGGACGACGTGGGTGCGGGCGAGCGTGTTGCCGGCGACGACGACGGCGGCGTACGGGTCGGACGTCGGGAGGAGGTGGTGGCCGTGCGGCTGGCGGCGGCCGTCTTCGTCGGCCGGGACAGAGCCGCGGCTCTGGCCGGGGCTGGGCCGTCTCGCCGGCGGCCGGAGGCAGAGGCAGAGGCGGCGGAGGAGGGTGGAGAGGAAGTCCATGTTGGGGAGGCCGCGCGCCTCGTGGATGGTGAGGTCGAGGTCGCCGTGGAGGAGGCGAGTCCCCGACGCCGCCGCCGGCGGCGACAGCTCGCCGGACCAAGACATGATGACCGGAGCTCGGCCGCTTCGGGGGCTAGCTAAGCTAACCATTAACGGTGTGAAAGCGTAGGGCACATGCATGGCGGGAGGATTGCTGAATTAATGCACAAGAGGAGGCTGACCGGTGGGCCCGCAGTCTACTAAGGTGGGCCCCACGGGGGCATGCATGAAAACGCAAATGAAATGATGCTATGTATGCAAGGAAGGAATGCGATTCTTGGCTTGAGAAGAGCGTGCGACAGGCGGCATCAGGGACGAGTCACGAGTGTAATCGCGCTTCATTAGCAAGTTACAAGTAGCATAAAGCATAATAAGCACATCGTTGATCAGGCCTGTGTAGAATCAGAATACAAGTATTTTACTCCATAGGTAAACAAATATAAAAATGATAAGCGTTTAAATTTATCCATAATTATTAGAATATGGTCCTTTTCCTCGAGTGGATGTTACCTCATTTCTTTCAAGGTACCCAAATAGCTATCAAAATTTTTAAAAATTTTATTAACATTTAACAAGGTATCCGTATATCACTCCACAAACATACAACATTAAATTTAATTTCTACAAATTAAATAAAAATATTTAAACTCTACCTAGGATATGAATACATTTTATATTTATTATTTTGTTATAACTTTTTTAGACCTTTAGGCCAAACATAGCATGTGTTTGTGTGTGTTGTATCCGGACGCATGTTGCTGGGCTGCATACGTAATTCGAACCAGGTTGATGGGCCACGTTATACGTATTTGGAAGGCCCATCGGTAATATATGGGCCAAATTGCTGAACATTCTCTTCCTCATCTCTCCTTTTCCTTTCTTTTTTTTTCTCCTTCCTATCATTCCTTCTTTCTTGGAGTGGCACAAATGATGATAGTTAGTATTGTTATTATTATCCCTTTTTATTTTATATGCATGCAAAGAAATTTCAAAAACAAAACATTATTTAAAAATGCCACGATTGGATGGATGATTTTTAAAGGGGTTTAAAACTGAATGAATTGATGGTGAATAACTCAATATATTATAGTACGCCTGTACTATCCTAAGGCACATGATAGGAGTAGTGTATAAATTCTGGTATTCCTATCTTCATGACACGTTCTGAAAATCCCGAGAAGCATCTATCTGCTGCTCTGTTTCAATAATAATAAAAAGAATGCATCTTCGATCTTATGTCAATAAGTCACAGCCAAATCAACTACTTCATCCGTTTCATATTACAAGTAGTTTTCTTTTTTTCCTAGTTAAATCTATTCAAATTTAACTAGTATTTTCAATACAAAACAAACATATTATTAAAATATATTAAATATTAGATATAGTGAAACTAATTGATATTTTATATGTTGCTAAATTTTTTTATAAATTTAATTAAACTTAACCAAGTTTGACTATGTAAAAGTTAAACGATTTATAATATATAATAGAGGGAGTAGTAAATTTTATAAACGTAATTTCGTCAGACATCGCGTATCTCTGCATGCCTACGTGTCGGTCGATGAAGCTACGTGTCCAGCTGCATGCATATCCTGTAGTTGTGACGCGGCCAGTCGAGCCCGTCCAGTAGTCGCCACTGCTCGTTTAATTTGACGCATCTCTCACTCTGATGCTGCAATGCATTTTCAGGTCAAACCTGCACTTGATTCTGCAAAACGATTGGATCCAACACTATTTTTTTACTACTAATTATTGCAGACTTTCCCAGCAAAAACAAAATGCAGACTTAATTACTACTATTGATATATTTTCTTATGTTATCTTTATCGTTTACCTTAACTTATTCGATCTGATTCTCTGCAAGGTTATAGCTACTCCACACACATATGTTTAATTAATGAATCGATTGCTTAATTTGTCTGATGCCGACAGGCACAAGTACTCACGCATGCGACGCCAGGAATCGATATCGATCATCGGTTGTTGCGTGACTTCGCCTGCAACTCTGAATATACAATGCTTATTGCTTTTTAATTGGATAATGAATGCTTAATTATTGCTTAACTAAATGACAAAAATGCAGGTTACACATCGTGCATTTACTATATATATTTTCTCGATCTATATATATCTCTGGTCTGCCGCTGTTCATGACTTTTTCAGTTTTAATTTTGAACTGCTTAACACGTATATGTTCTCAAACGGAGAGTCGGAGATCAAGTAGTAGTGATAAAAACAACAATTAATTTAAGTTGCAAACGGTCAATAATTCAGCAGCCACTTGGTTAGGACCAAATCACTGTCACTGGAATAGCTAGCCGATGTTAACTCGATGCTTAGCTTGCTTTTGCGAGTCAATTGTAAACTACTGATCCACTAGTATAAATGGATATCGATCCATGTGTCGTACTACGTAGGAGTACTTGCTAGGTGCCGGGCTGGAGTCCTGATCTCGTTCAGCACTTGATATAAATATCATTCCTCCTCTCTGATTAATTAAGTTAACCACAACTATATATGCTTATATTAGACGTGGAGATCAATCATCGTATGATTGTTGGGTTTAATCCCCAAGCATATTCTAAAAACATCAGGCTGCTTGTCTCGAGCCATGTGTCAAATTGAATAAGGTTTCGCTAGAAATATGCCAACATGGTTTTATGATGGATTTTATATATCAAGTGAATCCTCACCATTGGACCGATGCGAAGACTCAAGCTCGAGCCAGCGATGTAATCTATCTTTTTTTCGGAGATAAGGTGATAAATGTCCACTTGCTTACGTTTCACGTTCTGGGGTACAATACTATGGATATGCCCGACGACCTTTTAGTTAGAGATTGGATAGAAGCTAGCGACCAGTATGAGACGAGAGTTGGTACGAGATGAGAGTTGGTAGAGTAAGGAGCAGTAAATAATTAAAATCGATTATCTTAAAGGGGCGAATGGAGTAGTGAAAATTACTGATTGAAGTTGTGTATATACGATGATCAACGTCAAACAAATAATACCAAAGGGAGTAGTATTTTTTACTAATTATATCAATGGGCGAAGAAGATAATTAAAACTCAATCGCATATTCCTTTACACATGCTAAAACACGGTCTTTTTGAGAAATGGTGGAGTACACGTGGCGTGATTAGCCAAACCAAAAATTGGTTCGTGCATGGAGTAACTGTGCGATGCGGAGGATCGACATGGGCATATCCAGCTCCGCCTCGAAAGGTGAACTGCATATATATAGTTTAAGAGAACGAGGTCATAGGCAAAAGCAAGGCACCACTCTTTTAATTCCAAGTTTTTTTTAGAGTGGGTAATTTCCAAGCTAAATTCCATTCAATTCAAAATACGTACCCTGAAAAAGATCCCACGCTATACCGTCAGAAAATTGATGCCTTCAAATTCAAATCACTCATACTATCCAAATTAAAGAAAAACGATTTATCGAAGTTTCCTTTTACTTTTGTTCCCTCCGGTGTGTATATATGCGAAGTTTTTCAGAACTTACCACAAACGCTGTGTCTGTATTTATCAAAAAATTGGTTAGTAGAAAATCGCCTCAAACAAATAAATAAGGACAATGTTATCTCATCAGTACTTGATTAGCTTATCTATCATTCTTGAATTACGTACGTACAAGTACGTTTCAGTGACTAGCTAGCTACTTTCTACTTGCTACCATTGTTACATGCTCAAAGAGCTCCAATTAACAGTATAGTCATACAGTACTAGTTAGCAGTATCATATAGGACCATCATGGTATAGAAAATACTAACCAAATAATTTACAATATCTTCTTGATTTAATTATACTATCCTGCTATGATATGGTGCTCACTGGTACTACTAGTGCTTCAAATTGCAATATTGTATCTTTGTTTATCTTGCCCACTTTTTGAGTGTCTAGGCTGGATGAACCATTGAACCCAGCCCAAATATGAGATATAATGAACCTAACTAGCTTAGTTAGGTTAGTACATTGCCTCATCAATGCCCGCAAGTTTCGCCGAGTAAGCTCCAATTTTGTCATATTTTGTACGCTCTATTTATATATAGACACATATAAACATATCAATATAGAAATATTAAAGGTACCACCTATAAATTTAATACTAGAGCTTTTTGGTGAGAAGCCAGCGGTACACATATATACAATTCCCGCCCATGGTCTCGTTACACAGTTTGAAGTTGATTTTGAGTCTCGCTCAGAGTTGCATCCTTTTAAAATGATGCTTCAATTGTTGCTTAGTTCAACCATATGGTAGTAACTTTTCTTTTTATTTTGTGAAAGCAATGTTTTTATTCCGGGTTCATACACACCGTACGTGTGGACGTAGCAAATAAACCACGTGCAATGTCTGCTTTGACCTTGGAGTTGTAGTACTGCGCATGCACACAGGTCGAGGAGAAAGCAATGGTTTTTGGACTGATTCACTGGTCATTGCATGGCTTGTGTGTAACCGTTCTCCATTCTCCACATCACATTTTTGACTCGGTTTTGGATTAATGTCCTCATATTTTATTATGGTCATCCAAATCCTCCAGATTCATCACCCCCATTTTCTGCAGCCTTATCCCCAATAATATTCAATCCCCAATTAAAATACAACTTGTTTTTTTCAATGTTTTTAATAAAAACATAAATTTACTTAAATTTCAAGCCTAATACTATTTTAAACTTCACTTCCAAATAAGCTAAACACGGAAGGAGTTTAATACCTAATAAAAATTGTGATTTTTTTAACTTCTTAGTATTATACTTAGAATCTGTTTTTCAAAATTTAATTCCAAGAGCTGGATTTGGAGTTTAACTAGCTCCACTTCTATTCTGGATGGAGCCGAAATTATTTAGCTGGACTTGAACTTTAGAATAAGTGGAATTGAAGCTAGTACGAAACAGACCATTAATCTTGAATTATTTTGTTTGGATCATTGTATTACTCCCTTCGTTTCAAAAATAAATCAACCTCGTATTAAAATGTGAATACAATGAATATGGATATATATCTAGATTTGTTGTGTATTAGTAAGAGATGATTTATTTTGAGACGTTGAGGGTACAATGGTACTATTATTACTCCAGCCAATAGGGGAGAAGAAGTCAATCCAGAACCTAGACAAAAACCTGTCTCTCTTCTCATCTTTTTCTTCTTCTCTACGGCGAGCGCCTCCGCTTGTTTGTGTCTATAAAGTTGTGGACTTTCTCGCCGCCATTGTCACGTCTCACGTGCGCGCCACCACCACCCCATGCAGACCCAGCAGCAGTAGCGGCACGGCTCTCCTCTCTCGTCTCGTGCACCACGCCGCCGCGCGCGCTCGCTTTGCTTCGAGAGTAATCGATGGCCGTGGAGGAGTCGCCGCCGCCGCCGCCGTCGTCCCCGCCGCCGCCGCCGTCGTCCCCGCAGCCAGCGGCGGAGGTCGGCGCGGGGGGACGGCGCGCGGACAAGAGCGGGCGCCGCCTCGAGGTGTACAGCGAGGTACTCGCCCGCCTCCGGGGCCTCGGCGCCGCCGCCCCCGTCGAGATCTCGCCGGCCTACGAGGACGCGCTCTGGGCCCACTTCCACCGCCTCCCCGCCCGGTGAGATCTCTTCTCCTGCCCTCTCTCTCCCCCTCCCTCCCCCTCCCCGACTTCCCTCATGGCCATGGCGGGCGTGCAGGTACGCGCTGGATGTGCACGCGGATAGGGCGGAGGACGTGGTGACGCACCACCGGTTGCTGGAGGAGGCGCGCGATCCGGACCGGCGGCCCGCCTTGTCGGTGCGCGTCGTCCAGGTGAGAGAGATCCATCCATGGCTGCCTGCATGTCGGTCGATTTCGCGTACTGCTTAATTTCCATTAGATTTTTATTTCTCTCCTGTGGTGTTGCTCGGGGAATTTGATTTGTGCTGTCTCATGTTGTTCATTAGATCAAACTGAAGAGTAGAGCTTAGATGTTGCATCAAACTGAAGAGACATTTTAATTCCTTGGCTTACCAAACTTTGTTTTCTGCTTGATCTAGGTTTCTAGGATTCTTGATGGTGATATGGATGATTGTTCTGAGCTTGGGATGGAGCCGGTTCATACCAACCACTTGGCAAGACAAATGTATGCATGATCTATCTATCTATCTATCTATATGCACATGAAGTTCGTTTACTTTCATGCATGTGTCTCCTTGGCTGTTCTTGTCTTTTATGCACGCTAATGGAGTAATGGTGACTACACAAATCGTTTCAGGGTTCATCCCCCTCCTGCCTTTGGTTCTTGCTCCAACTTAGAGGCACTTGCGCTCGAGGCGAGTGAGGCTAATCTAAGGAGCAGTAACAATGATGAAGATAGCAGTGTTCATCTCATTTCCAGGTAGATAATTCCCCTTTTCAGTTCACGTGTACCTCGCTTTATTTTGAGTTTAGGGCCCCTTTGATTTGAATGAAAAACATAGGATTTTTGTAAGATTCAAATCCTATAGGTTTTTTTTCCTATCTGGCCCTTTGAAACAAATGATTGAAAACTGTTGAATCCTATGAAATTCTTAAGGAATGCTCTATTCCATACAAGTTTTGGAGGATTTTTAACATGAGGTCCAACCTCATGGAAAGTTTTCTATGAGTCTATCTCTCTCATTCAATTTTTGAATTTTTCCTGTGTTTTACAATCCTCTATTTTGCGTTTGAATTCCTATCGAAATTCTGTGTTTTTCCTATTCCTTTGTTTTCTCAATCCCGTGTTTCAGAGGAGCCCACTGTATTTGTCTTTGGTTCTTTTGGTTCATGTGCCATTCTGTACAATCATAGCGTGCTTAGCACTAGCTTGTAGTCTTGTACTACTACCTTACAAGGTTGGCATGTCGGCATGTTGCGATTCCCTTTTAAAAACTGTTTTTGATACTTCTCTATATCAATTAATTAACATGGTATATTGTGTTACAACCAGAAAATCGCATATTTTACCTTGTGAAGAATGCATGCCTCTGTGGCCTATTTTTTAACAAATGATAGCATCAGTGGATTAGTTGTTACTAACAGTTAGCTGCAAAACCATGATATGCAGAATTTCCTTTCCGAATATGGTACTTTCTCTGGCAATATTGCATTTGCATACTTGTTTAGATGTACAAGACATTTCACAAAAAGCCGATGCCACGCATGAGCTTCTTTGTTATGCGCTGGTTTGATCATGTAGTGAGTGGATTATGAAATTGTCAAAAGTACTCATAATTGGTGGGAGTAGTTCATTTTTCCAACTTAAGCCTTTATTCCCTCCGTTTCACAATGTAAGTCATTCTAGTATTTCCCACATTCATATTGATGTTAATGAATCTAGACATGATGTGGGAAATGCTAGAATGACTTACATTGTGAAACGGAGGAAGTATTTATGGGCATTTTCATTAGGATTATGCAAATAGTTGATTAATACTTGGATTCTATATATTCTCATTCTAGTTGATTAATTCTCGCTATATTCTGAATCTTGCAGGCCAATGCATGAGATAACTTTTGCAACAACTGATAAGCCAAAGGTCCTTAGTCAGGTAGGCATACTTCTTTCAATACAATCTTAACAAAGCGAAGGAAATTCAAAAGCTGACAAGTAGCTAGTTAGGAAAATCATTAGTAAAAATAAATGGACATATTTATTTAGAAAAAAAGATTAAAAAAACATTACAAATCTGTTTAATGTGAACTTCAAGGCAATTTTATACAGGACTTATGTCAGCAATTGTTTTGATTCTTACACTTTGCCTTTCATACACTTGCAGCTGACTTGCTTGCTTAGTGAGCTTGGTCTTGACATCCAAGAAGCGCATGCATTTTCAACAAGTGATGGTTACTCATTGGATGTATTTGTTGTCACTGGTTGGCACCTTGGGGTACGCACCCAGCATAATAGTGTTACTGTGTTAGTTTGTCTTGTCCTTATTGCAATTGGTCTTTAGAGCTAAACGCTTCAGTAGTTCAGTTAGTTCAGTAACATACTTCACTTTTCGTGTTGATAATTTGCTCTTTTGATGCACACTGCAGGGTACTGAGCAGCTAAAAGAAAAGTTGCTGGAGAAGTTTCATGACATTGAGGTATAAGCTTCCCCTCACTTTCTTCTATGAAGTTCAACGAAAAAAAAAACTCATTCTCGTGGTATTAATTGTTGCCTGAAAATATGGTACCTGGACCTGAAAAAGGAATGCAGAACATTATTTTCCTAACCAGTACTTGCCTTGTTCATTGCACTCATAAAAATCTTGTAAGGTCTATTGAATTCCTCAGATAAAAAACATTTGTTTTAGTTTTATTTTGGTTTCGTGTACAGACACAAGCTTGGCCAACATCAAACTCATCGTCACAATCATTGGAAGGTCCGTCAGGTGGAGAGAGTATGCCATCTACCAGTGTGGAAATACCAACAGATGGGACGGATGTTTGGGAGATAGATCTCAAGCTTCTCAAGTTTGGAACCAAGGTTGCTTCTGGATCAAATGGCGATCTGTAAGTTCCATTATCTTTGTCGGGAAGTGAAAACAATATAATTTTACACAACTGGGGATTGAGTGCCATTTGATGCTTTGCTTTCTCAGGTTCCGTGGATCATACTGCAGTCAGGATGTAGCTATTAAAGTAGTGAGACCTGAACGCATTAGTGCAGATATGTACCGTGATTTTGCACAGGAAGTCTACATTATGAGGTTAACTTAATATTTTTTTATTGCTTCTCCCATTTATCGAGCATTTTCTGGTGTTTAGCATTTGGCAAATCATATGCATATTGACTTTATTGACTGTACCAAATTGTTTCTTACAAAATCTACATGCTTGCAGAAAGGTCCGCCATAGAAATGTTGTACAGTTTATCGGTGCCTGTACAAGACAGCCCAACTTATATATTGTAACAGGTATATTACAACGGTTTAACTTATAATCTTTGTAGACAAACTTCTGTAGTGTTTGACACACTCTAATTTGCATTCATTTTCTTAGATTTCATGTCAGGAGGTAGTCTGCATGATTACCTTCATAAAAAGAACAATTCTTTCAAGCTATCCGAAATACTGAGAGTGGCGACAGATATCTCTAAAGGAATGAACTATCTGCATCAGAACAACATAATTCACCGTGATCTCAAGACAGCGAATCTTCTTATGGATGAAAACAAGGCTAGTTTTTTCTCATCCATAATCTCATCCATAATGCTATATGATTTACAGAGTGTGCAGAGTGATATTTGCTCCTGTCATTGAACTTCTAAATGAGAGCGATCATATTTTTCAGGTCGTAAAGGTTGCAGATTTTGGTGTTGCACGTGTCAAAGATCAATCCGGAGTGATGACTGCAGAGACTGGAACTTATCGTTGGATGGCACCTGAGGTGCCTGTTATACATACGCTCATTCCATAAGAATAACAACAGCATTTTTGTTTATTCTAACATTTGTATTCTATTGTAACTACAGGTCATTGAACATAAGCCCTATGATCATAAAGCAGATGTTTTTAGCTTTGGTATTGTTCTATGGGAGCTGCTAACTGGCAAGGTAACTACAAATTGCTCCAGGAAAAAGTCAATTTCTTTCTTTCTTTTTCCAACTTATATTAATTACATATAAAACTAAACTCACCTAACTATTCAATTTCTCAGATACCCTATGAGTACCTAACACCACTACAAGCAGCCATAGGTGTTGTTCAGAAGGTAAGCAAGCATCCCTGCTTAAATTCTGTAGTTACATGCGTGGTATCCGTAGTATTTAGCTCAAAAATTTAAAATGTTGATGAAACCCATTGTATAGCTATGTCCTGTGGGTGCTGGATTTCTTTAGTTCAAGTGGGGGACATGTGTGATGCTCTAAGGATACAGTAGTTTCGAGAAGCAGTCTTTAAAAAATGATGGCATCCTTGTTCTTTCAAGAAACCATTCTTTTAATATGCGATTGCCTCCCTTTGTGTCCATCCTACTAATCACTCACCTGATTAGAGGTGCAAGTTAGGTTTTCAGGTTACCATGCTCATGGGAATGAGATGAAGTAGAACAAACTTCCGTCAAGTCACGTCATTGTAGCTCCCTCAATTGTAGGGTCACATATAATATCTGCTTAACATCATAGATTCTTACCATTAGCAGAAAGTGCTATGAATTGCATATGAAAATGATTATGAACCTTGATTGTAAATGAAATAGTTGCCGTGATTGCCAAGTAGGAGTAGTTTGAAAAGACAAGTATTTTCAAGAGAATATAGGTCCTTTAGAGACACTGTACATACCTAGAAATTTCATGGAAATTTATTGGCATATTTATCTATATCCTCATATACATGCATATATACGGTATACCTGCTTGATTTCATAAAGTATGGCCTTTTTTTTGGATAAAAGGCCTAAGATAGGAGATTGCCTTTGGTATCTAAAAGAGTTGCAAGACAGCATTTTAACTTGTACATATGTAGCAGAGAGCTGCTAGTTATTTACAACAATTCTACACAAAATTAAGGTTCACTCATGTGTATTTTGATCATTTTCTGCAGGGCCTTAGACCAACAATTCCGAAAGATACGCACCCCAAGCTGTCTGAGCTGCTTCAGAAATGCTGGCATAGAGATCCTGCTGAAAGGCCTGACTTCTCCCAGATACTGGAGATTCTTCAGAGACTCCCCAAAGAGGTCAGTTCTAATGCACCTCGACTCATCAATTTATCATGCATTTCTTAAAAATTCTCAAGATTTTGTTCTTTTACAAAAACAGAAACTATTTGCTCAATGAAATTTTAGTTTGTTTCATGTTCAATATCATGCTCCAGAAAAATATATATTAAATTTTGTTTTAATATCCTGATTTAAAAAAACAGGTGAGAGCTGATACCGAGGGTCGCCAGAAATCAAAGGCAGGATTTCTTTCAGCATTGAAGAGAAACCACTGAAAGTAGCTTATACAATGTTGGTGCATCATTCAATTGTAGCATCCCACAACAAGAGGGAAGCGCATTGTGGTGTACAGTGATTAAAAAAAAAGTATTTCTTACGTTGTTGCAGCTTTGTTTTTTTTGCTTATTTAGTTTTTTTTTCAGCTTTTTGGTTTCTTTTGCTGTTGTTTTTCTTGTTCTAGTTTTGTTGCATTAATGAGAACAAGTATAGAAAAAGGAATGTGCTGAAAAGAGTTGTACAAATTGATCCTGTTTTCTTGTTCATGTCTGAATTCCGATTTTCTCCTCCTATGTTGTAGATGAAAATCTTGTAGTGTATGCCTATATTTTCCAAGGTTATCTGCGTTTCGTTACGAGACTTAAAATCTAAATATTCGTATAACCTTTGGATGTGGCTTGTGGACGTAGAGGCCAGATTTCTATACATTATATTTTTTAAAAAAATATCTGCATTATATTCTACCAGTTAGTTTTGACATCTTGTTGAAAGTGGAGCGTGTTACACAAAAGTTGGTGATCTTCTGCCGAAAAACTGAAAACTTCACGATTAATCATTAAATTCGAGCACAGTAATACATGCAAATAATTGTTCCCTTGCTAAAAACATGTTTGGAAATTTTTGGCATTCCATCATCATAGTGATCAGTTTTGAGTTGCACGACTGCATCTTTTGCATCTCGTGGATTAAAATGAGGATGTATGATTTGTTCACAATTTCAAAATGAGGGTATAGGGTGTATGATTTGTTCACAATTTCAAAATGAGGGTATACATAATGAGCTCACATTTTTCAGATAAACTTTTGGTTCAGAATAAAGTCAAACGTGACAAGAACTGCATCAGTTGCTAACGAACTGGGCCCCATCAGCCATGCATGAAGCTTGCTTGACTGGTGGGTCCAGTTGGGTCGCTAATCCAAATGTGGTGGGCCTATTTGGGCTGAATTGTTTTACTGGGCCGGCCTTGCGATGTGTACCCGTTGGTGATAAGACGTCTCATCTTGTGACGCGCCAACCGCGTCGCTCGCGAGCAGCGCAGCAGCCAGCCATGGCGGTGGCGGTGGCGGCGTCGCTCTCGACCCCGGCGCCATCGCCGGCGGCCGGGGGGAGGGGCCGGAGGAGGGTGAACGTGGCGGTGGCGTCCCTGCGGCGGGCGGCGGCGGGAGGTGGCTCGAGCTGGCGGAGCGAGCGGCGGCTCATGTCGGAGCTGGAGCGCACGGTGACGCCCGGCGCGGCGGAGCGCGTCATCCGCAGCTACGTCGCCTCCAAGTCGGAGCGCGCCGCCCTCGCCGCGCTCTCCCGCCTGCTCATGGACTCCGACCCCTTCGCCATCCCGGTGCGCGTGCGGCGTGCGTGAGCGCGTCCCAAATTATTCTTGTGATTTCTTGCCGATTTCGCGTCACGAATTTGGGGTGGGATTTGATTTCTCGCTGCAGTTCTACGAGGTGGTCACCCAGGCGCGGTGGTTCAAGTGGAGCTCCATCCACGCCGCCGCCGTCGCCGCGCTGCTCGAGAGCAATGGCAGCGCGGAGGAATCAAGATCCCTCATCTCCGACTCCATCTCGCGCCTCCACTCCACCTCCTCCTCCTCCGAGGAGGTGTCCCTCTTCTACTGCGACCTCATGGCGGCCTTCTCCTCCCGCGGGATGCGAGACCGGGCGATGGATTTCTACTCCCAGCTGCGAGCCTCGCCGCCGCTGTCCGGGAAGAAGACCTACACGGCGATGATAAAATCTCTGTGCCTGATGGGCCTCGCCGGCGAGGCGGAGGCGGCGCTGAGGGAGATGGCGTCTCGGGGGCACCAGCCGGAGGCGTTCCAGTTCGGATTGGTGGCGAAGTGCTACGGCAAGGCGGGATCCATGGCCGAGATGGAGAGGGTGATCTCGTCCATGTCCGACGCCGGCATCCGCCTCGGCACCGGCGCGGCGAACATCGTGCTCTCGTGCTACACCTCCTGCCGTGACCATTCCAGGATGCTGGCATGGCTGAGGAGGATGAGGAAGCTGCGGATTGCGCCGACGACGAAGGCCTTCAACTTTGTGCTCAACTCATGCCCAACAGTAGCTTCGATGGCTCAAGAATTGGGGGAATCACTGCCATTGTCAACGGCTGAGTTGGTCAAGAAGCTCAGGTCTGCATCTCAATGGCCAGCAGAAGCTGAGCTGGTGCAGGAGCTCCTGACATCCTCTTCGGTGCTCGACAAGGCGATGGATTGGTCGGAGTCGGAGGTGAAGCTGAACCTCCATGGATTCAGCACAATTGCAGCCTATGTTTTGATTTTGCAGTGGGTGGATGCGATGAAGGCGCGCCGCGCATTGCCATTGGAGGTGTCAGTGGTGTGTGGCATTGGCAAGCACAGCGATGTCAGAGGTGAGCCCAAGGTGAGGGAGCTGGCTCAGGAGGTTCTGAGCAGGATGGGGAGCCCCCTGAGGCTGTCCATGAGGAACAAAGGCCGGCTTGTCGCCAAGCGCGACAGGGTGAAGCAATGGCTGGCCACTGACTGGAGCTCTCCGGTGGATGAGGAGAGCACAGATCAATCACCTAATGGGGACAACCAGCAACCATTTTTACTTACACTCATGAGAAAACTAGGACAGGTTCTGTCACCATTTCTGCAGTTCTCAAAGGGTAAAGCATAAGAGAAGCACCTCTCTTATGTAGGTTTTTCAGATAGTTTGGTCTTTGGATAGTTCAGCATCTTTGCCATGCTGTAGATTGATACAAGCATTGTCTTGGTCTAGTGAATCCTAAGTTCTAGTTCTGATGCCGAAATGCTATGCGTCGGCCAGCTGCTTGAAGGTTATGGGACTGACAAACCGTGCTGCCCCGTCATAGAAGGCAAGGCCTACAATCTTGGAGGTGGCCTGGGTAGGGTGGAGGAGATCCCAGAAGAGATATCTGCTACGGTCAGCGCAGCAGCTGGAGCTGGGGGTACAGGCTTCCTCGGCGTTGAACTTGCCACCACCACCACAGCATGCACTCTTCACCTCTACAAACCCTGAAATCAATCAGCAAGTCTGTGAGATCTCAGATATAGCTGAAAAGTAGACGGTTACAATTCAATTCATGCTAAGTAGAACTGTGACAATGTTTGAGGTGTGAGTTCCAGGTCATATTACTCTTTGCTTAAACTGAGGTAACTTACCAGCAGCTTGTGGATTTTCAATTAGGCTGGAGATAAGTTCATAGGAGCTGGCAATGGAGTACTTCATTCCCTGCATTTCGGAGCTGAGGTCACGGAACAGGTCCCGGATTTCGCCGTTCAGTCTCTTGGCCAACTGGTTTAGCGGTTCGAAGCACTCTCCGGTCGGGTTCTGACTTCTCAAATATGGGCAGCACCCGAGTAATGGCACATTGATCACTGCAAACTTCCTTGCTCCTAAATTGTATAATGTCTACAAGAATACTTCAACAGTTACTAACTTAATAAAACATAATTTGTTTGCCAGCATGCCAAGCATTTCGAGTTTGAGTTGCATTTGGTGGACAATTGAAATGAGGGAGTATGTTCTGTTCAAAATTTCAGATATATTGATTCAGACTAAAGTAAAATGTAACATGAGTTGCATCAATTTCTTTCTTTTACATAGAAGGAAGCTTTTATTAAGTTGCATCAATTGCTACTGGCCTATTAGCATCTTGAAGCTTGAAGGAACTGGATCATAGTTCGGATCTCTTACTTTCACATGACTATCATATGTGGAGATAAAAGCTTCACAGAATTCCTGAATTGCTGTAGAGTCTGGCGATTTGTTCTGCGAGAAGAATTCAAAGGCGTCATTCCCACCAGCACTGATGAGGAAGATGGATTTTGACAGCAATGTTGACGCTTTTTCGGCGCTCAATATGGTCGAAATCTGGTCTCTGAGATCTGAGAAGTACTCTATCTGCTTTGTCATGCTGATTGTAGTCCCCTGGTGCAATGATAATTTGTTAAGTCAGTTGTCAGTTGTGTGCAGTAAACTGTACTAGTAGTTGCACTTTGGAAAAGTAAGTAACCAAATTTTGAACCAGGGAGCAGAATTTATAGCTTTAGTTGAAGGTTGGAAGAAAATTTTCAACTTTAGGTAGCAACCATGCTCCTACCAAACTTCCTTTTTTTCTGGTGATCATAAATATATAGGACTTGAAATTCAATTTTGTGTCCAACAAAATTACTAGCATTACATGACATCACAATCCACAAACATATCCATCATAATAACAGAAATAACATGCAGGATCAAAATGGTTTTGGAGAATTTTATGCGTACTGTGGAATCAAGAACACCGGAGCCTCCGGAAGCAAAGCTGGCTCCTTTCATGGCGGATGCAGCTGCCATCATCATGTTGCTCATCACCTCACCACTGCTGTTAGCATCCATGGCGATGAGAGAGAGGTAAGGTGGTGGACTCCTGGTGAACCCCATCGCAGCCGCTACAAATTTCATTTTCAAATATTCTTCTCCATTCATCAGAATTTACATATTGAATTTGCTGAAATTTGTTAACTCAAGTGACGACGAGATGATCACTTACACTTACTTTTTTTCCACCTTTGCATACAATTGCAAACCGCAATGACTTCAATTATTTTCAGTGATGAAGCTACTTAGACTACTACTCACCTATGAAGTCGACGCCGATGAGGCCATTGCTGAACCTCCCCGTCGGCTCGCCGCCGGGGAAGTCGACACCGTTGTGAGGGAAGTCGGCCCTGGCACTGATTCCGGCCAGGTAATTGTTGTTCCCGGCGTCGACCGTCGAGTCGCCGAACACGAAGATCGCCGGAACCTTCGCCGCGCCGCCACCGGCAGCGCCCCTCGCCGTCACAGCAGCCACGGCCATGGCCACGAGAAGCAACCGGAGCTCGGTAGCTCGTAGCACAGCCATGGCTATGAGAAGCAAGTGACCTTGTGACAATACAAGCAGATCAGCTAGTTATATATACAGAGAAGAGAGAGAGCTAGCTCAGTGCTTAATTAGTACAGGATTTGGGTTGGAATGTGATTACATTCACCCTTACAGTTACTTGTTACTACAATTAACTGTACTCAGTAACTACCACAAGGCTCAAGAGAGAACAAAAAGGAGGAAGCCAGCTTGTCTGGAAAGTTCTTGATTCTTGATGCCCAGGACAAAAGCACTAGGGGATAAGAAAAATTGGAGCAAGATCCAATTGATTGTGCATTTTACAAGCTATGTTTTGATAAAGATGTAGCAGTGCTTATATTTTGGAACAGAGGTGCATCTTCAAATGAGAATAGACAAGTTCACTCCAACTCTCCAAGTGTCATCATCCATTCAGCAAATTCAAATCATGCTTTCAGAGCCCAGTACATCAGCTCACCCGGAGAGAGGAACAATAATCTATTAGAATATAATAGTATGTATATATAAGTTTACTCTCTCTCTCAAAAAAAAGAGCATGAATAATATGTAAGGCATAATGAGCATCATTTTTAGCATAAATTGTACACCTGCATCTCAGGTGATGCTACAATGTAAAAATTACAAATGTATCATCTGCCAATCTGCTCAACATGTACCCCCAAAAAAAAAGTTTTGCCGAGCATCACTGAATTGAAGTTCTAGGTGATACAACAAACAAAATCCAACTCTTCCAAGGACGTCGTTTCCTTATCAGCACAAGTTCTGATGATAATTTCAATCTCGGATAATAGCAATCCTGGGAATAACAAATGCAAATATGATCTGAAGAGCAGAATCTTCATGAAGAATAATTGAAAATATTTGCCTTTTTGCGCAAATATAACATATGATTGCCAACCAGAGCAAGGCAATTGTGGATGGTTCACAATTATGCCTTTTTCCTAGTGATCCTGTCACCACACAAAAAACCTCGTGTCAAACATTTGATACAAAATGGCAGAAATGAAGTGCATAGCAGTGACTAACACAAACCTGAAGCAATGAATCCCGAGAGCATTGGTGATTTCATGGATAACAGATGTAGCAAAATGCATGTAGAGAGCCACTGCCAAAATTGATCAAAATAGTGAGATCAAACATACGTGGAACAAAAGGGCTTGTACAAGGTAAGATATGCTACTACTGTAAAAACTATTGAAAAGAAATCGGTAAAAACTACTACTTCAAGCGCCATCGGTAGTAATTAAGTTCTGGAATAATGTAGTACCGGTAAATAAGCAGTACATTAGGAGAACTAGCTGCTCATCAACAAGGGGGTTTCTGCAACAACAATCGATGGCCAAATAAGGTTGGTAAAAAGAGTTATCATGTAGAGGATAATAAAAAGGTAGTTAGGCACAAACCCATCATCAAGCCGTGCAGTCAGCGCATTTGCAATTGCAAATGGGAAATATGCTAGGGACTGCAAAGGGAGGCACAATGTTTAATCATAACAAAATATATGCGTATCATCATATATTACTTATAAAAGGTGGTGGAAAACAAAACCAAAGAACAAAGGTGATTAGGCAACAACCATGCACATCCCTGTCTTCAGACCTTTGGGCTCATCACATAAGTGAGCCAGAATCATTCTGCCCTGTGCATAATAGAAGTAGATATTAGGTAATGCTCATAAGAGTGTCTTTTGCAACAAAAGAAGCATGTCAGACCAAAATATACTGGCTTACATAAACTATTTTTAGCATGACAGACCTGGAACGATACAATGCTAAAACTATAAAGTGATCATATTATAAACTGTTGCTTAGAGTTGCACACCTACTCTGAACAGAATCTTTAACACAAAATATCAAATCATGCCAGCATGGTCTATTGAGAAATAATAAGATGAGCAATATTATAAACCATTCCATGCATTAGGCCAATAAGGCGATTTTCATAGCAGCAGGCAGGATGACAGACAGAAATATATTTCACAATGACAGGAAGTTAAAAGAGAAACATCCACAAAACAAGTATTTGCAAGGCAATAAATGTATGAGTTATAGCACAAGGCCTTACCACAAGAAAGCCAAATGCAAAACCAGTTCCAATAACTAGAAGATGTGGCTGGTTTCTCATTATATCTGAAGGAGATAGGTAGGACCTGAATAAAAATGAAAAATCCTTCAGTGACATGCTGGAGGATTTTTTACCTTAACTGCTAGCTTCTGTTGTCTAGCTCAAATTTAATAAATTAATAGAAAGAACAAGAAAGATATATACAACTAAACTAGAATTAGGTGAACAGGTATACCAGACAAGAACTCCGGCCAACAGCAAACCAAAAGGAAAGAGCTGGCACAACAAAATAGAATATCATTTGAAAAAAAGAGAGACATGAATACATGATAAAATCACAAAATGACATATTTAGATCTTACCATTGCTAGTGCCAGCAGCATGCTTCCTTTTCTTGCCTCGACCACTTTGTACACATTGTGAATGCTGTAGGTTTAGAATAATGCAAATTGATCATAGGTTGAATGTTTATCGGCTATCAAATAAAGAACGTTATGATATTTTTATTTAAATTCAATAGTTGCCTCGAGAGTGAATTGATAAATAAAACACAACTATTTTTTCAGTTGATTCCAAGAGAAGCTTGCTGGATTCATATGCTCCATAGTCCATAGATGACTAAACTGACAGGTAATATAAAATAATTCATAAAGTAGTACATGCTGTGCAGTAAGAACTTACTTAGATCCAATCGTCGGAATTACAGCAAAAGCTATCATTAGAAACAGTGCAATTCCATATACTGGGACCTCTGCAAAGAAGCAACCAGCAATTAATTATAGTATAGGCAATGCCAGCATTTGTAGCTGTCCAAAACCCTACGTCTATTGCACAGTATTAACGAAAAAATTGCACTGATATAGATGAAATAGTATGCTAAAACAATTGAGTACCATATGATTACCAAAACAATAAATATTACGAAACGATTATAAGCTTGCTAGTCCCCATACCAGGAACAAGAGGTACCCAGTTTAGTAGGGGTATTGACTTCCGGAAATCTTGTGCCCACCATTCAGCTCCTGTGAAAGGAAAGATGAGCTATTAGTATTGCTATAACCACATGGCTTGAATGTGACTGGCTGATATACATGCACAGTAAATTGTCAGAATAAAACCACAAAGATTTACAGGCTCAGAATAGATTTGATTAGTTAAAAGTTGATAAAAATGGGAATAAAATAGTACCTGTGAAGAAGGTGAAAAAATGGCACAAATAGATTAGCATAAGGCCTTCAGTCGGTCCGTTGACTATAGGAAGAATTAGTGTGTTTGTGAAAAAGCTGCAGAGATGACAATTAAGTGTGAATAGAAAGGTACTACTCAAAATCTATGCAGTGAAAGTCTCTTAATATCAATGCAAATATAGAAACAACAATGAGCAGAGTATCTAGTTTATTAGTTCTTGAACTTGAAAAAAAGTAGTGCTTCTATCATCTATGTTCTTGCAGAAACTAAATTGAATTGGGCCAATGCTGATAAACCCTTGATTTTCTTACCGGTGCTTTCGAATTCTTTAAGAGCACTAAAGCATTCCACAGACCATTTCACAATAGATGAGTGAGCATAAAAAATTGGTTCCTAGTGTAGTTTGATGCTCTAACTAGGAATGGAAGAACTCAAGTAACATGAACTCACTGTTCCCAGGTTGCGCAGTAAAATGGGACAGCAGCAATGAACCAATACCAGAAGGTAGCTTTTCCACACATTGCCGTGCTTCCAAAAGCCAAGGCCTCAAACTAATATATAAAATAAATACAATCAGTTCACAAGATTTTCCGTATATTGGGACATGCAAGGGAGAAAAGTTGGTGAATAGCCTTACAGCACATGCAAGCGCATCACATCCTGTTCAAGATATAGTCATGTCAGCATCAGATACAGGACTTTCTAAAGGGATAAAACTTAATTCACCAAGTTGTATTTTCAGTAAAGACTACCGTGGTCAAATAGCTCGCCTAAAGGACTTGATGAGTTGGTACGTCTTGCTTGTTTACCATCCACAGCATCAAAAGTCTGCATGCATTGTACTTCTAAGCTAAGGTTCTAGCTTGTAGCGACTGGAAATTTTATACGGCACAATCAAACAAAAAATGAGATTGAAACCTGGTAAAGGAAGAGAAGCATTCCATGTGCAAGGTGCACCCATCTAGGTGGTGCTGTATCGAGATGAGGGGAATAAAACTGCAGATAAAATTGGAACAGTAATAAGGTATCAGTTGGCTGAAATATTTCTGCTGCATCAACGAGCAATAAAACTCCTCTGTATAGGCCACAATAAAGAAAGCATCGAAAATTTACAGCCATAAGATACTTACAAAGCCAAGGAATGCCGATGTCAATAGAAACATGAAGCCTGTCAGTGTAATCTGGAAAACAGGAATGGAAACAATGCTTTGTCAGCTCTTGAACAAAAAGAAAACCCTAGTTCATAGTATCAGCATGTGCGGGACTCTCACCATATTTGGCCTGCGGTCGATTCCAACATGGGAAAAGAAGAATAAAGTTAGTATTTTAACAAATACATTTGGACAAAGAAATCAACATAATGTATTGCACTAGCATGAATTCATAATGTAAATGCTCCATAAGTGCTTAACTAGTTAGTTTGGATGATAAACAGCAAATGATTATGTACTGATATTACAGTAACCATTGTTTCAGATTACACCCTCCTGTAGGAAGCAAAAATGACCAGAGATGTAAAAATGAAGCCATAGCACTAATTTTTGTAATGAACCTAACTTTAGCATGTTAGAGAAAAGGATTAACTAATACTACTGTATTGAATAGGAGTATGGAATAGGATGCTTTTCAGTGTCCAGCAAGGAGAACAAAAGCTGACATTTTGATGTCCACTGTCTGCAGCCCACTGGAAGATGCTCTCTAAACTAAAAAATGACTCCACAAGCTAAAGAAAAGCTTGGGATTCCTCATGCCCATGCTATGTAACTGTGAGCGCCATAAGCATATGCGATAACTGCTAACCCAGTTGAACGAATCAAAGAAAAAACTCGAAATGCTACTGTCCCTGTAGGAAAAAAGAAGAAGAAAAAAAAAACACAAAAGCGACTTGTGCGGTGGAGAAGAAAACATTGTGAACAATCATCTTAACTAGTGCCAGTGTTTCTCTTTGAAGCAATCATCTTGGCGAAAGCCAGGAGCTTGACAAGGCACGGATCAAAACACTGGTGGAATGGAAGAAAAGAAAAGGAAAGGAAAGAAATTCGAGGGGGCGCGGCGCTTACGGGAACCAGAGCGGGAAGAGGTTGACGAATCGTGACCAGAAGGGCTGGAGGATGTACTTGGCGACGAGCGAGTGGTCGACGCCGCTGTACTTGTACCTCCGCAGCGTCGCCACCCCGTGCTGCCCCACGTACCCCATCCTCTCCCTCTCTCCGCCTCCGCCGCGGCCGCTGCCTCGGAATCCCCAAATCCGAATCCCCGATCGGAACAAGAAAGAAGAATAAGAAGAAGAAGAAGAAGCGGATGAATGGGGAAGGAAGGAAAGAGAGCGGGAAGAATCCTTGGGAATCGGAGGAGGCGATGTGATTGGCGCGGGGGAGGGGGAGGATCTGGCTGGCGGCGAGGCGATGGTGGTGGTGGTGGTGGTGGTGGCCGCCGGTGGTGATTGGTTGATATGCTGCGAGACCCCAAGGAGGAGGGAACAAAAGGAAAGAGAAAGCCGCGGCGATTTTACGGTTTAGTCCCTTCATTTTGGGAATCATTTGTCATCTCAAATAGGAGAATGAGGATAGTGCGAGGGCACATTTCAAAATTCAAGTGAATTAATACTTGAAAATTAGGAGTACTACTATACTTCCTCTATCATAGTTTTACACTGTTTATATTTAACATTTGATCGTTCGTTTTATTTGAATTATTTTATGATTAACATTTTTATTGTTATTAAATGATAAAACATAAATAATATTTTATGTGTGACTAATTTTTTTAAAAAAAATTATAAAGATGGATAGTCAAATATTGGATATGAATATCTACAGTTGTACTTATTTTTTCATGTGTGTGTGTGGAGTATTAAATTTGAAAGTGCAATAGATTGGATAAATAAATGTAATCCAGATAAAATATAAACTAACTTTGAAACAAAGGTTGCCTATGTTTGGTCACTTTTGGTGGTGTGCAAGTGGAGTGGTTTATAAAATTATGTCATCGTGTTGCTCGCCTCTCGTCGTCTTCCCCTCTTCCCACGCGCCTCTCCCGTCCCGTGTCCCACCTGCGTGGGGTCAACCGGTCAACGCGCCACACGCTTTGCAATTTTCCACTCTCACCCCTCCTCCCCCCAAAAATATTCAATCTGGCCCAACCAGTACAAGGCTGACATGACATACATGGGCAGGGACCACGGCCCAATAATGCAAAGCCCAACAAACTCCATTGGCCCAAATACGGCCCACTAAACGAAAGCCCAATAATATATCTCATGGGCCAAAAGCCTCCTCCTTCCCGTCTCCTTCTGTCACCATTCGATTCCCAAACTCTCGCCGCCGCCGCCGCCGCCGGGGACGATGGGGAAGGTGCCGCACGCCATGCGCGCCGCCAAGCTCCCCCTCGCCGTCCTTGCCAAGCCCACCCATGCTTCGGCTTCCCAGCCCCCTGCGCCGCCGAGGCCCAGCAATCCCAGGCACCGGAAAACCCCAGCCAAGGCTTCCAAAACCCCGGCTCCGGCCACGGCCGCCGCGCCGCCGCCGGTAGAGAAGAGGCCGATCAAGACTGCCTCCGACCTCGCCGCAGCCATCCGCGCGGCGGCCGACGCCGACGTCGACGCGGCGGTCGACCTCGCGCGGTCCGCGGCCCGCACCATCCCGCTCCCGCCGCACTCCCTCTCGCTGCTCCTCCGCCGCCTCGCCCGCCACCGCTCCGTCGCCGCGGCGAGGGGCCTCCTCGCGGAGCTCCACCCCTCGCCCGCCTCCCCGCCGCCACGCCCCGCGCTGCTCGCGCTGTCCGACGCCGTCTGCCGCCGCGGGGAGCCCCGGGAGATCGCGCAGCTCCTCCCCGTCCTCGCCGACCACGGCGTCAAGGCCGACGCCCCCGTCTACAACGCCCTCATGAAGGCGCACTGCGCCGCCTCCGACCCCGCGGGTGTCCTCGGCGTCCTCCGCCGCATGAAGGACGACGGCGTCGAGCCCGACCTCGTCACCTACAACACCCTCGTCTTCGGCCTCGCGCGCGCCGGGATGGTCACCAAGGCAAGAACCTATCTCGACGCCATGGCCGCCGCTGGCCACTTCCCGGACGTCATCACATACACCTCGCTGATGAACGGGATGTGCGTCAAGGGCGACGCCATGGGAGCGCTTGCTCTCCTCGAGGAGATGGAGGCCAAGGGATGCGAGCCGAATGAGCGAACATACAACACTCTGCTCATGGGGCTCTGCAAGAACAAGAAGCTCGACAAGGCCGTCGATGTTTACAAATCCATGGTTGGTGCCGCGATGAAGCTTGAAGCTCCAGCTTATGCGACATTCGTCAGGGCGTTGTGTCGTGCAGGGAGAATACCGGATGCATACGAGGTGTTCGACTACGGGATCGAGAGCAAGAGCTTTGCGGAGGTGACGTTGTATACTGAGCTCGAGAACTCGCTCAAGTGGCTGCACCGGATGAAATCATAAAGTAGGCTGCATGGCCAGTATCTTTGTCCCTGGTACTTGCTTCAGCCTTAGTTTTTTTTTCCATGAAAAGCTAGTTGCCTGCCTTAATTTGTTGTATTACAATGAAATATGCAAATTCAGATGAATCTGTGATATGATTGTTTGATCTACCAAAATGTACAATTGAAGCTACAAAATCTTGAATATGCTCTTAGTCCTTGAGAATCAAAAATGGCAAGAGCCCTATTCTGATCTGTACCAAGCTTTTCTAGCTTGATTCGATGCTTTTGTGTAAACAAACACAATTTTTTTTCTTCAAACGATTTTTTTTTCAGGTGTGACCATGAAAAACATCAACACTATGAATCAGAATCACTAAAATCAAATATTGTATCTGAATAAATTATCTAGTAGTGAATTGCATGAGCTAATCAAGTACATGGATCATTAGTGCAGTGTTTTTATCATGTACAAAAAGCATGCTATTGGACTGAGATTTTAGCTGCTTCGGACATCTTACCTATTGGTATATCCCTATATAAAATCAATGCAAATTGACAATAGTTTTCTCACAGCTTCAGCAAATGTTCCAATAATTTTTGCTATGCTAAGTTTACATTTGATATCCACATTGTATTGTTTTCTCCTGACTACGGTAGCACTTTAGTTATTCTCTGTGTTATATTAGTGAGTTCAATTGTCTTCTGAAAGGCATTTGGTCATTCTCATGATGAACTTAATCAGTTTTATTGTATTAACATCCCATTGGTTTGCACTTGCTAGCAATACTATGTTTCTAGTGTTTCTTCAAATCCTCCAACAACCACCGCTAGGGTTAGTTGTTTGCGGCATGACTCTGCTGACATCCATTAACATCTTCCTATTGACAGTGGAGCACCACCTTGTGGGTTAGTTTTGGTATGTAGTGCCCCCTAGCAAGCATACAAGATTAAAAAAACACACAGAAAAACCATGCAGCTGTCAGATAACCAGAGATGCACCCTTTTTTAAAGGCATTTCTCAGCCTTCATTAAAAGCATAATAGGTTTTTCACTGAAACACAGTGAGTTTCAGGACATCTTGAAGAATGTGGTAAATTACTCAAATCTTGTAATTCACTAGGTACTGCAATGGTTCATGCTAGCATGGGAGAAAACTGAGTCATCATGTCCTGCCTTTTCCATGACCGGCAAGCTCAACAGAAAAGATGTCCGCAGTTGTATGGTTTTCTGCTATCTCTATATTTTAAATACCTAGCTAGCACAATTCATTTGTTCCCTTTTTGCAGATCCAATATTTATGAAAGCACAGCTTGATTACTTGAATGGTCTGCATCAGATGTTTATACCCTTTTGTTGGTACCGACTACTGAGCAACTTCATACTCCCTCCGTCACAAAAAAAAAAAGACAGATACATAGTCAGGGTTTGCCTTTTTTGAGACGGAGGGAATACTTTGGAATGCTCATTAGTCTTTATGCAGCAGTGGAATCTCATGCAAAAGAAGGGATATTGTACTAGAGGAATATATTGGTCTTTTTCTATTGGTGTCCCCCCACTTTGGTCCCTCTGGGATCAGTTTTCCTGTAAATGTCTGAATAAATCATCCAAATCTCAATTTCTGAAGGTCCATATGGTCCATCTGTAGGAGACATTAAGCTTTTAGTAAACTGACTGTTGTCTACTGGAGTAAAGCAAAAGATTTGTGGAAATAAAAAAAAATCCTGCTTGTGTAAGATTTTAGGATTTTGTCACCTGGATCCAGTTTCTCATGCCGAAGTTTTGGTGTCAGCATTCAGCAATCCTGTGAGTCATGCATAGCTGAAGGTTCATACTGCTGCCTGTCTCATCAAAAGTTCAGATTTTGCAATGTTGTTTGGGAAGGTAAGGTCTACGCATTGTCCCTAAAACACAGCAATTTTTGTTTCTCACAGGAAACACGTCAGCTGCTGAGAAGGCAATACTGAAGACGAAATGGTCTGTCAACTGAATCTTGACCACTGCAGCTATTTGTAATAGACAAAAGCCAAGATTGATCATAAATCAAAATGAAGTGCATGGCAAGAGTTGTAACGTGACTAAAGAAGAATGCAAGGATCATGGAAAAAAAGCTGAGAGAAACTGGCGGATGCATTGCCTTCATGTCAGTATCAACATATAGCTGCGATGTGCCTCTCTGGTCAAGTGATGGCCTCTGTGATGGATGATCTTGTAGAACATCCAGGAACATGGCAATCCCGATTAGGCGATTAAACAAGGAGATCAATCTCGCGTGTCATCCAGCAAAATGATAGCCAGCTCTGAAAGTCAGGTCCAAGTTATCACACCTCTTGAGCTGACAAGAAGCCAAGTTAGATTAACAGGAAGAGGAGCAGAACAAACGCACCAACCAGTCTACCACAAACAGGACAAATCAATAATTGAATATCATGCGCGGATTGCTGCTGGAACAACAACAAGAGTTGATAGATTCGAGCTTTGCCTTATGCAACAGGTGAGAGCTCCTTTGCTTTTACACAATGCAAATTCCATCCATGGATTGTCTCTGAAGATAGGGTTGTAACATCCGGCAAGAAACATATGGCCAACATGGAGCGATCTACACAGGAGATGCCATACGGTAATTGCACATGGAGAGGAATAGGATTCTGATGCAAAGGCTCAAACAATTTTCAAAGAGAAAAGGAAAACGGATCAGCTCCTTTAGGTCGCAAGTTTGTCAGTGCAATTTTGTCTGAAATGACAGGAAATAATGTGTTGCACCATGTTTTTGCGTTGTTGCTGCTGTCGTTGGTTGCCTGGGGCTTAACCTGACCAGTGGAGGAGGAAGGACCAAGGACAATAACACATTACACGTAGGACAGCGAGGTGGTTGCTTGAGGAGGAGAAAGCTGCATTGATGGCTTGTTGCTGCTGGTGTTGGTGTTGCGGGGACCTGCTTGTCTCTGTTGGCAGATAAGAAGCCAGCTCCTTTTATCCGTCCTTGTGTCCTCCCTGTTGGTCGTTACAGATGAGATATTAACTCCATCTTGGAATGTTTGGTGTTTTTTGACCAGAAAAACAAAGAAATACACTCTGAATGAAAATGCCAGAATGTATCCATCAGTGGAAATATGTTAACAAGAAGGAAACATCAAAGGTTAATGAAATGGATGGATGATATCACTGGAGTTCATATATGCATCATTGGACAGGTCACGAACATATCCCCTCCATCCTAGAAAAAAGAAGAACTTCTAGCTATGAACAAATGTGAGCATATGATTTGGACAAAGGAAAATGACAAGCACAGAAGCACTTGGGAGAGAAATTCCTGATCAAATGTGCCAGTATTTTGGCATCTGAACATCCGTCGCCGTCCAAACTATGCCACAAGAGGGAACTTAACATGTCTTGCAAGAAAGCAAAAGAAGCCTCTCCTGCCTAGTGTATACCAACCCTGCATTCGACGGCGACAGGTATAATTCTATACAAAGCCAAATCCATCCATCAGAACTCACATTAACCAAACATAAGAGCTGTCACTATCTTAAAGGACACACCATCTCAATCTCATCGGTCCCAAGTGAGGAAAGTTTGGTCAGCTAACTGAAAAGAATCCATAGCACAAGCATGAATCTTGATCGGATTACTGAAGTAACAAGAGTGAAATTTACCCTAGCTAACGTATATGTCACACCATTTAAACAAGGAATAGTTAGTTTAGTAGGAGATTGAGATACAAGGAACCAGAGATCGATCGATCGAGATATTGCGATGATAACCATCTGATGGGGTAACAAACAAGTGGTCATAAAATTGGGCAACCTAGAGCTAACACTAGAAGAAACAGCAAGCAAGAATGATGGGTAGATCGATGTGATGCCTCGTCTTATGGTGATTTGCCCACCAAATAATAGATTTACACACACACACAAACACCAATCATACACTGACCAACAATGGCACGAACTTGCAAGAAAGGGCTAGAGGTGGTCCAGATGGATACAGCTTTACACCAACCATCAGATTAGATTAGTAGTCAGCTTGCAAGAATGCATGAGACATGCTGCCTGCAGCTATCGAGCGTACTATTAGATTAGGTTTATGTTTTAGTATCATTTGTAAGTACAAGAAACGAACAACTGATCATGCAATTAATGAATTTTGACGCTATATACACTGTGTGTGTATTCAGTATTCTTCATCAGTGATCTCTAGCTAAATCTCTATGAAATTTGTACAAAAATATGTATCAGTTACCACTATCCAACTTGTATTCTCTTCTTTCTTTCTATTCCTTTTCTGCCTTTGGTTTGGTGTTCCTGAGGGAAAAAAATGGTCAAATCAATTTTGGTTGGGCTTGGCAGTGACAGTGGCATTGGCAGAAGCGGAGCGAGTGGCGAGGCGGAGGCGGCCGGCGCGGCAGATCTCGGCGGGGGCGGGCGCGTCCCACCGCTCGGCGCGCGTCATGAGCGCCGCCACCTCCGCCACGCAATCGTCCGCGCCCATGGTCGCCACCCTCCGCCGCACCGCCGCCGCCTCCTCGCCGGCGACCTCGTCAAACAGCGCCTCCCACCCTTGCTCCCACGGCACGCTCGCGTCGCACATCTCCAGCGTCCCGTTCCGCCACTCCGTCCAGCTCCACCCGCGCACCAGCCGCGCCGCCGACGCGCACTCGCCGCCGCGGCACGCCGGCCGGCACGGCCGGCACTTGGCGCCGCTCAGCGGGCCGGGGCTCCCCAGCGACGCCACGGGCACGCCGTACGGCGCCGGCGGGAACGAGTACCTCCGGTCGCTCAGCACGCAGAACGGCAGCCGCCGCTCCCTCGCCTTGACGCCGGCCACCTTCAGCTGCGCCTGGAACGCCGCCTCCGAGTTGAGCTCCTGGTAGCCCGCGACGTCGAGGCGAGGGATCAGCGAGAGCCTGGACAGCGCGACGCGGGACGCGTGGCGGCCGCCGGCGCCGAGGCGGTCGTTGAGGCCCCCGAACCGGGACCCCTTGGGGACGACGTAGGCGCCGCCGGCCGGGAACGCGTCGGCGGCGGCGAGCGGGCCGGTCCAGAAGCCGTCGACCCGCGTACGGACCACCCAATCGTACGTGAAGTTGCCTCGAGATTCGCGCTCGCGGATCAGGTCCAAGCACCCTTCCACCAACCGAAAATATTGCAGCAATCCCTGCTCAATATAGATACATACAAAAATGAGAACTCTAATTGCAGATTAACAGCAACTTCGTCCCATAAAAACCAACTCTCACTTTAAATTTAAATTTAGACATTTGGTGTTTTTATAGGACAGGGAATATACTCTAATATATAGTTAGACACATAAGTAGATACAGTAATAAGTATTCTAATAGATTGATTTAATCTACGGATTAGGTAGATTAGTCACTGTCAATAACTTTTTTTACGACAAGATGGAGAACACATGACAAGTTTAAATCTACTTTGTTTTTTTCTCTTTTCCGAGCATTGACGTTTGCGGCATCGGTTGTTTACATGGGGATGAGGTATCTATCTACTTGTAGCTTGTCACCTTTTCTCCAATTCTCCCAGAGAAAGCATAATGCCATCATAATCCGAAGCTTTGGAGGTGAATACAGAGGATGCAAAAGACGAGCATAAAGCAAGGCAAAGAACAATATCTATCAAACTTTTGTGATGTAGATGACAATGGCTTTTCAAGAGACTTTCTCAAAAGCGTCACTACGTACCCACATTACCTGCCGTTTTTAATACTACGTGGAACATGGATTGTCATACACCTTTGCACGTTATTATATTCGAGCAAAACAAATTATGTTAGACCAAGATGATGTATCCGTACATTGATGGTATAAGAACATCACGTTTCTACAGTAATTTCAGAAGATATTTTTTTTACTGTTCCAAATGGTCGGTACCAAATTTTGTCTTGTAGAACCTAAATAAACTCTAATGATGAACTGTCATCCTCTGTTTTGGAGGGCACAAATTTCATTGGAAAAAAAGTCCAAATGAAACCAGCAGTTTATTTGCAGAAACGAGGATATGTGCCAGCCTAGCCTGATATGCTTTGTTTACACTAGCAATCGCAACCTTCTGGTTACTCTACTGTATGTATAGAAGCACTCATGTGGAGCCAGCCATGTGCTCATCTACTAATTGACATGCCGGTAATTTGCCTTTAATTTGCCCCCCTCAGTCTCTCTCCAACCAACCATGGATCAACACTGACACACACAGCATCTCATGGATAATTCAGGCTGATCAATAATACTCAATTACTCTCCATTTCACAATATAAGACTTTCTAGTATTATCCACATATATATATACTTCCTCCGTTTCACAATGTAAGTCATTCTAGCATTTTTCACATTCATATTGATAATAAATCTAAATAGATATATATGTCTAGATTCATTAACATCAATATAAATGTGGGAAATGATAGAATGGCTTGTATTGTGAAACGGAGGGAATAGATGTTAATAAATCTAAACACATACACATGTCTAGATTCATTAACATTTAAATGAATGTGTACAATGCTAAAAAGTCTTGCATTGTAACGGAGAAATTACTAGACTAATTAATCGTGGTAGTTAAGCACACAGACAGTTAGAAACTACCATCGGATTGGGATCAGTCATGGTAGTCGTGGCACGTGCTGACGTGCATGCCTTATACCTACGTGTACTGGTAGTCCTATGGGTGCACCCGCGTAAGATTTGTCACAGTACTAGCCAAGTACATTGTGACAAATGTCTCACAGTGAAAATCAAATGTGCACACGGCAATGTCCTATTCAGTTCGTAGCTTCCGCCGAACATTCACAAGGACACAGTGCAAAAAACGAAAACACGACACAATTTTTTTGTTGGTACACAGTGCAGAGCGAGTCAGAGACGGGTCATTGATTGACACGTACCGAACTGTCTACGAAAGGAACAATGACTTTGTGATCAATCATCCGATCGACGACTTGGCCAACCTTGCTTACCTTGCTTGGACCAAAGACTGACTCGGATATTTATTTACTGTTAAGCACATGATTTCTCTTCTGAATTCTGAATTTGCTTTCTTGTGCTGATTCTACTGTAGTGTTCGTCCTTATGAACAATTGAGAGTTATGGTCCCAACGCGTTGATGCCTTTTGAGAACCAACCAACTCGGTGATTGTGATTGATATTTTTGCTAGCTGTGGGCAACGAGCTCTCATTTAAAAAAAATAACTAGCAGTAGCGAATTTGGCCGCTGTCTAGCTGACACTTTGACTAGATCCGTGAATTTGGAATGACATGCATGCATGGCCCGATGGCTGGCCAATGGGCCATTAACAAATTGATGATGGCTCTATACAATTCCCATGCGACTTCCGCGGTAGATAATAAGATGCAAATTGATTAAACTGGTACCAATTCAATCTTGCTTGGTTTCTTTTCCTCCATTTGAAGACGTTATCAATCTTAATTATCTTTTGGACCTAATTAAGGGCTTAATAAATTAAAAGGATATAGAGAAATGAAACCGCCCCTAGATTAAAGAGAAGAACCCAACAACCTGCCCCTACCATGCCATTGCCACCATCACCTACCTTCGGTTTAACTTCAGGTGGTTTTACTACTTTATTAGGTAGTTTTTTACTTAAATGTTTTTTTTAATATAAGAAGAAAGGTTGAAACAAATTATCTCCAAATTAAGCAACGTGGACAGATTAGCAGAGGCGACAAACAAGTCAAGACGAACAAACAGAACACCCAACAAAAAATCGATAAACAATTAGCAATGTGTAGGGAAAAAAATTGCAATGAGGAGTATGCAGCGGCAGCAAGCAAGTCTAAGGATGAAGAAAACGACGCAACGTGCGGGGAAGCTATCGTTCGATCGGAGTCGGGGAGGTAGCTAGCATGCGTGCGTGCGTGGTTTGATGCGGAAGCAAGGAACAAACCAAACCAAATCCAACCATGGAGTAGTGGGGGTGATCGGAGATTGAAACGGCGGCGGGCGCGTACCTGGATGCCGTTGGGCGAGTTGCTGGCGGTGAGCACGCGGGCGCGCTCGGGCGTCTCGGCGATGCGCTCCGGCCGGAACACCCGCACGGCGGCGAGCCTGGATCCCGGCGGAGCGGCGCGGGCGAGGAGGGAGAGCTTGTAGGCGTCGGCGTCGAGCGGGCTGTGGAGGAACACGTCGACGACGGGCGCGCCGCCTTCGCCTTCCTTCTTCTCCTGCTGATGCGCGACGAGCGGGGCGAGGACGTGGCGCGCGATGGAGGGCCCCGTGAGCTCGAACCGCCGCGCGCCACCCACCAAACACACGGCCACCCGCGGCGGCGGCGGCGGCGGGGGCGGAGACGGAGCGTGCCTCCGTCCCAGCGCGACGAGCGACGGGATGCGGCCGATGGAGGAGGGGAAGGAGAGCGCGGCCGCGAGGAAGAGGAGCAGCGGCGCGATCACGGCGGCGATGCGGCCGCCCCTGCGCGCGGCGGGGAGTACCGACGACGCCGCGCCCCCGGGCTTCATGCTGCGGTGAGGAGGCGAGGGCGAGGGCGAGGGCGAGGGCGTGGGCGGTTGCTAGCTCATGGCGGCGGCGGCGGCGGCAAATAGTAGTGGGCGCGCGATGTGAGGGGGGCGAGGTGGTGAAGAGGGGGAGGTTGTGCCGCGGCGCGGTGCGTTGCGGAGGAGGGAGGATGGGACGACCCGGCGACAACTTTGATGCGGCCTTTAATGACCCACGTCTTTACTATTTACTGTTCCTACTACTATTTACCCTTAGAGCAAGTTCAATAGTATAGCCAACTACTAGCTCCAATTCATCTATAGCCAATCTAATAGCTCATTCATACAATAGTTACATACTACACTATTAATATCTAGTCCCACCTGTCATAGACACACTGCGTTTTAGAGTCTGTGCTACAACTGGCTACAAATCTATAGCCCGTTGCTCTTCTCTCTCCTGATTTATCTCTTTAAAATATGTTTGCAGCTGGTTTATAGCCTGCTATTGTACCTGCTCTTATATTACTTATTTAGAGCAGGAAAAGCTATAAGCCAGCTATAATCACAACATATCGAGAAGAAAAGAGAAGAGAGAAAAGAAAGCGGCTACAGATTTATAGCCAGCTGGAACACAGACTCTAAAATGTTATGTGTGTATGAGAGGTGATATTAATGGTGTAGAATATTTCTATGGTTAACTATTGTATGAATAAGCTATTGGATTAGCTATAGATGATTTGGAGCCAGTAATTGGCTATCCTATTAAACTTGCTCTTATTGTGTAAATTAAGATATCAATTTAAATCATACCATTTTTTTGAAGTTCCTAAATTGCATGCTTTTAGTTTTTTATAAACTTTGGTAAGTACATGAAGAATCGTGCCAAAACTTGATAATATTACCATCTTACAAAATTTGGTAAGGTTTATTTTGACTGCCATCTAAATAACCCCTTAATTAATTACTGCTAGTTTTAAGTTTTAACCATATGAACCTACAATCAACCATCTCTAAACTCGGCTTCGCAGTAGAAGTAGCTGCTAGTGTAGTCATCTGTAATAGTAGTGGTTTATTGTTTTAGATCAACAAAGGGAAATGGCATGCTGTTCCTAGCATATGTCCTGCAGGCATGCATGTCCTTTGGCTGATAAACCAGTCGTGCTATAGTTTGAATAATTTTGATGAGACTAATGGTGGTGGTGACTGGTGCTTTTTTTTTTCCGTCGAGATCGCGTTTGAGTCGTCGTCGTTTGACTGGCAAAGCTTGGATGGGGATGGAACTGTTATTTAGAGGCAATTAAAGTTTGAATAATTTGTTACTCCCTTCTTTTCAAAAATAACTTAAAAATCTAGGATATGATATGATTTATTCTAGTAGTCCTAGGATTGTCCAAGTGTAAATGTAAAATCTCTCATAGTTTAGGACATAAATAGTATTACATACTCCCTCTGTCTAAAAAAAACTTAACCTCATACTACGACGTGACACATTAGGATGAATCTGGACATACTGTAGAGAATATCCAAATTCACATCTTAGTACAATGTTGCCTTTTTTTGGTGATAGAGGGAGTAGATTGTAATACAGGACATAAATAGTATTATGGCAGTGTATTTATCTTCCTTATTTTTATTACACGGTAAATGTGTACGCATATATATCACTGCAGACACAACATCACACTGATAGAATGTTTCCCTCAGAGAAGGTACAATAGGAAAAATTTATCTTGTGATAGTGTGTTTATGGTGGCAAAAATGGTGAGGTGGCACAGAAATGGGAACCTTCGTAGGAAAGTAGTATGATAAGCGGCCATCTATGGTAAGAAATAATTCTTGAAAGCAAGTTAATTCAATTTCCAGTATAGTAATCAATCGTCGAATGGTAACCTTGTCTATAGCAAATGGAACAACTAGTAAAGTAAGTACGCACAGTTTGTGTAGACGGGCATTGCACATGCATGTTTATCGCATCAAGTGTTTGGACTTTAGTCCTGTCATATCAGATGAATTTAGAGTATTAAACATAGATTATTTATAAAACTAATTATATAAATATGAGCTAATTCATGTGATAAATTTTTTAGGCCTAATTAATCTATAATTAGCTGATAACAATCTGGTCCAGGTGGGGTTGGCTAAGGCCCAATAACTTAAGATTGCCCGGACCCCAACAGTTTATAGGCCAATAACTTAAAGTTACCCGGACCCCAACAATTTAGTTTATAGCCCAATAACTTAAGGTTGCCCGGACCCCAACAGTTCATAGGCACACCCACTGGAGGAAAGGCCCAATCTCCCTAAAAGACTAGTCCAATAGGAGAAGGGTAGCTCTCCCTTTTAAGGTGGCTTCCTTCTCCCAAGCTAAATAAAGTAGGATTATTCAGAGGCTCACACGGTCGCCGGCTTCCTCCTACCAAGCTAAGTAAGGTGGGATTATTCAGAGGCTCACACGGTCGCCGTCCGACTTTTGCGTCTTTGCCAGCGGGTAATAGTGGAGGATGTCCTCATCATTAGCGCATGTTTACTGTAGCATCACATAGGCTAATCATGGATTAATTAGGCTCAATAGATTCGTCTCGCGAATTAGTTCAGGGTTATAGAATGGGTTTTTTTAATAATCTACGTTTAATATTTATAATTAATGTCCAAACATCTAATATGATAGAGACTTTTTTAGTCTCATTTAAACAGAGTTCTCTCTGGGGCTCACCCCGCCCTGCAGCTGCTTGGCCTAAATAACTGTACGAAAGCTGAAGTGGATTCAGAAACCGTGGCCGCCACAATGTTTGTGGATTTTAATTAGAAAAGGAGCACGGTGGCACATGCACATGCTGCGGCCCCCTCTCCCTATCGTGATCTCATCATCATTCAGATGACCACTCCTCCATATTATTCTTAACAACAATATCGTCTCTAAAATAATATTGAACTTATGTTTTTTTATTATAATACATAATAAATATATTTTAATTTTTTATTTTAGTATTTTATAATATAAATTTATGTATTCTAGCACTATTACTTTAAATACTTTTAGAGTTATTATGGTCGAAAGGCCTTTCACTTTGTTATTATTTTCAACCTTATCAAATTTTAGTAAAATTGCTAAAAAAAATGGCTACATTTAGTTTGCTGTCAAATTTTGGTAACTATATAAGAAATCCATTGCCAAAATTTGGTAAGTTTTTTTTTCATCAAAGTGAACAGGCCCGAAATTAGAAAAGTTTGATCTTAATCTTATTCAAAACGAGACTGAAAAAATTATTGATCGTACATTGCAAATTTAGACCTTCCTACCAGACCAACCTACATATGGGCTATCATACGGTTTAATTTTATATATCCAACATGTAAGCAACTAAGCACACACATGCATGAATGTCAGTTTGCTTGATTTTCATGTGCGAGCGGTCGATACAAGTTGAATATTTTTGACCATGCTGCTGAGCTGCACATTTGTACACTCCAAGTCTCCAATCTGGTGAGTCATGGGCCAACAACTGGGTTGATTTATAATTGTTTTTGCATATAATATCAACAAGTATCGAAGGTTCGGAAACACGCAATAATTAGTTCAATATTTGTTTTCTTTTTGTCCTTACAAAATCGAACGATCTTATTTTTTCTGATGATACTACAAAATCGAACGATCGGTTGGTGGTTGGTACGCGTATGGTTGTATGCATGATAATTAGTACGACTAGAAGGTCAATGCAAGAAAATGTCAACACGTTGATGAGTTGTAGCTAAAATTCGAATTTCATGACTTAATTTTCGGGTTGTTTTTTTTAGAATTTTTATTTATCGTACTCTGTTTTTTATTCACTGGCTTTTAAACAGCTAATAAGATGCATATAGAAGTCTTGGTCACACATTATTATTTGTTACTAATATGTTCATTTTGAATGGACTATCAACGTATCTCAGGCGATCAAGCCCGCCGCCATGATGCGTGTATATATGGATGCACGAACGAATTAGAAACATCATGCATTGTGTCGGCGTATGCAGAGTTGGTGGTGGTCAAAATAGGCAGTAGTTAGCTGGTCTCTGTTTCTTGCGTACATACTGTTACTTGCTATAGCATGTTGCTAAATACTTTATTCCTCGAGCATAAGACTTTATACTTTATTCCTCGAGCATAAGACTTTATAGCATTACCCATATAACATTCACATTATATGCCTAAATTCATTAGCATCTATATGTATGTGGGCAATGCTAGAAAGTTTTATAACCTTAAAAGGATGCAGTATTATATTATTATACATGGTTTTTGATAAGATTTAGGTGGTGTTCTTTTCTTCTGAAGATGAAGATGAAGATTAAGTTTTTTTTACGTAAAATGATGTGGTATTAACGTATAATTGATTGAGTTTTAATTATTATAAACTTAAAAAATAGATTAATATGATATTTTAGAGCAACTTTCATATACAAAGTTTTCGCACGAAACACACCGTTCAGCAGTTTAAAAAGCGTGCCACGAAAATCTTAATTTTCGTCCAACTCTTGTTGGAGAAAAGAACGGGACCTTACTAGTGTTACATACTCCCTCCTAACACACCCTCCATCCTAAAATAAAATAATCTCGGACTAAGATGTGATATATGGACTAACTCATATTCACAAAGCCCTAGATTTTTTGGCCGAGCTGGATTTGAACCAGCGTAGACATATCGTCAACGAATTTATAGTCTGTCCCCATTAACCGCTCGTGCATCGACGCTGGAAGGATTTATTCTAGGGTTTTTGATAACCTACAATTAACATACTTTCATAATACTCCTACCCTCAAGGAAGTTGAATCCCAGCTGCTTCCTTGAAAGAGAGATGTCCTGAACCACTATATGATAGGGGTATCCATGTATCACATTTTAGTACGAGATTAATTTATTTTGGGATTGCTCTATGTATAAATTTGTTGTACTAGGATATGTACGATGTTGGTTTATTTTGAGATGAAAGATGTACTTCTAAACATTTCTGTGATTTCAAGTGTACAACTCTGCATTCCATAGTTTCCATCTCTTCATAAAACAATGTACATTCGACGGCCCATATTTGAGTCACAACAAAAGGCTAGTTTGGGCCCGGCCCACCTATACAACTCCTACGTAATTGGCCCACGTGTCCGCACATGAATCACCGTACCAACCGCACACGTCATCTCGCTCTTGAATCCATCTCAGCCATGAAAAATCCCTTTTCTCCTCTGCCGAATAAATAAATAAATAAACAAACAAACAAACAAATCAAAAAAGTATTATTTAATATTATTATCTTCATCCTGGGTCCCACACGCATAGGCAGAGAGCAATCATAACTTGGGTCAAAGCGATTAACCAGCCGAAGCAAACACCAACACCAAAAAGGGGAAAGCAAGCAAATCGCAAGCAATCGCGCGGCGTCGCCGACTCGCCGGCGGCGAATCCACCGACGAGCAATCCAGCCCCCCAATCCCGCCGCCGCACCACCGCGCATACGATCCGCCAGGTTCTCCGATCCATCCCCCCTCCCTCTCCCCCGTTCAATTCGCGCTCTCCGCCTCCCGATCGGTAACCATTTAGGGATAGATATCTATTGGGAATCGATGATTCTCGTGGGTTTGGGGGGTTGAATTGAATCCTCGATGAATTTTGTGAGGTGGTGACCTGATGGTTTTGAGTTGATTGGGTGGGCAGGAAGGAAGGAATGGCGTCGTCTTCGGATCCATGGGTGAGGGAGTACAGCGAGGCGTCCAGGCTCGCGGATGACGTCACCTCCATGATCGCCGATAGGGGTTCGCTCCCGCAGTCGGGGCCGGAGATCATGCGCCACACCTCGGCCATTCGGAGGAAGATAACCATCCTCGGGACTAGGCTCGATAGCCTCGAGGCCTTGCTGTCCAGGATTCCTCCCAAGTCCATGTATACCACTCTTCTACTTATTTTCTGTTTGTGTACTAATATGGGTTGTTCATATGATGGATTGATGGTGTTGGAGTCGCAGTTATTAGCTTGTATAAATGTTAAGGAATGTCTCTGGTCCTGGTTTAACTTAAGGCGGAATCGAATTCGATTAGAATTGTTACTCTTTGCACACTGACCTGTCCACTTTTCACCCTTGTGATTCACCTGCTGGATCAAACTTATGGAGAGAGAGATACGAGATAAATTAGAGTTGGTTGCACTTGTGTGCCTGGGGTTGAGACTTCATTACGAGATAAATTAGAAGCGTTGCTGTCCAGGATTCCTCCAAAGTTCATGTGTTGCTTCCTTCCTTCCTTCATAACACTGCTACTACTTAATTTCTGTTTGCGTACTAATATGGGTTGTTCATATGTTGGTGATGGAATCACAGTTAGCTTGTACAAATCTTATGGAATCTGTCGGTCCCCTGATTAACTTACGCCGCGATCGAATTCATTTAGAATTGTTACCCTTACACGTTGACCTGTCCACTTTTCACCCTTGTGATTCACCTTCTGGATCGAACACTAAATTAGAGTTGGTTACTCTTGTGTGCCTGGGTTGAGACTTCATTAAAGTAGATGCTGTTCGATATTTCTCCCTATATCTGAGGGATTATCGGCAATTCGGGATTATGATTCTAGTGAAAAAAAAAGATTGCTACTGGTATTCATGCTGTTCTCTCATTATGCAGCACGGACAAGGAGTTGCATAAGCGACAAGACATGCTTTCAAATCTGAAATCTAGAGCAAAGCAGATGGCTACAAGTTTCAACATGTCAAACTTTGCAAACAGGTCTGTTCTTGTTCTCAGATATCAACCTGGTAGCCTGATACAGTTATTTGCCTTGTTCTCTCGAAATAAAGATAACTGGTTGATGCTTTGACATGTTGCAATTTGTTCAGAAGCATATTAATGGAAATCTTTGTTTGTATTTTTAGGGAGGATTTGCTTGGTCAGAGTAAGAAAGCAGCTGATGATATGAGTAGAGTAGCTGGTTTGGATAACCAAGGAATCGTTTCACTTCAGAGGCAAGTTATGAAAGGTACTAACGCATGACTTGTTTCTATTATTATCATTCATGCATCACTCTTAATTTATTTTTTTTGGAATTCTATTGGAATGTGTGAAGTAAAGCACCCCTGATATATTCTAAGTGGCCCGATCTGTTCGCAGAGTTGCATTTTGTATTTACTTGTATATATCTAGATGGTTACAAACAGTAGCTTTTAGTACGGGAAACAATTATTGCATTGTAGCTAATTCATTTATCTTGCCTGTTGCAACAATCCGCAGAACAAGATGAGGGTCTTGAGAAGCTGGAAGAGACAGTACTGAGCACAAAACATATTGCTCTAGCAGTCAATGAAGAACTTACCCTGCATACAAGATTGATTGTTAGTTTATTCTCACAAAACCATATGAATTTATGTTCCTAGCACTTGATAACAACTGATCTATTGTGGTTTTTGCAGGATGATTTGGATGATTATGTTGATGTTACAAACTCACGTCTTCAGGTATATTTTTGGTACTTCTTTATACAATCATCAGGAAAGTTTCACTGTTATATAGTTATTTCAAGCTTATGCGAACTGAATTTTGACATAAATCTTTCTTTGATTCAGCGCGTGCAAAAGAGGCTTGCTATTCTGAATAAGCGCGTCAAAGGTGGCTGCTCGTGCATGGCCCTGCTGATATCTGTCGTTGCTATAGTGTTTCTTGCGGTCATTGCTTGGCTTCTCATCAAGCACCTGTAACCTGTGTCTAACTCAAATCAGTTTGAAATGTGCAGTCTTTCAAAGATGTGGATGCTCCCATCTCATCTCTGTTTCGTGAGAGTGTGGAAAATGGAATATAATTGCAACAAATCTTCGTTCAGAAGATGTGCAAAAAGTATGTTGCAACGTTGCATTGACACTTGCCAACAATTTGTATAGAGCGTATTGCCTTTCTGTCGTAATCTTTTCACAAATTCTTATTCTTGCGAGACTTGAATTTTAACAAGTGTTCTAAACATACTGAAAAAACACGCATATTGATGTTAAACTTGAGTGATTTTCTGGGAAAAAAAAAGGTTTGCTCAGGCTGTCGGGATACAAACGTCACTGGTCCGTAATGAAGCAGCTCATGACAATACAAATCATTCGAGAAGGGGAATAGTACATTTAATTGTGTCAAATATTCAACGTTAACAAGATGTTGTTTGTGCACTAGCCTTCAAAAAGTGAAGGAATGCCTATTCATCACAATGAACTGATATGGACAGCTTTACAACTTACAGCTAGTATGATTTGTTGAAGGTAAAAACAAATCATTCGACATGCATCTCGTATCTAAACATAGACTGCACAATGCCATTCTGAACTCTGCCAGCCATGTCGCCTCCCAAATCGGTGGATCTCCAAGCGGTAAACCGCATAAGTTTCCTCCAAAGTTCGAATGGTTCATGCACTTTGTTCATCTGAGGCAACAAATGGTGATCACTCTTGCCACAACCAAATCCGAAACTCAAACTGAACAGCGAGCTTCAATCTATTCCTTTTTATGGGTTTTCAGGAGTCAAAAATGTTACCTGTTTCTCTGTTCCTGTTCTTTGATATCCTCGAACAGAACATGAACATCAGCAGGACTGTTGATAGCATGAATAGTCTAAAGTAGGTTCTTAGTTCCTGCATTCCAAGGTCAAGGCCTTCAAGTTTCCTCTTATCGGGACTGCTCTTTCGTGCCGCACTTATCTCAACAATGTCTCCTCCCATTGGGACCCAGTTATCCACTGCACCTTGGGATACTAATTGAGCTTCACGCAGGTTTCGCAGTCCTTCCTCAAAAAGTATAAGGAAGGCCATGCACCACTTATTAATGACTCGCTGGCAACAACGAAGGAAATGTTAAATCAGAGGCATAACTCTAAAAGTATACAGGAACAAGTCTTCCAAAAAATAAAGATAGAAATAGAGATGCTTGATTTGTGTACATCGAATGTTGTCTTGTCAACGGGATTGAACATCTTGAAGCAATCGCTGGTAGATGCTTTCTCATCACCATAAATCTGAATACAAGTAATGTGAGTTGATCCCTATAGTTTCAATACAGCTTCATAAACTTGGGAATTGACTGTTCAGGAAACAGATTAACTGACCTCAAAGGTAAAGGGCATAGGCACCTTTACAATGTCGTACATGTAATCAGTTGTGGTGCCATGTGCAAGATACCTAGAAAGCAGGTGGATATAAAGGCATACACATTGTTAGTTGCTGGCAATATGATCCCTAGTTGGATTACATAGAACTTAGGACGCTCACTAACAAAAAACACGATAAAACTGACAAATTGGGCAACTTGTTAGATGTGCATACCCCACAGCTCCACCACCTGATCCAACAAGGCAGCTATCTTGGAAATGGCGATGATTCAAATTCTCCAAAACTGTCCTCATCAAATGAGCAGATGCTCCGTTTGGTGTAGTATTCTTATGGTCATATGGCATAAATAAGGCCTATGATTAACAATAGATGAAATGAGTAAAGCAACAGTGAGTAACTCATCAAGATATGTATAGTTCTGTGTAGCACTATAAGGAATAACAGATTTTAGAACTTTCTTATGCATTTTAATAGATTGATTGCTATCCTAATAACCGTATTAAAATTAGGAATCAGCATTTACAAGTCCTAGGTGACTATGGTACATATTTAACTGTAGCTTCTTTCCAAAGGATCAAAGTGCTATCTTATTGTGGCTAAGATGCACTACGAACAATGGTCTCTATTACATGATGAATATGGAAAACAACAAAACACAATAGCCTGTCTTACCTCCATTCCGGAATGCACATTCACCCACATATGTGGTTTAAATGACTTGGATAGCTCTCGCATGATCTGAGCCTCAGGTTCGCTAAAAGGAGCAGTGCCAGGATTTTCCTCATATGGGTCGTAGTCCTATAATACAGGTAAAATGCATATATAGCTCAAAATATTGATATGATGTACACTACATTTGCATAACTGAGGTTAAGTAATCCAACAATCAGCAATTAACGCATATGATAAATTGATAGTGAACCACTGAACCATACCATATACAGGCGTAGTAACAGCCAAGGATGACAAACTAAGATACATGGTAATGAACCATAGCATATGCAGAGGTCTATTTTCTAAATTCTCTATAGATCTAAATTAAAAATAGTTCTAAGATAGTAAGGATGTCAATCAATGGTAGCAAGCGAGCAAGTTTAGGGAATGCTACGGTCTTGTCCATATGAATTTAGGTAATTAGCTTAAGACGCAATTCAGTAAAATCAACATGCACACTACAGTAAGTCAAAAGGAAACAGTTTTCCCTGTGCATAAAATAAACTGCTGAGAAAACAACCTTTTCCTTCTTTCCCCAATCAACACTCCAATTTCTATTAAGATCAACTCCTCTTCCTGAAAAATGAAAAAAACATGAATATAGGAAGTTGGCATAGAACTGCATCAAGTGATGAATTTACAAGATAAGATTGATCACCATTTCTCCTATCACAAAGCTCCCCTTCTTCAACACGTTTTCGACCATTTAAATTTTCCATGGGCACCACCTAAAGATCAAAGCCACATTAAAAAAAATCATAACTGATTATTAAGAAATCTGATTCTTCGTTAATATAGAAATATAAAAAATAACAAAAATGAAAAGAGGGGAAGAGGAAGCAACAAGTTAAGAAGACTAAAGAGCATGGATCAGGTTAACAACCCTAAGAACTTCATGTCATGAAATATTTTACTTAGCAAGCCAAACCAAGCTTGTATATATTAGAATAATGACATACGCATAGAGTAATTTAGGAGAAAAACACCATATGCCAGGTGAAACATTTAGTAATGACGTTTAAACCATAATTTTGTCGTGTTCACTGCACTAAATATTTAAACAAAGAGAGTAAAAAAAATATGTCAAAATAGAACAAAGATGGAATCAGACAAGGCTTAAAGGAAATAACTAACTTTGGTCTATCTTATACTTTATTCCTAATAAATGAGACTGCCCTTAAGCTCTAGTAATTCCATGCAGAGCATACCAGAAAAGAGCATGTGTATTGATATATCTCCTAATGATTATGTGGGTCAGGAGGTGAAAATGTCAAAACAAGTTACAAAAGGACGTACTTTGATTACAAGATTCTCCAGTATCTTCTCAAAGGATGATAGATCGACACCAGCAATTTTCCGCTTCTCGGTCAAAATATAGAGGAGGTTTAATGCAACTTCAGAAGTGATAAGCTCTCTGCCATGCTGCCCAAAGCTCTGGAAGACAATGAACCTTTCTGTCAAAACCGCAAGACATCAATAATTTAATTTACAAGCCAATGTGTAAAAATTATCAAAAAGTTGGTTTTGTTTTGCTTTGCTTTGGGATTTCTCTTAATTGAGGTTGGAAATGACAACAGTTTCAGTGAAACAAATACCATTTGCTTTGGGACAATGGATAAATATTAGTGGTAAGAAATAACTTAGTGTGCACAGAATGATCCAGCGTGAGTTAATTTCTGTTGGAAACTAACCAGAAGGACATGGATCTTTGAAGAATTGGACGTGCTCTCCTTGGCATGATTAAAAGTAACGATAAAGAGGTCTGTGGAATACCCTTTGTTACTTGCTGTTATGGTATCCATCTGCAACGATTCAATCAAAATTTCATAAGAAACACTAGTATGCAACAAAACAAACTGGCCAACAATGACTGAAATAGGGCAGTTAAACCACTCACACTCAACTTGTCTGGATGCCGGGCAACCAAGGCCTTGATATCACTCAGAAGGGAATCACTGAAGAGGAAAAACAAAAGGAACAGTTAACATGATGCTCTGCACACAGGAGACAGAATCAAAAAGCCGATACATTGTATCTATATGCTCCTCATCAGACCGGCTCAAGCAAGCAAGCAATGCAAGGTTGAACACACTCGTACAAAATTCAGATCAGCTCACATGCTCACAACTAGGCCTGCAAACGTTTGCATTAAGATACAGGCTTGTGGTGCCAGTATACCACTTGCTGAAAAAAAATAAAAAGAATCGTATTCTTTTTTTTTCCTAGAAACCACCACATTAGTGGTGCCAGGACCGATGTATGATGCCGTTTATACAAAGCAATGGCCACCACACCAATCTGAGACTACACTTAATGAGGGGGAAAACGAGAACAAATCGCAGTGAAATCACGCGCAGCAGCAAATGATACCTAAGCAAACAGGGACACTCTCTCGATTCGTCAACCACGAGGTATAGTATACTGAAGCAGGGCATCGACCTAGGTTCGAAATGGTATGAAATCACCCCCAAATTCCGAATCGAAACCCCCCCGAGAAGAGTAGACGGCAGGGAGGGGTTCGTTCGTGGGAGGGAGGCGCACCTGGAGTGGTAGAGGGTGCGGGAGATCGGGGTGACGGAGGCCGGGGCCCTCGCGGCGGAGGCGGCGGATACGACGGCGGCGGCGAGCGCCATGGTGAGAGCGAGGAGGCGGCGGGGAGGGGGAGGTGGGGCGGAGGAGGCAGCCATGGGGGATGGAGCGACGGCGATCTCGTCGGTCGGAGTCGCCGAGTCGGGGCCGCGTCCCCCCTTTGTCAGTCGCTCTCCAGATTTACCAAAAAAAAAAGGAGGAAAAAATCGCCTTTGGTGGCGACACAACACCAAAATGGGCTATGGCTGTACTAGGCGTTTGGTTCGTTCGCGGTGCACCATCGTTTGCCCAGCTCAATGGGTCACTCAACCACTGTCTCGCTCTCATAGCCACATTGACAGCCTTAGCTAATGCTTATGCTTATAACTCAAATTTTAATTTTTTTTTAAATTCTTAATCTTAAATTTAAAGTTGATTTTGAGATTTTTTTATCGTAGTTTATTTTTCGGTCTTTACTTTTAGATTGTTAAGAACATGTATATAAAAGTTTTATTCATAAATTAGTTTTCGTTTACAAATATACCGTTGGGTTTATTTTTTAAATAAGCCAAACAATGAGCTGGGCATGTATAAAAGCTAGCTCATTTTCCTCCCTTTGCAGTTACAGATAGCGGTTGTCGGTGCTTAAACTGTACAAGAACCCTAATATAAAATCATACTTCCTCTATTACAGAAAAAAAATTCAACTTTTATACGTGAATTTGAGTAAGAGACAACTTTATACGTGAACGAATTATATAAAAAATTGATTGTTTTAGGAAGAAGAGAGTATGTTTCAAATAAACAAGCTACTCTGTTTAAGTTCAAACCGGCCTTTTAGTGGTAAAAGCAACGTATGTACATAAGCGAAATTCAGGTTGTTCTGATGCCATGTCTAAATCAAAATGAAATGGTTGATAGGATAAGTTTGGTTGAGTACAGACAACCACTACCAAACACTATCACGGTCAATACGAATACATGATAAGGCCATCCATAGTCAAAGCATCGTGCGTCGAACCACCTTTTCAATCTAAGAACCGATCAACATATTAGTCATAGTGCAGTACTCCCTCCGTCCCATAAAAAACCAACTAGTACTGGGTGACATATCCTAAAACTAGTAATATAAATCTAGACATACATCTGTCCAGATTCACTGTGCTAAAATACTATGCCATATTCGTTTTTTGTTTTTTTGGACGGAGGTAGTATGACCTTGAATTAGACTTTGGCAGCACAGGGCCCACGATTATAATCTTGACAGCACCAGGAACACAGAACTTCATTGAGATCCGCCGCTCTTCACAAGGGGGCCGACTGATATAGACGTGGCTACGAATCTCCGAGCTGGCGTATCGAAGTAACTCGCCACGTATTCGCACAGTGAAGGCCCTAATTGTATAGTTACCGACAAAAACCGAAAATGTATCACCGTGTGAGGTTACCACATCATATGGCAAGCCCACACGATGACAGTATACTGTCAAAACCGCACGGCACACTGACAGCCAAAGGACACCAACCTGTTCTCGCACGAATCATCACAACAAATCATGATTTTTTTATTTTTTTTCTTTGGTTGTTGTCTCGAGATTCCACAGGCACACACACGCATGCTGCATCGAAGTTGCATTGCAGTCGTCAGCAGCTGACGCAAACAAATTCATTCAGAGCTTGCTCCTCTTCGACTTCGCCGCCGCCGCCGCCGGGACGGTGCCCATGGCCTTGGCGCGCGCCCGCAGCTCGAACTTCTGCACCTTCCCCGTCGCCGTCTTCGGCAGCCCCTCCTCCACCACCACCACCGTCCGCGGCGCCATGTACCTCGGCAGCCTCGCCCTGCAGTACGCCATCAGCTCCTCCTCCACCACCCCCGCCTTCGCCGCCGCCGCCGCGCCGGGCCTCAGCTTCACGAACGCGCACGGCGTCTCGCCCCAGTAGTCGTCCGGCCGCCCCACCACCGCCGCCTCCTCCACCGCCGGGTGGCTGAACAGCGCCGCCTCCACCTCGATTGTGCTGATGTTCTCCCCGCCCGAGATTATGATGTCCTTGGACCGGTCGAGCACCTTCACGTACCCGTCCTCGTGCCGCACCGCCAGGTCGCCGGACCGGAACCACCCACCGGCGAGCGCCTCCGCCGTCGCCGCGCCGTCCTTGTAGTAGCCGCTCATCACCGTGTTCCCCCGCAGCATCACCTCCCCCATCGTCTTCCCGTCGCGCGGCACGCTCCGCATCGTGGCGGGGTCCTTGACGTCCACCTCCAGGCCGTGGTGGTGCACCCCCTGCCGCGACTTGATCCGCGCCCGCTCCTCCGCCGGCAGCGCGTCCCACTCCGGCCTCCACGTGCACACCGTCGCCGGGCCGTACGTCTCCGTCAGCCCGTACGAGTGGATCACCAGGAACCCCTGCTCCTCCATCCGGTGCAGCACCTTCGGCGGCGGCGGCGCGCCGCCGGTCATCACCGTCACCCTCCTCGCCACCGGCCGCTGCTCCTCCGCCGTGGCGTTCACGATCATGCTCAGCACCGTGGGCGCGCCGCCCATGTGGGTGACGCCGTGGCGCGCCACGGCGTCGAAGATGGTGGCCGCGGTGACCCTGCGGACGCACACGTTGGTGCCGCCCTGCGCCGCGACGCCCCACGCCATGCACCACCCGTTGCAGTGGAACATGGGCACCGTCCACAGGTACACCGGCGTGGACGCCATGTCGTTGAGGAGCACGGCGGCGAGGCTGTTCAGGTACGCGCCGCGGTGGCTGTAGATCACGCCCTTGGGCCTCGACGTCGTGCCCGACGTGTAGTTGAGCGCGATCGGCTCGTTCTCGTCGGCGGGCCACCGCACCGCGAACTCCGGCGACGACCCGGCATTGCCGACGAGGTGCTCGTACTCGTAGTCGACACGACCGGACGGGAGCTTGGCATCGGATGGGTCGTCGAGGAGCTCGCTGATGAGGACGAGGACGGGAGGCGTGGCGCCCGATTGGGAGATGCGGCGGATGGCGTCGTGGGCGACGTCGAGCAGCGCGCAGTCGACGAAGATGAGCTTGGCCTCCGAGTGGCGGAGCAGGACGGAGGCCATGGCGGCGTCGAGGCGGGAGTTGAGCGTGCAGATGACGGCGCCGGCCATCGGGATGCCGAAGTGGAGCTCGCACATCGCCGGAATATTCTGCGCGAATACCGCAACCTACACAGAAAAATGCGAATCACTCGACCGCTAATTCCGAATCAAATTACAAGTAAATTCGAAGCGATTTGGGGGTTTTAGCATGAACAAACAGTTGAAAAAGAGGGGGAGATTGGGGAGAAAACCCAATCAATCAATGGTGAGAATCAAGTTACTGTAGAAATTGCGGTGGCGAGCGGAGGTGAATCTTACCACGTGGTGGCGGTGGACGCCGAGGGCGGCGAGGGCGGCGGTGAGGCGGAGGCAGCGGTCACGCGTCTCCCGCCAGGTGCGGGTGAGCCCGGAGGAGGAGGCGACGATGGCGGGGCGGTCGGGGTAGACGAGGGCGGCGCGGTCGAGGAAGGTGATGGGCGTGAGCGGCGCGTGGTTGGCGGCGCAGAGCAGGGCGCCCTCCATCGCCGCCGTCGTGGCCGCGTGCGTGCGTGTCCGGCGAACTCGGGACGGCGAGATCAGAGTCAGAGAGACGAGCTGAGCTGAGGTGAACGCGAAAGGTGAGGGAAGGGAAGAGAAGGTTGTTCTATGACGACAAGGCAGCAGCACACCACATGTTTGTTCCACTCGTCGCTGACTCATTCATGTTCAGGCTCACCTATCCACTCCAAACCTACTACTCCCTCTCTCACCTCTCTCACTATGTTTCATATTATTTCATTTTAGTTAAAAATATTATAAGTTAAATTTGTAAAAGATATAGTAATATTTTCAATAAAACAGACACATTATTAAAATATTTCAATGTTGGATTCAATAAAACTAATTTTTTATTTTAGATATTATTAATTCTTTTATAAATTTAGTCAAACTTAACAAAGCCAGATTAGAAAAAAAAAGCAAAGGTCTTATAATATGAAACGGGAGAATACTAGAAAAACATTCAATTTTCATGCGAAATCTTTATCGTGTAGAAAAGAGATAGTAATAATACATTTGTTGCACAAACATTTTATCCGTCGCTATTTTAGACAACTACTTGGTTCAAAGATAAAACTGAAGTCGTTTCAAACAGAGTTTTTTTTTCATTCGTTGAGAGTTCGAGACCAAATTCTCTCTTAAATTCGACTGGGAGAATTCCTATTAGAATTGTATAATGCATTTTAGTGGCCGTTTTTCTCTTAGATCCGACGTGTGAAGGTGATGAGTGCATCATCAAAGCAGCCACGATGACCCGACAAGGTGCATATATTTCCTTTTGCTTTGATTTATCCTGAAATAAAATCAGTACTCCTACTCCTAATCAAAAGTGGTTAGTACAGTAAAGAATTGTACTCCTACAGAGGTTATGCGAAAGCGATGAGCATAATAATTCAATTCAAGTCGCATTCACGATGATTTCATGATGCTCCTCTCCAGTAAGGCTATCATCATAAATCTTGTCGCATTCCTTTGAAATTTGGTTTCTAGTGCTTCTCTTTTCGGGATAAAAATACTTTCGAAAAAAAACACGCTAATTATACGCATAATAAAAGGTCCCCAAGGACAAATCTTGTTATACAATACAATATTTGCAAGTTATTCAATATTGTGTTTTATTTTCTATCTTTTTTTTCCTTTCCTCATATGGTATGGCTGCTTTGGCGCACCATTTTCTGTCATAAAAGTCTGGTTACTGTAGTTGAAGACGACTACGACACCATAATCTCGAGAAAAAGACATCATGGCAGATCGTAATCGTATCATGCAAGCCTGAACATGAAAACAACAAACTTGAAGGTCGTCCATCTACCTGACCACATGTGTATGGGGATATGGGCTGGTATTTTGATCTAATCAAATTATTAAGCTCATGCACGTTGATGTGCCACAATTTTACCTTTTTTTTAAAGCATAGATTAAGATTTAAGAAAAAAAACTATAATACCCTTAACTAAATATTGTATGGTTGGATGTAGGAGGTTGGTTAGGGGCAAGAAAAAAGATAAATTTGAATTAGAAACGATTGATGGAACAAATAGTATTTTATTATGATAACCATTTTGAGACAAAGTTTAAATCTTAAAGAGACAAGTAATTTGTGACGGAGGGAGTAAGTTGTTTAATTTATACCGTTTCAGTTCTAATCATATCATTGTGTTGCTTATGTTCTTCTTCCAGGACGAGCAAACACCCGTTCTTCTTTTCTATAATCCTTCTCCAACACCAATCACAAAGAGATATCATCTATTTTAAATTTTTATGCAAACATTTGAGGGTATGCTCGAGCATAACGAAACCTAGCCATTAAATCTGTTTCTAAAATATAGTACTAGGATTTACCATCTCATTTTAAAATCGAAGTACACATTGTTTGATTTACGGCTCATAAGCCATGGAAAAAAGAACTAAGCATAAAAATAATAATGTTCACAGGTTTTTTTTAAGTCAACTTAAAATGAACCACGATGAAAAACCCCTAAAAATCAACTCTCAATTCTAATTTTCTTAAAAATTTTAAAATTTGGCCTCGGCAAATAAAAATAACAAACAGCGTATGAAATGAAAGACCGGAGAGATGACGAATTTGATGAAGGAGATTATAGTGGACATCCATAATTTCAGAAGATTATAGAGGCATTTTTGTTTCCGTGTCTCTGATAGCCGAATGAATCAGCCGTAATCTCATCCGTCATCCCACGATCCAACGGCTGGTAGCCCCCCCAAATCCGGCTACACAAACGAAACCCCACATTCCCCGACACGATTCAAACCACCACCAACGAACCTCTTATTCGCCGGCGACGACGATGTCCAAGGCCGCCGCCGCCGCGTCGCTCCCTCCGCCGCCGCCGGAGGTGGCGCACCTGGTGGATCAGCTCCAGCGCCACCACCTCGCCCCCGACGCCTCCCTCCTCTCCAGCTGCGCCCACTCCGACCTCCTCCAGGTACGCTATCTCACCTCCGCGAACTCGATGTCCTACCTCCGCGATCTCACCCGCTGCTGTCTCTGTGCTTTCCTTCGCCGCAGGCGCGGGAGGAGGTCGCGTCGGAGCGCGCGCGATACCTGGAGGCACTGGTGAGTGCGCCCGTCCCTTCTCGTGGGATCTGGGATTTTAGGGTTTCCCGTTGGGGTTCTGATCAGATCTGGGGGTAATGTGGTTAGGCTGTGTACGCGGAGGCCATTGCTATGGTGGAGGAGTATCAGCACGCCATCTCCACTGGCGTCGCCAACGCTGGGAAGAAGCTCAACTGCTCCCCGCAGGTTCCACTTCTCTCCCGCATTTTTAAATTTTTGCGTCTTTCAGTGAATGGTGGACATAAAGCTGCAAATGTGAATTCAACTGGTTGATTGCAGATGAAACTTTTGCTGCTAAATTGAGAAATTATCTGACTGAAAATGGAGCATTGTATGGACTGATGTAGGTGTACGAGTCATTGGAGCACCATTTGGCGGTTGCAGAGGCTGCGCAGAGGTTAAGGCTTCCACTGCTCTCGCAGGATGGAGATGTACATGAGGAGGAGATAGAGAAGCTGAGCACCTTGTCTAGGAGCTCATTCGATAGCACCATGACAAGTGCCGCACCTAGCTCGAGTTCAATCTCGACTAGTTACAATAACTACAGCAGCACCGCAAGTGCAGCCACTGTTGCTGCGGCCCCTGGTACTGGTGGTTCGGAGCCAGTTGAGCCTGGTGTTGGCGGTGTTCCTGATCGTTTTCTTGGAATCACATCGGATTATCTCTACCAGGTGCAGCAAGAGCAGCCAGCCATGACCGTGGTATGTATAATCTTTTGCAACCAAATTTATCGTGTGAACCAGTTGTTGGTGGGTTCAAGTTTCATTTTAGTTTTGGATATATTATCGTATGTTTCTTGGGGAATCAGACAATTACTGCTTCACTGCTTCCTATCTTTGTTTACCATTTACTGAAGAGCAATCAGGACATACATTGTTTCTTTTCAAAACCGGGCTGTTTAAACGTTTACAGCATGTACCTCTGATTTCCCGTTGCAGGACATGGTTGACTATCAACGAACTCTGGCAAGAGAGATTGAGGCCCGCTTAGAAGCCAAGTGTGATGCTTTAGCTGATCTGTTTGCAATGGATGAAAGGGGTCAGTTTTTGAATCTTGCTATGACTACCAATTTCACTCCCTGCGTTCCTGTCCATTTTATGCAATGCAACTTGGGCAACTTAGTTTTAGACAACAGTACACATCTTGTATTCAATATTATTGTTTTAGCTTAACATTTCAAATGTGCTGCAGATTCATCATCCATTAGTCAGATTTCAAGTGCCAGACTTCCAGAAAGGTGAAATTTCATATCTTTGCCTGTCTTGCAATGGTTTTACTTATACGGAAATGCTTGATATGCCAAAACTCTCTTAGGTCAAGCATAACATTTTGAGTGAAAAAAAATCTCCTTGTTTGCTTCTGTAATAATTTACTCTGATCACTCACAGTGCATTCTCAGTTCTTGATGGCAATGTCCAATTGTCAACCTTTACTTGTTTGGACTTAAAATATTAATAACAGGGAATTCATGAGACGCATTACTCACAATATGATTTTCCCTTTTGGCAGGGTGAAGTTAATTATTGAAGAGATTGAAAAGGAAGAGGCCCTTCTACTAGACGATCTTGCTTCGATGGATAGAAAATTTGCCGAACACTATAATGTACGTGTGTAGATATTAAGTGATTGCTCAAACTCCACATAGCCAGTTAGCTCACTTTATTCTAGTAGAAATTCTGGATTATATCCACTTACTGATGGCTCCTGAAATTTCAAAAGGTCCTGGAGCAAATTCTTGCTGTACTTATACAGTTCGTTAAAGACAAGAAATTGGAACATCAGCATCAATATGTAAGCTTTCTCATATTCCTATTATGATGCTGCTTCTTTGAAAACATGGAGTGTTTTCAGTTTCATATAGTTAATCCTCCTACTTTGTCTTTGTGGGCTAATAGGATGATCTGAAGAAGACTTGGCTTATTAAAAGGTGCCGGACAATGAATGCTAAATTAAGGTTGGTACCTGCATCTACGTCCATCATACATCACCTAATAACGGATCTTAATTTGTACTTTGTTAAACATAGTTAGTCTTCTAATTGAGTTATTTGCTAGTCAGCGATGGGACAAAACAGAGTTAATTAACTATTTCTTTCTTAACATGGTTCTAGCTATCTTGAGCATCATCTCTTGCGTGACACCTATACCAAGGAAACAGTACCGGCACTACATAGGATCAGGTAAAGCCAGTTTAATTGATTTAAAAAAAACTGACATGATATCTTGAGTTAAGTGGTACATCTTCTCAAAACAGATCCAATATGTTGAGTGCTTTTCTTTTCAGGAAAATGCATTTTTTACTTATTTACCGTTTCTTGCAGGAAATATCTAGTAGAGGCCACGAAAGAAGCATCCAATTCTTATACTGAAGCGGTATGATACACCCATCTTACTTTCCCCTTGTAATCTTCAAAATATTTGGTCATTAAATCCTTAATAGCAATGGTTATTACTCATTTACTGAATATCTAGTCCTTAACTCTGTAATGGAAATCTAGTAACTAGAGCTCTGTAGTTATCTATTTCAACTGAATTTCTATAAACAATGTATGCCATCTTTCAGTATCCTCTTTTACCTGAAAAGGAGTCGACTTTCCCATAATTTGTTTTTACATTCTAGAGTGTCGTTTTATCTTGCACCAGGTTTCACGGTTGCGCGAGTACCAAGGTGTAGATCCACACTTTGATGTAATTGCAAGGCAATACCATGAGATTGTAAAGGTAATTTGACTCATCTTCATCATTATCAATGAGTACCATGTTTGATGCATCATTGACAACCAATTTAAACTGCAGAAACTGGAGGGCATGCAATGGACGATTCATCAGGTCGAAATGGATCTGAAGCCTCACCATGACCATGCAGATGTCTAGGCTCCATCTCTCCAGGAGTGCAGGCATCTTTCATGTTTGTTTCCAGAATGTGATAGCCTGTGGATGTTGCCATGCCCTTGTTCCACTTTACAGGCTTGTTGTTTATTGCTCCCAGCTGATTGCCGAGTAAGCTGGATAGCTTCTGCATTATGTAAAGTTTAACCTCAAGCATGCAATATATATGGAGATGTGTGTTTGTATTGTGTAAAATTTTCGTCCATGATATGTATTGTGTTCTTAACTACCATAAGGGGGAAAAAGCAGGATTAACCGAGCACATATACAACGTTTATTGAAAACAGGTCGAAAAATAGCGGGGCCATTCTTTTTCTATTAAGATGCATATTTTTTTCATGGTTTTCATTAGCATGCTTTTTAAAGTGCTAAATGGTGCTTTTCGTGTGAAAACTTTTATATGGAAGTTGTTTTAAAACATCAAATAAATCCATTTTTTAAGTTTATAATAATTAAAACTCAATTAAACCAAACACGTTAGTCATCCGGTTAATAACTTAAGACTAGATGAACGTAAGAAAATCCGGTTCAAGAAAGGAAATAAGGGATGAAACTTTCTTTCGGTAGTACAATCCGTTAAGAAAGGAAATAAGGGATGGAACTTTCTTTCGGTAGTAAGCAGGAGATGCTTATAAGAGAAGAGCATAAGTGATCTGCATATTTCCTTATTTCACAACGGGCTTAGATAAATCATTTCTTTTCTTATATGTGATACATTCTTTTCAGAAAGATAATATATGGGATTGTTAATTTACCTAAGTATTTATCAAGTTATGTGCTATCTAGACTCACTCAAGTGTTTCTAATTGCCCCTTTCTAGAAATTTTGTCATTCTTAGCTGTCATCTCAGGAAACTGACGTGGCGACAAGTGAGAAACGACCTTGCTATCCCTTGTCTCTCCTCTCCGGTTTACCTTTTTCTATGTGGCACCCTAAAGCTCCTTAAATGTGTGGGACGCACTGTGAATGCTCTTACTACTCTTCACCGACCCTAGTAGGTCACCACCATGGACATGTTGCCTGACGCTTGTTGTCACTTGTAGAGCGGTAGAGGTAGAGAGATCAAAGCGGCACATTGTAGATCTAGAGAGTCTCCCCACCACTTGCGCTGATGTAGTTCTTTCCGCCGCCTCCTTGGATCCTGTCGTTGCCGTTGCAGGAGGCAGGGAGGAAGAGAGTTCGTTGAAAAACTTTGCTTGCATGGGCCACTATTGCCAGCGTGACTTTCTAGACTTTACTGGATATGGATAAGTTAGAGAAAGAAGATAAGGGCAAGAGAGTTATCTAATAATCTAAAGCTGGCTCTTTTGTTAGCTTTTTGATTGGTCCATGTGGCACCCCTTACATTGAAGAAAAATCATGAATTTATACTAGAGAAGAAAAAAACCTAACAATCATATGTGAGAAAAAAATCTAGAGAAAAATATCACATATGGATTCTAGAGGTTTCCAAAAATATCTTTCCCTTCCCAATCACACGAACTTCCATTCCCTTACCTTATTTAAATATAATACGCCTACTTGATACCACTCCTATAATTCCAGAATGTATAGTGTATCCAAAATTATTAAGCAATGAAAAAAAAAATCCAAAACAAAGAAAAAAAGGCAACCTCGCTTTCTTATATCACACAATAGGATCATTAATATCTTCCCAGGCAAAGAAATGATTGTGTTTTTATATTACACGGGATATGTTGCAAAAAAAACTCTAAATGCACTATATGATTGATCTTTCAAGTATTCAAATCCATAAGAGAATATATTTAAACCAATTAATTTCGATTAATCTCAAATTTTACTTTACTTGCTTGATGTATGCTATATGACTGTAGATAGTTTGCTAGTAACCCATCGAGACTACACGTCGATAGTTGAGTGCTTTATGAACTTTAGGGAACTTTCCATAATTTTTTTTTCTTTGGGTCCTCAAGTATAATTTTTTTTAATTTTAGTAATACATCACTCCAAAAAGTATTTCTAAATCTGATCCTTTTGGCCACGGCTGGCGTGGCCAAATAACTTTGCCACGCCACATGTAGCTGGCGTGGTAGTGTTGTCCTGCCACACCACCGTGTCTGGCGTGGCAAAAGGTTCATTTTTCGAAAATATTTTTTGAAAAGGTGTATTAATAAAATTTTAAAAAATAAAAAGTCAAAAATAAAAAATTCTAAGTATGATGACAAATATTTTCTGCCATTCATCAAACGCCAGCAGCCGCAGCATCAGCCGAAGGAGAAGCAGTGGCAGTAACAACTATTGCAGCTGCGGTGGCTAGCGCAACGGCAATATCAACTGCTTCTGCTGCGGGAGCGGCAACGTCAGGAGGGCCACTAAATATCTCTAATGTTCTAAAACTGCGACACTATGACGGTTGACCAATACGTCAGTACCAGCTATCAACATCTAGCTCCAAATGATATCAGTACCATCTATCAACATCTAGCTCCAAGTGATATCGTGGTTGTCAATTAATGCTGTGAAAATAGATATCGTGGTTGTCAATTAATGCTGTGAAAATAGGCTTGTGAAGTGTTGCAAGATTCTAGTTCTTGTCCCCTTTACTCCTCCTTTTGTTTTTTTATTCCTCTTAATACAAAAATGGGCATCTAACTTTTATTCCTCTTAATATAAAAATACGTATCTTACATATCCCCTTCCTCTTAATATAAAAATACGTATCTTACATATCCCCGTAAAAATGCTGCAACAAAGAACAGCACGTCCATTGATCCACTTCTGTCATTTACTATACAACGGTGTAAAGGCCTATGGAAATGGAAATTTGACAAATTTCTCTCCCTTGTGATGGATATAGGAACCTAATATTTGGTACATGTTCAGACATATAGCAAGTTTGTTGGTCAACAAAGTTATGCAAGTTCAGACATACAGCAAGTTTCAGAATGTGATGCCAATCAAATAGTACATATCTACGCCAACCAAATTACAGGCTCCATGTACATAGTTAAGATTTCTCCAAGTTACAGGTGACAAATTTGACGATCCGATGAACGCACAGCCAACTGCTCAGCTATTTGTTCATTCCATCACACAACACTTGCATAGATTCCACGTAGGATACAACCATTGTGACTACTCATGCGTTTAAAATCATCTCAACTGCCGGCTCTGTACAAAAATGAGCACCAAAGTTCCCTCAAAATAGTTTGTCCGTGTAGGATTGATTCGTCCGGGTACAGCATTCTGCTTCAAGGTACCATGAATTCTGCTGCCGCTTGTGTTTCCTCATCCTCTATGTCCCATGTGGAATATGGGCGGCTATATGTCTATCTGTCGTTGATCATGCAGAAGTAACCGCCCCCAGCATTTCGCTCCAGAGGGTACCTGGTGGAACCTCTTATGTACTCCAGGTGGTTCAAGGCAGCATCGTGGACAACGGATCTTTTTGCTGTCTTCACTTTCTCGAGCTTCTTTATCATGGTGCAAGAGCTCAAAGGGCCCTCGCTTCCAGCTCCAGGTCTCCTATAGTGCATTTTGCAACGAGGAGGTTTCAAGTTATACAACTTGTGGCGTGATGATATTGTATCTGATTAATTTAGTTAATTCAAGCACCAAAACCAAACAGATGGAAATCAACATCCAGTAAATAAGCCCCTAAGTAGAGTTGCCATGGACATGGAGTGCTTGACAACTGGGAGCAAGAATCATGCTAAACAAAGGAAGGCCACAAAACTTACTTCAACAGTTTCTCAGAAGCAGCCCTAGCAGCTTCAATGGTGTCCTTGGTTGGAAGCCACTTTACTACTCTGCCAGGATCACCTCGCATAGGTGAGTGGATTTTTACAAGCTGCACATTTTGCAAAATTTGAGATATACCATCCTGACCCACATGTCATTGACTCATGTGGGTTCTACATGTCATTGATATACCAATGGCATATCTCAAACTTTGCAAAATTATAATGGCATGGCTCCAATTTACCCTTTTCTTTAAGAAATCAACAAGTCAATCTCTTCACACGATAACAGTGTGGCTAAGTAATAATCCCTCCATGTAGGAATGGTTCTATTAGTTCGGATTAGGGGAAATGAGAAACTCACACCAAGACATTCCATCATTTGATAATATGCTCTCCCATGTAGTGAAGTGTGTCCCTTTCTGGACTCCGAAAAGTACCTCATCCTGAAAGATCATCACATCAACTGTAAGAAGATCTGCAGATCAACATACATCATATTTAGTACGTAAGATCAATAGCACCAACCATTCCTTGCATCCTGGGTCTACTGTAAATCCATACATGTCGACACTGTAATAACAGCTTTGTGAGTATTGTTGTGCTATTGCAGACCTAGGAAAACAACAACTGAGTGACCATGAGTCCATAACAATAACTAAATAGAATACTGTGATCCATAAGTCCATAACAATAACTAATACTGTGATCTACAAACATCTGGACAATAAGGCATCATAGTTTGTGATATACTGAGGATCGCCATGTTTTGCGTTATATCATATAATGTTGAACTTCAATACATCTGTAAAAATCACATACATATGTCAGTTGAATGAATGCTAACCTGCTCCCATGAGGCTACAGCTTCACAGAGATTGAACTCAAATGATAAACCTTCAGGTTCTCCAGTTTTTGGATCTTTCTGCAAATATCAGTGCCTAAGAACTAAGAAAACAAACACATGCATCACAAAAGGTGGCACGAGTATGCGAGGAATATTGTACACGCTAATGGCGATTTTCAGAACCATAAGCTAGGATGCAAGCAATAATTAAAAGAGGCCTTTGCAAACTATGTCAGGAGCTGGCTACAATTGAAATGGGGAAGGCCTGCATCCAGAAGGAAATTACACGGCACATGTGCAACTTACCCACTTAGAATCTGTGTCGCTTGGGTACTGTATTACAATTCGACAGTAATCCTCTCCTGGAATTGCTCTCATCCCTAGTCCATTTGCATCCTGATTTTTTTAGCACAAGTACACATTAGAGATCTTTATATGACAAACGTCAAGTCACCAGCAAGAAGAATACACTAACAATTTCCTTATTTTCTGTTACTCTAGCGAAGTTTGCAATTGATTATAAGTAGAAATAATCTAGACTAGGCAGCCTTGAACACAGGCAAGATGACCACACCGATGCTGGCAGCAACACTGAAATGTCAGTCAAGGCAGCATTACAACATACGGTGACTGGCATTGCTGCAGTACATCTTAAGAAAGATGATCTAAATATGTGACTCGTGGGAAACAAAGGTGTACCTCTGGAGTGTCTTACAGGGATCGATTCACTGTTTGTAAATAATCTCAACTTTAAGCTTCTCCGTTTCTGCCATTCTGCCTTGCATACAGAGCTCCTCGCAGCAGCCGTACAAATCAAGGTAACTGAGAGAAGGCGGGAGGCCCATCTCCGGCAACCTTCGGATGCTCCGGCACTCATCGATACGTAGCACCTCGAGGAAGTCAAGGCTTCGTAGATTTGCAGGAAGTGACTCAAGCTTCTGGCACCGCGAGAAACCAAGTTGTCGGAGGGAGGTGAGAAGCTGGAGTGCTCTCTCTTGTTCCTCCGTCAGGCTCGCCATGCCCATAGACCAGAATTGTAGGATTCTTAGAGATGTGAGCTGTATGCATAAGTGCACAGAGAGCACAGCTGCATCATCAATCATTAGACTTTCCAGTCGGAACCACATCCCAGAGGCCTCTTGCTGCAGATATGGAGATAAGCTGCGGGTGCCAAGTACCTTCAAGGATCTAAGGTTTCTAATTGAGTGGAAATCCTCGATTGAAGCAAGCAACTTGCAGTTGATAATCTCTAGCTTTTCCAGTGTCATGCAGTGTTTCAACTGAATAGACTTCAAGGCTGGACTATCTCGCACTGCTAATTTTGTTACTGAAGGAAGACACAGAAATTGCGAACTGATGCTTCCTTCGAGATTTGAGATGTGAAGTTCAACAAGTGATGGAGGAAACACCTGAGCCTGATTGCCACCTTGTTCTTGTTCTTGCAGTTTGAGATGCCATGCAGCTGACAGCTCAGGATTCATCTGGATGTCCAATCTTCGAAGGGAGCTGAGGCCCTCCAACACAACCAGGGATCGGCATCCCGAGATTTTCAGATACTCCAAGGATGTACAGGAATGAAGCTGCATGGACTTCAAATGCTGGCTCCTACATAGGCTTAACCTTCTTAGGCAGGGAAGGCCTTCAGGGGAGAAGGACTGCAAGTTTTCTGAGACTGAGAGAGGACTGAGGCTAAGATCTTGAAGTGACATTGGGAGTAATCCATTATCATTTGTTTCGCTCACCAATGCTGAGACCAGCTTGGGGCAATTCTTAATCTGTAGCTGCACAAGAGAGGTGAATCCTGCAAAGCCACCACTGCCACCACAAAACTCTAGGTCTGGACATTCAGAAATGGAGAGCCACATTAGAGAATGGAGGAGACTACATGGAATTTGCAGAAGCTGTTCATCCCCTGCTGAGGTTATCTCTGCTGAAGCCAAACTGCTGGTTACTTCCCTTTCTGTAGGTTGATTGGTTAATAGAAACTTTATCTGTGGACAATCAAATAAGTCCAACTTCTCAAGGGAGTTAACATGATGAAGCATTTGAGTTAACCACCTACCTGCTATGCCACATGATGAAATGGTGAGAGATTTGAGAGATGGGAGGGCAGGGATGTTTGTAGCAGATGAAGTATTATTTGCCTGATCTGAGATCTGTAGCTGGAACAAATTAGGACACTTTTGTATAACCAGACACTCTAAAGTGATGAGCTGGTTGAAACCTTCAGTTGAAATACGAGTCAAGTTTGGACACCTTCGAAGGTAGATCGATGTAACACCCTTCAGATTATGGAATGATAAGATCCTGCCATCCAGTTCACTCAACTCGTCAGATTCAATAGTGAACTTCCTATTGTTTATCTCCATTGTTGGAAATGCTGAAAGTCTCTTGATGGACGAGTAAGACATAAGAGGAGAGGGCGGAATAGGAAGGGACACTACCAAACTGGAGCAATCATAGATAGTGAGTTCACGGAGACTAGATATCCATTCATTTTGATCCACTTGGGAAGTCGAAACTTGTACAGGTGAAGCTGTTATCCCACTGCAAATTTGCAGGCTCCGCATTTGAATTAACACCAACTTTTCCAGAGAAGGAACTGGCAATTCTTCGACAATAGGCACATCCATTAACTCCAACTCCTTGAGCGCTCGCATTTCTTCTAGAGGAAGGATTTTCCACATTCTGAAAAATCATTTAACAAAGTAAGTGCACAACAAAATTCGCAATTGTACTAAAGCAAGATTGATGGGAATAGATAGTTTACATTATGCGGTAACAGTGACCTATCATGAGTTTGTTGAGAGATGGAAACCATGACTTTTGCTCAGCATGAAAATGATCCCTGTGGAAAAGCACAAACTCGTTTAGTTGAGGGCAATCCTTCACCATCAATACCCTTATACGGGAAGTCAACTCTATACCGTACGTGCCAACACAGTTCTCCAATTTAGGCATATTAACTAAGACCAACTCCTCCAAATAGGAAGGAATTGAAACTTCCACCAAGTTCCACATCCTGATCAACTTCAGCTTCCTAAGCAGTGGGAGCATTTCAAGATACTGAACAATTCTCCATTCTGTGCAGTTCTCTAAATGAAGTACCTGCAACGAGGTAACTTTACTGGCAAACCAAGTTGGGGATGTAGCACCACTGTACCCAGTTAATTGCAGATGTTTGAGATTACCATGAGGTTCAAGACCCTCAAGCACATCATATCTTGTATTCTCTTCAGTAGGTCCAGAGCTCATGTTATCATTCCATGACAATGACAACTCTTTGAGGTGCTCTTTGTCCATCAACCTTGCACTTCTGGCCTCTTTTTTAGTTTTCACATTTTCGAGTTGAGAAATTCCAAGTATTACAAGATCATTCATGGCTCGAAGTTGTCCTATCTCAAAACTATCAGCATCTTGAACCTTGAAAATTAATTTCTGAAGACAGGTCAACTTACCAACACTATCAATTGCTGAGTGCACTTTCTCATGAGCAATAAGATGACGTAAATTAATAAGCTTATTCATACCAATAGGAACTGCAATATTTCCATTTTGGATTGGACGGGAGCGGCGATTTTCGCCGGCGCGGAATCCCCACCACCCGTGGCCATCAGCGGCAGCTTTGAGAGAGCACTGTGCAAACGAATAGCTCGCTGCAGGGAGAGGAGAGGCCGGTAGAAGAGAAGTTGCGGGGCACCCGCCGGATTAGCGAATCCGGGAGAGGAAGATGCGGTAGATGCTTGCATTGCCTGACAGTGGAGCAGACGCCGCCGACCGCCGATTCTGAGGGAGACGAGGTCGACGGAGTGGCGCGCGCCAAGGACTGATTTTCTTTCCTTTTTTTTTAAGTAAATTGCACGTTGGTCTAGTTATTTTTACCCAAGTTTTAACATGGACCATTCTAAAGACAAAGTTTTCACTTTGGGCTAGTTTCTTTTACCAAAAGCTTTCACTTTGTACTACTCTCACATGTCAGTAGATCAGGAGATAAAAGAGAGAGCAGGGAGGACGCCGGCAAGCTTGTGATGGAGATGATTGGATTGTGGGCATCGGCAAGCTTGCAATAGAGATGATTGCAATGTGGCAACACCTAGATATGCAAAGGAAGTTCTGCATACATGAAACGATAGCACACATCTTCTTCTACGATGGGTAGTGTAGCGTCCACACCACACGCTGGAATATTGGCCGACGATAGACAGTCGACGGTGGCTGTACATCAGCGGGATGGCGTATGTATCAACCGCGCGTGGCTCGTCCTTAAAGATCGAGCGTGAACTAGCTGACCATACGCCGCCATGTCCTGGTGAGAGCGCAGCGCGGTGGACATTTTGCTTCAACTCACTATCGTCCCGTGCAACGCGGCAACATGATCCGATTGATCATGACAGTCCCTCTCGCTGGCTGCGGTGACCAGCAATCAAGCTAAGCTAAATTACACTGGGGAGTAGTTCATACTTCCTGAGGGCCGCCTCAAGATGCTCGTCAAATTAAGGCGTTCGTGCCACGCCGTGTATCAAGAAGTTGTTTGAACTGAGTGCCATGCCCCGCCGCCATGCTCGTACGTGCATCCTCCCCGGTTGGACCGGACGCCGCCAGTCAGGTCGAACATCACCATTACAACGAAATACATAGCTGTCGCATGGCGAAGAGCCACAACAGCAGAATATCTACGGTGAGGTCGCACATACCCAGATTGTGAACATACCCTGCCCCAAAGTGCAATTCTTGGCAAAGAAACATGGTGTAAAGTGAAAATCTTGATTTAGCTCTAGCCCAAAGTGAAACGCCGGTAAAAAGAAAATAGCCCATGATGAAATTTACTTATGTCAGCGCAGTACAGACAAGCAGCCGACGTTCCTAACTCACATACTATCTCATTTTTTAAAAATAAATATATAGGGAAATTTCTTTAAAAGAAATCATATTAATCTATTTATTTTTAAAAAGTTAGCTAGAACTAATATAATGAGCCGTTCTATTTTACGTGTAAGAGATTTTTCCAGCATCATCCAACGAATACTGTACTGTACGGGGTCTCTAATTCATTGACTATACTCCTATCTTACACTGTGGCGCTTTGAAAGGCAGGAATTTTACAAAAATTTTAGCATTTTTTTTGACGAGAATCAATTCAAATTTTGCAGCTATAATCTATAGAATTCCTTCTCAAGGAGGCGTTTATCTTGTTAAACTTTTTTTTTTGACATGAATGCAGCATTTCATTGATTAAGTAACATCATTACATAGAACATCCTGGATGCAATCCGGGATGACACCACGGTGAGAATTACAAGGATTAAGCTCGGCCCGACGAGCTAAAACATGAGCTGCAGCATTACATAAACGATTCACATGCTTGAACGAGCATGATAAAAACCTGGAAGCCAAAACCTTGAAGTCAGAGACAACACAACCAACCGAAGAACGATCCCTTGCCCAGGCTTGTATTCTTCTGATGATAGAAGAGCAGTCGGAAGCCAGGATTACCCGTTGGATACCATCTTCCCAGGCAATGGAGAGGGCAAGTAGATTTGAAGATAGCAGCATCTGTGTTGATGAGGAAAGTTCCTGCCGGCGGTGGAACCCATCTAGCAACTGAAGAGGGGGACTCACACCTGGGAGCAGGACAGAGATTGAAACAAAATTGAGTAAGCATGTTCACATATGCCACAACTGATTGCGCCACTCTACGTGGATTCACAGGGGAGTTGTTGTTCTTCGCTTCATTCCTGGCTTGCCAAATGTGCCAGATTGTGACCACCATTACCTTGTTCTGTAGCTCAGAGCCCCGGCTTATAAAGTCAAAAATCCATTGCTTCATATTACTCAGTGCTGCCCGACCCAGTTGGAGATTAAAAGACTTCCTGACCTCATCCCACACAGCACTGGCAAAGGGGCAAAAAAGCAGCACATGTTCAATTGGATCGTCCCTGTTACAAAAGATGCATCCCTCCATTGCTGGTATATGGCGTCGTCTGAGTTGGAAACCCGTGGGCAGACAGTCATGAGCTGCACGCCACAGATTTATCTTCATCTTTCCTGGTGCCTTAATCTTCCAAAGAGCCTTCCCTTTCTTGACAGTTTCATCTAGAACTGATGGGAGTCCTCTTCCATTACTGCTATGTGCAGCTAGGAAAGATGACGAGGTTTTCTGACAGTGTACTGACCTAGCTTGTCATGTGGCCAAGAAGCAAAGTCCTCCCCTCCGTGTCGACTGATGGGAACCTGAAAAATAGCGCTGGCAACCTCTTCTTCAAAAAAAAGCATTCACTCTGTCTACATCCCATGTCTTGGACACATCGTCCATCAAGAAGGCCACAGTAACCTCACTTGGCAAAGGTAACAAGCGGGAAGCCAGGGATCCAATTGTCCGTAAGGATTTTAATACAACTCCCCTCACCAACACCCCAACGAACCCCTTTTTTCAGCAACTCTCTTCCGAACAGGACACTTCGCCAAGTGAAGGACGAAGACCGAGGCTTGGACACTCGCTAGCCAGTCGCCAGCAAAGCTGCAAAGGAGAAACAATGCTTTGCTCCCTTCCAAAAGAAGAAAATAAAACGTTGGTACCGACTACCGAGTCAGTCACTGGCAACAGCATGGCACTCCAGACCGAGATGAATCATGGACAACTGAATTGCACTCCAAGAATAGGGATAAAAAATTAAGCAAGCCAATATTTTGGTAATGCCAAAAAGTTTGTGATATGTTTGGTTTGTAGCTTACAATTTGGCACCACTAAATTATTTGGATTAGTTGAATGCCAGATATAACTTTGGTAGCAAAGTAAATGAATGCCTAGCCAAATTTTGCCAAAAATTTTGGCAACGGACAACTCTTGTCAAGGCCAAAAGGTTGGCAAGGTTATGAACCAAACAAGCCCTCAATGAAATTATGAGATAACTTCCCTGACCAAAGAACCAGTCATCAATATATCAAAAGTGGAGCTACATAGGGTCATCTTCAAGAAAGAAAACTCAAGTTTCATGCTAATTTCTTTTAGGCTTCTGAAAATATGAACTGGAACAAAAACCAGCAGACGCATAGAGATATAAACTAACACTGGCAGCGGCGTGGCATGATTATAGGCTATCACATGAGCTGCTCACAGGTGTCCATGCATTTCGTTTTCATCTGCATTTGTCAACTCAATTTGCACAATGCTTGTGCAGAGCAAGTGATTGACCCGATCTTAACATCTTCTGCCTATGCAGCGGTGAGTGAGAGGAGCTGAGAGAGAGAAGGCAAGAGAGCAGGTGCAGCTGCTCTCTGCTGCATGCTCATACTGTCGTCTCGTGATCAGCTGCAGCAGGGCCAGATGAAGTTACATCTTGTGTAGATGACTCTGCCAAGAACTTGAACCAAGTACTACAAGATCATGAAATTAATTAATTTTGATGTCAGTCATAAACAGAACGAATTCAGGGTAATGCAATAATCCACTGTCAAACAATTATAAACAATTAAATAAAAAGTCAGCTCAATGCTATCTCCCAGCTGGTTCTGTTAATGCCCATACAAGTCCATACCACTGCTAAGTTGTGTTAATGTATTTTTCAACCATCTTGTAATTTTTCATTCACAATCTATATAACTCGATATATTTCTTATTTTCTATACTCCAGTGAAGTTTGAAATTGATTATAAGCGGACAATAACAAACTGAAACCACTTCATGCAGCCTTTTGCTTCATTACGTCTCAATATAGCTTTTTTTTTAAGAAAATGGTCTCAGTATAGTTAATAGCTCATTGCACCTGATCGACTGCTCCTGGAACTATCTTCTCATGCATCGTCCAATACAAGCAGAAATCTAGCGTTTCTAATTTTCCTCCAAAAGGGTCTCCTGCAGTGCCTCAAAACTGGTTATATTTGACACCTACTCTAACATCTCTCGCGCTATGCTCATTTCACTGAAATTATCAGATACACAAACCCACATTTGCAAAATCAAAATGGTATATTTTTCATCCAAACTACATCATACCTGCCATTCCTTATTTTCTGTTACTCCAGGGAAGTGAGGAAAACAAATGGAAAATACAAAATGGTGGTCGCTAATGCTAGACTAACTGAATTTCCCACACAATTTTGCACTGAGCTAGATTAAAGTATATTTAAAAATTGTGTAGGAAATTTATTTAAATTGTGTGGGAAATTGATATACAACCTTCTATTTATGTGGAAAAATGGCACTAACGGAGAAGCTCATGGTCTATTTCATATTTGGATATACAACCTTCTATTTATGTAATACAAGTATAAAACTATTTCGACCAATCCCCACCATTAAATCTAAACCCACCACAATCAGATGGTGTAGATCTTTACCTTTTTTTCACCATTTAACATGATAATTTCGAAGTCTCCAGAGCAAACGTGATGTCCCCTTTTTAGCTTTCTCTGACAGCCTTGAACTCAAGGTAAGCGACCCTAAGTCCATGACGATGGCCAGCAGCCACGCGATGTCAGACAAGGCAGTGATACACCATACTGACTCAAACTGCTGAAAGATAATCTACTTTTAAGCAAGCAAAGTGTAAGTGCATCGATTACTTGTTAAGACAGAAATGTACCTTAAGACAGAAGTGTTACGCGATCAGGCAGTGTAGACCATGAGCTTCTCCGTTTGTGCCATTTTTCCTTGCAAACATAGCTCCTTGCTGCAGCCAATTAAATTAAGGCATGTGAGCAAGGGCGGGAGGCCCATCTCTGGTAGCCTTCGAATGCTCCGGCACCCATTGATATGCAACGCCTCGAGGGAGTCGAGGCTTCGTAGATTTGCAGGAAGTGACTCAAGATAATGGTGGTTGGAAAATTCAAGTTGTTGGAGGGAGGTGAGAAGTTGGAGGGCTCTCTCCTGTTCCTCTGTGAGACTCACCATGGGCTCATCATCATTAAATCGCGACCAAAACACAAGGGATTGCAGAGATGTGAGATGTTTGCATAGTGACGTGGTAAGGACAGAGGCACCATCAGTACATAGAACTTCCAGTCGAGACCAGATCCCAGAGGCCCCTTCCTGCTGCGACACAAGCTGTAGACATGGAGTTACACCAGGGGAGTCACGTGTTGTCAAGCGCCTAAGGTTTCTAATGGACTGCAAGCCCTCGATTGAGGCAAGCGACTTACAGTCGTAAATCGTTAGACTTTCCAATGCCGTGCAGTATCCCAGCTGTAGAGTCACCAGCTCTGGACTATCCCCTAGCTCTAATCTCGTGAGAGAATGTAGGCAGGAGAAAAAGCAAGGATGGATGCTGCCCTCAAGATTACTGATCTCAAGTTCTATGAGTGACGGAGGAAACAGTCCAACCTGATTGCCGCTTTGTTCTTGCTCCTGCAGTTTGAGAGCCCACGCGGCAAACAGCTCAGGGTTCATCTCGATGTTCAATCTTCGAAGGAGGCTGAGACCCTGCAGGCCTTCCAATACACCCAACTGTTGACGGCCCCAGATATTCAAATCCTCCAAGGCTGTACAGGAATGCAGCTGCAGAGACTTCAAATCTTGGCTGCTACTTAGCCACAACCTTTTGAGGAAGGACAAGCCTTCAGGGGAGAAAAAGGACGGCAAGTCTCCTATCCAGAGCTCCTGAATTGACGTTGGGAGCAAACTTATGTCCATTTCATTCGCCGGAGACGAGAGAAGCTTTGGGCAGCCATATATCTGTAGCTCCACAAGAGATGTATATCCTCCGAAGCCTCCATTGCCTCCACAAAACTCCAGGTCCGGACAATCATAAATACATAACCGCTTAAGAGAACGGAGGAGATTACATGGCATTTTCAGAAGCTGACCATCCCTGGCTGAGGTTGTCTCTGCTGAAGCCAAACTGCTGGTTGCTTCTCCTGTAGATTGACTTATTAGCAGGAATTTTATCTGTGGACATTTCCGCAACTCAAAGTCCTCAAGCGATGGCAAATGAGGAAGCGTTCGAGTTAGCCATCTACCTGATATTCCAGACGAGAAAATTTTGAGAGATTTGAGAGATGGGACAAGGTAATTTGTATCAGGTGTAGTGTTTTCATGAAGAAACTCTGACATAACATGACGTTGGAGCAAACTAGGGCACTTTGATATATCCAAATGCTTTAAAGCGATGAGCTGGCTGAAAGCTTCGCTCCAATTATATATTAAGTTTGGACAATTTTCTAGTCTCATAGATGTTATGCTCTTCAGATTATGGAACGGAAAGATCCTGCCATCCATCTCACTCAACTCGCTATATTTTATAGTGAATTTTCTCTGCTTTATCACCAGTGTTGGAAATGCTGAAACTTCTTTGATGGATAAGTAAGAAACCAGAGGAATAGGCCACGGCAATACCAAATTGGAGCAATCATGGATTTTGAGTTCACAGAGACTAGATACCCATTCCGTCTGATCCACTTGGGAATTCGAGAACTGTAGAGGTGGAGAAGCTGTTATCCCATTGCAACTTTGCAGGCTTGGCATTTGAATCAACACCAACTTCTCCAGAGAAGGAACTGACAATTCTTCAACAACAGGCACATCTATTAATTCCAACTCCTTGAGTGCTCCCATTTCCTCCAGTGGAAGGATTTTCCATGCTCTGAAACATCATTTTGCAAAGTAAGCGCAGAATAATTTTGAAACTATATTGAACAAGCAAGATTAACAAGAAATAAGGTAAATACATTATATGTTGACAATGACTGATAGTGAGTTTGTTGAGAGACGGAAACCATGATTTCTGCTGGGAGTGAAAAAGGTTGCTATGGAAAAGCGTGAACTCCTTTAGTTGAGGACAATCCTTCACCATCAATTCCCTTAGACCAGAAGTCAAATCTTGACCGTAAGTCCCAACACATTTTTTCAATTTTGGCATATCAACTAAGACCAATTCTTCCAAATAAGAAGGAATTGATACTTCCATCAAGTTCCACATCCTGACCAACTTCAGCTTCTGAAGTAGTGGAAGCTTTTCAAGAGATCGAACGACTCGCCATTCTCTGCAGTTATATAGATGAAGTCCCTGCAGTGATGTAACTGTACTAGCAAGCCAGGTTGGTGATGTAGCACCACTGTATCGAGTCAACTGTAGGTGTTTGAGGTTATGGTGTGGCTCAAGACCCTCAAGTACATCATCTGTTGTTTTCTCTGCAGTAGGTTCAGAGGTCATGCTAAGATCATTCCATGTGAATGATAACGCTTCAAGATGCTCTTTATCTATAAATCTTGCACTCTTGGCCTCTTCTTCAGATTTCACATTTTCAAGTTGGCAGATTCGAAGTGTCACAAGCTCATTCATGGAACTAAGTTGTCCGATACTAAAATTACCAGCGGCTTGAACGTTGAATGTTAGTTCCTGGAGAGAGGTCAGGCTGCCGACACTAGCAATTGCTGAGTGCACTTCTTCATGATCAATAAGATGCCGTAAATTAATGAGATCATTCATTCCAATAGGTACTACAAGATTGCCTGTACTATCACCATCCAACACTTGAAGGTGATAAAATTTTGTCAAAGCTTGAGGAATAGAAGTATTTACAATGTCTAGATATCCATATGTTGACCTGGCGTAGATAACAATGAATTCCAGATAACGAAGATGATATGGCGTTAACAAATTAAGTGTAGAGCTGATGTCTGAAGGTGTCACATAAATAAATCCTTAGCAATCGTAACCTTTTTGACTCCTTGCATAAAGTATGTAAGAACCTTAATAGCATTGTGTTATTTTGGCCGAAGAACATCAAGGTCCTTAATTTTTGCAAAGATCTGATATTCTGTATAATTTTTTCAAACTTTTCGCTAGGAAAATTGCAATGTTCTTCTTTATCATAAGAAGTAGTTATGATAGACAAATGCCGAACACCTGGTGAAATTTTCTTGGATTCCAACCCATCAACAGTAGCATACTCATTGGATGAAACTTTTTCTGCCAAGTCATGCATTAGGTCATGCATAACATAGTGGGACTCAACCTCTTCTAAGAAGCCCCAATCAACTAACTTATCCAAATATTGCTTCCCTATTTCCTCCAATCTCTTGGTATGGCATTCGCACTTCACAAAATTTTGTGATATCCAAGCACGGACTAATTTTTTCCCACAAAATTTGTGGTCCTTTGGAAACAGAGAGCAGTATGAGAAACAGTACTGCAAGTGGACTGGCAGAAATTCATAACTGAGCTTCAATATGGCTAGAATATCATCATCCTGTTCCAGAATAGATCTCCATTTGTACTGAATTTTCCTCCAGTGCTCAAAGCTAACATTCCAGTTTAACAGTGCACCAACACTCCGAGCAGCCAGTGGGTTGCCCTTTAATGCTTCAGCAATATGTTGCCCAATGGATCGCAAAGTTGGATCACGCTCCTGGTTCTCATTACCTAAAAACGCCCATGCCTTGAAGAGTGACCAAAACTCTGTTTCATCCAAACCATTCACGTCTATCTTACTCATTGTTCCAGTCATTCTTGCAACTGATGTCCTTCGGGTTGTCACTAAAATCATGCAGCCGGTTGCTTCATTACATTTCAATGGAGCTAACAGATTTTCCCATCCTTTCCTGTCCCTATCTTCCCACATATCATCCAATACTAGCAGAAATCTTTTGTGTCTAATTTTCTCCAAAAGGATCTTCTGCAATGCATCAAAATTGCTAATATTTCCGTACTCTTGTCTATCTTTACACACATGGTCTAACATTTCACAGGTTAGGCTCTTTTCATTGAAATTGTCAGATACACAAACCCACATTCGCAAATCAAAATGGTTTTCAATTCTATTATTGTTGTATACAAATCTAGCAAGCGTCGTTTTTCCAACTCCACCAACGCCAACTAATGGCACAACATCTAGATCACTAGATTTCCCCTTCGTTAACAACTCTATTATGTTGTCCCTCTCTGCATCCCTCCCGTAAACCTTGTGTTCAGTCATAAGAGAAATTGTCAGGCGTGATTTCCTGGGTCCGTTCTGACTCTGCTTTGGCAAAGCAATTTGCCGTAAAATCTCTAGCTGAAGAACCCCCTGTACAGGATTGCCCCTAATGCGTAAATGATTCACTATTCCATTGATCCTCTCAGAAATGCCATGTTTAACCTCAGGAGGCAGCATGACGCTATGAGTTGGCTCCTCCTCTTCCTCTCTTTTCCTTTTTTTGCCATCCATAACCCAACTAATATTTTGATTCATCCTGTTGCTTATTTGTTGAATGTAAGATGGAGTGGATGAAGATGCAGAGCTTTCCTCAGGGTTAGTACAAGCAGCAGCACTAGAACCTTTCCCTGGATAAGGAAACTACATGTTGTTATGGGGACAAGCAAGATAAAGATAATTGAGCAGAAAAAGGGACATTATCTTACAACTGCTAATAAATAACCAAAGGTTTTCTTAATAAAAAAGTAGTTGATCAAAGTTGAAATAAGGGAAAGGTAATCATACATTCGCACTTAACCAAGAGACAAACCTACTGGTGATGTCTATGGTATTCGGCTACTCTTAGTTGCATAGCCAAATACAAAAGAAATGCTCCTAGAAAACAATAAACATGGAATGAAAGATTGATGAGATTTGGCACCACCTTCGATCTGTCACTGGAGCCGGTAGTAATCAAGCTCGTCCATCACGTCCTCAGCATCGTAAATCAGCTCCTTTATCTCATCCAGTGACTCGGACAGTGGCCTATTATCAATCTTGGTTCCCTCAGCCTCTGCGAGCACCATCTGCATGTTTCTCATCTCAGTCTCAAGCTCCTCCACTTGTTTGTCGAGCCCAACTTCACGAGTCCACACTTGCATCTGTCCTGTGAAGAAACTCCCGAGTATGCTTTGCACCACCCATCCTATTGCAGCCTCAGCTGCTGTGGAAACCAATCCCATCGTTCCCCAATGCACCTAAGGAGGTTGTAGCAGCAGCAAGAACAACCCTTGCACAAGAGGATGGATCTAGACGAAAGTGGCGCAATGAAAGAAGATGGGATCAACTGAGAAGGTACGGAGCAAATGAGATAAGAGCCAAAGAAGAATGATGTGTAGTCTGCACAGCCGATGGGAGACTGCAAGTCAAGTCTTCTTTGGCTCCACAGTTGTAATATTTGGTAGTACTGTGAGTCTGTGATTACGAGCTAGTGGAGCAAACTGTGACATCGACCATGCAGAAAATCTAAGCATGTGATGTTACATACCAACTACTAGATGCTGTTGCCTAAATGTTGAGGATAAGAAGATGATAAGGTCGCTGAGTATGATTCAGCAGTTCATCTTTTGAGCCTAAGAAACATAAGCAGAGGGAAAAAGATTGTTGCGACATCACGTGTTACCTCCATTATGTATCAACGAGCTCGGAGCTGATCTGAAGTCCTGAACATATGTAGCCAAGAGAGCGGCATGCGTAGCGCACAATGAAACCGATTCTGCCAGTCCATGATCCAAACAAGGCTTCAAGGACATGGCCTCCACCAATACCCGTCGAGCTCGAGCTCTGCCACTGGCACGGCTTTGTGCCAATTTCGTGAAAGCAAGTGCTAACAATGACCGAACTAGGCCTGAACTCGGTCAGTGAAGTGAACACACACTATAGATTCTAGTAGTCGAGGAGGCAACTTGTAGATCACCTAATCAGCACACAGTGTTTTGAGTGTTACTCCTACCTGTGTATGTATCACATGACCTTGCCAACACAGGGGCCGAGGGTACAATGAACAGCCGATTCGGACCTCCCAATCCATGATCCAACCAATAGTCGCAACTGTTGAAGTAAAACACCAATCCTACACAAAATATCCGGTTTCAGATTCATTTCTTTTTCAGCTTTCACTTGGACTGAAGGATGAAATAGCAGAAAAGGTGGATCTAACCTTTGAACCAGTCCATTTGGCGGAGATTTTCGCCGGCGCGGAATCCCCACCACCACACCACCGGTGGATCCCGCGAGAACGCCGCGCGACGAATCGCAGATTCGCAGTCGCAGCATCCCCGGTGGGCGTGAACTAGGGTTTCATTCCTCGGTGGCCATTCGCGGCAGCTTTGAGCGAGCACGGTGACCAAATAGCTGCAGTGCAGAGAAGCGCCCGTTAGCAACACAAGTCGCGGGCGCCCGCCGTATAAGATTAGCAAATCCGAACAACTGATGATGAATTTGTCCGGCTGCCTGCACCAACGAACTGGATGATCTCACCATCTCATCGACTATACGAATCTCTAATTCATCGGCCATATCTTACACTAATCTGTTCTTTTTGAAAGAAAAAAAGAACACCAAAAAGCTGAAACATTGTTCACAATATCCAGTCCAGTCACAACAAGACACTTGCCGGATCCATGTAAGCTCCAATAAACTGATGAGCTAATTCATTCATGGGCGACTGAATTACACTCAGAGATTAGGAATACCAATGAGATTACAAGATAGCAGAAACTTAGTTTCCCTGACAAAAGAATCAGTGGTTGTCGTCCACAAATATATATAGGCCAATATCGATATTACAAACATACTACCTCCATCCCAAAATGTTTTTGAACTGACCAACGTCATAAAAAGAGGGAGTATGTTTCTTCACTATTCTGCTTATGCATTCCTGCATCTGAAGCAAACTTGAGAGCTTGGAGACATGCTTGCAACGACTCAACTCAGCATGGAAGCGATCAGAAGCCCAGAAAAATCTGGCCAGCACCTGCATTATGCTCCTCCTCCCCATGGTTGCCCAATGCCCACCTGAGCTCCAGACTACAAAGCAACAACCACCATTGTTCAGATTCTCCCGACATGCTCAATTCTGAGAAAACTTCAGGCACGAACAATATTTTCTTGGCAGGTTAGTGTCCTTACCTCATCCTCTTACCAAGCACTGATTGAAATTCCAGGGCATATGGCTTGGCTGGACTGACTGGCACATCTCATCTCTGATTCTTGCTTTCTCTCCAGCATTCGATGTGTTATGTTAGCTCCACAGAAGCCACAGGACTCCAGATCGTACAACTGTCTGAAGCAACTCACATATTGAAACCGAGAAAGAAATTCAGTTTTCATACTAATCTATGCAAGTGAATATTCTGAAACAAAAAAAAATGCAGCTGAAGTAAAAAAAAAACAGAGTACATCGCGCCATAAATAACCATTGGCTGCTGTGTGGCGTGATGTACAGGGTACCACATATCAACTGACCAGATTAACTGGGTACTTCTTTCTTTTTCTTTTAAGCTGCTCATAGGTGTACATGTATTTGGTTCCATCTACATTTGTCAGTTCTCTTTGCATAATGCTTGCTCAGAACAAGTGATTGACCCAAGCTTCACACGGAGAGCAGGAGCAGTTGCTCTCCACTGCATGCTCATCCTGCTGTCTAATGATCAGCTGCAGCAGGGCCAGATGACTTTACATCTTGTGTAGATGACAGCGCCAAGAACTCTACAACGAGTACCTTCAGGATCATGGAACTAATTAATGACGGTGTAAATCATAAACAGATCGAATCCAGTGTAATGCACAATCAATTATTATGAAGAGTTTTTCACACAACTTTAAATAATAATCAGTGACTAAAAAAATCAGCCCATGGTATCTCTCATTTGGTTATGTTGATGTCCCTGCAAGTCCATAAAATTGCTAAGTTTTACTCCCTCCGTTTCATATTTTAAGTCGTTTTGACTTTTTTTTTCTAATCAAACTTCTTTAGATTTGAGTAAATTTATAGAAAAAATTAGCAACATCTACAACACTAAATTAGTTTCATTAAATATAACATTGAATATGTTTGTTTTGTGTTGGAAATGTTGCTATATTTCTCTATAAATTTGTTCAAACTTAAAAATGTTTGACTAGGAAAAAAGTCAAAGCGACTTATAATATGAAACATAGGGAGTATTTAATGCCTTTTCAACTCTTCTGCTTTTCATCCACGATCAACATCACACTCATGCCTTTTATTTTTCCATTACTCTAGGGAAGTGAGCAACTGAGCATAAGCAGAAAATACGAAATGCGCTGAGATAAAAACCATCAGACTATATACTGAGCAACTGAGCATAAGCAGAAAATACGAAACGACAACCACTTATACTAAACTAGACAGACCTGAATTCAAGGAACTGACCTTGACGATGGATGGCTGGCAGGCTGGCTGCCATATGAGGACAGGCAAGGCAGGGTACACCATATGTGCGCTGCTAATAGATATGTACTTGTGAAGACACAGGAATGCTATTCCATGGGACACCGTCACATGGGTTGTGAATGGTATAGGCCTACGGCCTACCAACCAATACCGATACATTCTGCGTGCAGTTGTCCACTGTTAAATGATTATCAGCAAAATAATACAAATGAAAAGATTTCGTAAATCAGCTCATATTAGTATACCTATTTGGCTTAGCAATTTATTTCCAATTCTCTTGTATTATCCACCTACATTCTGCATCACGCTCGCCATTTCTTGGTGGGAGGAGACAGGCCGAAGCCGAACCAAAGCTTGTGCAATACATAACCATGGGCGGCAGCGTGGCAACATCTACAGGCTACTACATGAGCTGACCAGAGTAATTGGATACTTATCCCTTGTTCTAAAATGCTTCTCATAGGCGTCCATGCATTTGGTATCATCCATTTGTGAATTATCTTTGTATAAAATGCTTGTGCAGAGCAAGTGATTGACCGAATCTTAACATCTTCTACCTCTGCAGCAGTGAGTGAGAGGAGCTGAATAGATGGCAAGAGAGCAGGTGCAGCTGCTCTCTGCTGCATGCTCCTAATGTCCGGTGATCATCTGCAGCAGCCAGCAGATGGCACCGGAGTCAGATGACGTTACATCTCGTGTAGACGATTGCGCCAAGCCACCAAGAAGTCTATACCAGGTACCTACAAGATCATGGAACAAATTAGTATCAATCAGTCATGAACAAATATAATCCATTGTAATGCAATAATCCACTGCCAAACAATTGTCAACAACTAAAAAAAACAGCTCATACAAATTCCCCAGCTGGTTCTGTTATAATTCTGTTAATGTTTTTTCAACTCTTCTACTTTTTTTTAGGAGCCTCAAAGCTTCAAGAGTTTGGAATTTTGGGAGATATCACTTAACTCTCTCTTTTTACGGGTTTAGTTCTTTAGACTAGCCCTGTACATATTTCTGTCGCTCTGTATTTTTTTCTCCATCTCTATCAATATACGAGGCAAAGCTTTTGCCCTCCTTTCAAAAAAAAACTTTTTTTTCGCCGGGCCGGCTTTGCCAACCAAACATTGTATTAAGAAGGAGAAAATTCTACTTCTACTTTTTGAACCACGACCCTACATGATGCTCGCCATTTCTTATTTTCTGTTACTCTAGAGAAGTGGGCGACTGAGCATAAGTGGAAAATATGAAATGGCGACCACTTATGCTAATCAGAGCAGTCATGAACTCAAGAAACCTGATGGCGCAGCCCTCCAGGCAGTCCATCCTACAGAGCCACCGAGGCATGTTTCTCCCCTTCCATTCTTCTCCCTGCTAGCTGCACAGCCCATTAGCTAAGGAATGCAAGTCAAACAGAGATTATTTCCAAATTCTTGATGCTGCATAATTAATACTCTTAATAATTTAAGTATTGTGGCAGAAGATGTAGATGAAGTCAAATGCATGGACAGTCACATTACAGCAGTGTGAGATGCTTACCGCTGATGACGGCTTCTTTCAGAACAAGCAAGACAGCGTACAAATGCAGTTTGTGAGGCAGTAGCATATCCTACGCATCTTGTGCCTTATATGTAGTACTCCAATGTAGCATGAGAGGCAAGTGTTGAGGCCCGCTGAGTGCTGAGTGATGTGATGCATCCTTGCAGAAGCCTCTTCAAACTTACTAGGAAGAAATGCTTCCTTCGCCTTTCAGGTTGGACTTGCCAAAAG